AGAGAGAGAGAGAATGAGGAAAAGCTTACGATTGGGTGAATTGGAAGCCACTGTTGGCTGTATAGACAAAGTCACTTTACCCAGGATCAGCATCATGACTCACGGGTCAGGATGAGTAGAGAGTCAAGACTCAAGTACCTGCGTAGAGCATCAATCACCATCAAGACCAGCTTGTCGAATGGGGCTGCCGGTGGCTCGCCATACTCGGTAACGGCATCAAAACTGGCCAAACCGGGTAACAGCGGCTTATAGGGGAAGAAGCCGGTAGCGAAGATGAGGATGGCCGCGGGAATCACGAGGTTGGCAGCTACCAGCAGGATAGAGCCCCAGACGCCATCGCGCCGGGTTTGACGCGACGACATGGGTAAAGTAGGGAAGTAAGAAGTTGAAGGAGGAGAAAGAGAGGAAAAGTGAGACCGTGAGACAATGTATGTATGGGGTGTGAAAATGAGAGTAAGAAGTAAGATTAACCCAAGGTGAATATGAAAGGAAAAAGGACAGAAAATCCGGAGAGACAATAAGGGTTTAGGGGAAAACGATGCCCGTTATACACAAACAAAACAAAAAGTCAGAATATCGCAATTGATCGAAACAGCAGGAGCTGACTGTACGTATCAGGCTGGTGTTAAGAATGGTGCTATGGTGCTATTATCGAGAGTCCCCCCATCCTCGACCCTCGCTTGACTTGCGACTTGGCTGCTCTTCCTGGTCTCGAGAATGGGGTCGATGAGAAGCGCTTGTGCAAAGGCGATTGGCAGAACCAAGACGGATTCACGCCAAGAGCAAGGCCCCTGCAGAGGACGGAGCCCCATGGCTTGGCGCAGGCTCCATCAACCACGCGCCTACATCGGCAGCTCCCGACCTGCCATTTCGTGACGGCCAGCGGTAATATTACTTACGACTTGGCATTGTATTGTATCGAGGGACAACGTAAAATTTGCTGCGCGTCAGGTATGGTTTAAGATGCCTCGTGAGATAACCTCGAGTTGTTATATATATATATATATTAAAAAACAACAGATCCCCTGAACGCCGATTTTTTTGCAACCCAGAAATGTTACCTCCCAGTACCAAATTCTGCCCCCCCCCTTCTTCTTTACATTCCGTGTTCCATTTTGGCCAGCTTTCTCTGGGGGTCGGAGCCCCTCTGATGGGATGCTTCATGCCCTCCTACTTTACCCCCCCCCCAAATCTTTAAGACTGTCTCCAAGAGATTCGGTTTGAAGCTTTCCTCCAGCATGCCATTAGAAACATGCTCATGAATGGACAATTAGACTTTCGCCCCAGTCCTAGATTGAGACTGAAAGCTCTTGGTGTTTATCGTGATTTCAAATAGGTTTGAGCAGAAAGCCCCCCTCATTTCTTGAGGTTGTTCCTCTTGGGACCCTTCATCGGGAATACAATCGAAGACTTCTTGCCTCTCCTCTTCCTGCTGTCCTTCCTCCCGATGGACTTGCCACTCTTAACACCAGAGAGAGTGGGCTTAGCGCCATCAACATCCATGGCAGCTGCTTCATGTCAGCGATCCGAAAAGAAAAGAAAATAGAAAAAAAAAGAAAATCACAATCTAAGCTCAGTCGTAAACTTACTGTCATCTTTGGTCTGAGTGCTCTCCTTGGGCTGCTCAGCAGTAGCCTCACTCTCCTCCTTCATCTCAATATCTGGCTTGGGTGCCTGGGCAATAGCCATCAACTTGGCTGAAAGACGCTCCAGACGCGCTGCCTCAACTGGACCAGCAATATTCTTCTTGAACCGCTGGTGGTTCTCCTTGATCCTGCTCGCTCTCGCGCTCTTGGCCATTTTTTGCGACTCTTTCGTTGACTGAAAGGAAAAGCAGGGGTTATCTGTGAAAGTGTCTGGTGTGAAGTGTGGTTGAGATAGAGGGTCACGGTTAAAAGCATCAAGTGAAAGCGAATTTTTTGGACCTCCCTTCAATACCAGCGCGACGGCCCCTTGTGCACAGCTGGTGAGATACAATAACGTACCAGTACAAACTACTAGCGCTTATCGTCCAAAAAATTTTAGGTACTGGGACTTCCTCGGTACCCCACACTCGCAGCCCCAGTTGCAACCGCATGTACCGCCGCCCCACGTTGCAAGGCAGCTGCCAGCATGGATTGGATTGGCGCACTCGTTTTCTGCCAGAGAACGCCGCCTTTTTGTTCGGCAGCAGCAGCGCCGACCTCATTGAAGAACAGCATTGTGCTCGCGCCATAGCCCAGGGAGAAGGCCAGCACCGTCAACGTCCTGTTGCTGGCTCCTCGGCGTATCAGTCCCCCTCACCTTTACATCAGAAGTATATCCGCCTGAGAGGGCACGTGACTGCAATCGCTGGAATCACGCTGACCAAAGGCGCCACGAAGCAGTCATTTGCTTACGTCGCGACACCATTACCCAAGGGTCAGCTCATCCTCAGACGAGTGAGGGACTCCTGCGAAACCTGCCGATATTGTTTTGTTTTGAATAGGATTCGATAAAACGATACACCGTCACCGTCTTCTTATCTTGTGCTTGGCAGCCCAAGCAGCAACATTCGGCACCGCTTGCCCGCAGGATCGGGACTCCAGCGACTCCTCTCATCAGGAAGCTGATACCCGTCACCCATCGTCACTTGTCATCATCTGTGACCCTTGATTCGTCAAGCATCCGGCAGTCTCTGCTTCACGCTCCTTCTTCGACGAAACATCTTCAGCGGGGCCCCCCCAGCGCAGGCTCCGACAAAAAGTGGGCGACCAGAATGAGCGACCGCTCTGCTGAGGTGCAGAGCCTCATCCGGACCATCCAGATCCCGGCCATCTCAAAGACTGCGCTCCAGGCCATCTGTACTATGAATGGTCTGCCCAAGACCGGCAACAAGAGTGACCTCCAGCGCCGCATCATTGCCCGTAAGTGATGATGGCATGCGTTCTTATTTCTCAATCTCTCTCACTGGACTTCTTGTTTCCTTTCCCGCCTTCTTCAGCTCTTACTCGCTCTCACTCACTCCTCATATATCTCTCTCTCGCTTTATTTCCTCGCACCCTAACCCTCTCATTATTCTTCTCCCTCAATGTGAAATTACCATACATACCATTCCAGCACGCCATGGCTGACCGCCCTGGGAAAGATATCAACTCGTGCAGCGCCGAAAACGACTGGCAGCGCCTGAAGGAAGTCAGGGAGAGCATCATCCAAAGGGCGCCCATTCATACCCACCACCTGGTTTCCTCGGCCCAGTCGCAGCCGCAATCTACAAGCCAAACCAGGTCCCAGTCGCACGCTCAGATGCAATCTTCTAGTTCGGCCCAACCGTCAGCGCACCAAGCGCATCCAACTCATCAACCTCAGTCCTACCCCCAACCTCAGTCACATACTACGTCACTCTCGCCAGCGCATACTCTAAGTCTCCCCTCACAACCTCAACCGTCAGCGACTTACTACCCACCACCTACTTCGAGGCAGTCCCATTATGCCTTGCCTGGTTATCCCCCTGCGCCCTACGCTCCAACGACACCAACCTCCCTTCCAAGACCAGCTAACCCTCAAACTGTCCCTTACCACACCATGGGCACCGCAGCTAGTCGCTCGCGGCCAGCTGGTGGCTATATAGCACCAACTATCACCTACAAACCTAGCCCTTTCTATGAACCGCTGTACCAGGTTGGAGAGGTCAGGACTCTAGAGAGTACGTCGTCCCCCAACAGCCTTTTATTTTTTTTTATTTTTTTTCATTTGTCATTTTTCGTTTTGTTTTCATTGTTTTCATTTTTTTCATTTTTATTTATTTATTTATTTATTTTTTTTTGCAAGTCGTTTGCCTTTTTATTCCCCAACTCCCTCAGGAGTAGTTGTCTTTTGATCTAGCTAACTCCAATCAAAAAAAGTCATGACTTCTCATAAGAATACGAAGGTGATCCCAATTAAGGTGCAAGATCACCCGGCGCTTCAGTTGTGTGTCAACGACCACTCCATGAGGCTGATGGTCTTTTGCGCTGGGGGCAACACTGGTGTCCAAGATGTCGCATTTCCCTACCAGTGTGAGCTCAAAGTCAATGGTGGTGAAATCAAAGCAAACCTCCGCGGCCTGAAGAATAAGCCCGGGTCTACTAGACCTGTGGACATCACGGATGCGCTGCGGCTGAAGCCCCACTACCAAAACAACATCGAAATTACTTACGCCTTGACGCAAAAGGTAAAACGCAGTCGCCACGAGACCCGGAGAGGCACAGCGTGGCAGAGCTATTAGATCGAGGAAGGCTGACACAGGGATGCAGAAGTTCTACGTCAACTTGATCGTCTGTAAGACGATGTCGATTGAGACCCTGGTCGATAAGATTCGGAACAAAATCCGAAAAGACTCGGTCGTCGCAGAGAGTATGTTTCGTCCTGTCTGCTTGTATGGTTTCGTAAACGGCATTAACGGTTGCAGTCACAAAAAAGGCCAGCGATCCCGATGTGGTGGCTATGGCTCAGAACTTGAGCTTAAAGTGCCCTCTTTCTTACATGAGACTCAAAAAGCCGGTCCGCGGCATCGGCTGCAGCCACATCCAATGCTTCGACGCTACATCCTATCTCCAACTACAGGAGCAGGGCCCGCAATGGCTCTGCCCTGTCTGCAACAAGCCGGCGCCATACGAGCAGCTGGCTGTCGACGAGTAAGCCTTGACATCAGCTCCAAGCTCGACAAAAAAAAAAAAAAAAAAAAAAAAAAAAAAGCTAACGCCCGCAGATACGTCCAAGAAATCCTCCTCAAAACCCCCGAATCCGCCGAGCAAGTGACTATCGAGCCAGACGGCCAATGGCACCAGCCCGACGCCCCGCGCGCCGCCTCCACCCCGCGCCGTCCACAACCGACAGCCAGCTACTCCGTCGACGATGATGATGTCGTCGAAATCAGTAAAGTCGTCAGCGGCCCCAGCCGCAGCACAGCAACCCCCTCTGCCGCCCCGCTCTCCTCATCCGCCACTCCGCTCATGGCCACGCCGCCGAGCGTCGCTTCCGCGGCCACACCGGCTCCGCGGTCATCCAACAAACGGCCGCCGCCAGAAGTTATTGATCTGACGCTGTCGGATGACGACGAGCCGCCGCGCCCGGTGAAGAGGGCAAATTATGGGACTGGGTGCTCGGGCGGCGCGTACTAGGGGAATGCGTCCGCTGCGAAGGCGCCTGGGTCTGCGACCAGCAAGGTCGGGAAGCAGAAAGAGGGGACTTCGTCGTCGCCTGCTAGGGCGAGGAAGGCCTCTGGGAGTCAGAAAGGGTCTTCGCCTTTGCCTAAGCTGCGGTGAGGAGAAGAGAAATGATGAAGATGATGGCGGTATACCGGAACCTGCTTTGCAGTTTCTTCGTTTGATATTATGTTTGTGTACAATTCTTTTTATCTGCTTTTTTTTTTTGCCGTGGTTCATCCCGGTAAAAACAAAGAAAGCTTTTTCAACTTTTCTGCTTTCTACATACTCCAAGACGGGCGGCATGGACTGGCGTTTGGGGGGTTTACCTCATTAGTTTTTCCTCTTTTTTTTCCCCCTTTTTTTTGTCACAATTCTTCGCTGTATGATGTTTTTAATCAGGATTGGCCTACCCATATAGGGGCCTGATAGTAGGAGGGATTTAGCAAGCGGGTGGGAAACGGAAGAACACAGGGAAGGCAACTGATTCTTCAACTCGATTGGCAGAATGGATTCGTTACGGCTAGATGGTTTGCTTGCTTCGGGGTTTTGACTCGACCAACGGCGCATACCAGAAAGTCGTATTCAGGGTTCATTGCTCGTTTTGCTCTCGTAGCTTCTATTACTTAGTTAAAGCTTTTGTTTGCTGTTCCTGGCTTAAGGGACGCATGGGATGGTTCGTTTGCTGCTAACTGGTCTGGTCTCTGGATCTACTCGAATGGAATGAGAGATACCATTCATTCATGGATTTTGTAGCTCGCGGATGTGTGTGTTTTCTGCCCTATACTGCCGACAACCAAGGCTGTGTGGTACTGGGCCCGGGTTGAGGTGATGTTCCAACTCCTGATATTGCCTAATCGCATATACTGGATATATGCATAAGTTGGTTCATCCCATCTCTTGGCGTGCCGTTGACCCTGACCCTGGCCTTCAATCAACGTCATACGCAGCGGAGACGAAGACCAGCCAACAAACGTCGTTCACCTCCCGCCAGTCTGCTCGCTGAACCTGTCTCCTGAGCAGAGCCCGACTCTTTACAGCGTAGGTTTTGCAAATCAAACCGACACTGTAGGGTTGAATCAGAACACATTGCTGAGCTCTTCCCACATAAAGCTCCTCGAATAGACCGCCCCCCCCCCTCGGCCCTCGACCGTCGTCCTGCGAGCGAGCTTGACGTCTAGCTCGAGCTTTCCAGTTTCCTCTGCTACCGCCTGCATAACGGCAGCCTACGATCCTCTATTCCAGACCTCTGGCTGTTCGCGACCGAAAAGACCGCCTATCACACACACAAGGCCGGCCGTCTTTAGAAGCTCAGCGTTTCCTCTTAGCCGGATCAACCATTGCCACATTTCTCACCCGACCCCTGCGATTTTAACCTCATCCTTCCTATCAACTGCCAAATACTCTCATAATCCCACTGAACAGGCAAAAATAAAAAGGCAACGATGTCCACCTTCGACCCCGTCATGCCCCCTTACAACTCCTCCGACCCCTCTGCCCGCTTCCTCTCCGCTTCCTGTCTCGATTTCCTCCTCATCGAGCTCGTCCCCATGGCGTATCGCGTCACAAACGACTTGGAACAAGCCGCGCGCGAGAAGGAGCTCTCCTCTTCCTCCAACACGTCTTCTAATCCCACACCAATCCCCGGCAATGGGGTAGAGGGGGAGGTGAAGAATGGGGGTTGGAGAATAGAGCGTGACTTCCACGCCCTGGAAAACGAGCCCGGTGCTCCCGGGAGCGTAATGGACGAGGAAGAAGAGAGGGAGGCAGTCTTTTGGCGGCTGGAGAGGATTGGGTATAGGGTTGGGCAGGGGCTGGTGGAGCGATTTTCGAAGGACAGGCCACGGTTTAATGACACGCTGGATGTGATTAAGTTCTTGTGTAAGGATCTGTGGACGCTGGTGTTCAGGAAGCAGGTGGATAATTTGAAGACGAATCATCGGGTAGGTTCTTTATCTCCGGGACGGGGAACAGGAGTGATTGCTAATGAGGGAATGGCATTACAGGGAGTGTATGTCCTGACGGATAACTCCTTCCGGCCGTTTGCCAGGATGAGCGCCGAGGTGAGCAGTCAGGCGGTTATGAGGGCTCAGCCGGTATGTTATTCCTTCGTCCTTTCTACTCACATTCTCATATCCCTCACACAAACTGCTATAGTTCCTCTGGTTCCCCTGCGGCATCGTACGCGGCGCGCTGGCGGCAATGGGCATCACAGCGACAGTGCAGGCTGAGACGAACGAGCTACCTACAGCCGTGTTCCAGATCAAGATCGTGCCGCCTAAGACATAAATCCTTTCCCCTCCTTCTTCTTTTTCTTTTTCTTCTTCTCCTCCTTCTTCACTCTCGGGCTAAGTAATATCAAGCTCCGTCTTTCACCCAGCCATGATCTCGTAGTGGTTAGGGTGGGAAAAAAAAAAAAGAGTGAAGAGCTCGGTTATGGAGAGAGTAAACCGAAAGAAAAAGAAAAGACAAGAAAAGTCAAGCCCCGCCCGACCAATTTGCCCCCAACCTAATACCCGTCATCCTAAGAGAGGGAGGCTCTCTTGTGAATCATCCCTGTGAGCTCTCTGTTTTTGAGGGTACACAGGCTCTTAGCACGTTTTGCGGCCGGGGGGTTGTCCTCAAACTCAACGTTGTCTGCACAAGATGGGCACGGAAGCGTCTGCTTATGTCCTACGGTTGGGAATGTTTCTCCTTGCCTTCTAGAACAAACATAGGTACATGAACACATCCGGGCTACACGCAGACGTCGGGGGCTAAACTTGGGAAGATGCATACATGTCCATGATGATAGAACCATTATAAGGAATTGTGAGGGGTAAAGGGTTATTATTACGGGACACAAAGCCAGTAGGCTCGGCGTGATAGATGGCAGCCGTGTTAACGGACAACCAAGGTAGAATCTAATATGCATAATGACCTCACCTACATGTGGATACACTCCAAACCTCCGAACTAACGTACCTCGATCATGCATGCATCCCGGACCTTTCCAGCCGGCTAGATGGAGCACCACCGCCCCAATCCCATCCCCCCAATGTACCTGACCATCACCAAAACCACACCATACAAGGACACCTGCGGAACTTCACACACATTTCAACGTAATTCTATTAAAAAGTATCTACCCCATCCATCCCAATCAATCAAGCAAATTCCATAACCTCATCGTCATGCGAATAGAGCCATCAAGGGTAGGGCACGTATCCGCTTAAAGCTATCTAACGAACGTCTCTTGGCTCAAGTGATTACCATGCGTCGCCGGCAGAACCCGAAGGATTGCCGACCCAGGCATTGAATTATGCAGCCCGGACCGCATCGGTGATGGAGAAAGCCCCAATCCGGAGCTGAAATCTTAGCTGGGAAATGGGGAACCTTGATGGTCGAGGTAACCAGTTATCTGGCTAGATCCATTCATTCAATGGGACCAGGCGACGGTTCCCTAGACCGACACAGTTCTCGACCACTCATTCATCCTCCTTTACAACCTAGATCCAAAAGGAGAAAACCAAATCAGCCTCTAATCCCCCGAAAAAACGCTGGGAAAACTAGGACAAAAAAGAAACGTGCGGAAAGTTTGTTTATTTTTTTTTGCTCTACCGGCTGCGGTGGCAAACGGGGACTACGACTGCCCTTCCAGCAAGACCATCCCTCTAGCCGAGCCGAACCAAGCCAAGACAAGCACGCCTGCCATGTAACGACACAAGGCAAAAAGAAAACGAAAAAGAAAAGGGGAAAGGGGTGAAATATTTACTTCTGAGGGGGGCTGTGGACGAAGTCAACGCCCTTCTGAATGTTGCCCTTCAGACCCTTGATAGCAGTTTCGAGCAGCGCCTTCTCCTTGTCGGTGAGGTCACCCAGGATGTCGATGGCCTTCTCAGCACCGTTGGGCTGAGATGTGTTAGCGAGTGCCTATGCTATGTGAAGTTCCAAAGGGACGTACGCCAAGCTCAATGGGAACAGAGAAGAACTCAACGCCGGTCTTCTTAGCAATCTCCTCGCCGCCCGGAATGCCAGGCAGGTAGACGTAGCTGGGCTCAACAAGGCCCTTGGCGCCCTTGGCGGCCTTGAGAAGCTTCTCGGCAAAGCTGGGAACTGTCAGCAGAGCTACGACCAACCAAACCGTTTTTTTTTTAAGTAGACCTACCGGTAGCCAGCATAGGCCATGGACAGAGTAGCGGAGCCAGCGCCGTCCTTAGCCTTGACGACCTCATCACCACCGAACTGGACGCGGTTGACGAGAGCATCGTACTTGTCATCAGGAATGGTGACGGCCGGAGTGACCTTGCTGAAGAGAGGAACAATGGTCTCGCCGGAGTGGCCACCGACGACGGGGACGGTGAGCTCCTGAGGGTTGCTCTTGCCAACAATCTCAGCGACGAAGGTCTCGGCGCGGACAATGTCGAGGGTGGTGACACCGAAGAGACGGCGAGGGTCGAAGACTCCCTTGCCCTTCAGAACCTCGGCCGAGATGGGGACAGTCGAGTTGACGGGGTTGGAAATGACCAGGATGAAGGCCTTGGGGGCGACCTCAGCAGCGACCTCGATCAGGCCCTTGACGATGCCGGCGTTGATGTTGAACAGGTCGTCACGGGTCATGCCAGGCTTGCCTAGAAACTGTCAGCTTTGCGACTTCACCTGTAGAGAGGGCAGGACCACATACGGGGAACGCCGGCGGGGATGATGATGATGTCGGCATCCTTGAAGGCAGCCTTGGCGCCCTCGTTGGGGGGCAGGAAGCCGCTCACTTTCTGCAATGTGTCAGCCTATCAGACTTTTTCAATTTCAGCCAACTCAACACAATCTGCCGCTTACCGCGTTGGACGAGATGTGAGACAGATCGGCCGCGACACCGGGGGTGTTGACGACATCGTAGAGAGAGAGCTCGTCAACGAGGGGCGAGAGCTTCAGGAGCAGAGAGAGGGGCTGTCAAAGTCCGTTAGCCACTATTATCAAAGCGCTGATATTGTCCCTCTGAAGAGACCTACCTGGCCAATGCCACCAGCAGCACCAGCAACGACTGTCGCAAAGTTAGGTCCGCTTTTTTTCTAAAATCGCGCAGGGCTCGTGACACGGGATCCTTTGGCGTTGCTTACCGGCCTTGACCATTTTGCTTAAATGGTGAGATGAACGGTCGAACTTGGAAGGAGGGGTAGTCTGAATGCGCGGGGTAGCCTCGAGTTAGCGATGAGCTCAGAGCAAAGACCCAATTGGTGAGAACAATGGTAGAAAACACGGCGGAGAGAGAGCTACCTGGAGGCGAAAGTGGCAGAAACCAGCACAATGGCACGCAAGTGATGAAATGCCTGTTGTTGGGGGGAAGATATGAAATGAGGTGCTCGCAAGCCGAGAGCAGCTTGGCAGCTTAAGTACAGTTTGGCGGGGTCATGCATCGTGGGGTCCTTCTGGCCCCCCTGCCAGCCTGTCTGGGCCGTTGTTTTGCCTGTCTGTCGCCAGAAGTGACGAACCAAGAGGGGGCGCCCAGTGGCCCTCCAGCGGCACCTCAGGGAAAGCTCCGCCCCGCATTGCTTCCGCCCGCGTTGCAGCGGTTCCAGGGACAACCGGCTCAATTACATAACAAACGAGCCATGACAGCGTTTTGGAGGTGAAAAACGGCGGGTAGCCGCCCCGGTTGCCGGTTTTCTTAGCCTAACTTCATGCGAGCGATACTGCGTCCGAGAATTGGGTCCTCTAAGAACGTTTTCTACGATTTTTGGGCGCCATCATCGACCCCTTCGCCGCCCTTCCCCTCAGCCCCCTTAGCCATACCCGAGAAATGCCCCATGTTTCCGCGTCAAACATGTGCAATCCGAGGCCCGGTTCCTCGGCCTGGCAAATCGGGCAAGATCGGGACTCCGCCATGTTTCTACATCCGACGCAGCCCGCCGGGCACCGCTAGTAGCCACTTTGACTGGAGCGCTGACTGACCGCTGGACAATTCGATGGCATTCCAACACAAATTGGTTTTTTCCCGCAAATCCAAATGTCATCACACACACCATAAAGCACACAAAAGTCCACGAGCGCGCAGCAAAGACTTGGCACGAAGAGCGTTGCACACGCCCCCCCCTGATTAGGGTATGTATATGTATTCTGCCGCAGTTCCATCCCCTGGCCCTGGCCTGCACAATGACCCGCTTTTGATGATGGAGTGATGATTGGATGTCCGTCCTTGTTTTGGAAAACCGGTATCAAACGCCGTGGCCCATCCCGAATGCAAAAGCAATGCTGACACAAACCCGTTCCTGTCCTTATCGCCCTGCATTCTGTCGTCTGTTCTGCGCCGTCTGGCAGGGGACTGCGGTCTCGATACAGGGATACATATTCAGGCTTCCCCAACCCCTTCTCCGCGTCGCTCACCCCTTACTGCTTGCCAGCAGCAGCGGCACGGCGGGCAGCCGCACCACGGAGCTTCTTAGGGGGCTCGGGCTTGACGGGCCTTTGAGAGCGGAGGATGGCGCTGGCGCGGGCAACAGCAGCCTGGCGGAGGTCGGCGCGGTAGCCGTGCTTAGCAGCCTGGCTGGCGATAGCCTTGTAGGCCCTGTTGAGAGTCAATATGTCAGCACCCCGTGCTGTCCTTTCCTGACCAGTGTCGAAAAAAAAAAAGAGGAAGGGGGAGGGGGTTTCTCCCATACTTGCGAGCAGTCGACTTGTAGGTGACAGTGTAGAGGCTGGAGGCAGGCTTGTTGGCAGCCTTAACCTTCTTGGCGATCACCTTGACGCCCTTCTCAGCAGGAACGATGCCGAGGGCCTGTATACATTTGTCTTGTTAACTCCCAATTCCTGCCTCGTGGGGGCCGCTCGGATCGGATCTGTCCGTGGTTGTATCATCGTACCTTGTCGTTGACGAAGCCAGCATGCTGTTCCCCAGAGTTAGCATAGCCCGAAAACTCCCAAGTCTAAACTTTTCCTCCGTACCTTGCGCGAGTGCTGGTTGGTCAGGTTGAGGGCATCGCGGGAGAAGGTGCCGGTCCGCTGCTTCACGAGGAAGCTGTTGTAGTTGCCTGTAGATCAGGAATAATCCGTCAGAACCCGGCCAAATCTCGCATTATCGCATTCTGAGCCGGATAGTACATACGGGACACCTCCCAGATGAGATCAGCGGAAACGTTGGACATTTTTGACGGCGTAGACGTTGGGCAACGAGGCGTTCTCAGGGTCGAAGTCGGCTGCAGATTTTCGTGATCTTGAATTTCAGATCCTCACCTTGAATTTTGGCGACCCCAGGGCCCTGCTGTGGGCTCGCGTAATCTGCTTCTTTGGGGTTAGCGCCACACCCCATCAAACAAAACATCGCTGACTAAGCATAATACGTACCCCTTGCCCTTGGGGCCTTGGCAGACTTGGCTCGTGCACAGCCTGGTGGGGTCAGTGAGCTCCGACTTTCGTCATGTGGTTTGCAGGGCCGGGCGACGATCACTCGCTGAACTTTGAGGCCTGGGAGCTGTCGCTTCAAGTCTCACCTCAGCTTTTGTCTCCTTGAAATCCATGGTCCCGCGACAACCATCGGGGCTTCTTGTTTAGAGCCCAAGGAATGCTCTCCAACGCTGCATAACAACTCTCCTTCGTTCGCTTGATTTTCTTTCTTTTCCATCTCTGTTTTCTTCCGCTTCGGGTTTTTTTTTTCGCCTTCTCGAGCATCTGATCTGCGACGCTTCCGAGGCCTCCGAGTTGCCTTGATATTGCCCCCGAACCACCCACATCTTTGTCTGCGCCCGACAGCCTCGTGATTCACGTCGTCAACTTCAGTAACCCTTACTTCAAGATACTTCTCTGAAAGCTTTTCTACCCACGCGCCGATATCCTTTAAGCTCCTTAAACAAATCATTCGTCACCGAAACCAACGAGCAAGATGTACCTCCTCTACGCGCTAATCGCAACAACCCTCCTCTCGGGCACAGCTCTCTTCCTGACCCGCTCGTACTGGCTGCCATCCGTCCAGAACCTCTTCAGCTACCTGCCCTTTGGCACCGATTACTTCTACACCAACCTGCCCAACTCGTTCGAGGGCGATATCGAGTCTGGTCTGTCGTCAGCCAATTTCGACCTGGCAGGCAATGTGGCAGACGGCGATGGGCGCGCTGGCCTCGACGACAAGGCAAAGCGCGAGATCCTCAGGATCATGAAGCGGCGCCGGCTTAACTTTGATGAGGCGCGCAGGGTGTACATGGAGCAGCGGTTTGCGGCTGCTGGAATTGGTGCCGACGGCAGGCCGAGGGATCCTAAGTTCGTCAGCTTTTCATGAAGGAAAGGCTTTCATAGAGGGGATGGGGAAGTGTTTAAATCAAAGGAAGGGAATTTGTGTTCTCATGCTTGGCCTTTTGTCTGTTTTTTGTTTGTTTGTTTGTTTGTTTGTTTGAAGGTGTGTTGGTTGGGCTGATCTGGTCTGCTGTCCTGTCCTTCCACTCTTTTGGAACATTGCTCTTTCCTATGTACATAGCGCTGTCGTGGTTTTCTTTTCCTTTTGCGTCACTCTCATTTATTTGGGGCTGTGGCAAGGCGTTCAGGGGAAGTTACTGAGGTTTGAGTCGGAGTATGGACGCTGGTGAAAGGCCCATGCTTGTGAGTCCCTGAGTGATTCTGGCACATCTCACAGGTCTCAAAGTTATACCCCAACTATGATGCCAGACAAGTTGTGATTTTATTGTCTCATTTTGTTGCCGATAAACCCTCGATTGAGTACGAGGTTCCGGCAAGCTTTCAAAAGAGAGGCAACTTACATCAACGTAGCCGCTGTCTCATACAAGACCGCACGCTTAGCACATTGTCCAATGCCCCCTCTTCGACATATTTGTCATCCAGCTAGAATCCAATGACCTTGCCGAACTGACGATGTCAGGGTACTTTGATGCTGTCAGACCCCTCATCATGTACTGCTTAAGAGGCTGGACTCGCCGATGTCTGCATTCAACCATGCCTCATCCCATAAGGGTTCGGTATTAATTGATGTCTCGGCTCTTGTCCAAGTTGCCCTTTGTGCTTCAGGTCCTCTCGTCCACTGTTGGGACCATATCTAGGGACGAAATGATCTCCGCGGCAACAAGCTGAACTAGTCATTATCTTCAGCGTCACTTCATACCCAAACCTGAATCAATCTCACATAACAAGCCCGGTCTCACTCAACCCCTTCGATCCGAAGAATAAGACGTAGAAATTCACCCCGCCCCTCTGCAGACATTTCACCCGCGGCCGGTCCGACGCCCAATGAGGAAAAACACAGCCAGGCTCAGGACGGCCACGGCGCCGGCGACGGCAGTGGCCATGACCAACGCGAACTTCCAGACCACCGACTCTTCGCCGGGCGGCTTGGTCGGGGGTTCGCGCGGGATTCGCATGGGCATATCCGGCGTGTCCCAGTCCGCCATGGTCATGTAGGAGTAGCCGCGGACGTAGTCTTCCCGTAGGCTACTTCTCTCCTCGTTGGGCACCGTCCGCTGGGTGTCCGGGAAGTGCCAGTAGCCGATGGCTGGCGGGGAAAGGCATGATGAATATGTTTATATATATATATATATATATATATATATATATATGTACTTTTTTAGGAAAAAGAAAGAAAGTAGAGGATGCTCTCGGAGTTGGGAAAGAAGAAATCTGGGCCGGAATGGGCTAAATGAAATTATTTTTTCGCATAAGTCACGTCCCAAGTTGCAATCACGATTTTCACATGTTGTTGTCATGGGTGATCTACAGTTCACAGGACGCATATTTGGCTGTCAGGATGGATTTCATGTCCAAAGGTCTGAGAGCTACCTATCTTGCAATGTTTCGATCTGTGCTGTCATTCCTGCTGGTGTATGAAGCAGTGTCTTGTTGTCGTAGGATGGATAGCTCCCAGGGGAAATCTTCATGACAGTAACGTTAGCTGAGGTTACTGTGTCTTTGAACGACACTACGTCAGGGATGAAATCAGCGTTATGTATACTCACTTCTTGCAGTGATCGCTGCCGTAGCTTTGAATAGTCAGTACGCAAGTTTTAAAAACGGCCCTGCAAAATCAGCGTCATTATCTTGAGATTAGGACAAGACGCGTTTATTGTCAACCAGCTGATCCGAGTTACGTTCTTCGTTGATGTGTAGGTACATGTGGATGCGTGTTTTGGGAGTATGCTGATCAGATGAAAACTAGAGGTCAGCAGAAAACTGAAGTATCCTCACGTCTCTGTTCAGACAAAATCGCCCACTGATTGACGTTTACATGCTAAGGAGACGGAATGCTCTAATTAGGCCGTGGTCTCTGTGAACCATGAGGCTCGGCCTGGCAAGAGACTCCAGCTCCCATAAACAAGCAGGTTCCAATGATAAGGCTTGGGCATCAGACTCAGATAGACACACATGAGATCCAACACTGAGCATGCTGACAAAGCTCAAATACTCAGTAACATAAAAGAATTCTGGATCCAAACAATGTCGAGGATTTGATGTCGTGGAATCCTGGCAGCTAAAGCACGTGAGCGACACCACTTCACTCCAAAGCGCCTCACTGCTTACAACACTACGTTATGAAGTCTGTATCTCTGTTCGGCCAGCGGCTGCTTAAACTGAACTTGTTCCACTGGCACTACACATACACACACAATAATCCCATAGGGTTTAACTGTAATGAGTAATGGCTAGGTTTAGTTGAGACACGTATGGTAGCCCAAGTGTCGCAAGTGCGAAAACACATCGTTTGATGTCTCCTGAAAACTCATCGTAGGGATAAATTGAGACGACAAGATAGAGTATAGAAACACATGTATCTCGCGTCAAGCGTGAGAATTGAGATGCCCCTCAGGGTGATGTGCTTTTTTTTTCTTTTCCTTTTTTTTTTCACAACATGATCACAGTGTCTCTTGTAGAACACTTAGTTGATTACTCCGGTAAAGACTTTTGGTTAGTTTGACCGACCACGTCGTCAAGGTGCTCATCAAAAGAAAGGGTCTATATAGTCTTACATACTTGACTTCTTTGCAAATCTCACCGGCATTGGGCTAGCAATCTCTGAAGGGCAAAACACTTCGTGGATCTGACTACCCCCTGAGCCTCAGCCATCCCGCCACTTGAGCAAAACACTCAGTTGGTAAAATTTCTCTGCCCTCCGTTCACATTGCGACTTGTACGCGCAGCTGAAATAGGTACTGTAAATACCTTTTTTACAAATAAGTGAATTGTCAAGCCGTGTCTTTTTTAGCACGCGGTGTTGACAGTAGGGGGTTAATTAGGTAAGCAAGCGAACATATACCGTCTCTCCGGTGACGCACAGTCCTATCACGGCGAGATATCGGTGAATGCCCCTGACCTTCGGCAACGTAATTCTCGGGCCGTTTGCCCCGCTTGCCGACTCGGCTCCAAGTTGTTGGTGGGCTTCGGCTAGGCAAAGAGTTAGACTGAGGGCCTGGCCCAGCGACGACGGGCCCGCAGCCAGCAACTCAAGTCCTCCCCCCCACCCATTTTCAAGATTGATCGATCGTATCTTGCAGAGAGGCGACGAGAATTGAGGATATTGAGGATTGCTAATCACGCTGGAAAATAAAATGTATTTTTATTGATGTACTATCATTTTAATTTTCATTAGGTCTTGAATATTCAGGTAAATCTGCAGAATATATAGTAGGGTCAGTGGACTGACGTGTTCCATATCTGCCTTACCGAAGAAGACTAGAGTTTGTTGAACTTATGGCTTTTTCGATGAAATGTTTGATAATCTTTGCTTTGGGGCAATGCGCTGCCTTGGAGAAAGTCCTGAGTCCGCTCCAACGAAACGAGACCGACGACCTCCGGAACACGCTTGGCGTAAAACGAGTCTCTCGGGATAGAACTGGGCAAGCCATTACACAAGCCGACAGATAACTCTCACACATGATAAGGCGAGAGGCCAATTAAGCGGTGTGCTCGTGGTAACCTGTTTGGACAGTCTCTCAGAAAGGGAATTCCGTGGTGAGCAGACTGAAAAGGACAGAGCCTCAACGATTACACACTTGATTCTACATGGTCGCCAGCTGCTTAGAACGCTTCTAGACCAAGCTTAAAAACCGTCAAAAAACTCATATGCACTGTAAGTGTTGTGCAACAGCTGGCTAACAGGAACCTTACTGCCAGCATCATCATCATCATCATCATCATCAGCAGCAGCAGCAGCAGCAGCAGCAACACACAGTAAGTAGCAAACCTCCATGAGGCTGCCCGCTCCAGATATTGACCGGATTGGCTGAATGCTCTGGCCCTGTCCCTTCCACGCCACGTATGCATACCACACCAAGATAACTCGTAGCTGATATATCTTCATGTGTGTTGCCGGCTGACTGAGCCCCCTGCCAGCGGGGAATTCATGCCCGAGCCCGCGACAAGCATGTGCAACCTAGCTAAATGTATCTATCTTTTTTTTTTCCTGCCATGGAACGTCCAAGCCGCGTGAAAGGGGGGGGGGTAACCGCGGGTACGAACATGGTAGGCCTGATTGCCATCACTCAGAGCAATCTGTACACTGCGTCGACGACGAGCGTATCCAGTGGGCGTGCCGCGCCATCCTGTCAAGGTCGCACAGAGCTCACGACTCAGCAGTACGACGGCGGCAGAGTTCCTGCTACGCACCGTCTCATTTCGCTCACACCAATGCTTACCCAACTCCTTCTCATGTACCTTTCTCGGTGTAAGTGCCGGTACAGAAACCCACACAACGCACGATCAGCTCCGGTCCCACCCGCCATTGGTGTGTCGCTGGTGGGTGTGCACCTCGCAATACATCGTCGTCATCCCACAGCTGGATGGGTACCCGAGCAGGGTTAAGGTGTCGGTGTCCTCTTGCTCCGGTATGCACGTAACGAAGCGTTGTCACTTAGCAAACTTCGCTGACGGAGTAACCCCCTTTCCCCACACACACTCCTCTGATTTGTCTCCGCCTCCTTAACATAATTCAAGTCGAGACTTGTGATGGCGTCACCCGGGGCGTGTGTAGCTGGTGTGGCTGCTGAGCCTTGTCTCTGCAGGCGCTGGCTAGCTCGGAGCCAATTGGGGGTGTCTGGAGGAGGAGCGGTGGACGCAGCGCGTTTGGCCGCCGGTCGACGGATGAGCCCTTAGGTGGTGTGTGGGCAGTGGACGATCGCGGGGGGAGACGAAAACGGGCTGGCTCGGTTTGCCGAGGCCGCACAACCGAGCTAGCCAGGTCGAGGCTAAGCGGACAGTGGTTGTGGATATTACACCCCGAGGTGTGAGAAACGGACCGGATAATTCTGTGTTCCATTCCGCTTAGAACTCCGGTTCGTAGCATCTTTCTTTCTGGCAGCATAGGCATATGAGAAGAAAACCGGTGTCGCGAGACAAAGCGGGAGGCAATTTTCATGGGTTAGGGGATGCAAGCCAAGATCAGCCCGGCCTCTCGTGCCACGGATCGTTCCATGGTACAAGCTACATCGGAGGGTACTCGGCGTAGATGTACCGAGAAAAGCTCGCTCGGGATGGGAGGATAACAGATGGGACGAATTCGATGGATTGTTTTTGACGATCTCGTCAGGATTAGCGAATGGACCGTTATCAGCAGCGTTTCTGTTCAACGTGCGGCCTGTGAAAAGGGAGGGAAAAAAAAAGCAAAAGAGGCATTTCATTTTTCTGAGGCGATGGTAACCCGCAAATGTCTCTTGTCGTTTGGAAACTTTTTCTCTGGCAGTCTCCCGGGAAACAAAACGTGAGCGGTTTTGGCGTTGCTACGGGTCCTCAGAGCACATCTGGGATGCTGCGCCATCTGCTGCACACGCCCTTCTCGGCTCCACTCCCCTCCCCTGGCCAAAGAGTGGACCTCTCCCTGGCCCCTGTCCGCTTCCTCCCCCCACTTCCTCCCTGGTCCACAGACAATGTACAAGCTCACCCCCCCCCCAAGCCCCGACACGCCCCTTCCACTTTCCAGAACGGCCACGCTGAGACAGCCTGGTGAAGCACGGACCGGGACCTGCTTAGGCCCACAGAGACCCATTAGGGTCCACTTTCGTGCAGATGCCTGAGCTTCTTTGCCCCAGCGCCGCATTCACTGCAACCCTGAGCCCTGCTCTGGCTCTCACAAGATGAAAGCTCCGTTCGCTGTGACTTGATGCTGGGCGGATGCTGGGGTGGCGCCCGCCGCGTGCACATCCGGCCAATGTACCTTTTTTTTTTTCAGCGTAACGATCCATTGGGGTTGAGTCTTGGCCAGTAAGAAGGCCGCTGTTTTTCTGGTGGCAGCGGCAGCGGCAGCAACAGAAGCAGCAGCAGCACACTGGCGGCACTGCAGCGCTGCGACAGCACCTTGCCCGTGGGGCTCCAGGTCAAGGGCGCTCTCAGATTGGGTTGCCTTCCATGCCTTGCAGTGCAGGCCTTGCAGCCCTCGCAAGTTGCAACACAAGAGGAAGGCCTGGGCTGTGTGGCCTTCCTGCCCTGCCTGCCCTGGCACATTGGACGTCCCCATCCCCAACTTTTGACTTCCACTTTTGATCCAGCCGCCCCCCTCCACTCTTCCACTCTGGCCTTCTGGCACCGCACCTGGCACCTGGCAACTGGCAGTCCTGGGACCCCCTTCCCTTTTCCATTCTTCCATCTGCACCACGCTCCCGTGGACTCGCCTGGCACCTGCCCTGTTTCCTTCTATTCCCCTTCCGTCCCGAGCCTGCCTTTCCTCTTCCTTTCCACCTTGCCAACTTCCATCGCAACACCAACAACCCACCGCCCTGCGATCGCGAAGCATCCCTCGCAAACAGCGCACGGCTCCCGCGGCGCTGTTGTCATCGCTATCAGGGCGTCGTGCACCAGGCTCGCCAAGACTTTTTCGTTCCCTCTTCCCAATTTTTCTGCACACGCGCGGGGAGACCGCATCAAACTGCAGACCATCGTCGGGCTACGGTGTCGACGTGAAAAACAAAATAAAGAAAAAAAAAATTCACATCGCCATCGCGATCTCGTCCCGTCGCATCAAGCAAGCGCCCCGTAGCTCCATCGTATCCCCCCATCGACATTTTATCTTTGAAGCAGCCCTCTTCCGCGTTCCGCGTCGTGCTCTGTTCGAAATTGCAAACAGTGGGAGGACATCCCCCCCCCCTTCCAGGCTTCTGACCGGACACAATGTCGATGTATCCAGCCCATCGTGGCATGGGGGCCGTTCCCCCGGCCAACGGCGGCGTCGCAGCTCGTCTAAATGAGCTGCTCGACCAGATTCGCGCCGAGTTCGACCAGCACCTCCGCCAGACCGAGGGGTTTGAACATCAAAGTAAGCACAGCTTCGCTTTTCGCTCTTCGCGGCGCGCATCGCGCATCGCGCATTGCTCCCACCGCCTCGCATCCCACGCGTGCGGCTCAAATGCCTCGCGTACTTCCTCCATGGGCGGGTAGCTGGGTCTTGGCATCGCGTGGCCGGCTGCGATGGCGTCCATCACGGTGAATCGGTGCTAACAGAGTCGATGTAAACAGTCCAGGCTCAGGTCCAGGAGATGCAGATGATCCGCGATAAGGTCTACCAGATGGAGCAGGCCCAGATCGCCATGAAGCAAAAGTAAGTCATGGCCATGGCGTTGTTTTTATTTTTTTGTCTTGTTCGAGGCCCAGATTGCTGACCAATGTCCCCCTTTCACCAGGTACGAGGAGGAGATCGCCATGTTGCGCCGCCAACTGGAGAGCCGTGGCGGTCCTCCGGGCCCCATGAACCCCCCTCAGCACGTCGGTCCCCCGCAGCCCCCTCCGCCGCAAATTGGTAATCCGGGCAACAACGGCGTCATTGGCGCCATTCTCTCGGGCCAGGTTGGCCAGGGCGGCCTTGCCCCTCCTCCGCACCCGGAGCAGCAGCAACAGCAACCCCCTCACATGCCTCCTGCTCCCCCGGGCATGCAGGGCCCTCCTCCCCCGCCTCCTCCGCCGTCTCAGCAGCCTCAGTTCCAGGGCCAGTATCCTCCGGGACCTCAGCCGGGCGGCTTCCCCTCCCAGCCCCCGCAGAGCACCGCGTCTCCGGGCCCTGGCAACAAGCGTGCCATCGGTCGCCCCCCTGCCGGCCCTGCGACCCCGCAAATCAACACCCCGGTCCCGTACAATGGCCCCGGCCAGTCCCCGCAGGTCCACACTCACCCGACTCCTGACCACAGCCGGGCTTTGGTTCAGCAGCACCCTCCTCAGCAGCACGGCCCGCCGCCGCCGCCGCCGCCGCCGCCTCCTGCTAGCAACAACCTGAGCGAGCTTGACCCCGATCGTCTTCCTAACCACATAAAGAAGGTTCGGGATGACTGGTGGGTCATCTTTAACCAGGCCGTTCCCCGCGTGCTCGATGTCGAGCTGGTGCACACCCTTCAGCACGAGAGTGTTGTCTGCTGTGTGCGCTTTAGCCATGATGGCAAGTACGTTGCGACTGGCTGCAACCGGTCGGCTCAGATCTACGATGTGGCCACCGGTGAGAAGGTTTGTGTACTCCAAGACGACAGCATCGAGAACAACGGCGACCTGTACATCAGGAGCGTCTGCTTCAGTCCTGATGGAAAGTACCTTGCTACTGGTGCCGAGGATAAGCTCATCAGGGTGAGTTTTAGTTCTGTTTATGTTTTTTTTTGTTTTTTAATAAAGAAAAAAGTTGGTAGTGAACTCTTCACTGACGTATGGCAGGTGTGGGATATCCAAACCCGGACTATCCGGAACACTTTTGAGGGTCACGACCAGGACATCTACTCGCTTGACTTTGCTCGCGACGGCCGTACCATCGCGTCTGGTAGCGGCGACCGGACCGTGAGACTGTGGGATATCGAGACCGGCATGAACACCCTAACGCTTACGATAGAGGACGGCGTTACTACCGTCGCCATCTCGCCCGACACCAAGTACGTCGCTGCTGGATCGCTCGATAAGAGCGTCCGGGTCTGGGATATCAAGATGGGCTATCTGCTCGAGCGTCTTGAGGGTCCGGACGGCCACAAGGACAGCGTCTACAGCGTCGCATTCTCGCCCAATGCCCGCGAGCTTGTCAGCGGCAGTCTCGACAAGACGATCAAGATGTGGGAGCTCACTGCTCCCCGCAGCGTCAACCAGCAGGGTCCCCTCAAGGGCGGTCGTTGCATCAAGACGTTTGAGGGTCATAGGGTGCGTTCCACAGTTGCCAGTTTGTCATTCGAAAAAAACAGATTAAGCCTAACCTACTGTTTCACAGGATTTCGTCCTCTCCGTCGCGCTCACCCCCGACGCTGAGTGGGTTCTTTCCGGCTCTAAGGACCGCGGCGTCCAGTTCTGGGACCCGCGCACCGGCCATACTCAGCTTATGTTGCAGGGCCACAAGAACTCGGTCATCTCGGTCGCGCCCTCGCCTGTCGTCAGCCCCACCGGCGGTTACTTCGCTACCGGCTCCGGCGACATGCGCGCCCGCATCTGGAGCTACACCCGCCTGGATAGGAGGCAGTAAGCGGGTGCCGATGGATGTGAATTTGGCATGCGCATAGATGGCTGGATGGTAGGGACTGGAGTTGGGATATGGGAATGGGTAACGGTATGGCGTTGGGGTGAGTGTTGTGAAATGTGGCTAGTAAGGGGGGAGGAAGATTGAGCGGAAGGAGAAAGAAAGCTTGTCCGAATGTGAAGAGATGCGGCGGAAGAGAGAAGAGAGGAAAGAAGGTCCGGACCCGGGCAGATGGTCATACATGTCATGTGTCGGATATGATATGTGCACGCTCTGCTGGCTAGGATCTCTTTTTTTAATGTCTCGAGAGCTCTCTCCTGTTGTGAGTGTCCTGTGTGAATGCTCTGGATTTTTTTTTACTACTCTGTTAAGGTTTGAAATGGTTGATTTGCTAATTTTTTTTGTGTTTCTTTATCTCTTTGCTGTTTTCCTAAGTCTTGTGCTGATGGTTTGCGAAAGACAAACAATTAACTCCTTTGGGTGTAGGGCTGGAATGGAAGGAGGTGTATGGGTGGGCTGGATGGATGGATTGATTGAACTTTTTATTAACTGCTCGCTCTCTCTCTCTCTGACTGCTGCTGCACTCTACAATACCTACCTAACCTACCTAAAGAAGATATTACTACTACCTGCTTGACTACTTTGTGCAATGTTTATGTGGTTATGTGATGCTGGGGTCTGTCTGCGTGGGCAGGAAAAAAGGATGTCTTGGGAAGCACGATGTTTTTACTATGTGGTTTTAGGTTACTTATTCCTTAATATCAAGACATGGCTGCAAGCAATTCTAAATGGTCACTAGAAATAGAGGAGAGCTTGTTCTTAACAGGGGCTCGGCTCATCTTTGATCGAGGAAACAGTAGGAAAGTCACTTGTTGGCCAAGCAACACTGGTGTGGAAGTTCCCCACATCAATCCCGCAACACCAAAAACCAGATCATCAAAGTCAATTCCAAACTCCTATTCCTTCGTCGTAGTATATCAGAACGCGAATTGCTGTTGCCCAGTACATACGACCATACCCAGTGGAAAATTCGGGATCCCGTCCGCTCTCCCATAGACAAGCCACTGAGGGCGGGGTTAGTACTCAGGTCGGTGACGACTGGGGAATCCCCCGTGTTGTATGTTTTTTCGCTTTTTTTTTTGTTTCACTCATTTATTCTAGCTATATACTCCCCCCCCCCCCTTTGTAATGATGTCAGTTTGGGGTAAGTGTGCGTGTGAGTTTGTGTGTGTGTGCCTCGTCAACTTCACACTACCAAGCCTGTTGTTCTGCCTATTTGACCATTTACTTACCACTAGCTCAAGAACAAATCTCTGTTCACACAACTGAATGTCAGTATCTATGCCCAGACCAAACCTCTCCTCTCAACCAAGGCGACCAAGGTTTGACTTTCACATAGCGATTAGTAGCAAAGATTGTGAGCACTGACTACCCATTACAAAAGCCCTCCGAAAATATCGTCAAACTCGTCTTTCTTCTTTTTCTTCTTGATTTTACCCTTGTCCAGCCCTCCCAGTTTGGACGACGACTCGACATTCTTCTTTTTCTTCTTCTCCAGCCCACCAAAGATGTCATCAAACTCATCCCCTGCTCCATGTACGGTGACTAGCTTCGCTTTCTTCTTCCCAAGTCCTTCAAAGATGTTATCGAACTCATCATTACCTCCAGCATTGAGTATCGGCTTGTCCTTTTTCTTCTTTTCCAGCCCACTAGAGATACTGTCAAACTCGTCCCCAGTCCCCAGTTTGGAAAGTGGTTTCTCCTTCTTCTTCTTATTCTCTTTTCTTTCGAGCGAGCCGAAGATGGAGTCGAATTCGTCGCCTCCAGAAGCGGCTGGCTTTTCCTTTGGCTCTGGGGGATTTGCTTCGGGTTCGGCTGATGTTGTGCCTGTAGAGGGAGAGAGGAGCGGGAGGGCTTTGCGCTTATTTGGGTTGACCTTCTTTATGTCTTTCGAAGCTGTTTGTGCAGGCTTCTCGTCGGGGTCGTCTCCAGGAGCTTGGGATATCGGCTTTGATGTCGCAGACCCACCAACCTCAACAGAAGCAACCATCCTCTCGACCTCCTCTCTCGACACAACTTCACCCATATCCACACCTTGCTCCTGTCCTAACCCTTCCCACTCCATCTCAAGCTGTTCCCTCGAGACAGCTGTGCCGAGCTCATCCCCGCCTAGCACATGCCCAACCCCCTGGTTAATCAACGGTGCCGCCTCGACCGTCCCAACAGCCTGCCCTGTAGAATACTCTTCCACAGACGACGGCCCTGGCGCGAAAGGCTCCACAGCCTTGTTCACTTGCGCCAATACACCCAGCATCATCAACCCCAAATGCGCAAACTGCCTGTCCGCCGTAAGCTGTGTAAACGCCCTGTTATCATCGTCAGCAAATTAATGAATCGCAATGAGAGTTTGTTTTCTAAAACCCAAAATCTTACACAAATGCCCCCGGTCCCAACCCCCCCCTCAAATACCCCGCCCGTTTCCTCACCATCCCCATCGCCTTCCCTTCCCCCTCTTGTTCCCCTTTATCCGTGGACGACGTCCCCTTCTTCAACCTCCTCCTCTCCTCCCGTTCCCTCCTTTTCTTCTGCTGCTCCCGCTCCTCCGCTGCTTGATCCAAATCGTCGAGCATCTTGCGGACATGCCGGCGCAGCATGTCGGCTTGAGCCCACCATTTGGAGGTGCGATGCTGGTTCTTGTTGCGGTGGTGGAAGCGCTCGAGCAGGTGGAGGGCAGGGGTGAGTAGGGAGGTTGCTTGGGTGAGGGGGTCTGAAGAAGAAGAAGAGTCGTGGTTGGGGTTCGAGTTAAGGGCATGGGAAGGAAGTTTAGTTGTTGTTTGGGTTGTCATTTTGTTGATAGGGAATGAGGTGATGATGTGAAAGGTTTGGGTATGTCAAGACTGATAAGTAGAGAATCGATAAAAGTTTGTACAACGGCTGATCTCGGAATGGACAGGCCGGGTGAAATGCTACTGTTTGGTGTTCCAAGTTGATGAATTTGACATGTGTTTTGAATGAAATATTTGAAATTACTCCAAATATGTAGTGCTTAGAATGTTGTGAATGTTCAATTGATGAAAGTGAGATGCAGTTGTGAGAGTACAGGCGGAACTGGCATGAATGAAACAAACTTCAATTTGACAGGACCAGGGTTAGGGTTATAAGAGAGGAACAAGAACCTGACAAACGATTATCACCTAAGTTCCTACCAACGGATTTGTGCGAGCCCTAGAACCAACCTTTAACATCGACGTCATACCTGCACGACCCCGATACCCCTGACAGACAAACAATGGTTGTCTTCGACGGCCACACGGCAGCAAACAAGAGGAAATATTGTTCCCCGGCTGAAGGCACATCTGCTGATATGCTTGTTACGCACCGCAGTTCTTGTATGATGCGAGGGAGTATGTGGCGGAGAAGACCCAGCCTTGAACCTGACAAACGATTATCACCAGGCCAACAGACAGCAATTGATGTAAACATTAAAGCCAACTTTTACATTACCATGACTCTATCCTAACAGATTACCTAACAAACCGATGCAGTACAATACCCCTTCAATCTTCCTCCCAGTAGTGTAGCATAGCAGAATGGAACTCCGAACTCCAGCCCATAATCCTGAGTCTCAGGGAAAAAAAAAAAACAAAAATCCCGATATACCAGTAACGTATTAAACCCCCCCCCCCTTAGCAAACCCTCACACCGCAAATTTCAAACCCCCTATTCTGCACATGTGCCCTCCGCGAGAAATATCTCGTCGTCAGCTCCTTCACAAAAGCGGCATCCGCCTTACTCCACACATCCAAGCCCATGGCGCTCAGCGCATCGCCGTCCACACGTACCCAACCCCTACTGTTGCCGCTGCCCAGCAAGCGTCGCTCTTCCTCGCCAGTCTGGTCGTCGCTTGTGCCTGTGGCTGCGAGGGCGGCTGGCTCCAGCACGTCCAGATCGTCCGGATCCAGGCCCATCAGGTCGTCATCGTCGGTCGAGTCAATGATGTCTGCCAGGACGGATATAAAAGTGGTGGTGAGGCGATGGAAGTATGCTACCACAGCGAGCTCGAGATGCGCTTGCGCTTGCGCAGCTGAGTCGTCGTCGGTATGGACGCTTGTTTGCGTGAGCGAAGCGAGAGAGTCGGCCATCTGGGTTTGACCCTGGTTGTCGGGACCACTGCTGCTCGGTCTTGAACGCGGCCGCGGGCGCATGGGGCCGCCTAGGTCAGCCAACAGAGCAGCATCCTGGTGTTGCTCCTCGAGCTCCCCAGCGCGACGCCTCTCGCCGGCAGAAGCCCACCACAGGAAGCCGTTGTAGGCGATCGCGGCCCAGGTTATGGGTTCGACGATCTTATCCATCTCTTCCACGCCTGGTGGCAGGAACTCGTACGGGCGGGCGGTCTCGACGCTGGTACGGGACGGGAGGATGCCCGGGGTCTCTGGAGCCGCTTCGCCGGACTGACGCATCGCTGCTTCGATGCGCGCGAGCCCTTTGGTAAGGGACTGGAAGCGACGCAGGTCACGCTGAGTGGCCTTAACGGGTACGCCCTTCGGGCATTCCACCTGCGGCCAGATGCGCTGCCTAGCATTGACCGTATGCGGCGGGGGCATAGTAATTAGCATATCCCAGAGACCTTCCTTCATGGCGAGGATGCTGTCTGTGGTGCAAGCGATCCATCCCTGACTGCTGTCGACTTGGGCGGTATCATCCTGATTGTCTCCTTGGCTGCCTCGCTTGAGGGGAGCTCGTTGTTCTATCAGAGTTCCGATATCATGGATACCGATGGTGAACAGGGGCCGCAGACGCTCGACTGGGGCAGAAGGGTCTATTATGTCACAGACAGGCACCGGGATGTTGGCTATGACGGAGATATCATACACTATGGAACTTGGTTAGCTTGACGGTTAGTCTGTCCAGAAAGAGGCCTGTCACCTACCGAAGTTGCAAATCTCATGCACGGGGGCATGACATGAGATCAGAATGCGTTTGCGCAGCAACGCAGCACGGTGAATGGGAAAGATCAGAGGACCAAACGTATCCAGCAACTTAGTAAGGCTCAAGGCCGGATGGTATGGAGACAGCCGCTGCTCCGCAGGGATTAGGGCAGCGCCGTCCGAGGCAGACCGGTTCCTAGAGTGTCCTCTGCCCGGTGTAGAGCGGCTGGGACCAGGGACGGTCAACAGAGGAGACTCCAGGGGAGTGTCCTTCGGGGCCTCTGAAGCAGACGACTCGCGCACGCAGTGCTTCTCCCAGTACTCCTGGAGGATCTGGGTCTGTGTCTTGTCGGTAGCCAGCTTCTCTGCCATCTCCTTCAAGTTCTCGGCATGGCGCCAGGCACGCCCCAGTCGACCAAAACTGAGCGGCACCAGGACGCCAACCGCAATCATCCTGGCATGGCGAGATTCTTCTTCATCGGTAGGCTTGTTGATGAAGGCACTAAGACCGGCATGGGTACCTTCGTGGACAAAATAGATAAGGTCATTGGAAACGCTGTGCAGGCCAGATGGCAAGCTCTTGTACTCGACAGCGCCGTCAAGCGCCAGACCGGGAACAGCCTGCTTCCAGACAATAGTGTATCCAGCCTTAACGTCAAAGTCTATCAGGAACAGGGCCGAGATAGGCGGGACATCTGGGATGGAAGAGGACGAGGAGGGCTGCGGTAGGTGGACCGACAGCGAGGGCTGTCCACCACGGGATGCGGCCATGGTGACCGGCGCCGAGAACAGGTTTTTCCGAAGAATTGGTGGCCTGACAGGTAACGGGAATCCAGATAGAGGAGGGCCGATATTAAGGATCGGATCGATGTGGATGATGAGATGGATCGACGAGTCGATGACCGACTTAACCTTAGAATGCACTAGGGAGGGTTCAATTCAAGCTTGCTGGGCTGTGGTCATCGCGTATTGACAGTACGTAAGTGATTGGGCTATGCGGGAATTGGCAAAATCGAAAGACAATCAAATTGGCCTGTCAAGATCGCCCACTGACTGCTAACGAGCTCATCCAGCAAATGCACAAGTGGGATGATGGTCGGGCTGTCGACGTCAGGGTCGAGGTCGGGAAAGCTCGGTGTTGTGCATGTGCTGGCCCTGGTGCTGGGTCCGGTCGTGCGCTGGTCCCTTGTGTATGGCGCGGCCAACGCGGTTTGGGCTAGTGGTATGTAATATTCCATAATTTTACATTACATAATAAACCACGTCTGATGGCACAACACGTTTAATTTGGCTTCCCTGTCTCAAGACTGGAAACTTGACTCTTGTAGGTGGTTGCTGTTTCATGATTAGCAAATGCTACAAATCGATCCCATATACCATGGCTTGTCTATTAGAAGAGAAACCATCTGTGTGTTCTTTTGAGAGCTGCGAGGGGCTCACTCCCATCGCATCTCCCGCTATATCCGAGCCCAGACTGGGCCCGGGACCCTTTCTGCAAAACATCCGATGGGCGGCTCCGTCGAGCGATGATGATATCGATATCGGCAGCATGCCCCAATGGAGATGCTACCTAGAGATGGAATAGAGGACAGCAGCTCTCATATGAATTCAACAAGACTGGATGCTGCGGTTCCTCATGTTTACTTTTCCTCGTGTACGGATTTGCCACAAACCCTTTGCTGAACCCTTACCCTGAGCCTCGCCCGCCATTGACGCAATGCAGTCATAGAGCCCATCCAGAGCCAACGGTCAACGGCTGGCAGCCGCAGCACATGTCAAATGCCCACCAAAAAATGCCATGGACAGCATGGGCAGCAGCGCCCCACGATGCCAAGTCCCGAGCCCTCAGGGTTGCACCACCGGCCACCCTGCCGGGCCCCGCACCGCCCCAAAATCTTAGCCTCAACATTTCTGAACCTCGGGCCACAAGCAACCCTGCCAGCAAGTCGACGAGGCCATTGGCCCGCCACGACAGCTGCTGACCCCACCGGCCCTGCGCGCCTGCCGCATCAACCCCATCGCTGTCCACCTGCTCGTCCCAAAAATTCTCCCCATTTCTGGCGTTGCAGTTCGCTGAAATCCGCTGAAAGCCCGCTGAGTCCGCGGAGCGAACACGTGCTAACGGCCAGCGTCCAAGTCAGGTCGTGATACCCGAGCCGGAGCATGACCAGCGCCGTACCTTGCGCCTAGAGCAATTCACCAAAAAAATAAAGAGAAAAGGAGTGCTTCTGCCCATGCGCATTTTCTCCCATCTCTTCTGGCGCGCATCCTGTGATCCGCACACTCGCTTTCCAGTATTCCTCCCCAACGCCGCATCCCAGGAGACCCAGGACTTCCAATAACCCAGGAATCTCCCCTCTGTCGACGACGACGACTCCGCAGACAAGCGCTGAGTGAAAGTCGGCCCGCTCGAGACTTACTGCCCAAATCCCTGGCGCCACCGACACTCCTCTTGTCTCTGGCCAAAAAAATAAAAAAATAAAAAAATAAAAATTTAAAAAAAAAGAACAAGGTCTGCCCGGACGTCTGGGTGCTTCCGGTCTCCGGCTGCTCCCCGCGATCAGAAGACTTTTGAGCGATCTTCTGAAAGCACCCTGAGAACCCCTATCCAATTTTTCTCCCCTTCTACCTACGGTTCGCCGCGAAAATGGCATCCCTCACTTCCATCCTCTACAACATCGTCGTTGGGTGGATTACCCTATTCATCTTCTTCTACATGCTCGGCTTCCTCCTGCCCAAGGCCACCTTTGTGGGCCGCGCGCTGGCCTCTTACTTTGCGCTGGTCGTGAGCTCGCTCTTTGGTGTCACTGCGGCCATCGTCCTGCGGCTCGTTGGCTATGGACAATTGTCGCAATGGGTTGTGGCACGCTTTTTCAAGTACGCCATGCTGGTGACCACGGGCGTCAACTTCGTGGCCGAGGACCCCAATGGCTACCTTGAGAAGGTCCGTCCAGCCGTCTTTGTCGCCAATCATCAGACAGAGCTCGACGTTTGTATGCTTGGCTCCATTTTCCCCAAGTGGTGCAGCATGACGGCCAAGTCGTCGCTCCGTCACACTCCATTCCTGGGGTGGTTTATGACCCTCAGCGGCACCATCTTCCTCAATCGCTCTAACACGGCCGAAGCACGGAAGAAGATGAGTGGTGCTGCCAACGAAATTCGCAACAAGCGCCAGAGTGTCTACATCTTCCCTGAGGGCACTCGCAGTTATACGAAGGACCCTGTGCTGCTTCCCTTCAAGAAGGGCGCCTTCCATCTGGCCGTCCAGGCGCAGGTACCGATCGTGCCCATCGTCGTGGCAAACTACAGCCACATTCTTTGGATCAAGGGCCTCATCTTCCGTTCCGGCACCATTCCCGTTAAGGGTACGCATTTTTCAGGTTTCTATCTGGTTGGACATAGCTAACAGCTTCATAGTCCTTGACCCCATCCCAACGACCGGTATGACCGCCGAGGATGTCGACAAGCTGACCCAGACGACTCGCGAGTTGATGCTCAAGGAGCTTGTTGAACTTACCGCGCGCGCTCGCGGTGAGGCCAACGCTACACCTGTTAGCCGGCCCACTAATGGTGAAGTTGTTAAGGTGACTGGCGTTGAGAAGCGTGTGGCTGCCTGAGGCATTCTCATTGCTGGTAGTCGTCAGTGTGAAGCGCATCCCCTTCCGTGTTCCAACGTGCCAGCGACAGCCCAATTACCGACTTGATGGATGTTCAGGGAAGCCAACCATGATACCCTGGCCCCAAAATGGGCAGTATCACTCCAACATGGAAGGACTACAAGCGCGAGGATGCGCGTTAGGTGTTGAGTAAGAGACGCAACTGAGCGATCATGGCCGCTCCATGCCCTGGCCGAACAGTGTCTGGAGCAGTCCCTGCTCAGGACTCGATGCTTGAATACGAGGTTACGACACAGCTAAAAAGACCTAGAGAGCAAAAGCATGATACCCTTGGAGAATAACACAGGCGCGGAGCGTACATAACCACAGGATTCCAGCATTTACGTTGGCATTCGTCAGGTTACAACGATGCTATACAAACATGCAGACTATGTGATGTATAGACGGTCGGATATGCCTGCGAATCGAAGATAGGTATAGACGTGGTTGAGCACTGGGGGTTTAATGGACGTTTGAAGTAGCAGTCAAGGCATATGTAGCCTTATAATCTTAAAAATAACAAAAAAAAAACAAACAAACAAAAAAAAAGGAAACAAGAACTTCTCAACCTCAATGAGATTTCCAAGATACTAATTATGCAATATGACATGTTGCAACACTGAGTCTTCAGGGAATGTAATCACAAAAAGTCCCCTGCTGGAAGCAGCTTGAACTCAAATATCACACAGCCTACCCATTCAAAACATTCAGATACCCTACATACACACATATATCATCGACCGTACTTCATACGTGTTAACCCTTAGCACAAGTTCTCGCATAAGTACTTCATTCTCACCCCACCTCAAGCAGCCCACCTCTCCAACCCCCTAAGCACACACCCCTCGCCCTCCTTCCTCTCAACCAGCTTACCCACAACATAAACCTTCTCCCCCTCCTTCTCAAGCACAGCCTTAACCTCCTCCGCCTTATCAGCCGCAACGGCCACAACCATACCGACGCCGGTGTTAAACGCCCTAGCCATCTCCCTCGGCTCGACGCTCTGCGCAAGCCACTTGAATACGCCGGGTAACTCCCACGCGGTCACATCAATCTCGGCGGCCAGGTGCGCAGGCAGCATGCGCGGCACGTTCTCGAGGAGACCGCCGCCCGTGATGTGCGCCATGCCGCGGATCGCGGGGCCCGAAGGGGACTTGAGGGCTGCCAGGAGGGGCTTGACGTAGATACGTGTCGGGGTCAACAAGGCAGCGCCCAAAGATTGGGTAGAGTCCCACGGGCACGGGTCGGTATACTGCAGCCCGCGGGAGGAGACGATCTTGCGGACGAGAGAGAAGCCGTTGGAGTGGACACCGGACGAGGCCAGGCCGAGGAGGACATCGCCCGGCTGCATGGCCTCCTTACGGGGCAGGCGCTGCGAAGCGAGCATGACGCCGACGGCGGCGCCGGCCGCGTCGTAGTCATCCCCCTGGTACAGATCGGGCATCTCGGCGGTCTCGCCGCCAACCAGGGCGCAGCCGGCTTCGATGCAACCCTTGGCGACGCCCTCGACGAAGGAGGTCGCGACGGAAACGTCGAGTTTGCTGCAGCCGTAGTAGTCCAGGAACATGAACGGCTCGGCGCCTTGGACGACGAGGTCGTTGACGTTCATGGCGACCAGATCGATGCCGACTGTGTCGTGCTTGTTCATCTTCTGGGCGATGATCAGCTTGGTGCCGACGCCGTCGATTGCGCCGACGACGATGGGTGCGCCGGGGAAGCCAGCCGCGGAGAGGTCCACCTCGCCGCCGAAACCGCCGATGATGGCGTCTGCGCCGGGGCGCCGCGTGCTGGCGACCGCGGCTTTGATCCGGTCGACCAGCTCGTTGCCGGCGTCGATGCTGACACCGGCCTGGGCGTAGGTGAGCTTGTTGGAGTCATCACCCTTGCGGAAGGCGCGGTGAGCGATATCGCGGCGGTAGTACATGCCGTCGAAGCTGATTAACTTGACGCCCTCGTAGGCCTTGTCGACCGCAGCGCGCAGCGACTCGCCGACAGCGTTGGCGGCGATGACGCGGCCACCGGAGGTCAGGAGGTTATCGCCTGACAGCTTGGTGCCGGCATGGAAGAGGGTAATGCCGGCGGGGGCCTCGCCGACCTGCATGGGGATGTTCTTGGGGTAGGACTCGGGGTAGCCGGGGGCAGCGACCACGACGGTCGCGCTAAACTTGCTCGACACCTTGACCTCGACCTCTTGCAGGTAGGGGACCGGACCGGCGCAGGCGTACATGATCTTGGCCAGATCGGACTCCAGCAGCGGGAGGACGGTCTGGGTCTCAGGGTCGCCGAAGCGCACGTTGTACTCGAGCACCTTGGGCGAGCCGTCAGGGGTGATCATCAGGCCGGTGAACAGGCAGCCGCGGAAGGGGAAGCCATCCTTGCGCATGCCGTCGATGGTCGGCTGCAAAATCTCGCGCTCGATGCGGGCAATCAGCTCGGGAGTTCCCAGTTTGGTCGGGGCGTAGCAGCCCATGCCGCCAGTGTTGAGGCCGGTGTCGCCCTCGCCGATGCGCTTGTGGTCCTGGGCCGGCGGCAGCGACTTGATGGTGTGGCCGTCGCAGAACGACAGGATGCTCAGCTCATCGCCCTCGAGGAACTCCTCAATGACGACCTCATCACCAGCAGAGCCAAAGGCCTTGTCCAGCATGATTTCCTTCAGCGCCTGCTGGGCCTCCTCTTGCGTCGTGGGGATGATGACGCCCTTGCCGGCAGCGAGACCGGTGGCCTTGATGACGACACGGTGGCTCACCGACTTCAGGTACTCGCTGGCCTTCTGGTAGTCGTTGAAGTTCTCGTAGGCGGCGGTAGGGATGCCGTGCTTCTTCATGAAGTCCTTGGAGAAGGTCTTGCTGCCTTCCATGCGCGCGGCCTCCTTCGAGGGGCCGAACACGGGAATGCCCGCTTCGCGGAAGTAGCCCTCGCAACCATCAACCAGCGGGGCCTCGGGGCCGGGTACGACGAGGTTGATACGCAGCTTTTTGGCCAGTTCGACCAGACCCGGATAGTCGTCCGGGCGCACGTCGGTGTTATTGGAGACCTTGTTCAGGCGCGCGGTGCCTCCATTGCCAGGAACGGCCACAATCGACTCGACCAGCGGCGACTGTGCCAATTTCCAGGCCAGGGCGTGCTCGCGGCCGCCATTGCCGATGAGCAGGATGCGGAGCGACATGATGGGCGGGTTGATTGAATCAGGGAGCAGTCTGGAGAGTGCCCAGCATCGTCGTCTGAGATCGTCTCTGCAACTACAGGGGCGCACGACTTAAAAATTATGGTGGGGTGCATTACCCCTCCCCCTCGAGGTCGGAGGGGCTATCATTATCGAAGCGCGCATTTTAATTGGTCAATGGCCTTGAGCCCCTCTTCGAAATCAGGAACTTGAACTTTTTTGCCCTGGACTGTTGTCGAGCTTGTCAATGCGAGAGGGCAGGGGAACTGGCTGAACGGAAAAAAAAAAAAGGAAGGTCACCGAAATGGACTGTTGTATGCTCCATCTTCTTTTGAGTCCTAGCTTACTTAATGCCAGTTCTTTATCAATACCTTCGGCTATGCCGAGTTTGCCCCTGAAGGAATGAAACTTAGCTCTTCAAGCTGAAAAGCTTTATGGATTTAGCAGTGGTGGTCTTGTCTTGGGTCCCCCGAATCCTTACAAAGGACAACTGACCCTTTGGAGAGGGATTTGCCAGCATTTACGAGGCGTTAAACTCCCTGAGAGATTTTCAAATGTTGCACCAATACCAATAGCATGGCTTGTGTTGTTGGTAACATTGCTGACCGCAAATCTGACCCGTGGAGCGGCAGCAATACCACCATCAGGTCCAGGAACCACAGCATCCTGTTAGGAAAATGCGTGGTCACTTGGTTTGTCAGAGACTACTTATCTAGCTTCCTCAAGTCTCGATAAAGTCAGTGGATCAGTTCTTACCCCGCCAGTTATTTCAGAGCGGCAGAACAGCACAGGTGCTGCGAAGATCAAGAATTTTAAAGCTGCCTTGCGTGCTTTGGACATATTGCGATGATTTATGCCATCATCCGATTAGTCGGAATCTGATTGTCTAAATAAATACCAGCCATGAGCATCTAATGATTTTAAGAAGGTTAATTCCATAATATCTAGAGCACGCGGCAAACATCCTACCTTCCTATCCTTAATTGCGGTATTGCGGTTTCGAAACTCTTGATCTTTGGCATTACAGACCTGACACCGTTGATGAACGGTCGGGACTCGAATCTTCGCTTCCGTTACTCCACAGCTCACCAGGTCTGGAACTATCTAAACTCGGGTTATATCAAGAATGAGAGTCGTCTACAACAAGGATGTAGTTGAAAGTGCACATTTGTATGTCATTGCATAGAGTTAATCTCCGTTGTGACCACAAAAAATATGTGGTTTTTTAAATCGTTCTCTCTCTACAGCTCTTTGTGACCATCCTATGTTGGATTTTGTCTTGTTTGACTTGACTGCCAACTCGAACCTAACGAAGTTAGGTATAAGGTAAGATTGGCCAAATATACGGCCTGGTCGAAGGCCGAGTTTGACAGCTCATCCGACATTGTCAATAACGCTGCTGTGCCAGCGGTCGGCTACGCCACTCGTGCCACTCATGTTATCATGCTTGAACATTGTTAGCACCATTATCACTGCCATGGCACTGCACCGTAGAAAAAAAAAAAAAAACAATATACCAGGTGAATTCATTTCTGATCCGCTTTTTGTTACTTTCAAATCGCATGCAAGAGACATATCGGAGTGAAGCTTCATAAATTAGGACCCAAGGGAGAAGATGTTGACTTCTTCACTGTCTGTGCCGCTCAAGGACAGGATCGAGATACCAAATACCATGGTCAGCATCCTGCTTTGTCAGACTGCAACTCAGACGAACTTATGTTCACTGTTGATGCAGGGATCGCCAGGAGGCAATCCTCCGCTCTGACAGCCTTAGCAGTTCATGAAGCTGGGTGCTCACTGCCCGAGCTCCTAGACAACTGGCAACCTGGATTACCACACTCGGCCAACAGGATGTTGGTGATACCAAAGCGAGAGAGTTATCTCTGGTCTTACAACATCCAGCTTCCGAAATCAATATCTCCAGGCTCGAGTATGCGGTCAGGAGCGGCCAGTCTCTGGACCTCTCTACCTTCATGATGTCTTCCAGGGGGGATTGTCTCAAGCAAGCTAACCGTCCTGTTGGACACCGACAGACATCATCAGAGCCCTGGCCTCCTCTGACGGGAATCCACTACCCTGGTTCCTATTGTCTGTGCTATAAACTAGCTGATCCATTGTGCCGACCCCCGGGATTTGTCCGCCACTTTGTTCTCCTTCTCCATGTTGTCGGTTCTTGGATTCTTCTAATCCTATTCATGTTCCCTGAAAACAATTCCTATCTTGTATCTCCGAGTTAATTTTGTCAGACTCTATGTTATCCCTGGTTGAAAATTTTGTGAGCCGATAATTCACAATACCCCAGAGTTTGCGCGCACAGACAAAGACGCCATGAGGATATCATCACTCCATCTTCTCTCTCTAGTCACCTCTGCTCTGGCAGCCAACCTACCCCGAGGGTATCATGAGCCAGAAGACGAACCATATCATAGGGGCGGAGGAAAGAGTAGGCCGGAGGGCATTGATTACAATGACTGTCGAGCCTGCGTAACCGAGACAACCCGAGTCACGGTCACTTACACGACACTCTGCTCCGTCTTCGAGACGATTACTGAGCCAGGGCACACATATGTGACAACGTACACCACCACGAGCACAGTCAAGACCGTTGTGCCGACCACAATCGTAGTGACAAAGACTGAGCCACCGGTTACTAAGACAACGGAACATGGTAAGAGGACAAGTCAACATCGAAATCGTAGACAGATCTCGCTAACATGCCTGGCAGTCGTCTATAAAACCATCACCGAGCCATGTCCTATCACAGAAACTACAGTGATCGACGGGCAGACAATCGAGATCACCTGGACGTCGACCTCTACCATCATCACCCGCGTCCCCGAGGTCCAGACCGTTTACGAAACGTCTGTAGTGACAGAAACCGAGACCACTGGCGTCTATGAGACGGCAAGTTCTCTCTCTCTCTCTTTTCTAACTCATCCCTAACTACTAATCAATCATCACAGATCACATGTCCCGAAACAACAACCACGACCATCTCCAGAACCGAGACGGTCAAAGTCACCCAAACCAACACGTAAGCCCTTCCCTCTCCCTCCTCTTTCTCCGAATCAGCTGCTAATAACGCCCCTACAGAATAACCGTCCCAGCTTCTGTAACCGAAACCATAACCGAAATATGCACCGTCACCGAAACAGAATGCATCGAAACCACCATTACCGTCCCCAAGGCTAGCACAACCATCACGGAGTTTACCACCCTCACTTTCTCGAGCGTCACCGGCACCACATATATAACAGCCACATCATCCACTTACTCACCCGGCGGGCCCAGCGATACTCCTACCCCAACCCATGGTCCTCCAAAGGAGATGACCACCGCGACGGGAACCGAGACAGAAGAGGAGACTGGAACGGAAACCATAACCTCTGCGACAGGCAGTCCATGCGGTCCCTCCATCTCGTGCAGTCCCTGTGGTCCATCATGCCGTCCAAACACAACAGTAACCACCACAACAACCGGCACCCTACCGGTAGTTACGGCTGGAGCAGATTGGAGCATCATGAAGGGTGCTGGGTCGGGTGTCTCGGTTGCGTTGGTAATAGGGGTTGTTGGGGCCTTGGTGTTAGTTTGATGAAGAAATTGTGAATTCCCCGGTTTTGGTCTCTAAGGAGCCGGACTCCGGACTCGCGAAAAAAAAAAAAAAAAAAAAAAAGAATGATGAGACCACAGTGACCTGAGCCAATGGAGAGCAAGATGAGTGGAGTGGTCTCATCCTATTCGTAATTCTGTATATAGCACAGAGCCTATTTCATTTGGTTAAACTTCCGAGATAGACTGGGTACTGGGAAGGGAACGCGTAGTTGTCGTTCTAGGTTGTTTGAATCAACGCTCTATCTCTATCTTTTCTCCGGTCCAGTCTTATTAGCTAGCTAAACGCTTGTCAGCCTGCCTATGCAACTTGCAAAAAGAGGTTTGAGGGAAAAGCAACCTCGTAAGAAGCGCGTCGGGAGAAGAAGGGAATGTCAAAGAAACAGTGTGTACACCCTCAACCCCCATCCTTATTATCAACCATCCCGCTTCATCCACAACCTCATAAAAAGTGAAAATCACCAGTCGCCAGAAAGCTCTTCTCTTTTAAGTCCGAAGAAGGGAAAACCGAAGAAGAAAAAGTGGGAAAAAAAATTGACATAAAATAATCAAAATACCCTTTGGATATAATAGAGAGAGACAGAGACACAAACATACAGTACGAAGTTTCCATTCACACACACAACTCAGACACAAACTCCCCGCCGACCGCACCCCACATCCTTTTAACCCCTTAACCCATCTAATTCTCCGGCTCCGTATCCGTATTCGTCTCGCTGGTATCATCATCCTCATCGTCGTCCGTTGTGCTCTCCTCATCCGACTCCTCATCACTGTCCTGTCTCCTCTTAACCGGACCGCCCTTGGCAGCTTGCATGATGCCGGCGATGGTATCTATTTCACTCGTTAGCGTCTCGGTTCTCATCCCAATTCAATCCCCATTCAAATTTGAGAAAGAAACTTACCCTCCTCCGGCTCACTGATCTCATCCTCCTGCACCTCCTCGAGCTTACTTGGCTCCTCGACTACCAGCGTGACCTCCATCTTGGTATCGAACCCAACATAACTATCGCACACGACATGCATCACAAAAGTATAATGCCCCGCCTGCGGCGGCGCCTGGAACTGCGCCTTGAGCGTCTGCATGGCGAAAGTCGGCGTAATTCCATCCTCCCCGAAGATAGGCCGATCGAACTGCGCAAACGTGAACGGTGGCACCGCGACCCGTCCTTGCTTCGAGTCCGTCAAGAAGACATGCCACCTGGGCGAATGGTCCCTAGCAAAATAGGGGGCATGCGCCAGTGGCGCAGGCACGAGCTCCGTCTCGGCCGACTCGATGATCGGCTTGCCCGTCTTCTCGTCCTTGCCCACAACCTTGGCGGTCTTCCGGCCGAGGATGGCGTCCAGGTCGTCCTCGGCGGGATCGATATCCTCGAGGTCGAGGGGGTCGATTTCGGGGACGTTTTCGCTGCCGGGAGGCACAAAGCGACCCTTGACAACGAGGGTGACGAGAGACGAGGGGATGATGAAGCGCTCACCGGTGACCTTGAAGAAGGCCTTGGCGACGCGGAAGTAGGGGAGCTGCTTGGCGACGCGGACGGCTTCGGCGTATTGGTCCTGGGTGAGCAGGCCGGGCCGGACGACGAGCGCACGGCGCTTGGCATCAGGGCGGTCCATGAAGTCCTGGACGGTGGTGTGGATACGGGAGTCGCCCTCGATAGCCTTGACGACGGCAGGGGTGAAGTAGGGGAGTTGCAGGAGAGGCGAAGACTTGGGCGGGATAGCCTGGATCAGCATCTGACCAGCATAGTACGAGGCCAGAAGAGGAGAGGTATTGCCGTAGGCGAGAGAGATGGCGTTGAACGACTTGTTGAGCGAGTGGGCGATCGGGGCGACAGCGAACTTGGCCTTCTCCAGCTCAGGATCGTCGAGTTCGATGCGGCCCAGGTAAGCCCACAGGAGCGCCAGCGCCTTCCGTTGAGGGCCGTTCTCGAGGTCCTCCAGCTTCTCGCGGTCTTTGACAGACAGCCCGCCAGCCAGAGGGGAGAGCTCGCCCTCAGCAAGCACGCGCGATTCAATCTTGGCCAGGCCAGACTCGGCCTTATCTCCCTTAAAGAGCTCCTCATACTCCTGACCAACGCTCAGAGCAGTAATGATGCCGCCCTCGTCAATGGTCTCCTTGTACTCGCGGAACAGGCGGTTGGCGCTCTCCATAAGAACACCCTCGCGCGACCTCTTGCGGGTGCCGTACCACCAGGAACCGACCAGGTAGGGCAGCAGGACGCCAAACAGGGCCGAGTAGGTCAGCACCACGTACTTGCCATTGCCGTCCGACACCATGGCCTTGGGCAGGGCAATGTTGATACTGAAGCCCTGCTTGCCGTCCGGGTTGCCGTACTGGATGTAGTTATTGCGCACCTCCTCGTCCGTCAGGGCCTGGTAGGCCTTAGAAATCTCAACATAACGCCGGTTCAGGTCCTCCATAGTCTCGTTCTTCTTAGGATCGGGCTTGGCCTTGTCCGGGTGGTATTTGAGCGAGAGCTTGCGGTAGCGGCTCTTGATCTCCTTTTCGGTGGCCGACTCAGACAGGCCGAGGATATCGTAAGGGTTCCAGATGCGCGTCGACGGCGCATCGGTCGTCTTGATCAGGAAGAGCATGTAGCCCATGATGAGCCAGCCGGCAATGACGAAGACGGTAAGCCAAACCTTGCGCTCCTTGCGGCGCTCCTTCTTTCGGAGCTCATCGATGGTGTCTGAGTGGGCATGCTTGAAGTCGGACTTGATGCGTGGGAACGAAGCAGCCGGGTCTCGTGACCTCTTGACGAGAATGTATGTCAACGGGATGGTGACAATGGAGGTGAGGGTAAAGACGAAGAAGGGCCAGAGGTAGCCCTCCTCATCGTATGCGTAGTCGGTGCCCGCCATGACTATGCGAGGGGCTCGTCAGGACGGGGACTCGACTGTAGTTGCGGTTGTGTGTTACGTCGGGGCGCTCTGCGGATCAACCGTGTGTTGCTAGCTGTATTTTGCGCCTCGAAAACCTGGAAAGATGGGTATGAATTGTTGCGTTTGAAGAAGTAGAAAGGGAACGTTCGAAGAAAAGGACACGCTCGACAGGTGGTCGTCAAAGCATCCGCCACCAGAAAGAAGAAAAAAGTCAATAAGACAAGAGATCAACCGGCCAGTTCAGGGACGAGGGAGAAGTTTTGCCCCCCCAAGATCGTCCGAATTAGCAGCAAAGATGCAATGTGGCGGTTTCGTCGTGTAGATTCTTAGGAGTGCGCAGGTATGCGAACCCGCAAGAGCTCTCGTGAGATCGGGAGCAGTGCAAACGCAGAGCATCCACGGGCTATGGGGTGAAATGCGTGGTGATGATGGGCTGCGTGCGGCCAGGCTAGGTCCCTAGTTCGCCCGCTGTGTCATGAAAGTGAATCGTGGCCTCCAAATCTTAGCAGGGGGTCAAAGCTTCTACTTGGCCCTTGGTTGCTTGGCAGGCTTGGCATCGGCTTCCGCTGGATCTGATGCCATTGGTGCCCCACGAGCTTGGCATTGGCTCCAGAGCTTGGAAATGCTGTCGGCTTGGCATTTAGTACTTTGGCGTCAAGCCGGTGGCACCGTGCAGATTAATTGCATGAGCCACGTATGCGTATGTATAGGTTTTGATGTCCTCTGTGTTGCCTCTGGTGATCTTTTATTTACGACCCCCCCTTTTTACAAGATTCGGAAGTCATCCAAAACTAGCTCTCACTCATCATCAGAAAGTCATAATCATTATCCACATGCTCTAAAAGACACACAGCTTCCTCAATAACACCAACCTGATTATTACAAAGTGAAGATCGTAGTCGAAGAGAGCTCATCAGCAATGCCACATGTTGGGGTATCTAGACCATCATCCGTAGCGAGACCACGACATATAATTACAGACCCAAGGCAGCAAGCAATGCCCAGTGTCCACAAACAGACGCCAACATGACAGCAGCAAGCGGTAATAGGCAGGATGTATATGGTAGTTACGAAGGTAGTCATGTCGTGACTCGAACCCATCATCGTCCATCATCGCATATGCCCCCGAGACCCATATGTGCCATCTTTTGAAGTACCGTGTACCATATCCATAGCCTTAGTATGATTATATGTGTGTCATGTGTCCTGTCAATGACCTCCTGATATACGAAACGCCTCCTCCGTGGACTGATCTGGTGCAGCTGGCCAAGGTACCTGGTAGTCTATGCCGGATGAACAAACACAACAAACAACAAAGAGAGAGAAGAGGACAGATATAAAAGAGGAAATATGAAACTGGGGAAGAAGGACAAAAGCCATCAACCGTCCTATTCCTCATTCGTGACACACTCCCATGCTCCATCCCATCCCTCACTGAAAAATCATGTGATGAATCTTTTTTTTCGTATTTCTTTTTCATTACCCCTCTAAAACATCCGCCTTTACCACATTCTCTCTTGTCTTACTCCCCTTCTCATCCTCGTCAACCGCATGGCAAAGTACATCACGCCCGCCGCGACCGCGAGCACGCCCCAGAAAAATGGAGGGAGGAGCACGACAGCAGCCACCACCACGAGCCAGATCCGGCGCAGCTGTTCCACACGGCGCTCATCTCTCTCTCCTTGTTCTTGCACCTGAGACTCCCACCATGGTGAGGATGCTGCTTCCTTCGCAGCCCGTTCTCTTGGTACAGTCTCCTGACGACGAGACCATCCTCGACGATATCTGCCTTGATGTCGCCTATGCCGGTGCTGATGATGCCGTTGCCGATGATGATCCTGCTCATCATGGTGATGATGATGACGACGTTCAGAATCTCCGTCATCATCGCCATCGCTATCGCTTTTGTCGTAGTCGGCCCAGTCGTGCTCATCGCTGCCGCCATCAGTAGTGGCGTCGGCGACCGAGAAGCCCTCATCCTCCTCTTGGGGCTCAGCAACGTCTCCCTCCTCATCGGATTGTCACGAGAAATGGAAGCCCTGCGGGAAGCTGCCCGGCCTGCTGCGAGAGCCGCCAGTGTTGAAGGAGAAGCCGCCACCGGGGAAGCTGCCACCAGGGAAGCCGCCGCTAAAGCCACCGCCCTGGCCCATCATGGAGAAGAGGATCTCGGGATCAATGCCGCCCATGCCGCCGCCCATGCCGCCGCCAAACATGTCAGATGGGTCCTGCAGGTCGACACCGCTGTCGTACCGCTGGCGCTTCCTGAAATAGGTTGTCAGCACTCTCTTAATACCAAAAAAACGCAAGAGTCACAGGGAACTTACTGAGGATCGATCAAGGTCTCGTAAGCTTCGCTGATATCCTTGAAGCGAGCCTCGGCATTGGGATCGCCCGGGTTCTTGTCCGGGTGATGTTGGATGGCAAGCTTGCGGTACGCCTTCTTGATCTCCTGCTCGGTGGCGTTCTTCTCGACACCCAGGATCTTGTAGTAGTCCTTCCTCTGAGACTTCTTGAGCTCCAACTCGGCCTTGCGAACCTCCCTGGCGACGTTCCGGTCCTCCGGATCGAGCTCTTGAATCTGCTTCCACTCACGCACACATGCCTCCCACTTCTCGGCCAGACCGAGCGCAGTAGCCTTGGTCTTGCGAGCCTTGATGTAGCTAGGGTCGAGGCTGATGGCCTTCTCGCAATCAGCGATGGCCTCCTCATACTGCTTGAGCTTGATGCGGCACAAGGCACGGTTCTGGTAGATCTTGGAATTGGTACCCTTGTTTGTGGGGTCCACCTCGAGGGCGGCGGAGTACGTATTAAAGGCGTCCTGCCAACGGCCGGCCTTATAGTGGGCATTTCCCTCTTCCTTCATCCGGTCGAGCTTTTGAACAGTACGCAGCCACTTGACGGCATCCTTGAAGTCGGGATCGCAGCTGAGGGCCTTGCGGAAATGCTGGATGGCCTTCTCGTTGTCACCCTGTGAGTACAGAGCACGACCACGCAGAACCAGGGCCTCAGGATCCTGGCTATTGAGGCGCAGCAGGGACATGGCAATATTCTGGGCCTCGCCCAGCGAGTTGACGTCACCCATCTTTAGATAGGCCTCACCACGCATGAGCTGCCATTTTCTGGGCTTAAGAACACCAACACCGAGCAGGCGCTCGGCCATATCGAGCGGGTGCAGAACCATGGATGCAGCGGTACCATCCTTGAGCGCTTGCCGGGCCGCCTCCACATGGCGAAGCATGTCTCGGGCAGCAGCAGTGTCTCTCGCAGATGGGGGCGGATGGATACGGTTGAACGTGGCCAGTGCCTCCTCGGGCTGGCCCAGGGAAGTATAGATGCGGCCAAGACGCAGGAGAATCTTAGGGTTCGAAGGGTCAAGATCTGCAGCACGCTTGCAGTCATCCAGGGCATCGGAGTAGCGGCTGGCCGACATATAAGCCGCGGCACGGTTGCTCAGGTACGTTGAATTGGTAGGCTGAAGAACAACGGCTGGTGATCTCAAGTCAGCATTTGCAAATTGACAATACGTTGTTTTCGGCTTCTGTCCCATTAAACTCACCCTTAGTATAAAACTCAATGGCCTGCGTGTAGTTGCCAGCCTTGAAGGCATCGTTGCCCTTGTTCTTGAAGGCCTCAGCCTGCTCGGCGTCGGACATGACTGGGCTAGACGGGGTGACCCGATGGGGAGGAGGCGGAGGTACGACCTCGTCGGCTGCAGCGCCGTTGGTAGTCGGCTCCGCACCATTGGGGGTGGGAGTATTGAAGGAATTTGTGCGTGAAGGCATCGTGGGTGGTATCTTGGAATGGGTTTGGTGGAGATGATAAGGTGGGGGCGGCTCGGAAGGGTGATCAAAGGGCTCAAATGGGTATTGGAAAGAAGCGGTCTGCGGGGCAGACTGCGTCGAAGTTGTCGATGACGAGTGGCGGTGATTCACACCGTTTACGTTTACAGGCTGGCTGTGGTTCGGAGAATAATTACGATTGTGATTTTGCTGCACGTTGTTGTTGTTATTGTTGCGGTCACCGTCCAAAGAGCGGCGACAGTTGTTCAACTGCTCTTGGAAGCCTTGCAAGCGCTGCTCTGACAGGCGCCTGCGCTCTTCTGGGGGGAGATTTAAGGGATGGGTCTCCTCTGTCTTCTTGCGACGATGGCCAGCGACAGTTGTAAAAGCACGGGTCAGGCGTGGCGACGACGAGGACGAGGCCGACGGCTGCCTTGAGTGACTTGAGCTGTGCGGCGGCGGAGGAGGAGGAGGAGCGTTGGGATCTCTGGCGACCTGGCTCGGCGAGGCGGGGCGAGCGTAGGACGCGGATGCAGAAGCAGAAGTAGAAGCAGGGAAGGCCTTTTTTGTGGGCGACCTATTTGGGGCTGAAGGCTGCTGTGGAGGTTGCTGTTGGGGAAAATACTGAGGGTGAGCACCTGGTTGAGCAGAGTGAGACTGTGGCGGCACCTGTGGCTGCTGGTGCTGCTGGAAGTGAGGGTAGGAATGAGAGTGCGACAGTGAGGGATGCTGGGCGTGCTGGGCGTGCTGAGGATATGAGGCGTGCGATGGACGCTGTTGTGCCTGGGCCTGCTGAGCCTGGTGGAAGTGCTGCTGCGGACTTGGGGTCTGAGTGTGCGCAGAATGCTGGTGATGCGAAAAATTCGGATCGGATGAAAACCCAGCGACAGCTTCAGTGCTGTCACGATCCTCGCTCAGGAAAGGGGCAGAAGGGGTTGCTGTTGTTCCAGCAAGTCCAGAGGTTGCTTTCTTGGACGCCTGTTGGATTTTGTGCAAAAAACCCTTCATTTGCAACGAGTTGCAACTAAAAAAGTTGTCTTTCCGGGGTGCGCACTTGTGGTTATGCGGGCTAGGTGGTTCCGCAATTGAAGCCTCCTGCGGCGTGACGGACTTAACGGTATGGTAAGAAACCAAGCAAGACACCTAGAAGGTAAGGCACTGACACCAGCAAGAGACCCGACGAATGACAGTGAAGGTGAGCAGCGGCAGTTGATGGTCCGCACCGACTGCTGGCACTGACTGTACGACTTGCACCGACGGCGTGACTTCCGAGCAACGTCAGGCTTTGTATCGTCGCTGCTGCATCAAGGAAAATTTGGCTGATGTTTTTGGCTGAGGGTACAGAGCGCCAGGATGCCCAGTGGTATCCCTTGGGGCTTTTGGTGTGTGGGTGTGCCGCAAACAATGGCCCAAGACCGTGTGAAACAGCGACTTCCCTTTTTTTTTTTTGCCCTTTTTTTTTTCCTCTGCCCTTATCGCCGCACACAGCTTGGTGGGGGAGCCACGCAGCAACTGATTCAAGCGGCAGGAAGGGGCACAGTGGAACAGGGAGTCCGAGAGTCTGGAAACGGGCAGAAAGTTTGGGGAGCAAGATGCAGACTGACGCAGCAGGACGCAGCAGTGAAAAAAAAAGTCTGGAGGTCGGGGGGGGGGGGGGCCGGGACAACGAAGAGCGAATGGCGGTTTGCTTGGATGGATGGAGAGGATGATCGGTTCGAAATGGAACCTAGCTGGGGCTCTGGCACTTCTTGGACAAGTCTTGGGCCCTTGGAAGCCTGGCCGCTGGGACGGAAGCTAGAGGCTTGATGGGACCGGACCTAAAACTTGGGACCTGCACTAGGACCCGATGTTGACAGCGGGATTGATCGTGAGGCAAAAAGACAAAGGCAGCAGACCAGCACCGGACATAAAGCAACCAGACAACCAACATCAACAACAGCGTCAACTGACGGGTATCCGTATGTAATCCGAGTCCTCAGCATTGGGCTGACACCAGTCTGATCAAGCATCATGAACCCTGGGATTGGAGGCTTTTTTCACGCCAAGCTCAGCGATTGTGCCGGCTGCACCGCCCCCCCCCGGGCAAGCAGATCACCTCTAGTCCCCCTTGGTTCTGGTGCCCTTTTTGCTGTCGGGTAGCTGGCTTCTTTATCCTCTTTTGTGAGTTTTGATTTGTGATTCCAAGACCCTCTTGACCCCAAATCGTCCACACTATCGAGAAGGCTGGGGTCCTCTGGGAGATGGGTAAAAAATCACAGGTCATTCGTCCATTGATTCACAGCTTTCTCAGCATGTCCCAGCGCTCCGGTGGCGCGTTTGCACCCTCAGAGTGTGGGGATCTCGTGGGCTGTGAGCCTTGTACGGCGCCAGCGGGAAAGGCGGGAGGGATCCGGAGCCTGTCGTGGGGCCTGACTTCAGGCACGAGGATCCTCGGTATAGAATTAAGAGAACCTTCTTTTATGCCTCTATCGGGGTATACTGAACTATCGGATATTTTGATCGGAGGCTGGGGCTGCCGATTCTCGAAGTTTCTGTGGGTCAGTTATCCCAAGAGGCATGCCATGGCGTCCCATTCAGTTGTCATCAAAACGAAGGCTTTTTTCAGACAATGAACATGAAGATCTTTGGGAGCGTATCAATGCGGATGGCGGTCAAGAGCTCCGTATCGGCTTTTGGATACGGCTGGCTTTGAAGACACAAACCTTGGTTGGCAGCGCTGTGCACTGTTTGTGGATTACCTAATGTGTACCGTATCGCCCCATATTTGGTAAGTTTCGGATAAATGCATGCCTTACCGAGCAGCGCCAAGAATCAACACAGGCGCATACAAGCACACACACTAGCGCAGCACCTGTCGACGTTAGGCGCGGACCGCCCATCACCTGTGACGGCAGTTGATGGCCACAGCTGCATGGGGTCAACCATATCTGTCTTCATTGGTCGGTAACTCTTCCTCCAGCCCCCTCAAAGTCCCAGGTCCGTTGTCTCGGGTTCCATTGTCTGCCTGACCAAATCGAAAATCTACAAGCAAGCCCAGTCCAGTTCTGTCGTCATGCATTTCTTGTCATCATCATGCCTGCCGGTCCTGTTCTGCAGCCTGTCGTGGTAGGGGATCCCGTCCCAGCTCCGCAAACGACGCCCATCAGGATTACCAGAGCATTAAACGACCCTATCTTGAGGCCCGGCTCTCTCATCTCACAGTGAGATTCTGCAGCTCATCCCAACAGCGGTGTTCTGGTTGGTGATGACGGCTGGTCACGATGCTGACTACCACCCTCCCGCATACTTCATGCAGCCTCGGCCATTTCGGATGCTTGCTCCCCTCCTGCGTTCTTACCAATGAGCATGTTGACGAAATCCTGGTACCTGAACACATCACCCCGCTTGGCCTGGCCAAGAGACCCCGCCTTGCTGCTGCTCTTGGAGAAGGCTCTACGGCCGGTGAAGCCACTGATAACCTTGTCAACATCAGCAGCTGTCAATGGCCGCTGACCCGGCTCTGGAGCCGTGTGTAACAGAGCATCCCGGAGTTCCTCCACGTCAATCTGCCCGCTATCATCGTCATCGAATGCTTCGAGGGCTGATATGAGCTCGGATGGCGGGGACATTGCAGCTAGCGGAGTTGCTATGGAATTTAAGAACATGGCCATCGTCATGGTTTGGGGTCCCGATGGAGGGAAGAATTGTGCGACGTCTACTGGGGTTGACGGCAAGCCTGTGCAGCGTAGGTCAGCACCCAGGATCAACCTGTCATATGGGGAGATGCTCTCCTACCTAGCTGGTTAAGCATGTCGGCTATGTCCTCCCTATTCACAGCACCGTCGCTATCGCGATCGAGGATCTGAAACGCCTCCCGCATTGTCCGCACTTGCGACGGCTGCAATTGCGACAGCGCGTTTGCCTGTCCAATGTTGGTTGCCGTTGGTATTCCAATCCCAGATGCTGTCGGGACTGGTGACCGCGCAGCTGGTGACCGCGCAGGGCCAGGAACTGGCATCGGTGACTGCGCGTGTGCGGGCGCTGGCGCCGGCTGGGGAGTGGTTCCGTGCCGGGGCGGGGTTGGCGGTTCTGAGTCCGGAGCGTCCTCTACTGTGGGCGCGAAAACACGATGCGGCCGGACGGGAATCGGACTAGCTGTGACAGCGGGACTGCTGAACCGGGCAATTCCCTCGGCGACCCCTCCCGTCTTCACCGGTGACGATGATCCCGGGGTAGTTTGTCGCAATGGGGCCGTGGATGCTGGCGATTGGGGCCGGCGAAATGGTGATGATCTTGGTGTCGAAAATGACAATGGGGATGGTTTGAAAGCCTGCGACCACATCAGAAACTCGTCGTGTTAATGTGGATTTTTGTTCTGGGTTAAATTACCATGTTGCCACTGCGATTGACTTGTCTTCGGCTGATTCGAATGAGGATGGAGTCGGCTGGTGATCGTTGCCCCGTAAACAAGTACCAAGTTAGGTAGACCCGAAACTGTAAGACACCGCGTTTCCAGCCCCAAAATCTTTTGCGATTCTACTAAGATGAATAAGATGCGTAATTCTGTATGGAGATTCTGGAGACTACGCCGAACGCTGACCTAGGTCAAAAGCGATACTCGGGCATCTACGAATTACCATCTGCACGTTCCGTGATTTCGTGCGTGGTGAGAGGTTGGTAGACCATGACCGAAGTAAACAATCGCACCTGACAACCAGCGTTTGACCAACCAGGGCATCGCGATGCGTGGCTTGCTGCTGTCGGCTGCGGGGCTGCGGGGCTGAGGAGAGTCCTTACTGGCCAATCAGCGCTTCGCTTCCGCGGCTGACAGCACGCGAGCAAGGAGGGGGGGGGCGGCGGATGGACCCAGCTTCTGTCCAGACACCAGCTTCCAAGACAGGACCCCACCATTGGATCTTGGGTGGCAGACTGCCCCACCCCGCTTTGCCAGTGAAGGTGAGAGGGTTGGAACAGACCCCTGACTCCTAAGAGAAGGCGACCAGGGTCCGGCCAACTTTAGCGACCACCCACTGCATCCACGGGATCGCGACGTTCACCGTGACTGTGGCCTTGACCGTTGGACGGGGGGTCACAGCCGGTCGTGTCTTGAATCTCGCATCTGTGTCTGTCTTTCGGGTTACAGCCGAACAGCGACGGTACTCCTATCGGCGATCCGTTCTTCCAGCAGCAGCTGCGTTGACACAGCAGCTGCACCCAAACGCCCTTTGCATCCGCGATCTTCGTCCTACGTCGTGTTGGTATCGGTATCTCGTGCCTCCTCGAAAAAAGGCATCTTAGCCACGCTTGGCGCCGGATACCCCAGGGCTGGTTTTCTATACCTCGATCGTATCCTGCGATACGTTAAGCATTGGGCATCACAAAAGCAAGGCTTTGCAGGACATTGTTGGGCTTGCGTTGCTCAGACCAAGCAGTAGCCCGAGAACGTCCCTGTTGACGATCTGATCAGATATCGCATGGTCCTGCAACTCGGACAGGTATCATTGAGGGATATATATTTATATATACTGTACCCTTCACGTTATCACCAACTTTGTTCGACTAAGTGACGACACAGCCCGCACATTGAGGTCCCTCCCCAGCCGTTTGATAACCGCACGCACATACATACACAGTAAACACGGCCCTTGACAGCAGTCAGGAGGGTGACAGGGCTGGCGGGCACATCCGCAGGACGATGGCATTGGGCCCGCCGCTGCTCTCTTCGATCAAACGGTCACTCAGTGCTCGTAGCCGTACCAATGGTCCGAGCTTAAGCCATAGCAGATCCTTCTCGACAACATCCCCTTCACAGTCCAGCGCCGACATGTCACAGATCGCACGTCCCACCGCCATGGCTTCCGATCCCGATCTGTCCGACACGAACGCCAAGAGCAAGACGCCTTCCACGGCTTCTTCGTCACACCAAAATAACACGCTCTCGGTTGCCTCGCGACGTGGGCGCTACGATGCTTCCGGTCGCAAACGCAAGAAGCTGCGCTCTCAGTACCCCCGAGGGTCGACGGAGAACCATGTCGAGTACATCCTCGTGGCCTCCTTCGACATCGACCGCGGCCCGGTCATGGAACATCAGTACCCTGTTGCCATCACGGGTGACGAGCACATGCTGGCCGAGCTCATGCTTCCGGACCAGGCTCACGTCAGAAACCAGGACTGGACCATATTCTTCCTGCACAAGGATCCCAGCCAAGAGGAGGAGGAAGCAGAGCGCCGCGCAAGGGAAGAGAGGCGAGCCCGGCGTGCTCGCAGGCGCGATAGGGCCAAGGGCATAATACACGAATCCGATGACGAGGCCGATGGTACCGGGTTGGATGATGATGACTGGGACGACGACTCGAGTGACTCGGAGCCAGAGATAAACGAGGGACCACCGCTGATCTATGTGCTCAACCTTGTCAACACAAAACAGGACAAGACGGTTAAGCGAGGCGCCATAGTGAAAGCCATGGCAATATGCACAAGACACCCTTTTCTACATATATACAAGGTGATTAGCAACATCGAATTTACCTCGGGCAAGCTCTGGCTGACCTCATCTCTAGCCCCTATTACTCCTTGCCCTGGAAGAGTACTTCAAAGCCCCGGTACCTGAGACCTTGGCCATGCTCTACAATGCTGTGAACGAGATGGATCTGTCTCTGATGCCGAAGCTCAGCTACCTCGAGAGACACCTCCTCCAAGTAAGCGATAACAAGGATCTCTTCGTCGAAAAGTTCGAGCAAATGATCCAAGAACGCATCGCCGAGGAGCAAGGAGAGGACCTTGCCGACCAGCCGCTGGATGCCAGCAGGGAGCCACCAAAACGGCCCAGCATCTTCCGGTCCGGGACGAAGCAGCACATCGAGGGTCACTCGGCATACGCTGTCCCTCGAGACACCCACGAGTTCGAGAGCAAAGTCGTGTACAAAGGCATCCCTATCCCGATCAAAGTCCCTGTGGCCGTCATGCCTGAGACTGTGGGAGACTTTTCCCTGATCAAGCTCATCCAAAACTTCTCCGAGCCACACGCGAAGAACCCTCAGACTTTCCCCCTACATCCTCATCTGACGACCAATGGCCCTAACACGCACCCGATCATTGTCCTAGTCAACGCGCTTCTCACAGAGAAGCGCATCATCTTCCTAGGCCATAACATGCCATCAGGGGAGGTCGCCGAGGCTGTGCTCGCTGCATGCGCTCTTGCTTCGGGTGGCATCCTTAGGGGCTTCACACGCCATGCCTTCCCCTATACCGATCTGACCAAGATCGATGATCTGCTCAAGGTGCCCGGGTTCATCGCTGGCGTGACAAACCCAACCTTCGAGCATCACCCGGAATGGTGGGACTTGCTGTGTGACCTGCCCAGCGGCAAGATCAAGATCAGCAGCAAGATCGAAGCAGCACCCATCACGGAAGGGTTGGTCTATTTCCAGCAGCAGAATCCTGCTTATGCGAACCTGGTCGGCGGCGGGGCGGCCGCAAACAATGACCTGACGGGCGATGCGGCCTTCATGGCTGATATTCTGCGTAGCATTGCTTCGCGTGCCGGCGAGCGCGTAATCCGGGCCAAGTGGAGAGGATGGATACAGAAGTTTACTCGTATTGCTGCTGCTTTTGAGGAGTCTGTGTTTGGCACTAGTGCCTTGCACATCACCAGCGACGACCCCGAGGCAGCCACGCTGGCGCAGTACGGGCATGGTTATGTCTGGGCCGACGAGGCGACCAAGGTGAGGGAGCTCGCGGGCAACGTCACACGGATTGAGGCGTGGAGGAACACGAGGAGTTACTACAGCTACATCCAGGTATGTCCAAACCACACCCCCATCTCATTTCTTATCCCGGAAACTGACCCTATGCCAGGACGTCGCCCAATCCTACACACTCCGCCCCCTCAAAGGTCTCGACCTAGCCCACCTCCACGACCGGCTGCGCACGCAGCGCCTTACCCCCCAGCAGAGCCGCGAGATCTACGACGCGCTATGCAAGTACGTGCGCTCATACGACGAGATTTGCCTGCTACTGAGCGTCGCGCCCGAGTCGCAGGCCGGCCTGTTCTACGTGGCGCTGGGCCTGTTCCACAAGGACCGCGACGTGCGCTTCCGTACCGCCGACCTGCTCGAGCGCATTGCTGAGCATGAGGCCGGGCAGCATTGGTGGCGGGCGTTGAGCAGGTTTGAGAAGTTGGCGTATATGCGGATTAAGCGTGAGGCGGAAGCTGAGGCGAGGGCCAAGGCGATGCAGGAACGGGAAGGCGGGTTTGGAATTGGGAGTCCGACGGATAATAGGAGGGCGAGTTAAAAGGGTGTATAGGCTTGTGGCCGGGAATCCATGAATTTGACGTTTCGGTCACTTGCGAAGGGACTGTTTTTATATATTGGGATATTAGTTGTAATGTAGTGGCGATACCATTTTGTTTTCATACAATGACCCTCGCATCGCTATAGTTGAGCAAAGATCCTTGATTCAACGTTCCCCTAAATCACTCCATCCACACTCCCACAATTTACAACAGCCCCAGATGCTTCGCTGCATGGTCGACATGCTCAGCAGCGAAGGTCGAAATGAAGTAGTACGAATGGTCATAACCCTGTGGTAACCTGTCAGCATCCTCTGCTTCATAGATCCTCTGACACAGCTCCAACTCACCTCATGATACCGCACCGTCAACCCTTCCACACCCGCCTCCTTCGCCGCAGCCTCCAAATTCTCCGGCAGCAACTGCCCTTGCTTGTAAAACCCATCTGCCAATCCAACATCTACCAGGGCCTTCATATCCCCCTTCCCCTTCCACACCCCCTTCCGAATTAACTCCGTCGCATCATGCTCCTTCCACGCCTCCTTATCCTCCTCCCCCAAGTACCCCGCAAAAGCCTTCTGTCCCCAAGGGCAGTTCACCGGGTTCGAGATCGGCGCGAAGGCGCTCACGCTCTTATACAGTTCCGGATGGCGCAAATACAGCGTCAGAGCGCCGTGCCCGCCCATCGAGTGGCCCGTGATGGAGACCTTTTCAGCGTCCAGATACTTGCCGAACTCGGTGTCGTTGAACAAGGTAGAGGGGAGCTCGCTGGTCAGGTATGTCTCCATCTTGTAGCCGCCGCTCCACGGCTCGCGGGTCGCGTCGAGGTAGAACCCGGCCGCGACGCCAAAGTCCCAGCTGTCGGTCTCGCCGGGGTAGTTGAGGCCGCGCGGGGAGGTGTCGGGGTAGAGGATAGCCAAGCCGAGTTGCGAGGCGCGGTGCTGGAAAAAGCCCTTTTCAGAGCAGTTCTCGGGGGAGCAGGTCAGGCCGGAGAGGTAGATCAGGAGGGGGACTTTGGGGGTCGGGGTGGTGAAGGATTTTGGCGGGAGGTAGAGGTTCAGGGCCATGGGGGTTGTGGTGGTTGCGGAGTTGTGGGACAGCTTGAAGAGCTTGCCGCCGAAGGAGGCGATGGTTGCTTTGATGGTGAAGGCAGATGCCATTTTGACAATTCTATGGCGGCGATGGTTGTGAGACTGGTGTTGTGTTGACTGTTAAGTGAGGGTGAGAGGAAGCAATGGCTCAGATGAATTTTAAAATCACACCGAGAAGGTTTCCCAAAGACGACTTTGTTGAACAAGGAGCTATTATTGGATCCCGACGTGTTCGTGGCTTTTAACCTAGACTATAATGTCCCCAAAAAGTATGAGAGCGGGTACCTCGATATCCTCCCGCAAGCACCGGGGCCTTCACCCCACCTTTATCGCATCCCGATCCGGCGGGGGATGGAGGGGTAGCTGGGGGCAAGCCCCAGCGCTCGGGAAGGATAAAGAGCTTCCCGAGCCGACCACGAGGTTCCACCGATACCATGCCGTCATCGCCGAGAGATAGCCAACTCTCCAGGTTATCCCCGAGCTTTGTCATTTTGTAAGAAGAATAAAAAGGGAGCCCAGCGGACAAGCTCAGATACCAAATTTGTCATGTGCTTTACACGGCATACCACCAGTTCGCTATGCTTCTTAATAGGCACTAAATGCCAGGTGGGCCAGCATATATCGAACCCTTCTCCACTACCTGTTCAACACCCGTCTAGCATTCCTCTTGAGATTGTCTAGACAAAAAGGAGAGTGACAGACCAGCTCATAGAACCAAAACGTAGTGTTTATTGGTTTAAAATTGTGTATAACTGTTTAAGATTATGGGTATCTGAACTACTAGTTGTTTTGTCTATAGCTTTAGGGAGACTGCTCTTCGCATGCTTCCTTCAGAGGGTAGCCAGCTCACAGTGGAACTAGAGTTAATTTGGTCTTTCATCTCTCAGGCCCTGGTGTCCTCCTGGCCAGATAATGCGAAATACGGACTCCACAACCCTCAAGACAAAGTCGTTCTTAACCTCAAGGCTTCATGGCTCAAGCCTAGCTTACCCGTCCTTCTCAAACGCATCATTCAAATACCCAACAAAGCTCTCCCGTATCCTTCCCGCAGCCAACTTTCCCACTAACTCCAGTCCAATCCCACCCCTGTTCAACGCCACGAACGCCCTCCTATACCTCTGCAGCTGTGGCAATCCAACCTTCTTATTCGGCAGCTGAACCACAAGCTCACCCTCTCCCTCACCATTAGCACCACCACCATTGATCCTCGGCAGCACAACTGTCCCCCCTCCCTCATCACCCTGCCTCTCCAAAATCTTCTTTACAATATCCTGCGTTTCTCGCTCCAGCACATAAAGATAATCCCCTCCCGGATCCTTGTCACGCTGAACGGTCGATTGGTTCGGTTTGATAGGCTTCCTCCCCTCGCCAGCAATCGCGTCCCAGATCTTGTCAAACACCTGCCTTGTCTGCGCCTCGTCATCGTCCCAAGCGAGGAGGAACAGAGGTGAATCCCACCGCGTCATTGGGTTGGGCTCCTCATACCGGAAGACCAAATTCTCCCAATTAGACCGTTCATATGGCTCCTCATCACTCTCGGCCGCTTCCTTCTTCTCCTCTCCCTCCTTCTTCTCTCCTTGCTCCTTCAACTTCCTTTCCCTCCTCTCCAACCGCCTTTCATTCACCTCCCTAGCCTTTTCCACCCCTCCTCCCACCTGTAATACACACGACGGCGTCCGCGCATTCTTCGCCTCGCAATACAACTGATACCGCCACCCCTTGATGTAATTCAGACTGTCCAATATCACAATATCCTTCGGCCCCAGCACGCGCTTGACTGCCGCGTAAAGCGCCGCGCGCGCGTCCTTTTCCGACGCATTGGCCGAGCGCACGTGGGCAGGGAGTTTCTCAGGGGAGAGGTCATACACGGAGCGCGAGATGGAGAGAGTCGCGTCAGAGATGTAGTGGAGGCGGTATTGAGGGGTTGATGAGAGGGGGGGAGGGATCGGCGAGGTTTGGGACTGGGATGGAGGTTGCGACTGAGGGGGATGTTGTGGTTGAGGCTGCGAGGGCATTTGAGACTTCGGCTGAGATGCAATGCGCTCCTCGAGATAGGCGTATAGTTGGCGGGCGCGCGTGGTCTTGCCCGAGGAAGGCAGGCCGGTAACAACGATGAGCTGGTCTTGTCAGTCCTGACTCGAAGGATTGAAAGCTGAAAGAATTACCAACTTACCGGCATGACTGGCTGCTTATAGAATGCAAGACATAGTCTTTGAATACAGACGCTGGCCTCAGAAGACGAGTCTTAAATCAAGATGCAGCTTGCTTTCGAGCACAATCCCGGGGGAGAAATATGGCGGGGTCAAAGCAGCCCCACCAATGGCTTATCTTATCGCTGATCGGAGGGATAAGCAGCTTGGAGCTCGAGGAAACCTGAGTTTTGAAAGTTCCTAAAAGCGCAGAATGGTTGTATGGAAGCCACAATTATCTGGCATATTCTTTTCCGGGTTCGAGACCGTGAGGACAAGTCGATGGATTGTTCCCCAAGGGATATGTCAGGACTAATGGCATTATATAAAGATCTACTTGACAAGGTCTAAAGGAATGGCTACGGAAAGAATCCGATCCAGGAGTCATATCAGCAAGGAATGGGCTTGTTGCTTCACGGCCGATGGTTTCATCCAACTAGTAGATGAGCACCGAATGCTATGCTAATCATGGACAAGTGTGGTAGGTAGCTTGGATCACACTGAGGGAAGGCTGACGTTCGAACAGAGACATGCTGTATTCACCAAGGGTATCACATAACGAAAAATGTCTCCCTTAACGCCGGACTTGCGCCATCCCATTTTGTTTTAGAGCATCCAATCGTCTAGCATTGGTGTGTGGTTCTTTAGTAGAAGAAGCCAATGATCTTGCCGGCAACGTGCTTGCGGCGAGCCTCCTCGTGATCCATGATACCAGCCGAGGTGGTGAGGATGACATAGCCGAACTGACGAGCAGGAAGGAGCTTGGTGACCCACTTCTCGAGCTCAGCCAGGCGGACATTGTAGCGGGGAGAGATAACACCGCACTTGTTGAGACGGCCATTGAGCTGGACGACGATCTTGCCAGAGCGGTGGTTGTCGACCTCTTCGAACTCGCCAATGTAGCCTTAAAATCCATGTTAGCGAAATGTTGCGAGGCACAAGACCACTCGACATCATTGTAAGTCTCCGGGAATGTGTAACAGGCTCGCGAAATTTATCTTTCGGCAACTTAAAAGACCATAGCCGCGGGGCAGATATGACCATAGTCTAGTTATCATGCCGATTGAGGTGTGTAGGGTTTGCGAGCTTGGTACACATTCCTGAAGACCCCAAAAATAACTTAGAAGGGATGTCCTTTCGGAACGTACCGTGGCGCTGCATGACCTGCAGGAACTTGACAATGACCTTGGACGAGGGCCGGATCATGACCTGGCGCTTGCCCATCTTCTCGGCATTGTTGATGCTGTTAAGAGCATCGTGGAGGACGGAAGTGCGGACCATTTTGGCGGTGTTTGGGGGTTGACTATTGGGAGATTCTCAAATCGGCCGAGGGAGATGAGGTATCTGCCAAAGTGCCGAAGCGATCATGTTAGCCTTCCGAGGCTCGTGAGCTTGGAGAGTGCCCTCGTTGACGTCGCAAGAGGGTTCTGCCCGCTCAATGCCGAAGAGGAGAAGCGTATCACAGCTGAAAGCATTCGGGTCGATTTTGCGACCTTCAGCCGAGCTGTGATTGCTTTCCTCGGCCTTTGCGAAAGGCGTCTTCCTGTTGTGTCGTCATGTTCGTGGGCGGCGGTGTGCTACATACCTCGATTGATGGGCTTCGTCACAGCTGGTGGAAGAGTTTAAGAGTAAGATTTCTCTGGCGTTGAGCTGGCTGGGTAAAATTTCCTGGACGTGTGGGGTGTGCATGTGGTCCGTGCGCGAGAAAAACTTGCCCTAACGGCTGGGTGTGGCTGTCCCTATGGATTTCGCGTGTGCCAAGCGGGCGGTGAAGCTCACAAAAATCCGGCCCAAATTTGGACGGCCAGAGCTTAGTGGGGCCGACTTCGCACAATATTCTCCAATTTCTGGCGACTGAGTTCCCGCGACCTCCAACACCAAAAGTCCTGTCACCCATTTACTCTTCGAGGATCGCCCCGACATTAACAACAACTAAGCCGTCAAGATGGTGAGGCTCCCATCCTATATTGATCCCATCCCTAGCCCTCGACAGCAAGCAAGAACGGAGTTGTCCAACTCAACTAGACGTTCTCATTATCCTCGAAATCACGAACCCTCTATTCGCTAAGGAACAGCCCCCGCTAACAATGCCGTCTCTCCAACATATAGTCGGACGTAGAAGAGACTACCGCCCCCCAGGAGGTTGAGGTTTCGGCCGAGGCCGGCAAGGGCCAGATGTCCGTTCTGGATGCCCTCAAGGGCGTCCTGAAGCTTTCGCTCATGCACGACGGCCTGGCCCGCGGTCTCCGTGAGGCTTCCAAGGCCCTCGACCGCAGGCAGGCGCACATGTGCGTCCTCAACGAGTCCTGCGAAGAGGAGGCCTACAAGAAGCTCGTTATTGCTCTCTGCCAGGAGCACAAGATTCCCCTCATCAAGGTTCCTGATGGCAAGCAGCTCGGCGAGTGGGCCGGTCTTTGTGAGTATCCCCGTAGATGAATACGATGGATTGTTGGAATGGGCTGAGTGCTGACTGGTTGTTCAGGCGTCCTGGACCGTGAGGGCAACGCTCGCAAGGTCGTCAACTGCTCTTGCGTCGTCGTCAAGGACTGGGGTGAGGAGTCGCAGGAGCGTACCGTCCTCCTCAACTACTTCCAGCAGGAGGCGTAAAGGGGTGACGTGGCAAGCGAGGATAGCGGCGTGTTGTCCCCTTGTGGGATAAAAGTAGGGTTATAAAATGAGGATATCTATGAGTGATATCGAGAAGGCACCTCTACCTTCTCCCGGGTCACGGTCCGATGGCATCTTTTACGAGATGTACTCTAGCTCTCACCGGCGGCATGGTTGTAGCAGTCGGGAAGACCATGAGAGCCCTTCACGCGGCTAGACTTGCGTGGCATTGCGCCTCAAAAGCAAATAAAAATGTCATGCCAAACTCTCACTTTCTTGCTTGCCGTTCATCACTTGCGACCCTCAACCATGATGCAATGCCAGCCAAATTGAGTCTTAACCTTCACCCACTTCGGCTTGTCCACCGTGCTGGGCTCAAGCTGATAGGCGGCCTCTTCAAACTGCTTATCAAGACTTCCCTTGACCTTCCAACCCAGCAAACCACCTGTGTAGTTGTGAATCAGTAATGCTTGGTCAATGCCATGTATTGCTGAAGGGAAATATGAAATGTACCTTGCCTGGCCTTGTCCTCAGAGAACTCAGCAGCAACCTTATCAAACCTCTCACCATTTTCAAGCTTCTCGATAGCTTGTAGGAGCTTGCTCTCTTTCTCGCACTGGGATATTGTCAGCTATGTTCTTCGGATTTGACTGTTAATCAAGATGCGGAAGACATATGATGATAGTTGGAAAGTTGACCAATTCACAGCCTTATTTTGGGATGGGTATGGCGTATCAACCAGATTATATCCATACATGAGAATTCAAGAGGCTCTGCGGTGAGAGCAGGTCGAAACAGCAAGAGAGACAGAAGGTTAACAGAGCTATGCTGAACTCTTCTTCGTCGCCAAGAAAAAAAACTCTATGAGAGTGTTTGAAAGAGAATGGGAAATACGGAGCACCTATGAAAATACTGAAAGAGTTGCAGTACATACCAGAATGTGCCTGACATTGATGCTCGAGGCGCCCTTCATCTTAGCAGGCTTCTGCTCAGCCTCTTCATTTTTCCCGCTCTTGCCGCCCTTCTGGTTCTTGCCAGCGGCAGCTTTATTATCCTTCTTGTCCTTGCCCATTTTTGTGAACTCTTTAAAAGAAAAACACTCCGATCGGTTGTTGAAAAAATGAAGTTCAGGGAAAGGTGTGTTTTTATTGCTGAGTTGGCGGTTGGATGAGGCTGTGATGGTGGCTAGCCTCCACCCCTACCAAAGCTTGAGTGGTTGATATACTGGAGAGGGTTAGGGTTAAATATGGGGATCAGGAGCAACAACGCATTTTGGGTTTTCATCCTGAGGATTTTTGAGCCTAAATGACTTCTAGAATAGAATAAATGTTGTTTATATTGTTATACACCGGTATATCTGACATGATAACTGCTATCATGGAAGATAGTTGAATATTCGGCTTGTATCTTTCCCTAGCCCACACGCACTTCATGAGGTCTGCTTTGTTCGCTTTGAGCCATGTATAAAGAGGTCAAGTAGTCAATTATCCCCCCACCCCCCCCCCAAGGCTCGAGAAAACATTCAGCGCCCCTTTAGCATAACCACTTCAACCTTGACACCTCGAAAACCCCCCTCTCTTGTTGTTCCGTCATCCTCTTGCTTCCCCTCGCCCGTATATTCCCTCTCCCGGAAACATCCGTAGTCCTCGCCCTGTCCTCTTTCAGTATATTACCTCTATCCTTGGCTATATAATCTTTTCTGCTTTGAGACCGGTCTGCTTCTCCCGAAACCTTGCCCTCCATGGTTGATCTCCCGGTCTTGTCCCTCAGCCAGTTTGAATATGAAGCTGGTGTTGTATTCTTGCCCTGGCGTTTCAGAATGAGCTTTTGGTATAGATGCCAGTCATCCATCTGTGAGGGATTTGGGATCTTCGCCAAGTCATGCATGCGAGGCTGGCCTGGGATACGCTCGAGGTCAAGCTCCAGATGGTAGCGGCCGGTGATTGGGTTCAGGATTTGACTGTAACGTAGGAGTTTGTATCTGTTCGGTGGAGTTAGTCAGGTCATGAAAATTGCCCGATTCCTGGACGAAGAACTTTGGGTTTCTAGAACCGGGCGTACTTACAGTCCGTCATTCCTCACACCAGCTGCCGGGGCAAAATCACTGTGCAGGAGGTTGCCTCTGAGCACCCGAACCCGCCGTCCAGTGAACGAGAGCAGCCCTGGGTGCATGTCTGCAAGCGTTCCCTCGCGGGTGTATCGTACACGGCTACAGTCTGCGCGGAGCTCCCTGCCGGTCAGGAAAGGTACGGTCATGACCGTGTCCCGGCCTAGGCTTGTCTTCTCCTTGTCAGTCGAGACAACCCCGTCTAGGAGGGCACAGGTTATGGTTGGCCACTAGCTAAATGAGGGAAGAGACAAATCAGCACCTAAGTCATATACCAGCCATAAAGGACGGATGATACTCACCATCCAACTTCAAACCATCCCTCCTCTTTGTCAGTATCGATCGGGGACGATCTAATCTTGCATGGCGTGTGCGATGGTGCAATATTGGGTGCCTCCAAAACTGCATCTCCATCGAGGGGCCACCGTTCCTCCAGCTCAAAGCTCCTCAATTCATCAATCATGAAATACCGATCTCTAAAACGCTCTCTCCAGACACGTTCCAGTTTTCTGGCCCTTAGAAGAACTCGGCGCATGTTGGTCTGAACTCCGCGAACCCATCCGGAAGGACACATTCTGATCAGGTCTGATAGAAGCTTGTCGAGATGGGCATCCTTGACGGTATGGAAGGAGACAGAAGTCGAAGAGGATAGGGCATAGGAAAGGAAAGTGTCAAGGTAGTCCGCATCCTGAGGATGTATTAGGGTGCTGTTTGGTCGTCGGTGAGATCGACATGCTAAGGAAGACCGAATTGAGTCGGAGAGGAAAAGAAGGGCCTTGGTGTCCAGCGCAAGAGGAGAGGAAAAGGAGTTACTGGTTGTGGTGTTCGTCCTCGGCGGTGTCGTCGGCGAAGAACTCGGCGAGGAACCCCCACTACTCTCATTCCAAGTACTGGCAGAAAGCTGGATTTCGCTGATGCTGCCAATGCCCAGAGCTCGACGATCGGGTCTCGAGGTGGAATCCTCCAAAAGAAGGAGAGAGACAGATGAGGCGTGTCGCTCTTCTGGTCTATCTTGAAATGGTTTATATTTCTCCTTCTTGAGGCTGTGTAGGAAGCCGCGCCTCTTCGTGTAGACGGTAACGCTCGTAGATGGGTGCTTAGGAGGGAGGAAGAGAGGCATGTTGAAGGGGACGCAGGGTTTTAGGATGTCTCAAGGAATTGCCGCTGCTGAGCAACGATCAGGTTCTTTGTGTTAACTAAGGGGTATAGATGCTGTCGACTCTAAGGGACTTAGGAACACTGAGGTGATGACATGACTTTGGAAAATAGGAGGGATGTTGGCTCCCATTAGGAGGTGATGAGGTGATGTTAAATGTGTGTGTCACGAGGTCAGCATTGTAGGCATTATGCTCTGGAAAGAGCTGCCCAGCTTCCCCAACCTTATCATGTTATCATGTTTGATGACTTCCAGTTTCAGTCGTGCTTTAGTCAACCGATGTCTCCCAAATCATCTCAGCTTCGACAACGTAACCAACACATCCTCCAACGCCTCTTCCAACCCCGCATCCCCCTTAATCTTCCCCCTCAGTTGCTCCGCAATCCCCACAACCGCACTCGTCGAATGCACATATCGCTTCTGCATCCCCGGGTGCGAGTTTGCCACGAGCGCTGTAACAAGCTGCAGCACAGCAACTTGGCACTCCTCCACAATTGATGGCTGCTTCTCATCCGGCACCCACCACGCTGCAACTCTCGTCACCACATCCATCCAAGCCTCCCTCGGCCCAGGTCTCTCAGCCTCTGCGACCTGCAGCAGCACACGCACGATCTCCACGCCGCGGGCAGCTTCGTTTTCGTCGCTGACTGTTGAGCTCTGCTCTAGAATGGAGAGGAGATCTGTCGCGAGAGCTTCCCAGCCACCGTGTTCTAAGAACGCGCTGATCCCGTGCTTAGACACGATGATACCCTCAAAAGCGACTAGCACTGCGCGACGGAAGTCGAGCTTTCCCCGGCCGCCGACGCGGTACAAGTCGAGGAGCATATCTGCTAGACCAGTTGCCTCCTTACGGAGGGTATCGTTATCATCTTCCCGCAGCCAGATGGCGAGGGCACGCACTGCGGCAAGGATGAGAGCGTCCTCGGGGGCGTTGTCGGATGCCGAGTCCCAGGCGACGGTGTGTCGCGCGCCAAAGTCGCTGTGGACCTTGGTTGTGCGGGCGTCTGGGTGCAGGCCTAAGGCGCCAGACACGGCGGCGTCCCAACGGTCACGGAGGTACTCGGTGGTGAGGGACATGGTCTCGGAAATGGCTTTGCGCAGCTTGAGAAGAAGGTCAGGGGAGATAACCCACTGGGTGGCGGAGGATGAGGAGTCGTCGAGGTCGGAGTCAAGGTAACGCACGAGGTAACCGATGAAATGGGAGACGACGTTGAAAGCGGAGGCCAAACGGCGGGAAGTCTCGGAGTACTCGGGACTGTTGAGGGTTTCGAGGAGGGTAGGAAGGGTAGCTCGGAGGTCGACAAGAAGGAGGTTGATGAGAAGGTAGGAGAAGGGATTGTCGGAGGATTTGGTCTCGCCCTTTTCGGCAAAGAGGAGACGAGGGGCTTGTGAGTGGTAGGCTTCAAGGAGGGCGGCGGAGAGGTTGGTGAAGGCTGTGCGGCCAGCTGAGGTGGGACGGCTGGCGACAAGCTGACGGATGAACTTGCTGATGGCTGGAAGCCATTTGGGATCGTGAGGAAGGATCTGAAGATCCTGGTGAGTATTGGTCTTGAGAGGATTCAAGGGTAAAGGATGCTACTGACAGTTGGATCTAGCTTTGGGAGGAGGTTAGCTAGGAAGTTTAGTAGGGTTACTGCATCAGTGCCCTTGAAGGATGAAACCAGACTTCCGATTGTGTTGTCAATCTTGGTTTGCAAGCTGTACTTGTCTTGCACTGTGGCGACAGCATTCAGCCATGCATACAACAGGACGTCCAAGACCAGAGGCTCTGATGGGGCCATCTCAATTAGGGGGGAGATGTCCTCGACCTTCACGAAGACCTCAGCGCCTTGGGGACGGCTCACGAGACTGACCAGTGTCTCTAGAGCGAGTTTCGAAGTCTCCTTAGAGCTATCTAGATTAATACAATGGTCTTTCGAGGTTCTTGAGGGTGAGGGATTTACATACCAATACAACAACGAAGAGACAAGATGGGGTATCCTGTTGACCATCTTGTCATCGCGCTTTGCATAGTCCGGCAACAGACTCACGAAGGTATGCAGTACGGACACAGCCAAGTCCAGCATATCGCTGGTATTTTTCTTCTGTCCATTTTCCGATAACTCCTCAGTCTGTTGTTGCTTCTGCAACTGCTTAGACCCCGTCCGGATCAACCTATCCAGAAACTTGGGTGATATGCCATCCCAAAGAGCTGCAACGGATTCCTCGTTATTTCGTAGTTCTGGAGTATTGTCAAGGACCGACTTGAGCAACGCAAGCCCAACAAAACGGGATGTATCGTCCTTTGCTCCCAAAAGTGTCTTGATCTTCGGAATTAAAGCTTTCGAGTTGGAGGCTAGTTGGGGCTGCTGAGAATTTTCACTCTGATTCATATTGTCTTTGGACTGGTTTGAGTGTTGTCGTTGGAAGCTGGTTCGATTTTGAGTCTGCTTGGTTTGAGACTGAGCTCTCTCCAGAGCAGGTTCACCTTGAGCCTGCTCACCTCTGACACCTTCGCTAATATTTCCTGCAAATTTCAGGGAAACAAGAAATTAATCCAGTCGGTCCTTCGCATCCAGAAATCATATATCGAAATTTCTGGCAATCTTTATATCATTCATTGAAGTAAAGTTACTCAGTCTGTCAGGTTCTATTTTCATCTGAGCTCCAAGAAACCAAGCAGTGGGTCCACACATGTCATCGATGCCAAGACAAGGATCCGCCAAGCTTCCGCAACTGGATCCACTTTTGGCCGGAGGTCCCTGGGGAGGGTTGAACAGAGGATCAACTCATGATAAGATAAGCAACCGACCGCAACCCGCCGCATCACGACAGCAGCAGCCTGCGACCGACAGACAACACATTCAACTTGCGATTAAAAGACCACTATTGGGGAGCGGGCATTCGGACCGCGCATTGGGCACATGAAACCCGGTCATGATACAATGAGGGTCGCCCACACACCCTCCTCCAGCTTCCCAATTAAGTCGCACACACGAAGCCCTCGATCAGCGCAATGAGCAGCCGTACGTCCTCTTCCAGACCCCCTCACGGCCAAGCCGGCCGCAGCAGCTCCTCCTATACTCGAGGCCCGAGCCACTACGACGACGCAGATGAGCTGGACCTCCTAGGCGACGACTCTCTGACCCGTCCAGCCGCCAGCCATGGCAATGCCGCCGACGACGACACAGCCACCATTCTGCGCGATGACCCCCTCCACTCCCCTGACCTCTCTCCCCCGCTGACCTTCAAGCGTAAGCACAAGCGCCCCAGTAGTGGCAGCGGTTTCCTCCTGGGTCCGGCCGCCCGTTTTTGGTCCGCAATATCCGGCACCACTGGCAGCCGTAGCGGTTACCGATCGCAAGAAACCTACGATCACCCAGCACAGGCTTCCCCCGACCAGGCCCCTACCGACCCGTCCTTCCGCCCAGGTTCCTCTGGCCTTACTAAAGACGCCCACAGCCTAGAAAGCTGGCACTTCGAAGGCCCGGTCCGGCGCGTCGGCTACGAAGACCTGACCGCCATTGACTGGATCTTCGAGTACACCAAAGAGCGTCAGCGCCAACGCTCCCTGCGCGCAAGCGCCACCTCCGCGGCAGCCGACTCCCCCATCTTAGCGCTTCTCGGCTCCATTCGCCTGTTACTTGATGCCTCTCAGGTGTGGATTGTGCTCGTGCTAAGCGGGATCGCGGTCGGCGCGGTCGCGGCGGCAATCGATGTCGCGACAGACTGGTTGGGTGATGTAAAGTATGGGTATTGTTCCGGGGTAGATGGGGGGAGGTTTTATTTGAGTAAGACAGCGTGTTGTTTGGGGTATGATGAGGGGAGTTTGTGTAATGGGTGGCGGAGGTGGGGAGACGCGTTTGGGGTTGGGGGAGGAGCGGGGAAGTGGATGGTTGAAGGGGTGGTGTACTTGGTGCTGGCGGTGGTTTTCGCGTTTACAGCGGCCGTGTTGGTCAAGGAGTATGCGATCTATGCGATGCATAGCGGTATACCGGAGATTAAGACCGTGTTGGGGGGGTTTGTGATACGGAGGTTCTTGGGGGTTTGGACGTTAATCACGAAGTCGCTGGGCTTGGTAGGTCACTGCTCTTCTCTACAAGGGACTACCGCTGACAGCTTAGGTGCTCGCGGTGGCATCGGGCATGTGGCTCGGCAAAGAAGGGCCCTTGGTCCATGTTGCTTGCTGCTGTGCCAATTTGTTTATCAAACTCTTTCCCAATATTAATAACAATGAGGGTAGGTCAGCCAGCGAGCGTGTGCTTAGAGACTGTCGCTAACAGTTACAGCCCGGAAGAGAGAGGTGCTATCAGCGGCCGCAGCCTCGGGCATATCCGTCGCCTTCGGCTCGCCCATTGGCGGGGTGTTGTTCAGTCTTGAGGTAAGTGGAAGCCCCCGTTGACTGGACGCTCCTGTTTCTGACTTCAGCAGCAACTTTCATACTACTTCCCTGATAAGACAATGTGGCAGAGCTTCGTGTGTGCCATGACGGCAGCCGTCGTGCTGCAAGCTTTTGACCCGTTCCGGTCGGGCAAGTTGGTCTTGTACCAAGTGACATACAGCACCAGCTGGCACGGCTTTGAATGGGTACCCTTCATCCTCTTGGGCATCCTAGGTGGTGTCTATGGAGGCCTCTTCATCAAGGCAAACATGAAGGTGGCCAGGTGGAGAAAGTCAACTCCTTGGCTTCCTGGACCAGTGACTCAGGTCGTTCTCGTGGCCGGTCTCACCGCGATCATCAACTACCCCAACCACTTTATGCGCTCTCAGAACTCTGACCTAGTCTCCAACCTGTTTTCGGAGTGCGGCAAGCTTTCGGAAGACTTGTTCGGCCTCTGTAAGACAGGAGCTGCATCTGCCGGGACTATCTTGCTACTTATTCTAGCCGCCGTGTTGGCCTTCCTCCTAGCAGCCATCACCTTCGGTCTTCAGGTCCCAGCCGGTATTATCCTGCCCTCCATGGCCATCGGCGCGCTGACCGGTCGTGCCATAGGCATCATCATGGAGATCTGGCAACGCAACTACCCCGGCTTCATCGCCTTCCGCACCTGCGAGCCCGATATCCCCTGCGTCACACCCGGCACATATGCTATCATCGGCGCCGCAGCCGCCCTCGGCGGCGTCACCCGCATGACCGTCTCCATCGTGGTCATCATGTTCGAACTAACCGGCGCCTTGACCTATGTCCTCCCCATCATGGTGGCCGTGATGATATCCAAATGGGTCGGTGACGCCTTCTCCCGCCGCGGCATCTACGAGTCCTGGATCCATTTCAACGAGTACCCCTTCCTCGACCACAGCGACGAAGCCACCACCCCGATCCCGGACATACCCGCGTCTCAGGTCATGACCCGCGTCGAAGACCTTGTCGTCCTCACCGCCACGGGCCACACCATCAACTCTCTCTCCGCCATCCTCGAATCCCATCCCTACCGCGGCTTTCCCGTCATCTCTGACCCGCGCGACGCCATTCTGTTGGGCTACATCTCCCGTGCCGAGCTTGAGTACACCCTCCACGCAGCGCGGCATCCTCCGCGTTGTCTCCCCCCCGAAACGGAGGCATTCTTCGTGGCCCCTCCCCTGGGCGCCGACCCCGCCGCGACGCTGGACCTCCGTCCCTGGATGGACCAGACGCCGCTGACGCTGCCGAGTAGATGTCGGCTGCACCTGGCGGTTAGTTACTTTCAGAAGCTGGGCTTGCGGTATGTCTTATTTACCGAGCGCGGGGCGCTGCAGGGCTTGTTGACGAAGAAGGATGTGTGGTATGTGCTGAACGGGGCGGAGGAGACAAGAAGGACGAGTGGGATTGTCGGGGGTATAGGAAGGGATGGGGAGGATGAAGATGACAGGGTCGAGGGACCAAGGGGTGCAGCGAGGGAGGATGGGGAGGGGGAGAGTGCCGGGTTGTTGAGGAGTGTCGGGTTGGCGGATGAGAGGTCGATGGTTAGTCCTATTAGGGATGGGGCGAGTAGTATATTGTAGGTAGGATGGGGCGTTGGCTTGGAACAGGACTATAGGACAATAAAAATGTTTCTTTGTACAACCTCTGGCAACTTAAGGGAAATACGTGTAATTCTCCAAACGAAGGATTTCTAAGGATTATTATTTATATGTCTCCCTAACTCTATTTGACCGCTCGAAATGAGGCCGCATGCGTTTGAGTTCCAGAGAGACATCCAAACGACCGTCTTTGCTTGAAGGATTCGCCCTCGAGGCAGCCATCTCTGCCTCATCTCTCACCCCGGGCCCCTCGCGAGAGGTGGTCCAAATGGCATCAGGCTGGATAAGGGGGTCCGTCAAATCACAATGGCTCCAACTGGTTGCGAGGCCCCACTTTAATCGTGGGCCGACCAATAACAGCGCCAGCGCGCTTAAATCCGCCCATCTGGACCGCGATCTCACTCTTCGAAGCCTCTCACCGGTCAACACTCAACCACACAGCAGCCTGAGAACTTTGGGCAGCTCAGCATCAATCAAGAGCGGCTGACAAGCCGATTTAGACCTAGGCCTTAGGCGGAATCCCCTTGAAGCCAGAATAAGAGCGCTTCGGATCAAAGAATCAAGCGCAAGCAAAACACATCAGATCTCCCCTTATCAAACGGTCTTTAGAAAGACTTACCTAAGGACGACGACTAGAGTCTCTCATAGACCCAACCCACTTTTCTCACCACACCCGACAACAACCGCTCGTCGATATCTCGGCTCAGCTTCATCTCCAGCGCGCAATGAGCGCGCAGTCACCCAACCATGCCGGACTACAAAAAGATTCTTAAAGAGGGATGGCACCCCGAAAAGGACCTCTCCATGTCCGACATCAAGGACAAGGTGAAGGGCAAGACCGTACGTTCTCTCATGCCATTGCCATCCTCGCCTCAAGGACTCACCGGCTAACCGCAGATCCAGAAAAGCCTTATGGGCCGCGGTGATGATGTATGTCTCTCTCGACACTTCCTATACCTTTCCCTGACCTCACGAGATACTAACGCCCTTCTCAGAACCGCGCCGAGACCCGCCATGTCCGCCCTCTCTCCTCCCTCCGCGACCCCTCTACCTTCGCGCCTCCTCCAAAACGGTATCCCAACGCCATAGGCACAGCTACTAGGACCCCCACGACCTCCGACACCAACACTCCTTCTGTCCCAGCAGCACTCCCCGCGCCGGACTCAACCCCAGCCCGGGCTACTGAACCCGAATCCGACCCCAACGAGCCTCCCCCGCCGCCCAAACCCTGGGTCATTGACCGCACCGGCCTCTCCACAGCCAACCTCCCTCCCCCTCCAAAACGTCTCGACGGCGCAGATGGACGTCCCGTCCCTCCCCCGCCGCCAAGGCCATCCGCCACCGCCGCGACGCCAGTACTATCAGCACCAGGGGTTGAAGCAAAGCCCCCTCTCCCACCGAGATTACCTCCCCGGAGAAACACCGCCAGTTCCACAACCACATCCTCAGCCCTAGCAGTATCAACGACAACATCGACGGCAGATACAACCCCCAACCCGCCTCTCCCAACCCGGCCCTTCCGCTCCTCCTCCTCCTCCGTCACCCCCTCTTCGGCATCTTCCCCACTACCACCAGTTCCGTCTTCTTCCCGCCCTGACCTCCTCAACCAAAGCGCGCTCAACCGTCTCGCGGCGAGGGGGGTGAACGTCCCAGGGCTGGGTATCACACCCAACAGCCACCAGCAGCAGCAGCAGCAGCAGCAGCAGCAGCAGCAAGGAACAGCGATATCGGAATTGCAGTCCCGTCTGGCGAGGTTGAATACCTCCTCTCGCTCATCCATCACCTCCAGCAGTTCGGTCGGAACCGAGCAAGGGCAGGTGAGGTCGCCTCCGCCACCTCCTCCAGCGCCGAGGGCTGTTGGGCAGCAGAATGCTGCAGTAGCGACAGGTGTTGGGGGGGTAGCGGCGGTTGTGGCGGCAAAGAAAAAGCCGCCCCCTCCACCGCCGCCGAAGAAGAAGCCTAGTTTGGCAGTTGGGGGGAGTAGTTCTGGGGCGAATGCTGGGGCGGAAGAAGAGGCGCCGCCGCCTATTCCGCTTGCTACGAGGCCTACGTTTTGAATGGCCTGAGAGCGGGGTTAGAGGTGATGAGTGGAGTCTGTACGGTTTATAGATAGGATGTGATATGGGGGGATATAAGTGCAGATGGAAGCGTATGTATGTATATAGCATATCTGGTGTCTATGGGCATCATGAGCTCCGGGATGGAAATGCGTAATATTATACCTTTCTGTACACTCATCTTATCTTGTTACAAGTAGGGCATATCTATGGGATCACACAGCAAGAGAAACACAAGTACCATCAATTGGACAGCGAGAGGACTCATCGTTCATGTTTGCTGCGAGGTATCTAAGAGGATCGGGGGTATGCAAAGGCGCTGCAGCATCTGCATGCATTGACATGGAAATGATGGTGAGATCGTTATGGTGATGGAAGAAAACCTGGAAACGAGTTTCTTTTTTGGGTTCGTCTTTCTCTTCGTTCGGTCGCAGACCGATTTGACTGCCTATATAGACAGACAGAGAGAAAATAAACGGAAAGGGGGTCGTTCTGCTGAACAAGACCGCCCCCTTTAGACCTTCATCTCCTTGAGACCGTGCTTCCAGAAGACGCAGTAGGGGGTGACACCATCCTCGCGGTAGTTGAGGAGGACGATCCTGGAGAACCATCAGCCTCTATTCCAAGTCATCAGAGATGGTGAGAAGGGATACTCACATGCCCTCGGGGTTCATGCTCTCGCCGGTGTAAAACTCCCAGTCCTTGAAGTTGGCAATGATCTTCTTGGCATAGGCGGCGGCCTTGGTCTCGAAGTCCTTGACCTCCTCCTCGGACTTGCCGGCCTCCTGGAGCTTGGTGCGGACAGCCTTCATGTAGCCTAGGGAATGTCAGCATCTGCTTTTTTTCCGTCTTCAAATGAAGACGAGATGGCTGGAAAGAGGACGTACTCTTCAGGTAGGTCAGGTAGGACTTCTTGTCGAAAGAAGTAGACTGAAGGCGGAAGGTGTAGACGACATTGTTGACCTTGATCTCCTGGTCCTCGACGCCCTCGTCCTCGCCGCCCTCGGTCGAGGGGTTGGCGCCAATATCGACGTCGATCTTGCCCTCAGTGATCATCTGGCAATCGACCTCATAGACGACACCGTCGACCTCTTTGAGGTCGAACGAGTCCGAGATCATCTCATCGTCGGTGATGATGTCCTATGCGCAGCACAGGCGGTGTCAGCGAACAGTCCTTATCACCAAGTAACATCACAGCAGCCGTGGTGTCGACAACCGCCTTCGCAAACTTTTTAATTCGGCAATCGTACCTTGTAGATGATCATTTTGACGGCTGGCTGAGGGTGTGTAGTAGAGGGTAGAGATGGACGGAGATCAAACGCGGCGGGAGGGTTCTTGTCAGAAGCGTAAAGGTGGGTTTTGGGAGCCCAGGAAAAAATTGAGGGGGGCAAAGCCAGCGACCGGGAGGAGGGGAAGGGTAGGCGGGGCAGCTCCTCAGGGCAAAAGTTGCCAAGACCCCAAGCCAGATTTGGCATGTCACATCATGGACTGCTTAGGGTTCGGGTTATGTATGAGCTAGATCAGGGTCACAGTTTTCCCACGGCTTCGCTGACACTTGTTTGAACCGTAGCTCGCATTGATCTGTCAAATAAGTCAAGGCAAAAGATTGAGTGACTGTGACGCTTTCAATTGTTTTTGGTATCGTCTCTTGTGGAGGAATGGTGTGAGCCCAGGCTCCTCTGGAGCCAAGGGAAACAACCCACTTGTCAGGAGTCTGTCAGCTGCTAGTGATCTCAGATATCTGAAACAGTGGTTTTGGGATTCGCTTCTGCAGGGTTTCCTTATGCGTCCTAATTCTAAGAGGCGTTCTGATCATGAGAGCACTAGAGGGCCTATCGTTGCCATCAAGTCAAGGATCCCAGAGCGAGAGCTTAGCCTGAGGGAGCTTTCAAGGTTGAATCGAACACTGAGACTCGAGATACCAACCAAGTATCAAGTAATGATAACTTCTTTCACAAATCCTTCCTCTACCCAAAATGTTGCTTTCACAGCTCGGACAAAACGGAGGTCAGCAACTCGAAATATCGACCCGGACACCGGCCCCAATGACCATCTCACCTCGGGGTCCCGCGGGCACCGACGTCATCACATCGGCCGATGTTTCCCGTCTGCCGTCCTCCGTCTTCCGATTCCCGCATCGGATCCGAAGGCCATTTCGGAACAAGGCTTGAGCTGGAAGAGATCGAGACATGGTGATGATGTCAAGGGCACACCAATCACATTCCTACCGGCCTGTGCCATTCCTGGTGTCGGGTCCGCCAGTTCCTTTCGAGTGGGGTGTCCATGAGTGGTCACTGTCATCAAAAGAGGTTGCTAAACAGACTATGTAATCTTGATATTTGACATGGGCTGCTCCTAAACTGGCCAGTCCTTTACGCGGAAGGTCGGAGTGCGGGATGCCAACTCAGTGTGGAGTAGTGTCTGTTTACGTGTAATTCTGCATGAAGCTGCAGATGAGAACGGGTCTTGTCCCTGCCAAGCCGACACAAAGTTCAACGACGAAGCGAGTGCCTATCAACAACCTGGCTGTCAGACATTCGTAGACGTGTCGTCAGTAGTGCGCATAGCCATAGCCAGTCCAGCACATCAGGATTCCGCTTTCTCAAGAGGGGCGGACGGGACGTGTTATGAGTGGTGCCATGAGTGGCCAGACACAAGAAAAGGAGACCACTGGAGGGCGCAGCAGATGGGTGGAAATTGAAATCTGGGGATCCAAAAGCCCCAACAGAGAGGGTCCCAGCTGCATGGGCCACGACCGCTGCAGCCAAGGACTAGCCTGCCCAGCAAGAATCTTTGCCTTTCAGGGACTACCTGCTGGCTCCACCCTCGACCGACAGGCATTTGTCCATCCTTTTTTTACACCACGACTCCTCGCCTCGCACCGCACACCACGCGTCACTGTTTTTTATTTTCACCGTCTGACCGCCTTGTTCGCTGTGGTTTATTGTGGTTGACTTTGCAGCAGCTGGGAGTTGATGCTGCTCCTTCTTCATAAGTTCTTCTGAACTGTATCGTCGACAATCGAATTCTCGATTCTCGACTTCAACTTTCGTTTGACTCGAACGTCGACCTGAGCTCTGCTGCTTGGCCGCATCTCGGCCCGCCCCCCCCCCCTTCCGCCACACAACCATGGCGAACGTCACTTTCGTGTCGGATCTGCCGCCGCTGCCGGCCTACGAGGTCCGGCCATTGCCCGACTTGTTCCCTTGGATCTCCGACTTTTGGCTGTCTCTGCTGCTGCCACACGTCGCCTACTGGGTCGTCTCCATGTTCTTCCACATCATCGACATCTACGACCTCTTCCCCCAGTACCGTTTGCACACCCCCGAGGAGATCACCCAACGCAATCTGGCCGGCCGCTGGGAAGTTGCCCGGGATGTCCTCATCGAGCAGTGCATCCAGATCGCCTCCAGCGCTGTGCTGTCCCTGACCGAGTCCCGCCAAATGACCGGCATGGAGGACTACGAGGTCGCTGTCTGGGCGCGCCGCATTCGTCTTGCTCAGCGCGCTCTGCCCTCGCTCCTCGGCTTACTGGGCCTCAACGCTGTCGCTATCTCTAAGAGCCTGGCTGCTTCGTACCCCGTGCTCGCTGGTGTCCTGGCTGGCGGTCACTACCCCTTCCTGACCACTGAGCTCGATGCTGGTACCGTTGTTCCCAGCTTTGCTGCCTGGGAGCTGGCCGTCGCCAAGTTCATCTACTGGATCCTGATCCCCGGCTTCCAGCTGTGGTTCGCCGCCTGTGTTCTCGATGCCTGGCAGTACTTCTGGCACCGCGCCATGCACCTCAACAAGTGGATGTACAGTATGTTGTCTCCCTATCCCTTCTCTGCAAATCGGCTCATTGCTAACCTATTTCTTCAGCCCGCTGGCACGCTCGTCACCACCGCCTGTACGTTCCCTACGCCTACGGAGCGCTGTACAACCATCCCGTTGAGGGCTTCGTTCTCGACACTCTGGGCGCGGGCATCGCCTACAAGGCGGCCCTCCTGACCCCTCGCCTGGGCATGATCTTCTTTGCGGGCAGCATGCTTAAGACGGTCGATGATCACTGCGGGTACGCGCTGCCCTTCGACCCGCTGCAGCGCATCACCAGCAACAACGCCGCCTACCACGACATCCACCACCAGTCCTGGGGCATCAAGACCAACTTCTCTCAGCCGTTCTTCACCATCTGGGACCGCTGGCTCGGCACGCGCTATGAGGGCGACGTCAAGCTGCGCTATGCGCGCGAGCGCGAGAAGGCTGCTGCTAAGGCTGCCGCTAAGGCTGCTGCTGCTGCGAACGGGAAGAAGGTCGTTGTTGAGTCGGAGTCGGAGAGCGAGTCGAGCATGGGCGAGACTGCCGCGACAGCGAAGAAAACGGCGAATGGGAAGGTTAAGGCGAAGTAAATGGCTCTCTTTCGTTATGGCTTCTGTCTGTGTGTTTTGTTCCTCCCTCTGTTCATAATACATAATGTCCTGGTTGTGCTTGGGTTGGCATGGTTGGACTTGGATGGATGGATGAATGAATGAATGAATGGTCAGATGGTCTAATGGAACAGGATGAGCAATGATAATGAGCGACCGCTTATCTCTGTCTCATGAGGATGATCAATCTGGGGGTTGGCAAACTGGAGGAGGGTTTACATAACTAAACTAACGTAATGCCTTAATTATCTAGTTAACTCGGGAAATGGACTGACTATAATGGCAATGGTTGGCTCGTGTCGTAGTGGTATATGTGATTTCTAGTTAACAAGATCATGAATGAGACAGCTATTAGCTATGACTAAGGTCTTAAGTCCATGGCCCCTAATGGTAGTCGAAGATGGGGCTGCTTTCTCATGGACTCATTTCACTTTGAGGATAGGAAAGAGACACAAAAGAGCATAGACCAAAAAGTTGGAAGAGTGGAATTTATATCAGGAGTATATGATAGCTATGCATAAATAGCAAGAAAGGGACAAAACACAAGTTCCTCGCAGTGAGAGCTAGTCATAAGACAAAAACAAACAACGCCCCCCAATGTCATCATCCCCCTTCTCCTGTCCGTCCCCAGCTTACAGCCACTTGATAGTCTATTCACATGCAGCTTCAGCAATTCCTTCAGTTATGTGAGTGGTTCCTCAAAGTGAATGCCACCAACATTATCCTCGTTGTCGTCATTGAGCTAAATCAGCTCTAGGTCTGGGCCGGTCGAGTAATGCAGAGGGAAGAAGGGGAAGAGAGATACTGTTGAGATCCCAAATTAGACGAGTGTTCTTTTCAGATGTTGGAATTGCCAACGAGATCGATAAACATTGGTGATCAGAGATAAACACATCTACGACTATCAAATGTCATATGCAAAGATCTGTGAAAAAAAAAAAGGCTCACCTGCTAAACCACCGCCCGCAGTGGTGAGGTGGCCAGCTATGGAAATCCCCGGGGGGTTTTACTTCATCGATCGGGGCACGGCGGCGGCGTCCGTCGTTCGGCGGTGGGGGAGGGAAGGCGCATTCACGGGTCACGCGGGGAAGGGAGAAGGCACACCCAGCCCCTCGCTCATTTTACGAGCAGGAAGTCGCCGCCCGGGGGAGACGAAGGCGGGCCTCGTTCGCTCGATCCCCCGGAGACACCCTCGGGGAAGGGCGGAGTCTTTACCACTCAGCCATGGCCGAGTGGCAGGGGCTGATTATTAGGCGGGAAAGGTGCTGAGGGTTGTATATATACCTGGGGAAGGGCACCTTGGAGGAACAGGCAGGGAAGGTGTGAGCCAGAAGAGGGAAGGAACAGGTAAGTACCTAGGGAGGGGCCGGCTTAGGGGAGGTATGCTGGTGATCTTGCTCTCATCAGGTCTCCTCACCACCCTCACCACTTAACGTGAAAAAATAAAGTAACACTGGAGGGGAAGCTTAATGAATTACAATATCTTCAGCCGTGCTCTGTCTAGTTTGTCTTGCTTGGGTTTCATTGGAATATCTCGATTTTATCCCAAACATCGCCACTCGCAGGTTAGCATCACCTGCAAGAGTTCTCTGAGCTCACTCGCTCAAGAACATTGCTCCGGCTATGTAATACGTGTATAAGATGAGCTCATTGGCTTCTGAACCTGTGATTTCGATATTTCAACGGACCTTGGCTAGAATTGTTGATTCCTAGGGTCAATGTCAAAGATAAACTCAGGTAAGTCATTTTCTCTTAGAGTAAAATAAAGTATAGAGACACTTCATGGTATCTAAAACATGTCCATGATTTTGAGCTGAAGCCTGCTCATTGGCCATGTACAATCCAACAAGAGCGGTCTTAGTCTCTATTGCCTTCATCCTAATAGTCAATTCAAGTCCCAAGGAGTCCTGTGCTTTTGAGTCTCAACAACTCTTAACCTTTCTGACAACTCAAGGCTTCCTTGTATCCTCAGACTCCTCCGTAAACCACTCATCCTCCAAAATCTCCTCCACACTAGGCCTATCTCTGGGATCCAACTTCAACACACGCCTAATAAACGCATTATCAGCAGCGGGGATCTGCCTTGTTGTCCAGCGCTCGAAAGGCTTCATCGGCGGACCCTGATCATTCAAGAACTTAAGGATCACATTGACATCCTCACTCGCGATAATTTCCTTCATCTTTGGTGGGAAGGGTCCAAAAGAGTCGTACATGCGCTTGACAACTGTGTAATCGTAGGCTTCGTGGTCGGGCATAATGCCTTCGTTGCGTGGATCGAATTGGTGGTAGTTGCTGCCGTGGATTAGGCTAAGGATCTGGGGGTTGGAAGTTAAACATGGCAAAATTTGACTGGGAAGTAATGATGTCTTACGGCATTACCAAATGACCAGACGTCAGTCGGTGTTCCCCAGTGAAGCTGAAACAAAGCTTCGGGGCTACGAGAGGTCGAACCGCCAATCAAATGGCCTTCCCTGGCGAAGTGGGAGTCTTTGTGGACCACACCGCCGCAATCACCCAGCTGGATTTCAGAGAAGCGCTTTCCGTCCTCGCCGTAATTAACAAATATGTTGTCGAGTTTTACATCTACACTTCAGATAAGCCGGGTGTCGGAGCAAGAAAAAAAAACTGTTCCGATAACAGTACCTGTGTGAACCATCCCATCCTTATGCAACACTCTCAAAGCCTCCAACACCCCCCGAGCGACCTGTTTAATCTCAGGCCGGGTCAGGCGCTTGTTGTTGGACTCAGTCAAGAGCTCGCTGTCCAGATGACGGAGGACGATGGATGGGGGATCTGCAGGATCCTCTGGAAGGATCTCATCCAGCAAGGGACGTAGATGTCGTGTCTTGGACTGGTAGTGATTAAGGATTTTGGCCTCATTCTGCAAGCGCCAGTGGCCGTGGACGCTTTTGACGATGCACTTCTCGTCGAAGGAATCTCTAAGGAAGTCTATAAGCTGAGTTTTTAAGGGTTCATGATCAGGGATGGATGTACATGGCAAGATAGACAGCGCTTTGGTCAGCAGTCGCCGCCCTATGTAGTTCTTTGAGGATAGTGTATGTTGAGCGACGTCCGGTGAGGACGCGACCTATTTGGAAAAGAGAGTTTGAAGCCATATTGTTCAGTAGGTTCAGTTGATCAGTTGATCAAACTCAATTAGACAACAGGATGAAGTTGTAGGTTGTCTTCGGTTGGAGTTGTTGATAAGTTTGTTTATTGTCAAAGTACGCGAGTTTACATAACCATATGAAACTTCGCAACAGGACTCTTTGGACTGACCTTGTCCGAAATTCCCAGACCAGGATTTTGGTTCAGACAGCACAGATCAACCTTCGTTGGAACAGCAGATGATGTGAAGGATCAAGGTTCTTGACGGAGTCCAAGCGTATCGTGAAACGAAAAGTCTCAAAATTCGTTATCTATTTCACTCTTATCGGCTAGTGCTCACATATATAAATGAGGGTTAGGGTTTCGCCTGAGATTAGTGTTACAATCCGCAACAAAGTGATTTGTTTATCAACTGTTCTCGAAGCCAGCCTGCGAATGGTGATCGTCGTCCCCAGCCGACGTACTCAAAAAGGCAATGAGCACTTGACCAATCATATCATCAGAGGAAGCTCGAAACGGTCGCGGTGGGACCGCGTGTCTCATTCAGGGCTTGGCGGCTCGGCCTCGTGGCAGGCAGCGGAGCATCCGAGTTCTGGAACCCACTTTTGGGGGGCCCTGCCCCTGGAAAATGGAGCACTCAGCCCACTGAAGGGCACGAATCGAAAGATTGGGCGCGGCAGGGCGACACCGGGCGACTCGATGGATTCGAGGGCACTGAAAGATTGCGTGTGTTTCTCATCTGATCGTGCAGCCCGCGTAGCAGCGAATCACGGGCGCTACGGTGATAGCTTGTGATGGTGCCTCGGATGGAGGGAACGAAAACTTCGAGAAGCCCGTGGGCTGCAGCTGGCACGCAGCGGCATGCACGTCTTCAATAGTTGACCATCTTGTGGAGGGCATTCTAAGGCAAATCGAGGGCAATGGCCGAGGCAGCGCTGAGAGGCTCAGCTGATCTTTGAGGCCTTTGAAACCTTCATGCCACGGATGCCACGCAGAGTGAGCGCTGAGAAATCCGAGACATTAACAGGAATTTTGAATTGTGAGGCTCCATGGCTGCTCCACGCATGGCGCGCTTCTGTTGGGAAGCATGGCTGACGTGGCCGCAGCGATTGTGCAGACGGACCTTCCCGGCTGGAAATGACGAAGATGGTGATAGGAAAGGATTCACGGACAAGATGAAGAAAGGGAAAACTCGGTAAGCTAGAGCTAGAGTCGATGATGATCGGATAGGTTAAGCCGGGTCGACAAGGAATGTCAGCGCTCAGCTTGCCGGAAAGGCTGGGGCAGACCGTGCAGGGCAATTCCCCTCGGCCGTTTTCCGATCGAGATTCGCGATCGTTGCTGGCTGTCAATCGACGCCGTCGTTGCCGTTATCATTTCCCGCAGAGCAAGGGCATGGACAAGGGCCAGATCACTCAGCTCGTCTGGGCTGGGGAAGGCACCCGTGGCTGTCAACAATGTCATCATCAGTTCAATTCTTAAATCTGCGGAAGGATGATTCCATTTTCCGTTTTGATCGCGGAGATGTTGTGACTTGGAAACACTGGTTCGTGGATTTGTGTAGCGTTGTGCAGCGGCAGAAACGCAGGAACAGCGGCAACCGCCCGGCAAAATCGAACAATATCAAAACATCATCAATCTGAGACTACTACCCCGGAGAAGTCAGACAGGGCCAACACAACTTCAGACGCGGCCTGGGGGTGGGGGAAGTCGGGGACAGCCGCTGCAGTTGGCCGCTTGATCGACTGCTGCGCAGCGTTGCTAACTATCGATGTCACCATCCTTGGCTATCTCCCCTCCCCTCCTCTCTCTTCCCGGGGACCCCCTGGGCTGTTTGTCGAGAAGCCTGGCCAACCACTGGACGGGACTGGACGCAGAAGGGCGGCGTGCATGAATTCAGCTCTCCCTTCAGCCTCCACCCTCCCCCGGGCGCGTCATCTCATTTGATGCCGCGTTTCGAGCCCTGGCCGCCATGCCCATCCATGACCATCCGGTCAGGAACATCTACGAACACAGCTGCCGCCCAGCCCATGATGCTCTCGATAGTGTAGTTTCCCCAGATCGCCGCTGATCTGGTCGTTGCCCGCCATTCCGCTGTCTGCCATCCGTTGCCGGCAGGCCAATGACAGACATAAGCTGGACGGCCCCAGTGCTGATAGAAATAGTTGTTGATAATCTCTTGCACTTCTGACGTGTTGGCCTGTCGACCTGTCATCCAGTATTTTGCTCACCGTGCTGCTGCAATCTCTTCTCGGCTCATCACTATCTCCCACGGCTGTTGGAGTTGAATGGCTCGCGGCCTGCATGTGGCGTTGCAGTTACACAGCGTGCCATCGCCAACAGTGCCGTCGTCATTATCTGGCCACCTCTTGTTGCGCTCTCCATCAGCATCTGCACACTGCAACCGCCGTGTGTGCTACTAGGCAAATTCTAGTATATACATCCCGACTCTGTCCTTACCGAATCCTCTGGACTCGTGGAGTGCCTCTGGCGACTCTGCGCGCTTCCTCGTGCTCGTGGCTTTTCTTTGCGCACGTGTGGCTAAGCGCCGTCCAACCCCCCCCCCCCCTCCTCGCATCCGCTGCCCAGTGACCGCCCTGTCACCAACACGGCGCTTCCGGCCAGCTCTGCGCCCTGCCATTGGCTGCAACGCTTATTTGCTCATCGCCTGCCTCGTTTGACTCCATACACTTTCTAGACTAAGGCAACCGCCGCGCCTGCGGAGCCCCATCGACGCCGTCTCGGACGCTAGCTTGTCTCTCTTATAAGACCATAAGGCCACACGCTGCATCCTTGGCCGGTCGTATCGTCTTTTGGAGAAGCCCATCTGCATCCTCCCATCATCCCATCTGCCCATCGTCCCATCATCCCACTCCGACGCCGGCATGGATCCGACGACAACGCTCTTTACCTTTATGTTGTGAGTTATTTCCTCTCGCTACCTTCAAACTTTATTTCTATCTGCCGCTGCAATCCTTCCTTCGGGCTTCAGAACCTGGCTGTTCTGTCATTCTATCTCTCTCTCTTCCCCGGTCTTGGTCTTTCGTTCCTGTGATTAGCGTTACATCACACACTCCCCATACCTGCCGGTATTCCGAACTTCCTCGGATACTGTACACGCTCGTTGTCACACTCGACATCAACACACATCTACATATATATCCAATCCCCTATTCCTAATCACTACACTCCTTCGTATGTGGTTTCGCATCTTGGACACTCGAGACACTCGTTGGTCTCAGTCGCTAACAATGCCTAGACAAACATCGCCCTCTGTCAGGGCAGTAAACCTTCTCGGATCTTGGGACAACTTCACAAAACCCTACCCCATGGAACGAGATTCTCGTAGAGACCGCGGCCAATGGCGCGGATGCTACTCCTTCAAGGACATCGTTTGCGACGGTGACTCGGCCAGCAGCTTCCGCTCAAAGCGCAATGGCGGCCTCAAGATGGGCCACACTTACTACTACTACGTAAGTCATCCTCGCTCAACATGCTCGCTCAATCACATGCTTACCTCATCCAGTACGAGCTCGATGGTTCCCGCGAGGTCCACGACCCTGCCCAGCCCTTCACTACCAACTGCCCCTACCTCCCTGGCCAGCCGGTGAACACCATCCACATTCCCGTCGAACAGTCCCTCCGCCAGCGCAGTGCCTCTCTGTCTTCCCTCCACGACGAGGACTACCGCACCATGGACCCCGCCAGCAAGTACGTCTCGCCTCAACCGACCGAGCAGATGCTCCAGACCCGGACAACGCGTCTCGATACCGCTCCCTGCCGCTCCGAATCCCCGATCCCCTTCCCGACCAAGCATCACGTGCTGCATAAGCACCGCCCTACCGCCCGCTCAGTCTCGCCCGCCGGCTCTAGCTCCGGCTCCTCGTGGCGCTCGCTCCCGCGCAAGCTGTTCAGCCGGAAGGCCAGCTCGTCATCGCTGCAGTCGCAGCGCTCTGACACTCCTATCCCTAGCTCTCTGCCGGCGGCTGCCATGATCAGCCGGCCGACTACTGCCATGGGTGTGACGACCGAGACGGCCGATGAGGTCGACGATCGCAGCAGTGTGAGGTCGCTGCGGTCGTTGTCGCGGTCGTCGTCCGTCGAGCGGAATGCGAGCCGCTGTGAGAGGAGTGCCATTGGTAGCAGGTCACGGGATATCTCCCCCGAGTCGCTCAGGAGGTTTTTGTACGAGGATGAGCCTGCCGAGGGTGTTAGGGTTGAGAAGGATAGCAGCGAGCAGAAGCGCTCGCTTGCTAGGGTCCAGGATGATCGACGTGAGCGGTCGTACTTCGACAGTGACAGCAGCGATGACAATGAGGAAAACGACGATGACGACGATGACATCTACTTCGACGACGAAGACGACATCAACTTCGCCACCTCCGCCGTCTCCGAGTCCTTCCCTACGAGCCTATCTCCTCCCCCTGCGCAGCGCGCTCTCTCGCCTCCCCCTGCCACGACCAACACTATTAATAACCGCCTCAAGGTCTCCCCTCCAGCCCTCCGCCTCACAGCCCATCGTCCCGCCCCCCTCAACATCATGACACCCTCCCTCCCCCGCCCTCCAGATCTCCGTTCCAAGTTCTACGTCTCTCCAGCAGCCTCCCCCAGCTCGCCCTCCGAACCTCCCTCGCCCCCGCCTCTCGGCGGCTGTGAGAGCAGTAGCGAGGAGTCCGACGGTGAGGAGGAGGTGACTGTTGAGAAGCACGAACACCACCGCGAGATCGTGAGGGAAGCCAGCAAGCACGGTGCTGCCGCGGTGCCCAGCCTGCCTGCCATTTCGGAAGAAGGGACGGACCAGGATTTGATGGGGGAGTTGATGAGTGAGCTGGGGTGGATGTCGGGGTTGATTCATCACAGGAGCCCTGGGGGCGCGAGATTTTAAGTTTATTTGTTGAATTTTCTTTCCGGTTTTGGTTCGAACAAAAAGCAAAACGGAGGGAACAAAAAAAAGTTTGTGATCAAAAAAGAGAAATTAAAATCAAAATTCGGGATTATAGAATGGGATAAGTTTGGTTTTTTTTTTGTTTGGTTGATCATTAGAGAGATATCCTGGACTGGGACTGGGACTGAACTGGGAAAGCGGCATAGATATATATCCTTCTTGTTTCGGATTGGGTTTGTCAAATTATATATCATTTGGTAATATGATGGGAGGGGCAAGATCACAGATCGGTCCATTAGGCATTGAATTGTCTGGGTGCTCCGGGGATATAATTGGGCATGGATGGGTCGGAGGGGATGGCATGGGGGGACGGTAAGCGGTGGAGGAAAAAGGGGGACGGAGGGAAAGGAGAGGGTTTCCTGTATGTACGATATGTAGATTGAAGAACGTGCTCCCAAGAGAGAGCAGGAGAGTAGATGATAGAGAAAAAGAAATAAATGGGAAACTCCTTTTCTTTCAAGACATGTCCGGTCATCTGCTGTAATCTGATGGTTGTCTACTCTCATACTTTGTTAGAGGAAAACCAATTTGAGAGACAGCCAAACTTCTGGTAAAACATTAATCCAGGTATGACATCTGGGAATCGTCTCAAGTGTCTTGGAACATCTTGATTGTCTTAATGACCGAATCTACCTCCAGGTATTGTACAATTGTACACAAAATTTCTATCGGATATACTACACCTCCAAACAACATATAGGACGTATATACAATCATCCCAACACATGCCCATCTACCGCCGCAACCTCCGCTGCCCCCCAAAAAACAGGCTCTGAGTCTTCTCATCTAGTAGCCCATACTGGTAAGCAAGATGCCAGAACCGATGCCTCCAGTACCTCTTCCCAGGCGGCATCTGTGCTGCGAAAACCGAAGCCCTCGGTTTTTGGCTCTCGCCCTCTCCTCCTTCGCCCTCTCCGCCACCCTCCTCATCCGCCTCAGACCTGCCAATCGTCACCGCCGCATCAACCACCCTCTTAGCCGCCGCCATCTCGTTTCTCTCAACCAACGCCCTCAACAGCTCAAACAGCGCACTAAACGTGATCGTCGCCCCAGGCACAAACACCCGATCAAAGATAGCCATCGCCCGCTGCACCTCATCCATGCCATCGCTGTACCCCAGCTCCGCCAGCCTCGTGGCAGCCTGGCAATACCCCTTGACCACACGCTCCCAAAATACGCGGTCGATGTTCGGGTTCTCGGATAGCTTGCGGTTCTCGATTAACGCCGTGACCGCCCGCGAGTCGGGCGGGTCGCGCGAGAAGTAATGCTCGGCCATCATGGTGTAGATGTGCGAAGTTAACTCCAGACCGCGTCGCCAGATGTGTGCCAAGACAGTCTTGACTGCCTTGCCGGTGCGGTCGCCGGACTGGTTGAGTAGGATGTAAATAATTTTGGCGTAAGCCTCCATGTTGATGGGGACGCCGGAGGAACGCATCTCGTGGAGGATGCGGTTGACCAAGTTGACCTGCTGCTCGGGCGTCAGGGCGGTGATGTCGGAGAGGGCGCCCTCGAGGAGGACGGTGAAGGTGGCGACATCGGCCTTGATGTTGATGGCGCGCATCATGTCAAAGATCTCGCCGATGGCTTCCATGTCCCCACGGCGGACGAGGGGGCCCAGGAGAGTGTTGAAGGTGTAGATGTCTGGGTCGATGCCCTGCTTAGCGGCCCAGGCGAGGACCTTACGTACATCGTCTTCGCGGTTGCACCGGATAAGGCCAGCGATGGCGGCGTTGACGGGTCCGACGGTCGGCTGAACCGCCACGTTGGCGAACTGGGGGTCATCGCGCATCGACCAGACCTTGGCCATCTCTTGGAGTGCGCGGAGGGCGTTGTCGGGCTCGCCGCAGGCAAAGAGACCAGCGATACGGGCCGTCCATATGGGCGCGTCAAGCTTCATGCCGGACTGGATCACCTTGCCCCACACGGCCCGGATGCCGTTGGCGTTGCGGCACATTGCACAACCTTGAAGCATGGAATTCCACGTCTTGATGGTTGGCTTAATGCCGATTCGCTCCATACCATTCCATACCTGGATGGCAAGTTGAGGGCGCCTCAGCGCCTGATAGGCCATGACGAAGTAGTTGAACAGCTCATCGCACTTGATCAGTTGTTCGATGCGTGCGGCGTCTGGGGTAGGCTCCGGACCCCAGAAGTCGGACCACGTCTTGTTCAGCACCCCGATGTTCCTGATCTTGATCGCTTGTCCGATCCTTTGATGAATATCTATTTTGAGCTGTTCCCAGTTCTGCCGAGGAAACGATACAGGGCTCAACACGAAGGAAGATGCGCCTTCATTAGCTGGCCCATCGGTTTGCATAAAACGAAGCATCTCTGGGAAGTTCTCGAAGACAGGCCCGAAGTCCGCGATGCGAGGAGAGCGGGAACGGAAGATCAAGGTCTTCATCATCTGGAGGAAGGGCCGCGCTACCGGTCTCATAGTTCGGGTCTGGTTGACCGGATCAGTCAACAATTTGTAAGTCGCGTACGCGGCGAATGTAGGCCTCAAGAGACTTGGACCCTGGTATCTGGGGAACATAACACCCATAGCCTCCATGAGAGTTGGCTTTGAGTCCAGGTGTTTGGGGTACTTTGCATCCAGAACCTCTTGGAAAGCTGGCTTTGTTGGCTTAGACTTGGGAGGACTTCCCGATTCCTGCTCAGCTTCCGGGGATTGTTCAGCAGACTCCCGCTCCTCCTCCGACACCATTCGCTGGCTGAATGTTTTCGGTCCAGCAGACGCCAGCTCCTCCTCAGAAACCATTTGCTGGCTGAACGCTTTCCATGCGCCAACAAGGTCGCGCAACAAGGCGTTTCTGCGGGCCATTGCGCTGTCGAAGCTTTCAATCGAGTAGTAGTCCTCAGGAGATGTGCTCTGGTGGAGGATGCGCTGGATCAGCTGGATCATTAGGGTGCCCCATATGGTCGGCCTGAGCGCATCCAGCTCGACCATAATCTCTGTAATGCGTGTGACGGATGGGAGCTTGTTGGAGTCGAAGTCGCGAGGCTTTTCGGCGGCCAGCTGGTTCAGTAAGACATTGGTGAGCTGATTCTTGGCTATTTGGGGCAGGACAGCACCCGACTTCTTGATCTGAGGGTACACTGTCTTCTCGAAGAAGGCATATGCCTCAGCAATTGTCGCTTCCTCCTTTTCAAGCATATTTTGGATTATAGCAATGTCCTTGACGAGTTGAATGCTGGCTGCTCCTCCTGAAGCGACCGGCGGCGTGTCAGAGGTCGGAGCTGAGTTGACTTGGCTGTTGATCGGGCCCTTGGCCTGGCTCTCAACGATGCTCTGAAACATTGCCAGGGAAGACGACTTCCGCGAGGAGGGGCGCTGGAGAGGCGAAGGGTATGATGATGGTGATCCCTCGCTCGCGGGCTGTTGAACAGAGGGCATTCCATTGGGACTTGGTTCATGTGGTTCTCCCCCGACAGGAGCTGCGCTGCTGCCGCCTACCCCAGGGAAACTGCTACTCCATCTTATGTGCCCTTGACGGGCGTGAGCCCGGGAGGCCAGCAGCAAGCGAAACTGGCAGCGCAAGCAGACGTCCCGCACAATAGCGGCTCTGGTGGTGGTGCCAAAGGATGGCATGGTGATATGCTGAAAATGGACAACCGGATGCTATTTCCAGCACATTCCGTTGAGAGAAAGCACTCTCTAATCCAAAATGCCACAACTAGCCTTCAGGGCTGCCTCATCCTCGGGATCTGCGGTTGGTGTTGGAGGGGCTCAAGAGCGCTGATGCTTGAGCTCAAAATTTCGAAGTCCCATCCTCGAAAATGCACGTTCCCCAGATGCCAAGAGATCGGCCATGGTGTTGACATGGGCATGGGGGTACATGGGGAGTGGTTGAGTGCTGTAAATTACAGTACAACTTTGTAAATTACGATCAAAAACCCAAGCCTCGGCCAACCCCAATAATCTCCAACTTCATCACATCTTCGATCCTGTGTTACGTCATATGGCCCTGGCGGCGGAAGCATTCAGGAACCGAGTTCAGACGGGCCCCTCGTCCACAGAAAGCCCGACGGCTGGACAGCAACATTTGTGTTCCTTCCTTGTGGAGCGCGTTTTGTGCTTTGGGGGCTGGCGCGTTGGCGTGTTTTTGGCGTTTTGGAAGCCCGTGTTTCTAGTATGGGCAAGAATGCATCGGAGGGGACCACGTCAATTGAAGACCCTCGTTGCTGCAATTCTAGCCATTCCTCTTCTCCTATTCATCTGCTGTCTCTCCTTGTGCCACCCTGCAGTGTCAACACGAACCTGGCTTCCGACTTCATTCCCATATCCGCTGCCGTCCCTACAGCTAATCACCAACACCTATAACCTGCATCTTTTTACTACAGGTTACCTAGGTGTATCCCTTTTTTCCAGCTCAGCCAGCCTAGAACCCTGCCCCTCTTTGGCTTTCTAGGACTTCCCTTACTTTGAGGTTGTTCCTGAAGGTCGGTCAGTTGTCCGCCCTGAGCTGCTCCTCAACGTCGCGTTTCCCTTCCATACCGATCCGGGATTCGCTCCTTTGAATTAGCTCTCTCTCCACTCCAGTCAAGAACCAGGACACCCGACAGCATGACATCGCTCGTCCCCCGCAAGCCGTACACGGATGAGGAGCTCCGGAAGCTGTACCCGACCGGTCTCGAGCTCCGCCAGGTGCAAGTCTTGATGCGCCATGGCGAGCGGACTCCTGTGTCGGCCCGTTTTCAGAATGCTGGACTTAACCCATTCTGGCCTTACTGTTCAGTCGCTCGTCATATGAAGTCAGCTGTGTTGACCAAAGGTTTCGATGGCAGCCAGCCTGCCGATCTCCTCGAATGGAAGCGTCGTCTCGAGACATTCGGAGATAACGACGCCCCTGTCGTTGCCACGGGCCCCGAAGGCGAAATCGACGGTGTCTGCGACATGGGCTCCCTTACCGACAAAGGCCGCCAGAGCACCTACAGTCTGGGTCAGCGTCTGCGCAACCTGTATGTTGACCGACTGGGCTTTCTTCCCTCGACACTGTCCTCAACCGACTCTTTCTATCTTCGGTCCACTCCTGTTCCTCGCGCCCTAGAGTCTCTCGAGCAGGCCTTTTCGGCCCTCTACCCGCCGTCGACCCGCGAAATCGGCCCCGATGGCAAGCTCGCCAACCCAACAATCTTCATTCGTGGCCCTCAAGATGAGATTCTCTATCCCAATGAGGGTAGCTGCCGCCGTTTCGCCGCTCTTGCCCGTGCCTTCGCCCAGCGCGCCGCCGAACGATGGAACAACACTCCCGAGATGGAGTACCTCAACAAGATCTATGGCAAGTGGATGCCTGCTGGCACCAAGGTTGCTGTTGACTCTCGCCCAAGGCTTTCAGGCATCATGGACACAGTGAACTCGACTCTGGCGCATGGTCCGGCAACGCGCCTACCAGATGAGTTCTATGACGAGAGGGCGCGTAAGATAATGGAAAAGATCGCCGTCGATGAGTGGTTCTCGGGCTTCAAGGAGTCGAAGGAGTACCGCGCTGTTGGTATGGGCGCACTGGCTGCGGATATCGTCCAGCGCATGATCGAGAATGTTGAGGCCGAGCACGACGGCAAGCAGGCGATCCGCTTCGGTCTTAGTGGTTGCCATGACACTTCGCTTGCCGGCATCCTGGCGAGTCTGGGAGCCTTCAACACGACCGAGTGGCCGCCCTTTACCAGCCACGTCGCGATCGAGCTGTTTCGCAAAAAGAGTAACGAGTTGTCTCCGTCCCAGCTCTCTGTGCAACAGCAGAGCCGCTGGTCTAAGCTTTTCCAGTTGGCCAGCGCAACAGGATCTGGGGGTAACACAATTGGCCGTAAGCCGATCTCGGACCTAACACAGGCCGAGAAGGACAAGCTCAACGGGTACTATGTGCGGATCCGGTATAATGACGAGCCGGTCACCGTCCCCGCCTGCCGTCTCCCGGGGAATCACCTCGAAGGAGATGAGTCTTTTTGTACCTTGGTAAGTATCTAACCCTTAGTGTTATCATCAGTCATTCCCAACAGGTGCTCTCAGCGGGTAGCCTTGATCCACGGTCACAGCGGGCATTCCCAGCGGCCCTCCCCGGCGTGCACTTGCATTCAACGTGGCCAATGGGCTGTTAAATTGGCCACTGGCAATGCTTTACTGGTTCCGTCGGGCACCTCCATTCAGCAGTTTCACTGGGGTTCTCATCCGCTGGCAGCTGTATCAGAAGCTCTCAGTGGGCATTCACATCGGGCGTTTCTATCAGCGCTCTCAGCGGATGCTTCATTGCCTTTCGCCTAGGACCCTCAGCGGCTGTTCCCAATGGGCATGCTCATCAGGCTCTCTCTGTGAGCATACCCAACGGCCGTGCTCAATTGGTGTGTTCACCAGGCAGTCCCGTCGGGTAGTTCCATCGGGCTACCATCAAGAGCGCTCACTAGGTACTTCTGTTGGCTGTGGTCAATATGGGCTTTCTTCGGTGGCATTCTCGTTGGCTATGTCCATCTGGGTACTTCGTCACGCAGTCTTATTTGACCTGCCATGGGCGTGTTTTGCTGGTAACTCTCGCTGTGGATGCTCATTAGGCTGATGTGTTGTGTCGGTTAATCTATAAAAGAGCAAATGCTAACTGATCTCTTTGTTGCAGGCCACCTTCAAGGCTGTGGTGGACAAGTTCACCCCGGTCAACTGGAAGCAACAGTGCCGGATGGCTAAGGATGAGAAAGCTGTCCTGCCGGCCCAGCCGGAGTGGGCTGGGGAGCTGTGAGGAGGACCGTTGGGGGAACCAATTGTGAACAACCTGTTTTGTTTTTTTTGTATGTTTTAAATGAAACCGATAAAATTTATGATTAAGATGGGCCATGCTTGGTTGTTGTTGTGTGGGCTTTTGTGCTGGGTGCTGGGTGCTGGCCAGAGAGAGAAAAAGGAGGAAGGGACAGATGGGTTGACTAAGGCACATAGCGCCTTCTAATTTTTAATGTTGGCTCCTAACGAGCACTAGCGAAAAGTTTGTTTTCTTGATGAGGATAACCGAAGAAAAAATTTTATCACTGTTGTTCAGCTTAACAAGTCTTAACAGAGATCACGGTAAGCTCAGATGAGTAAACAGAGAAATTAGGTATCCGACAGCAAAGTTCAGGCTAGATTAGGGTTGGATTATTGCGCGGGGAAGATTCTTCTTAAGTGATCCAAGTCAGTTTATTGAATGTCATTTGTGCCAATGTGCAAAAAACATTTGGGATCATTAATCAGTCCTTTGAGGGCTGAGCAGCCTTTTTAGCCCACAGCGTTGGGACCTAGTTTTTGATATATAACAGGTAGCCCAAGTATTGTAAACGTGATGGTACCTGATTAAACAACTCTAAAACAATTCGACAGTCTTGAGACTTAGTTCTTAAGTCTACTTAAATGTCAGTTTTGTCATCCAAGACCATTGTCCTAACTCCATCTTCCAGGCAATTTGTGTTCTGGTCTTCACTTTTGAACCCCTCCGCTTTATTGGTTGCTTCCTGAGTCTCTTCCTTTCCCTTCCTCTTTTCAGCTTTGGTTCTCTTCTTCCTGACCCTTCGTACAGCCAGTTCTACTGTTGCCATTTCAGCGCTGACACTGGCTAACTTAGGGATGAGCTTCTCGACCGCCTGGATAGCATGGGCTTGAGCCTGGCGGAGTGGGAGAGGCGTGAGGATACCAAACCAGCGGATGGGGTCGTTTGATCTTGGCTTTGAAGGCGATCGTTTTGAGGAAGAGTTGTTGCTGTTATGGATGTCGGTATTTCTTGGCTCTTGGACGGGAGATGAGCTTTTGTCTTCTTCTTTCTCAACATCTTGCATCTTAATTACTTTTTCTTTCTCCGTTTCTGGATCGCCTTTTATAGCTTTACTCTCTTCTCTGGCTTCCACGTTTTTGCTCCCCTTGTCAAGGTCTTCACTTTCGAACTTCTCACCCTCCGCTCTTACCCCAAGTTTGAATATCACTTTCTCCCCACCACCAGCTCCCTTGCACTCTTCAGGAGGTTCTCCCTCAATCTGAACGACCCTCAGTGCCTTCATCCTCTCGTCATAATAATCTGATCCATATCTGGCCTTTCCTGGCAGTGTGGATGCAAAATTGGCGCGAGCAAGACACTGGTACATATCCCGTTGAGCGATATTTAGTGATTCTCGAAGTGTGGTGTATGTGTCCAGGAGCTGCAGGTATCGAGCAAGCAGGGCGTCTATCTCTTCAGAATAAGAGTAGATTTCACGTTCCAGTTCAGTCATGAATTGTTGTGGCTGCCGAGTTTGTGTATGTTCTGAGTGATCAGGGAAAGACTGGTGTCGGCTCTCAGCTGCAGGTGAAGGCTCAGAGTCTTCGGCTTGGAGCTGTAGTGCTGTCATTGTTCGGTTGACAAAGTAAAATGTCTTTGAGCCTGTCTGTTTTGAGTTTTTTTGCCAAAGGTAAACAGCTTGGATTGCGTAAAATGACTGGTTAGTTGAGAAGCAGTTCTCTGCGTTGCTGTGAGGGAGAGGTTGTGAGCGGCTCAGAGAACCTCAGGATCCCAATTGTTCTGGATGTAGGGGCGAGCGCATATGTTGATCAATTACAAGGGTTAGGGATATTTGGACAGGTAGGGCCAGGGTTAAGCTTTTAACAGGGACCGAAAGGTCTGATCTTATCCTACAAAAACTCTTTTGGGCTTTCCCCCAACCACCTCCGACACTCATTTGCAAGCAGTTTGAAGCGTCAAATGGCCTTCTAACCTTCAAACAGGTAACAGGAGATATTGTCGCTTATAGCATGATGCGCCACGAATTCCACGTGGCCAAACACGCATTGTTGTCAGCGTCGACTCCATTATTTGGCTCAACTTGCGAAGATGCATAGCCAAGCCCTCTTCAGTCGAAACCCAGCAAACAACTCACTTGGGATATCTGCCAGTCATCCGATCTCTCCCTAGCCGACGATCAGTCATTTCCCTGCGGCCATTACAAGGAGACGGCTGGTAGAAAGCGTGGTTATACAGTTTGCAGAGACCAGAACTTTTTGCTTTTTTTTTCCGTCGGCCCAAAGTCACAAAAACTGCGTCGATTCAGCAAGACGTGAAGATGGCGTGCCCCACCATAGTTCCCTGCGATCAGATACTTGCTCAGTCCATCCAACGGTTCTGCGAGATTTGCTTGTTTGGCTGCGTCTGACCGACCAGGTGCATTCCCGGATCGATTTCCCATTTATGACGGCTGAATCGAAACAAACCTGGATGTGATAGCTGATGAGGATGAGCAGCGAAGCTCTTCCTCCGATTTGTCATAAGCCCGCGAGCATGAGAGCTAGTGGGCCCGTTGTCATGCACGCTGCTGCTGTTCGTCCTTCGTCCTGGGCTCCGGTCAAGGAAGTCTCATCCACCGTCCCAAGATATCAGGTGCTTCAGTCTGCAACGACAGCCACAATTACTGCTGTAGGCATATGCCTCACTATCGCCATTCGAGACCTTCCCGGAGAAGGGTTTCCGATGCGCTCCTGAGGCTTGTCCTATAGGATCTCTGTGGGTCAACTGAAAGAGGTTTGCACAGTACGTACAGAACAGTGTCTGTTACATCGACACTATCAACCTCAAGAGTGTGCTACACTATGTCGGTATGTCCTATATAATGCATAAGCAAAAGAAGTACCAAACGGCGCTTTGCCTTGGCTGGGACCGATCGCGGGCAGCAAGGCGATAGGCCGTCCCGTGTCGCACAGCATCTGCCGTTTCTTTGGCATTTGCGTTTTCCAGAAGCCACTTAACTGCTGCTGCCCTGCGGCTACCACCGAACGACATCTGCCAATCCACCTATCAAGTTATGGCATCAAGCATACCCGTGTCAAACAGCCTGTTCGAGGGGCGGGCGCAGAAGTACAGGCATACGGGCTCAAACATCCGTGGATTCAAACAGAGCTTCCCCGGGCTAGGAAGAGCATGTCTTGTGTGTTTCGTGCTTCATGGAGATGATGACGCTGATCCGGCGCCCAGAGAGATGTCATGAAGATGTTCCCCTCCACCAAATTTACCTGTAACTGGGTGCTGCACGTTGCCTGCCGTCTGAAGTTGGCTGAGCATCCGTGGTGCTATTCTCGGACTGCTAGAGCAGTGTTCCCGCCTTCATGTGCTTGGCTGAGCTGGCTGGCTGCGACAGCACTGGAGAGCTTACGGAACAGAAAGGAAGAAGCCAACAACACAAGCTGGAGAGCTAACTCTTTGTTTGGTTACAACTCCCGTTCCGTTGTTACATGAGATGTTTGGAGGATGGAATCCCTCCTCCCTCTATTCTGAGCCCAATCCGCTCGTCGGGCCGGTCAGGAACGGGGCGCCGTTGACCGCTTGCCTGCGTTGAGATGCACTGAACACCCGGCCACGGCGTCTTTCGCACTGGTCTTCCGCGCTGAACTTTCACACACGTTGGCGGGTGATGTGGCATCGGCACCGGCACCGACTGGCATTGGGCTGGCAGTGGCTGTCATGGAGTGGCATGGACTGCTGTGGACTCCACCGGCAGCTGGCTTGCATGACTTCCAAAAACATGGACCTCACAGGCCACACATACTTGGGCAGCCGTTCAGCGCGCACTGGCCACACGCCGGGCTGCCCACCAGCGCCCACTTCGCCCGCCCAGGACCTGCTCGGCCCTACCAGCCTGCCAGGTTTCCCCAAGCCTCCCCCCGTAATTTTACGAGCCTTCTACGTGCAGATTGCACATTTTGCGACAAAAAACACCCAGCTTTCCCTTTGATCCGCAACTCATCGCCTCCCATCTTTCCCCTCACTCTTTTTCTCTTCAATTGTTGTGTGTCTGCTGCTGCCAGTGCTGCTCGTGCTGCTGCTCACCTGGTTGACCGAACCATCTCGTGCTCGCACATCTTATCGAACCCCGGCTCGTTCTTGGTGCAGAAAACGGGAAAACGCGCCCACCCCCAAGCAAAATCCCCCCGACCAAAGAGGCTTGCCTCGAAACATCGATCGCTTCATTCGTCATCCATCGGCTGCCGCTTTCTTCCCACCGCCGAACTCTCTCTATCTCCAATATCTGTCTGTCGCCGCCCAGATCCATACCATCATTTCCAGACTCCACCTTCGCATCCAGCGCGCAACACTTGAATTGCTCGTCGTCAGTCTGATCTCCAGCGCTCCGTCCTGCTTGCAAATAAGGGGGAGCTAGCGGTCGCATTGACGCCTGCGTTTTCCCACGCCGGTCGCCTAATCCCCTTTGTAACACTCATCATCCATAGGCTCCTTCGCTTGGAATCTCATCTTCGAGAATGGCGCTCGGAACGATCAAGTGCGTCTACCAGCTCCTCTATTCTCCTCCCCCCTTTCCTTCTCCTGCTGCCCTCTTTGCGCCCGCTTCGCATCGCTTCTGAACTGGCCGTCGACCGACTTGACGTATCCTGGACGCGGTGCATGCATGCTCGAGCATCGCGTCGCTTGCTCCTCAGTTACTGTCGTGATGCCGGACGCACTACAGAGGTTCTTGGAGCCATGCTGCTATTGAAGCGTCTGCTCTGTTGGCTTGGCGCAGAGCGATAGCGACAAACCCCTCCTCCTCCCTTCCGTTTCGAATGATCAGGGTGATACCGTCGGTCATACTAACTGTGCCATCTTAACAGGTGTGTGGTAGTTGGTGACGGTGCGGTCGGTAAAACATGTCTTCTCATCAGTTACACGACGAACAAGTTCCCCTCGGAATACGTTCCGACGGTCTTCGATAACTATGCTGTTACTGTTATGTACGTCGACTCCTTCTCTAATGACATCGACACCGCTCCTTACGCGTCTCGCCTTCATCTCCGAGAGCCTCTATGTTGCTAAACAACATTTCGTTTCAGGATCGGTGATGAGCCTTATACGTTGGGCCTGTTCGATACTGCTGGTCAAGAAGACTACGACCGCCTGCGGCCATTGTCGTACCCCCAAACCGACGTGTTCCTCGTTTGCTTCAGCGTCACATCCCCTGCTTCCTTTGAGAACGTGCGGGAGAAGTGGTTCCCAGAGGTCCGCCACCACTGCCCTGGTGTGCCCTGCTTGATTGTCGGCACCCAGGTCGACCTCCGGGATGACCCTCAGGTCCTTAATAGGCTGGCCAAGCAAAAGATGCAGCCGATCACCAAAGAGCAAGGAGAGGAGATGGCCAGGAGGTTGGGTGCCGTCAAATACGTGGAGTGCAGCGCTCTGACACAGTACAAGCTCAAGGATGTGTTTGACGAGGTAGGTTTCTTGGATCGTGTTGGCCAGCTGAGTCAGCGCTGTTGCGATTGGCGTCCACTGCTAACCGTCTCAACCGTTTAGGCAATTGTGGCTGCCCTTGAGCCCCCAGCACTAAGCAAAGGGAAAAAGCACAGATGCACCCTTCTTTAATTACGGCTCCCCGACGGCGGATGTGGTTAGTTGTCTGGTCAAGCCCACTACCAGGAATGGAAAAGGGTTTTGTCAGGAACAAGAAAAAAACGCGACCATCTGGACAGCTATCTATTTTCTTGGGCCCTCTTTTGAGTTCCACGGAGCCCTCTATATGAGACTACAGGAACGGAGAAGTAATCGTCCAGCCTGAGCTCATATTAATGCTCGGCTGAGATGCAGTGCGGTGCCTACCATGATACCGCGGGGAGAGGAACGGAGAGAGCTTTTAAGTACTCTTTGACTATATTCTTTCTCTCGCTCTCACTCGATCTCTTCGATCCACCCGCTTTCACATTGCAGCTATTCAGGATACCATGCAACGAGGTCCGTTCAGGGGGGTTGTTGACCCTTTTCAGCGGGTCAGCGTGGCAGGAGAACATTTGGCTGGGCTCTGAGTAGACTCGATGAGCAACAAGCCTTGTTCACTAACCGCTCTTTCCCTCGGCTCGTGTCTTCCCAACTGCTTGATTGGATATCATGGGTTGCTTGGAGACCTGTTAGTGCACATTTATCATCTTTGTTTCCTCCGTTTCTTATTGGATTCCCTTGATCTCTGTTGTCCATCGGGCGGGCAAAGTTTCTCATCAACCGAGGCGGGAACGCTCAATTTTTCCATAGGACAGTTTCGGCGATTGGAGTGCAGTTGAATCAAAGGTTGTGTAGTTTGTACGTTTTTGCTGACCTTGGTTTTCCTCTTCCAAGTTCACGCATTTTCCTTGGGATAGAATTGGACAATCAGTTGTTTCCCGTAATACTGGATACCTGCCTACCAGCGATGGCTGTCGACTGATATTATCTATCTCCTTACACGGTACAGTCCCTCGCACGGAGAAGTGACTGCATGGGGACAGCAGAGGTGAATGAATTAGGCAAGGCTCAACGAGCCATCAAACTGGTGCGACTGACTGCATGATTACAGTGCGGGGCGTGGCTACCACTGATACCTGGAGCTTGTCCATGATGGTGGTGTGTGTGCGCGGGCAGCAGGAGTATGGCGTGCAAAAAGTTTCTCATTGGGACGGTATTGTCATCTGGGAACTGCGTCAACCAACCCCTCCTTTCGGGACTTGTCTGCTTGATGTTGGCTGATCCGATAGCTCCAAGGGCGACACAAACCGTTTCCAAGACAAATGTCACTCCTACCATCAAATTGGAATATATATCTGAGTTGTGGTCGGAAACAGGCATTAACCCGAACCTACTTACTTGCTCTCCATTAGCCGGTACAAGCAGCACGGAGCACGACGCTCCATGACCAGAACCCTCGCCCTACTCCTCTGTTGATTGCCGGCTGAGCGCTGGAGGTGCTGCGTACTCACAAACAGCTGTGAGAGCTACGATTGTGGAGGCATCCAAGAGCAGCCGAGTTGAGATGGTCTGCAAAATGGGATGAACCCATGGAGTCACGGAGGCAAGGGCTAAAGGGAGAGAGGAAGGCAAACAACCGACTTTCAGTCGATGCACGACCTGAAACGCAGTCTAGTGAGTGGTGATAAGATAGCGGCCCCAAATGTTAGGTGTCGTGTCTCTTTGCCTTGGCTTTAGCTCTAGAACGATCAAGTCATAGTTGCGATGCGACCTCTGTTATCCGGACCTGACGAAAAAGATGTCTTTGCGTCTTCACCGCCGGGGTCAAGGTGCACCGGGCGTATCACGCAGCATTGGAGCCCCCGTTGATCATCCAGGGGTACAAACCCCTTATCGTTGAGATAGGGACCCTTAAAACGGTCGGGAAGGTAAGGTGCAGTGGAGTGAGTCACGATCATTGCAGCAGTGGCTCGAACACCCAAACCAATTTGCCCCGCCAACTTTTCTTCTTGGTATGACCCCACCATATCTTTTCTCGTCCCTCCGTCTTTCTGTCCCTCTTTCCCTCTTTCCCACAACTGTCACCTAAGCATTTTACCACACATCCAATCATTCTCTCCGACCCGAAAGAGCCCTCTTGCGTTCTAATTTTTCACCAACTGCAAGAAATTGGACAAGATGGCAGGCGACCAAGAGCTTGCAGATCGCACCAAGACCGAGGCGCCCGCTGCCACATGCTACATTGACCCTGTCAATGGCAAGGACGACGAGACCGCGGACGGCTCCGAGTCCAAGCCGTACCAGTCGTTGTATCATGCGCTGATCCAGCACCTCGACAAGCCCGCGCCGACATACCTTACTCTCGTCCCTCCCAAGGAGGGTGCCGACAGCGCTGATGGACCCAGGTGGGAGGCGCCAGCAAAGAGTGCCATGAAGAAGGCGCTTGCCCGCGTCGACGCCTACAAGAAGAAGCTGGCCAAAGAGCAGGCCTCGGCCAAGCAGGAGGAGGAAGAGCGCAAGCAGCGCCTCAAGAACCTGGAGGAGGCTAAGAAGATCGTTCTCAAGGAGGATCCGTCGCTGCCGCCGGCTGTGCGCATCAAGCTCAACAACTTCGACGTCGAGCTCGGCGACGGCGAGAGCAAGAAAGGCACTCGCGTCAAGGTCTATGGCCGTATTCAGCACATACGCGCTCAGAAGCACACGACTTTCATTACAATCAAGGACGGCTACGGCATTCTTCAGTGCATCTTCCCGACGGGTCCTCTGACCCAGAACTACGAGGCGCTTCTGTTCGCCCAGGAGACCGCCCTGGTTGTGTACGGTGAAATGCGTGCCGTCCCCCCCGGCCACAAGGTTCCCGGCAACCGCGAACTGCACGTCGACTACTTTGAAGTTCTAGGCCGTGCGCCGTGCGATCTAGACGCCATCACCAATAAGGTGTCGATGCAGCAGGACGTCTGGGACGCTCAGATGCTCGACAACCGCCACTTGGTGCTCCGCGGTGAGAACGCTTCGGCTGTGATGAAGCTCCGTGAGGCCGTTGAGCTCGCGTTCATTGACACCTACCGCGAGATGGAGTTCCGCAAGGTTTCTCCCCCGGCCATGGTGCAGACTCAGGTCGAGGGGGGTGCCACCCTCTTCAAGTACGACTACTATGGCGAGGAGGCCTACCTCACGCAGTCGTCGCAGCTGTACCTCGAGACCGTCATCCAGTCTCTGGGCAACGTGTACTGCATTGAGAAGTCGTTCCGCGCCGAGAAGTCACTCACTCGCCGTCACCTCTCGGAATACACCCACGTCGAGGCCGAGCTCGACTTCATTGACTTCAACGACCTGCTGGACCACATCGAGGAGCTCATCTCGCGTGTTGTCGACAAGGTGCTTGCGGACGACACCGCCCGCGGCTACATCGAGAAACTCAACCCCGGCTTTAAGAAACCGACCCGCCCGTTCCTGCGCATGCGCTACGAGGAGGCTATTGAGTGGCTTAACAAGCAAGATCCTCCTATCCTCAACGAGGAGGGCAAGCCGCATCAGTTCGGCGACGACATTGCTGAGGCTGCTGAGCGCAAGATGACCGACATTATCAACCGCCCTATCCTCCTCACGCACTTCCCTGTCGAGATCAAGGCCTTCTACATGAAGAAGGATCCTAAGGACCCGAGAGTCACGGAGTCGGTCGATGTTTTGAGTATGTATTCCTTTGATATGAAAGAAATATGGGATATTAGTGCTAACAAAACGATTTTTAGTGCCGGGTGTTGGCGAGATCGTCGGCGGCTCTATGCGTATGGACGACTACGACGAGCTGATTGAGGCTTACAAGAAGAACGGCATTCCTCACGAGCCGTACTACTGGTACACTGACCAGCGCAAGTGAGTGCCCCTCTTTATCCTGTAAGGTGTGCTCAGTGACGCTAACAGGCCTCAAGGTACGGCTCCTCTCCTCACGGTGGTTACGGTCTCGGACTCGAGCGCTTCCTCGCTTGGCTTGCCAACCAGCACACTGTCCGTACAACCTGCTTGTATCCGCGCTTCATGGGTCGCTGCAAGCCTTGAGTTGGTTTGCCTATTTTTCTTCTTCTACCTCGTCTTCTTGTCAGGGCTAGCATCTTGACCCTGATCGTTCACGAAGCCAAGAAGAGGGGGAGAAGTTCGGGAGGGTCGGAGGGGTTAGAGAAGAGGATACATGACGTCATCTATCAAGTTCCTATACATACATATATAGATCTGTTTTCTGATGACGGGAAAAAGGGAGGAATATAGATCTTTCTTGCCACGGCCATACTCTACTATACTTATTCTTTTTGATGAACATGTGATATCCGCGCCAATGTCTTCGCAGAAGAAGTTATTCTCTTTATTTAATATGGCCCAATACGACATATCGGGATCGTGTATCGTACACAGTATGTGTGATACGGGTTACTTGATTGACTTTTGGTTTGCATTTCTTTGGATGAAAACAGGAAGTGTCACCTGGTCACAATTTGCGAGTAACTCGGAAGGAAGGATATGGTGAACGCTGGCGCTTAACGCAGGGGTAATTCTCGAGTCGGGTGTATTGGCGTGGTGTTCCTACTCGAGTAGTACAAGACTTTCAGCTTGGGTGATCGACTCTGGTTATAATCATGTGAGTAATTGATGAGATCAATTCCCGATTTCCAGGTTGCATTATGGTTTTGGCAACAACGGATTCCAGGTACCCCTGAGATATGGAGAAGACTATGTCGATCATCCTGCCAGCAATTTGACCGCTTATCTGACTTTCACACGGTGATGCCTTCTACATAGCATTTTACCAACCTGTTATTCTTACCTTGATGCTCTTCAGGAATCTTCTTAACTCGATTTATTTAGCCTTCCGAAACACCTGATACACAGCAGCGCCCCCCTCCCCCCAGAAGGATGCAGGGTAGTGGCAACTCACAACACCGTAGAGCTTCTGGGATACAATCAAACCCTCAGTGGAATTTGGTCACCCCCCCTCCCCCCTCACAACAAGGGACGGTGGCACACTGTGTCTCATACCAGCCAGCGACCCGTTTGGCCGCTGCGTACTGCGGAAACTGATGATTTTTGCCCGTCAGAAGGCTGTTACTGTTTGGTATGCGTCCTGATCCGTTGGCCTATATCGTAATATCAAAGGCATGGGGGTTTTCTTAATATTGTGTTTGTCGCCCGGATTTGGGCATCTGCCTTTCATCGGAACCGAAGGCGTACGCATGTTGGATCCCTTCTTTCCCTGTTTCTTGAACAGCAAGCGGGCTTAGACAGTTCGGGTGGCTCTGGATTGTCTTTTGCCATTCCATGGTTACCCTGCGATCCGGCCAACTGATGCTTCCCTAGGTCCAAAAATATATGGTTTGCGCTGAAAAAAGTGGCCCAGATCTGGGGTAGGTTGTACGGTCCTACGAAACTCGGCTTCCCCAGGATTGCTGAGGCTGAAGTGCCCGTGTCTCTTCGAAATCGTTTGCATCAACGTTCCCCCTAGAAGTATAAGGTGACAACGGATTCCAGACAGTTGGAACGTAGGTGGGCCTAAAAACACACCAAACCTGCTCATTCTGTATGGAGAGACCTTTTATAATGCGACCTCGCGTTTGGACTGTTTTACTTTGACAACATAGGTTGGCATGAAAAACGATGACTTTTTATGGGTATTTTGTATCGAGTAGTTGAGACCGTGTTGAGGTCGCTCGCCTGGTGTGGTCGCTGCTTGCGTAGAAACGTTGAAAGTAGAAGGGCATCCAATCAGAGGACAAAGGAACCGACAAGCAGCGACTGCTACACCTGTCCACCTCCGTCGAGCATGTGGCCTGAACATCTTGGATGATGTGGTTGGCGCATGTGCCTACGGCGGAGGGTGGGACGGGCGATGGCAATGGCAATTGATGGGCATTGGCGGAATCTGGGCTGGGACAGCACAGCACGGCCTGCCAATGGATCTTCCAATGACTCAATAAGGTTTATCCATCTGTCATCCGTAGACATCCGTTCCTGTCTTTTTGCGGGCGGTACAACACATATCACTGGCCATCGAACTGCGAGTTTCCCCAAGCTGATGGTTGGCTGCGTCCACAGACGCATCGGGCGTTGCTGTGTGTGAGCCCCTGGGGCCATTCTTTGGGGAGTTCTGTATCCGAAAACGCAAATTCGCACCCCCCCCCTTTGCGCGAGTCTTCTGCATCACCAGGAAGTCCCAGCTTTCGCGCGGAGCCCCGTCTCAGGAACGTGGAACGGCCCGGGTAGACATGCGAATGTGACCAGAGCGCAGAGAAGGGGCAGAAGAGGAGATGAGATGGTCAGGAACAGAATTCAAAAAAGAAAAGACACAGAACAAGGAGAAACGGGAGTTTCAATGTTCCAATCCTGTTCTGTACTGGATCGATGGCCCACGGCAGAAGATGGAAGCCACGAACAGCAGCGAATGGCACAGAACACATAACACAGCGGACAGACAGCACCGGCGCTGTCCAAATTGGGCCAGCGGCCAACCGGTGCATGCTTCCCGCCGCGTGGCTGGCAGCATCTGATTGGCAGGCCGGGATGACACGGTACCCGCAGCCAAGTCCCTCGGAGGTCGTTTTGGCGGGGGCGTGCAGGCAGACTCCAAAAAAAGGAACCTGTCGGCCAGGTACCGCACTAAAACGGGCCCCCTGAAGTGAGGGTCTGCTACACCCCGCTGACCTGCCCAGAGCGCCCAGGCCCTGGGCAGCCCTGGAGAGACCCCCTGGGGAGGCGCTCCCTGTCGGCTGCAATTAAATCGACTTTTAGCTCGTCCACCTCACCTGGCTCCTCGTCGAGAGGACCCAATGGGTCCAGGGCCCCAGTCGTCTTTCACCTCCTTTTTTCACTCTTTTTTCCTTTATTTTACGTTAGTCTGCCTACACCGCACCCTCGTTCGTTCCATCTGGACCTTGTTGCCGTGTCCTCCCTTCGGCTTTCTTCCACCGCCCGACCTGCCTTTTTTTCTTCCTTCTTCCCTTCCTAACATTCTTTACTGCGGTACCTAGTAATAATTTTCGCTTTTCGGCGCACATTCCGCACATTCTTCGCTATACCCGGCACCGGGACAAGTGGATTTGACGAGCTGTCCTCCCGAGTCCAGTTGCCGCCATTCTGGGTCAATCAGGGTCATCTGCCACCTGGGAGTCCAGGTAATCGAGACACGTTTGCCTTGCCTCTCTCCCTGCCGACCGCCTAGGTGTTCCGAATTCTCTTCGACGCGTCGACTCTGAACTCGCGACCAACGTCGACCCTGAAGATCTTCGACCTTCGAGAGTCGATACGCCCTCGCCGATAGCCGACAGCGTCCTCGCGTCTGATCCGTCTGCGTTGCTACTCTTCGGCCACCCTGGCTCTCTGCCTAGCTTCATACTTTGTCCGACGAGGTTGCCAGGCGAAGCGTCCGATCCGTGCAATTTGTCAAGTCTCAGTCTTGGCCAGCCTGCTGCGATTGTCTCGTCCGTTTGAAAGAGGCATTGCATTATTTGCGGTTTAAAAAGAAGAGGTGGAACCGACTTTCTGGATTCTCTTAATTTGGTTCGAGTCCAGTTTTTCCCGTCTACCTTCGCTACCCTTGCTTGCCGGGCGCTTTTGCATCTTTCTGCCCTTGCTTCGTTTCGTCGACTTCCCCCTTTCGACTGCTCAAGCTTTCGATTAAGTCTTGAGCATCACCCGACAGTCTAGGCAACACCTCGCTGCTCTCGAGACAAATCATCTGGAGAGCCTGTTGTTCCTACGTCCTCTCGCGGGTACACGTTTCAGCTTAGCGCGTAGTTCTCGTTTTCGTGCCTGTCAAGGGGCACGTCTATATCGACAAAACGGCGGTCCTTTCGCACATCACTCGGGACAGCCTTGTCCCTCCGCATCTTCTCGGGATGCAGGATCTTTCGGGTACTCAGGCCGGGCCGAACGCCCAGGCTCGCTTCGGCCATGCTTCGAAGCCCTCCAGTAGCGAGACCGGCTTCTCACATGGCGCTTTCACCTCCAACATTCCCGGTTTTGCCGACAGGCACCCCCGCAGAGGCAACATCCCGACGATTAACACGCAGCCGGCCCAGAATCACCAGCAGGGCGGTCCTAATGGCGCCGATCTGACCAGCCCTGGTACGGGCTTCGATATGCAGTTTACCCCTCTGCTCCCTTCGCAACTGCTTCTTGGCAGCCCCTTCCAGCCCGGCACCCCTGCTGCCTTCGCGAGCCCTCACTTCCAGAATGTGAGCAGCTTTCAGGGCCAGCAGCAGAATCTCCAGCAACAGCAGAACGGCCCCTCGAGCCCGGGCCAGCAGAGCCTCTCTCCGAACGTGTACCAGTCCATGGTCTCCCCCTCGGCCTACGGTGCGCCGCAGTTCTTTGGCCCTCAGTCTCCGACGGGTACCTTTAACAATGTCGCTGGTCAGATGCAGGTACCCCTTCAGCCTACCTCGCCCGTGGGCATGGGCCCTGGCCTCGTTACTGGTACGAGCCGGACCGTGTATTTGGGCAACATCCCGCCGGACACTTCTGCTGAGGAGATTCTGAACCACGTTCGCAGCGGCCAGATCGAGTCGGTTCGCCTTCTTCCCGACAAGAACTGCGCCTTCATCTCGTTCCTGGACGCCAGCTCCGCCACTCACTTCCACTCTGACGCCATCTTGAAAAAGCTCTGCATCAAGGGCCAGGATATTAAGATTGGCTGGGGCAAGCCGTCTCAGGTCCCTACCTCGGTGGCCCTGGCCGTTCAGCAACAGGGTGCTTCTCGCAATGTCTACCTTGGCAACCTGCCTGAGGACATCACCGAGGAGGAGATCCGTGAGGATCTCGGCAAGTTCGGTCCCATTGACACGGTTAAGATTGTGCGGGAGAAGAACATTGCTTTTGTGCACTTCCTCTCCATTGCCAATGCCATTAAGGCCGTGAACCAGTTGCCTCAGGAGCAGAAGTGGCAGGCGCCCCGTCGCGTGTACTACGGCAAGGACCGCTGTGCTTACGTCTCCAAGACCCAGCAGCAAAATGCCGCCCAGTACCTCGGCATCGCCCCTGGTTATGCCCATCTGCTCACGGGAGCTGATCGGGACCTCATCTCGAATGCTCTGGCTCAGCAGTCCGTGGCTGCGGCTGCAGTCGCTACCGCGGCCGGCGGTATCCAAAACTTGGGTAACCGTACGATCTACCTTGGTAACATCCACCCGGAGACGACGATTGAAGAGATCTGCAACGTTGTTCGCGGTGGTCTCCTGCACCACATCCGTTACATCCCCGACAAGCACATCTGCTTCGTGACCTTCATCGACCCAACTGCTGCCGCGACCTTTTATGCGCTGAGCCAGTTGCAGGGTCTCATGATCCACAACCGCCGTCTGAAGATCGGCTGGGGTAAGCACTCGGGTGCTCTTCCACCGGCGATTGCTCTCGCAGTGAGCGGCGGTGCTTCTCGTAACGTGTATATTGGCAACCTGGACGAGACCTTCACCGAGGAAAAGCTTAGGCAGGATTTCTCGGAGTACGGCGAGATCGAGTTGGTCAACACTCTGCGTGAGAAGAGCTGCGCCTTCGTCAACTTTACCAACATTGCCAACGCTATCAAGGCCATCGAGGCGATTAAGAGCAAGGAGGAGTACAAGAAGTTCAAGGTCAATTTTGGCAAGGACCGCTGCGGCAACCCGCCGAGACAGCTGGCCCAGCTTCAGGGTGCTACTGCCAACGGTGCCAACTCTCCCAACGCCAACGGCACCAATGGCAATGCTCCAACCAGCGCTGCTGCTGCCGCGGCTGCTCTCTTCAACCCTGCTACCAATCCTCTGACTCTGTACCTCCAGCACCTCGCCCAGCAGGCGCAGCAGCAGCAACAGCAGCAGCAACAAGCCCTCGCTGCTCAGCAAGCTGCGCTCTTCGGCACGGCCGCTTCCTCTCCTAATGAGCCCAATGGTCTGACTCTCGAGGTGCCTCAGGGCCCGAACCATCACGGTCATGGCCACTCCGCTAGCATCTCGACCAATGGCTTCGGCAACCCGGCCCCGACTGCGACGACCACCTCGTCGGGCGCGCCCACGATCGGCGGCTTGCTGGCTCCTGGCAACCCGCGGGCGTCCCACAGCCGTGCCGTCAGCCTGCCTGTGCTGGCTCCTGGGTTTGAGAACGGTGGCAACAGCCCTGGTCTGCACGGCGGCAATGATGGCGGTCCTGGCCCCGAACGCCGCGGTCATCAGTACCAGGCTAGCTTCGGTGGTATGGGTGCTGGTTTCGGTCTCGGCCTGCAGGGGAATCTGAATGGATGGCCTGTTGAGGAGGAGGTTGCGAACTGAGCGCCGTTTGAAAGATGGTGGAAATATTGGACGGCGGACCAAAACCGGGAGGAGATTTGAGTTGGATATTGTGTTGTAATTTTTCTTGGTTTTTGTCTCGCCAGTTTTGCGTATCTATTTATTTGCCGTTGGAGTTGCACACGACACTCCGTTCTCCTTCCTTATCTCTTCAGTCTTGTGTTTTGACCCTATTCTCTCATATTTCTTCCCTTTTTCTACCTATCGCCTCTTCGCTCCTTGTAATCACCCTACACTCTCCCTCTTCGTCTGTATCATGTTTTGGATAATCTTCTCACTCCTTTTCATTTCCTTGGTTTTTCGTTCCCAGTTTCCTTCGTCCCGGGGATGGTTGCCGTCGGGGCTGATGTGAAGAAGTTGGAGACATAGCAGTGAAGTTGTCGATATGATGAGAGGTTGACTGATTGGGACGGGTTAAAGGAGTATAGACCAAGTGGGTGTGTGATACGTCCTTGGGAAATGAAGAGGAACGGGAACCATGAGAGTTGGGCAGTATGGAAGGGAGTAATCATTGTCATAGTTACGGTCACCGTAAGTTGGCCGAGTCAGATGGGAAGTGCTCCCCATGCCCTGGCCGGCTTGCATTACATAGGAGATGGGGTCAGGTAGGAAAGGGAATCATACTGCGTCATCTTGAGGCTTGTGTCCATATTGTCTTGGTGGTATATGTGAAGGCATATGGTATAATCACTGTAATCGTGCGAAGCATGAACTTGGGTAATGGATGGGCAGCTTGTTTATGGACCATACCCCTAATTCAATGCAAAAGAAAGCCCAAATCAAAACATCACATTCCGTACATTAGCTTACAACAGCTCTTTGATTCCCTCCGATGTGTTTGATGGCAGCGTCAACCGTATTCTCCGTGATGAGATGAACCTGAAGTTGGGCGGGAGTTATACTGCGCTAACCCTAACCCTGGCATCTCGTTGACGCGCTGCGCTCCACCATGCCACTTCACCAAGCTGAACCAGGGCGCGTCTCAGTCGCGGTTCGAATTCCGGCACTGGACCCTTCCGTACACTCTAGCAGCGCACACATTCGAATATCTTGCAGCAGAGCAGCCAAAAAAAATACTGGTCACTGTTAAAAAGGCGAAGAAAAGAGGAAACCAGCTGTCACAATGGCATCGCGGTCCGACACAGAGCTTTTAACAGAACACTTTGGCTATCCGCCGGTTGTACGTCTTACCCGCAATTACAACATGACTGAAGAAGACTCTAGTTAACATACTGTTACCCTTGCCCAATCCAGAGCCTTCTCGATGAAATCATCAACTCAGTCAACTTCCTCGCCGAGCGCGCCCTCGCCAGCATCGAGCAGGGTCTGCTCAACGCTCCTCCCGCAAGCTTGGGCTTCCGACCTGACAGCAACGCTAAGAAACAGCAACAGGCTAAGGCGAAACAAAAAAAGAAGGGGCTGAATGGGACAGAGCAGGATGGGGATGAGGATAAGGATGAACAGGAAGTTGACTATGCCCAATTACATCGAGATGAGGTTGAAGCCGGTGTCCATCAGCTTGAGACGCTGCTGTGGGCGAGTATCGACAAGAACTTTGACCGGTTCGAAATCTACGTAATGCGCAATATCTTGTGTGTGAGGCCGGGGGAGGATTCGTGGATTCGGCTGGGACATTACGATGGGTTGGAGCTTCCGTCACAGTGGCCTTTGGAAGGGTCAGGAGCTGATGGGGACGGCGGCGGAGATAAGAACTCAGGGGGAGGAGGAGGAGGAGGAGGAGGGAAGAAGGAAGATGACGATCCCGTGGGGTTCGGACCCTGCCCGCGGCATAGAAAGCATCAACCACTTGCGCCGACGCCTGCAGGCGAGCAAACGGCTCCAGGCAATGCTTGTCGCCGAACGAGCGCGCAACGCGGCCCTCCTGGCAGAGATGAAGCGTCTCCTCGGCGTGGTTGCTACCACACCTTCAGAACCCGAAGTCGAACAAAACAACGACAATAATAAACCAGCCCCCTTCCGCTTCCTGCGCAACAAAACCCCGCTCTCCTCGACCGACGCATCCGCGCCTCTCACAACGACCACCGCCTTTGCTTTGTCCCAGCTTCCTGCGCTTCGTGACCTGTCATCTGATTTACGTAAGGCGCTGCCGAAACTTGCTGCCCCTGTTCCCGACGAAGAGGATGAACTCGATTCAGGAGATGGGAAGAAGAAGTCCTGGCGCGTCGAACGCCTCGAGTATGTCGAGACTGCCGCGCGCAGGCATCTGGAGAAGGTTCGCGGGCTGGAGCTCACGGAGGATGGGGAGGTCAAGGATGGACAAGATGTGTTAGTTGGTGGGGAAATGGGTTCAAAGGGGCTTGGCAGGCTAGAGAAGGAGCAAGTGGAGGGGCTGGAGAAGGTTGTTGGGATGTTGGGTCGGAAGACAGGATCGGTGAGGAGACAGGATGGTTCTTCTGGGGAAGGGGAGGACGTGGATGAAGGGGGGGGAGGGGATAGGATGGATGAATCGTAGTAGAGGGTGTTTTTTTTCTTCCTTTTTTTTTTTACGAGAGAGCATGCAGTATGGCATACTCACTTGGGAGAAAGTCTTCTATACGTGTGGAAATGGGGATTCAGATATATATTATATGTCTTTACGGGCTGGTTAAGTTATGATACCAAGAAACGGCATGGGAAGATACGCGATTTCACGACTCTCCTAAGGAACTTGAGTTCATACTCGTACACTCTGGCACTTTTATTACAGTTTTTTTTTTTCCATAAGTCATGGACATAGATGGTACATAGTGCACGGTCTCTGCACCACATTCACTCCTGACGCCGTTTCAATGCTGCTTCTGCCACCTATACATTAGATATCGCCGCCGCAGCAGCAACCGGCTGGCCTGCAACCGGTGCAGGGCCAGCAAGTCCAGGCCCAGGAGGACCAGCCCCTCCAACTCCTTGCTGCTGCCCCGATTCCCCAACCAAATCGCCCGGCACAAGTCTAGGCTCATCCACGATGCTCTTCCCCTGTAATTCAGGTTGCTGCCCTTCCTCACCACCCTTCTTGGCATCCCCTTCACCCTCATCAATCTTAACCAACATCGGTTCTTGCCCCTTTTCAGCTGCTACCGGCGTCTCTGTGGCTAGGGCAGTCGGAGCAGCAGCCTTGTGCGGCGCATTCGGTGAAGGGTCGACAAACCAGTCTGGCGCGCCAGCAGCAGCGTAGTCGCAGCGTCCGACGTAGCAGCCTAGCAGAGCGCTGAACTTGAAGTCGCCGCGCAGGGCGCGCTGGATCTGCCGGTAGGCGTAGGCATTAGCATAGGGCAGGCCCGTCTTCGGGTCGCGGTACTTGGCTGGGCGGTTGGTAATGACGCAGAGGGGCTGTTCGGGTTCTGGAGGGCGAGTCAGTATTTGTGTGGAAGAATAGTTATTGCGGAGAGTAACTTACTAGCAAGCTTGTTCATGGTACGCCCGAAGATGATACGGGTCTGGACCTGCTTGTCTTTAATTGCTGTATCGTCGAAGCCCTGCAAGATAATGCAACTCCGAGTGAACTTAGTGCCAACGGCCGGATCCCCCGGAGTAGTAGTTGCAACACCTGGCTCCTGACCTGGTGCCTGAGCGCCCACCTGGGGCTGGTCGGCTGGCTTTGCAGACGGGGGCTGGGCCTCTGGTTGTGCTGTAGCTGAGGTAGATGGAAGTGGTGGCAGGGGTAGGGTTGCTGGTGGCTTTGGAGTAGGTGCTAAGGGAGTGAGTGCCGGGGCGGTTGCCTGAGGAGGTGCCAAAGAAGCTGGGGTAGCTGGGGCAGCTACAGGAGCCGCTGCACCAGGCATCTGCAGCGGTAAGGGCGTTTGTGAGGTATTAGGGGGTGCTAGTATGTTAGACTTTCCTCCGGGCATAGGAGCTGTCACACCGGCTGGAGGGGCGAGGACTGGCGCCACAAGCACACCTGAACTCCCTGGCCTGACATCAGGTGGCGGGGGTATGGGGGGAGGTGCCATTGGTGTGTGGGTAGGTGCTGGAGCTGGCACTGGAGGTGCTAGGGATGGTACTGGTGGTGAAGGTGTTGGGGCTTGACCTGGCGCTGGAGCTGAGCCTGGTACTGGAGCTGATGCTGGCCCAGATGCCGATGGTGGTGCTAATGCGGACGCCAGTGGTGGCACAACAGGAGCCTCGATTGGCGTAGCAGGGATATCGGCATTCTCTGCCTTAACAGCTGGCTGCTCGCCAGCCTCAGGCCTCTGCTCGGGCGTTGGGGCTTCCTGAGCCTCCTTAGCCGCCAGAGCTGCCGCAACCGACGGCCTTTTCCTCCGCGGAGCCTTTTCCTCCATGGAAACCAGGTTGCCAATGTGCTTGGCTTGTCCCTCCTGGATCTCCTGGATGCCACTCCAAAAGGTGATGACCGGCCCGGACAGCTTGCGGCTATTGAGCGCCGCGATCTTCTTCATGCGCTCCTCCTCTCTCTGCTTCTCGAGCTCAGCCCAGCGATTCAAGCTCTTAGCATTCTTCTTCTCAACAATGGCAGCCTCGGCCAGGCGCTCGGCCTGGGTCATGGGGCGCTTCTTCTGGGACTCGAGCATCTTGGCCTTCTTCTCCATGCGCTCCAGCATCTTCTTCCGGCGCATCTCATCCTCCAGCATCTTCTGATGCAGCAGCTGCTTGCTGAGCTTGGTCGTCTGACGCTCCGAGGAACGAGTAGGCATGTCGGCAGGCGAGGGCAGCCAGCTAGTGCGTTCCGACTTTTTCTTTGGTCGCGGCGGTCGTTCAGGCTGTTCGATGCGAACCTTCTTACGAAATTTGGCCGGTATGGCTTCCTGTGCCTTGCGCTTGCGTTGAGACATGCGTTGGGCGCGAGCCTCGCGCTCCAACTCCTTCTCACCAGCTAGCTCGTCGCCGTTGTCCTCCTGGTCCTCATCGTCGGATGACGAGTCCATCTGTTCATCGGACGTGTTCTCTTGGGCTTCGTCCAAACTGAAGACGGTGTCCTTCTCATCTTCGGCGAAGAGCAGTTCAAGATCGGAATCAGAGTCGGCAGGTATCTCATTGGCGAGCACTGATTTCATTCGGTTGCCGGCGGTCGACCGTTTCGCGCGAGATGTTACGAGCCATTCGACCTGCAGGGGCTCCTCAGAGCCTGTATCTTTGCTCTGCTTGTTGTCGTTTTCGTCATCGCTGCTATTGGTACTCGAGAGATCGGACAGGTCGTCGAGCGAAGTCAGCTTGTCGTCGTCGTCGTCGCTAGCCATGACACCGATAAAAATTTCCTCAGCTCTATGTCGGTCGTCTGTCCTCAATAATTTTGCGACTTTGTCGTTTAAGTCCCAGCTTCAAATGCAAGGGATCGGTTCGAAATAGGTAGCATGAATGTTGAGATGGAAGAATGATGGATGCGATGGAAGCAAGAAGCAGAAGACGCGTGCTGCGACTCGGTCCAAGATTTCCTGTGAAACCGCGCCGCTGGTTACGGAAAAGGTCGTAAATTACTTCACTTGATGCCTGCTTTGAATTACATAAGCAAGCGTAAATTACAGTGACAGGGGTTGTCTGCCGGCGGCAAGACTGGAAGTCGGCGGGGCGAGTCCCCCACAGATCCTTGCGGGCGGAACCCTTCTGGCAGGTTTAGCGTCCAATTGCGCCATCGACCCTGTCCTGAACAAGGGACCTCACAGGGCGCTCGCAGGGTCACAGTGGGCAAGATGCCCCGCAGTTCTGACATGCCACCTTGGAGAATGAAAGAGTTCATCCTTACACCCGCCGACGCCGGGACCGAGAGCAGGTTTCGAGTTTGGAGTTGAGCCATTGCCGCCGAGGATTTGTTGGTTTTCTATTTTTTTGGGACTGCTCCTCGCCTAAATTTGAACTCTTCTCAAACCTCTACTCCTCCATCTTTACCTCGCCCTCTAAATATAATACAACTTCCATTATAAGCTGTCGCTCATAATGTTCCGCCACGGCGCCCGCGCGTTCGCGACCAGCGCAAGCCGCCTGGCGGTTGCTGCTGCTGCTGAGCCCAGCGCACGCCTAGTCAACGTGGCCAGGGCCCAGGGCATCTCACGCGGCTTGACGGAGGGTGAGTTGTTGCGCTCAGGTCCTCTTATACATTGCGCTCTGGCTAACATGTGCCCACAGCCATCGGCAACACCCCTCTCATCCGGCTCAACCGCCTCTCCGAAGAGACGGGCTGCGAGATCCTCGGCAAGGCCGAGTTCATGAACCCCGGTGGCAGCGTCAAGGACCGCGCTGCCCTGTACATCGTCAAGGACGCCGAGGAACGCGGCCTTCTGCGCCCTGGCGGCACCGTCGTCGAGGGCACCGCCGGCAACACTGGCATTGGCCTTGCCCATGTCTGCCGTAGCCGCGGCTACAAGCTGGTCATCTACATGCCCAACACCCAATCGCAGGGTAAGATCGACCTGCTGCGTTTGCTGGGCGCCGAGGTGTATCCCGTCCCCGCAGTCCCCTTCGACAACCCGAACAATTACAACCACCAGGCCAAGCGCCACGCTGAGTCTCTCCCGAACGCCGTCTGGACGAATCAGTTCGACAACACGGCCAACCGCCGCGCGCACATCGAGACGACCGGTCCCGAAATCTGGGAGCAGACTAATGGCAAGGTCGACGCCTTCACCTGTGCCACCGGCACCGCCGGCACTTTGGCCGGTATCACCCGCTACCTGAAGGAGGTGTCTAACGGCCGCGTCAAGAGCTTCCTGGCTGACCCGCCCGGCAGCGTGCTGCACTCGTATATCCAGTCGGGCGGCAAGTTGATCGAGCGCACGGGCAGCAGCATCACCGAGGGTATTGGCCAAGGCCGCATCACCGACAACCTGGCCCCGGATGTCGGGTTGCTGGACGGCTCGCTGCACATCCCTGATGAGAAGACCATTGAGATGGTATACCGCTGCCTGGATGAGGAGGGCCTGTACCTCGGTGCCAGCTCGGCGCTGAACGTGGTGGCGGCTAAGGAGGTTGCTGAGAAGCTGGGCAAGGGTCACACTGTTGTGACCATCCTTGCTGATGGCGCGTATCGGTATGCGGATCGTCTGTTCTCAAGGAAGTGGTTGGAGTCGAAGAACCTGCTCTCGGCGATCCCAGAGCATTTGCAGAAATATGTCGTCTTGCCGTAAATGGGCATAGCGAAGCATAGCATGGCGTTCTCGGGGCGGCGACGGCGAGCTGGTGTGGTATCATTTGTTTTTTTTTTTTAAGGGGGGGGGGTGTTGGGTGGTTGGTTTAAAAATACATAGATATTTACACACATTCTACCTGTACATAGATGGAAATGGAGCCCTTGGTAAGGCATTCCGCGCTGTCTATACTATACCCAACCTCCGTGCTTATCTCATTAAAACGTTACCATTCAGACTCATCCTTCGCTCCCTCTTCGCTCTCATCCCGGGCAAACAGCTTATTGTACATAGTCAGACCCCTCCCAGTCTTACCCTCCTCCTCCATTTTCTGCAACGCCAACCTGATTTCAGCCTCAACTGCATCAGCACGGTTCTGCAGCTGCATTTGAAGCGCCGGATCCTCCACCACCTGGGTGGCCATAACTAGACCGCTCAGAATGGGCGACGCGTAGAACAGGAATTGGTTCGGGAGCAGCAGGTACTTGAGCTTGTTGTCATCCAGGTAGTTCTCCTCGGGCTGCATGTTGAGCAGCCCTGTGTTCTCCGGCCACAGTTCAACAATCTCCTCTGCCCACTTGGTTACCTTGCCGTCGACGTCCTTGCTACCCCTATGGTGCACAGCCAGCGCCGCAGCCATGTGCAGCCGCGCCGCAAGCACTTGAGGATCGCGATGAAACATGCGCAGGCACCGCTTGGCGTCCGTAGGGTGATGAAGCTCGTCGGCCTCAATCTCGTTGATGATGAGCTTCACACGCTCCAGGGCACGCTTAATCTCAGCCTTTTGCCAGCCGCTCTCGATCGCCACATTCTGAATCCACACTAGCACCTCGTTGAGGAGCTCCGAGTTGTCCAGCAGGAAGCCCGTCTTGTCGGCCTGCAAGAACATGTCCAGGATAACAGGCAACATCTTCGCCTGCGCCGCCATGCGCACCATCTTGAGATGGAAATGGTCTGGCAGCTTGCGGTGCGCCCGCTTGCAGCCTTCCAGCAAGGGCGGCAGGTTAAGGAAGTCCTGGGGCTCCTTCATGAGCCTGAGGATATCGGTAACCAGCTTCTTGACATGCGGCAGGGTGAAACGGTCGACATAGCGGAACTTGTGCACCACACCGTCGATCTCGATAGTAATAGGATCGTTTTCGAGCTCAACCTTAAACTTCTCACGGTAGATCTTCTTTTGCTGCTCGGGAGGGAGGTATGTCGGCATGACAATCCTCTGGTTGAACTCTTGAATAAGGTTCTTCAGTTCGGGCGACGAGGTCTTCTCTGAGAAGGTAATAACTTGCTTCACTATGAATGACAAAGGGTCAGCAGCAGCCCGAGGACAGTCGCAATAGGGGGCCCGGCATACGATATTGTGGCCTCGTCGTCGACAGCGCTCTTTGCTGGAAAACGGCGCTCTGGCGTAGGGGCAGCCATGGCCTGCTTAACGCAGCCCGGAAGGCGCTCTGTGTTGAGGATGCGCCGAACATGGTGCTCGGCAGGTCTGGATTGGGTTGGCGATGCGGCTGTCTTCAAAATGCACCGCGGTCCCGGACTGTCCTGAGTCTCTCAAAGAGAGGGTCCTTGCAAAAGTCATGGCCTGTCCGGCTCTTTGCTTGGCTGCGTCCAAAATCTTGGTGGGGCCAGGGCCCTGCCAAAGCCAATCACAGCCCACCGTACTCCCAATTGAGCGATATGATTGGTCTACCGGCAAGGCTGAGAGGTGAGCGTTGCGTGGGGCTAGCACAACGACAGAACTTTGACCCGAAGCCGTCGACTTTAAGCATACCATCGCTCACCTTCCTCCCGAGATCGTCGCGTGCCGGGCCGCGAAGCCAGCCAGCTCTTCGTGTCCCTTCTGGTCCATCTTCCCTCCTCGAAAAACCTGCATACCAGATGAACGTTGCGCCGCTGGCCAGGCGGCCCTTGGGCTGCCTGAAGGCGAGCCTTCGCCAGGCGAGGCAGCAGAAGCTGCTGGTACGCAGCATGGCTACCGAAGCCTCAACATCATCACAACAGACCGAGAACGTTGCTTCACCACCAGTATTAGTGCAGCCAGGATTCCGTGAGCCACCCCCTGGCCCTTCTCCGCACGACCTCGCCCCCCCCCCTTCTAGTTCATTATTCACTCTCTAAAACTAATCACCAGACATCATAGATAAAATCATCGACAGAAAGACAAAAGAGATCAAGTCTGCCTTCGCTGTCTACCCCCAGGGCACCGCGGCCGGCACTATCACCGCGAAGCCACCGCCAAAGGAGCCTCTGAAGCTGCTGCACGAGATGCAGATCAAGAAAATGGATCCGACCGGTGCGCGCACCGCCATGTTCGCCCGCACACGCGAAGCCGTCAAGCCGGGCGACGTGCTGATGGTTACACATCGTCGTGGCGGCGAACCCTTCGCCGGCGTGTGCTTGGAGATCCGGAGGCGCGGCATTGACACGGCCGTGCTGTTGCGCAACCACCTGGGCAAGACAGGCGTCGAGATGTGGTTTAAGATTTACAACAAGAACGTGGCTGGTATCGATATTGTCAAGCGCCGGCCCAAGCGTGCCCGCCGCGCTCGTCTTACTTACATGCGCCAGCCCAAGCACGACATGGGCAGCGTCGAGGAGTTGGTGTTTGCTTGGAAGAAGAGCCGTCGTGTCTTCTCGACGACCAAATCCGGTGCTGCGTCGGCGTCGGCGGCTGGCAAGGGTGGTAAAGGTGGGAAGGGCAGCAACGGGAAGAAGAAATAGACAGTTGTCTGGTAGGAGGTGAGTTGTGGTGTTGGAAAGGATGGTTATGGGAGGAAGTTGTCGGCAGCGGGAGTCTGCCGTGTACTTGTGTATACCACTTGATGTATAAAGTATCAAATGTTTTCTGGGATGTTGTAGGGGCTTTGGGGATTTTTGGGATGTGATGGCACATGATGAGACAGGAATGCAAACTGGCTCACCCCTCATTCGCCGGTCTCTTTCCAGCAGTTAGTTCTGGAGAATCTGGTCAACGGGTTGCAGTTGTGTTCGTCCTTCTTGCTAAATGTAGGATATCTGTTATGGTACCCAAAGGCCGAGAAGGCAAGTTGACCAACGCCACATAAGCAACTTTTGGTTTTTAGCACGATTTGTCAACGGTTATCCATGGTGCCTTATGTCACTCAGGCTTCTATAGGTAGGCATCCTATCGCTCATTACAGCCCTATCGCTCATTACAGCCTACGAAATGAAAGAGAGAGTCTAGGACTTGATCAAAATCGAGAAAACGTTACACCGAGGCCTTCTTCCGTATCTATGTTTCAAAGCAATCAAGACGAAAATTCATGGTTTGGGGGCTTTACGCTGAATTCTAGCGATTTGCTATTTTACTCTCCCTCACAACCTCAACAATTCCCCCCCCCCTTTTTTTTCCATACAAGCTTAAGTGGAGAGTCCGCTTCATAAAGGAGATTGAAAAGGAACTGTCTGAACATGGGCCCAATATTAGGTAAGAATAGACTCACGTCACATCATATAGTTTCAGTTATGTTCAGTCTATCTCGAACCATTGAAGCTGGATTGAGACTGCTGACCCGGACACCACCTCAAAGGCGGTGAGAAGATCATCCCCTGTCCATTACCTTCTTCATTGGAGAGGGGAGAACAGGGCCCACATCCGTATCTGCTCCATGAATCCCAAGTTCTTCTTCATCAGCGGATGAACCAAGCAATAAGAGAATAAAGGTGTGGATGTGGTTAGTCAATCAAGTACATGGCTTCGAAATGTGAACAGGATGAATGGGCCCAAGCATATCTTTGGAGTGGCCAAAATCATCCAATGTTAATCCAGTGAAAAAAAAAAAAAAGTGAAAAGGCCTGAGAGTTGAAGTCTATCGAGTCTTTACCAATTGTTGGGGGATGATAGCAGCAGGCCCGAGAAGAAGCTTTGTGAGACAAGCGGCTCGAGAGCACAACGAGCCTATTTTTTTACTCGGAGCCGGAGATTGATCCCCCACGGTTGGGCGTGGTGGTACCGGGGCGTGTAGAGGTTGCATGACGCATGCAAAGTGCATAGTGACTGTCATCGTCTATGCACATAACCACATCTGTAAAACACTGATGGCAATGAGATGAGGTGATAGGAACTCGGAGGCCTCGGGAAGTTGGCCAATGTAGTTCATAGTGCAAAAAACTTTTCACTATCCGTCTTGGCTGTGGTACTTTGATATCGTTGAGGGCCCTGTCCAGCCACCACTTCGTCACAATGTTGGTGGTGCCTGTGCTGCTCTGCTGAATCGGGGGATGCTGTATCACTTTGTGCAACTGCTGGCAATTTCTCGAAGCCCCTAAAAAGCAGTGTAACCACCTTGTCTCACAGATTGGCTATGTACCATATCAAACAATATCAGATAGCTTTAGTATACACACAAAAGGAAGAGAAAGCCTTCAAGTCCTCAATTCAAGACGGGGTGAGAGTCAAGAGCTCAAAGAAATGCTCATGATCAAAGGTTTTGTCTGATGTTCAACACCAATGTCGATTGATGAGTCTGAATGGGCGTTGGGGCTAATGCAGGAACAAAAGGAAAATTTTGACTTCGTCAGAAAGGCGGTCATGATAAGAACCCGTGTGGCGTTCATAAGCAGGTTCATGTCTTCCTTGCTTAACAATGCTGCATTTGATCCTTTACATGCCCGTTTCCTGTTTGCTTCCCAGAGCTGTGAAAGCTCCCAGGCCTGGTCCACAGCCCCACGTGCTTCTTCCAAGCGACACCAGCTGCCAGAAGTCCAGAACGTTGTCGGGGATCCACGTCAACGAACTCGGTCCCGCTCCGACTGCCGTGAACAAGCGACCAGGATCGGAGTGCTTGGCTTCCTTGGCCCTCAGCCCTTGCCGCGTTGAGATCTCCATCGGCGTTGCGCTTTTCTCTTGGCGCAGTGCACGAGCAGAGATCAAAGAAACACCCTCGTGTGGATGACGCCCAAGGTTGCAGCCAACCCTGGCTTGTTACTCACGCCCGGAAACCGCCTCCATTTGATATTGCAACCGTCGGGTCCATCGATATTGATATCAGCTTTCACCAGCGAGCTGTGAGCAGAGTGCCCTCTTGCTTCTGCTGCGTCCATTGTGTGGTCTTTTGACCGTTGCTTTCCACACTAAGCCTGTCTTTATTTCGCCAAACAGCCCAATTGATTCCGACTTCCGACAGTTCCCTTTGCGCCTTTGCAGTTCTCACCTCACACCTGCATCAAAGTTGCATCCATCTTTGGATAATACCCGTGTTGTGATCACACTCTTCCAGCTGTATTACGGCAATACTTTAACATTCTTGCTTTTTCAACCTCGATTCGTGACTTCCCCTCCTCACTTCTTTCCGTCACGTCCGTTAACGTCACAAGCCGCCTCTCCTGACTTGGACCATGTCTGCTCGTCGCTGCAAGCTTTGATACATTTCCTGCTTTGCAGGAAGTTCTCGCTCCTTGTATAGGAGCTTCGCTCGCATATTGCTTGCAGACGTGGTCCAATTGGCAATCGCATCGGGGTTGATACCAGTGTCGCTCTCACTGAACTTAGCATCTTTTTATCCTTTCCTTCGCGACATCGCAACTTCACCGCATTCTGGCATTCAGTCTTCCAGAGAGCGCCTTGCAGGTCCGTCACCATGGGATCATTCAAGGACTGGGTTGTCGGGCAGATCAAAGGGCTTAGGCCCTCCTTTATGTCACATAAACCACACTTCAACTTCATCACCGCCCACTGTAAGTTTGCCCTAAGCCAGGTCATTTGCTCACTAATCACGCAGTTAACTCATCCATACCCATCTAGACTTCTACATTCTCGGCTTGACATTTATTGGCTCAATTCTCCTCTTTGCTGGTGGTCGTGGTAACATTAGCTATACCGATGCCCTCTTCTTCGGTGCCTGTGCCAGCACACAGGCCGGCCTGAATGTGGTGGACATCAACAAACTCAACACCTTCCAGCAAATTGTCATCTATATCATACCGATGCTCGCCAACCCAATCACCATCAACTCCTTTGTCGTCTTTCTTCGCCTTTACTGGTTCGAAAAGCGATTCCAGCATATTGTGCAGGAGTCTCGGCTACGTAGGGGCACTATTTCCAGGGCAAAGTCTAAGGCAAAATCACTGCCTGGAGATCTTGAAAAGGGCGTTAACGGGAGGAAGATCACCGTGATGCTTAACGGGCATCGGTCACGGATGACCCCCGATGGCACCCTGCTGGAGGACGACCCTGTGCCCTCAGAAAAGAGCAAACTCGAAAGAAGGGCCTCGGATCCTCTCAGTCGTACCTCTTCGAGCTGGAAAATTGAATCGGATGCTCATCGCCATCCTGATATCAAGTTTTCACGGACAGTCACAAAAAGCGACGGGATGAGCGACGACGTTCTCAAACTGCCTCCGCTCCGGTCTGAGCAGGAACATATTGCAATCTTGGAACGACAGCGAAAAGATGATGACGAAGTCCTGCGGATTCCCAATCCTAGGGACGTGGAACGCGGTGTACTTCCGAAGCGTGTTGTGGCTGGAGAGGATGATGAACCTGACCCCCTTTCTCCTGCGAGGGGCGAATTCAGTCACGATGTGTGTGACGAGCCGCAGCATCTGACATTCGATGGCAGGCAGCAGGCCATCACGATTGAAGAGCCCGATCGTCGCAAACTCGAGCAAAGTGGATCTGACGATTCGCTGATCGATGCTAGGGCTGCCGTGCGGGCGCTGTCATGGTTTCGAATTCCTTTGCCCCGATTTTTGAAGCGGGGTAAAGCGAGACTTCATGACAACAAGCATCCTGCAGGCCTGGCATCAGCAGCATTGAAGGGCCGTCGGCGTTCACTCCAAACTCTCCGTACGGTTTTGTCCCGGGATAAGGTCGAGGGGACGCCATATCTGAGTTGGGAGCCCACAATTGGGCGGAACTCAGCTTTCCCGGACCTGACGGAGGAACAGAGGGAAGAGCTCGGTGGCATCGAGTACAGGTCCTTGAAGACGCTGGCCGTTATTCTTGTCTGCTACTTTTGGGTCTTCTCTATCCTGGGAGTCATCGGTCTCTTGCCATGGATCCTGCACGTCCAGAAGTACGGTCAGGTTGTCACTGCTGCCGGTGTGAGCAAGGTCTGGTGGGCCTTCTTCACGGCCAACTCGGCCTTCATGGATCTAGGTTTCACCTTGACGCCGGACAGCATGAACTCATTCAACACAGCTACATGGCCGTTGCTGTTCATGAGCTTCCTCATCATCATCGGCAACACAGGCTTCCCGATCATGCTTCGGTTCATCATCTGGAGCTTGTCACTTGTGACGTCAGTCGGCACAGGCCTATATGAAGAGCTCAGGTTCCTGCTGGATCACCCACGTCGCTGCTTTACCCTACTTTTCCCTTCAGCAGCTACGTGGTGGCTTTTTGGGGTCCTGATTGTGCTCAATGTTGTCGATGTTATCCTCTTTATCGTCCTTGATGTAAGTCGTGTTGACTTTATATTCCTCAAGTGGACTTCATCCTGACTTTATCATAGCTTGGTGCCGAGCCTGTTATCGCTCTAAGCCCTGGTCTGAAGGTCCTCAATGGGCTGTTTGAGGCGGTGTCGACGAGAACGGCTGGGTTTTCTAGTGTAAACCTCGGTCTTCTACACCCAGCGGTTCAGTCTTCGTACATGATCATGATGTACATTTCAGTCTTCCCAATCGCTATCTCCGTACGCCGAACAAACGTGTACGAAGAACAATCGCTGGGCGTCTACACCCCCTATGACCTGGACGACCAAGGGAACCAGAGTGACATGTCCTACGTCGGAACCCATCTGCGGCGCCAGCTCTCATTCGACTTGTGGTACATCTTCGTTGGCTTCTTCATTCTAAACATCACTGAGGGTTCGAAGCTTATGGCCAACAGGTTCAGTGGCTTCGCGATCCTCTTCGAAGTTGTCAGCGCGTACGGCACAGTGGGCATGAGCTTAGGTTACAGTGGGGGCAACGAGTCGCTCTCATCCCAGTTCAGCGTCATAGGCAAGCTGGTTATCATTGCCATGATGATCCGCGGCCGCCACCGTGGCCTGCCCTACGGCCTGGACCGTGCCATTCTCCTGCCCAGCGAGTCCCTTAGCGCCACTGAGGCGTCTGCCCCGGCCCCGATCAGCGTCGAGCCCGAGATCCCGCGAATCTCGAGACTTTATTCGCGGACTTCGGCTGTCACAGGTGGCCCTGACATCGGCAGCTCCGCCCGGCACAAGTCTTTCACCAGCGCTGATCCCCGCAATCTGCTGGCCTCCATCCTCCACCCGGGTCCCCCGTTGCCGTCCATGGGCCCAGCTGAGACGATTCGCCGTGCCGAGTCCATCCGGCGCATGTCCATTGACCCAAGTTTGGTCAGCGGCCTGGAGAGGCTAGAACGGCAAAAATCTGCGACAACAACGTTTTCGCAGCTGCCTCAGGATCCTGCTGGTGCTTCTGGTGCTGGTGCCAGCGCAGCTGGTGACGCAACAGCTGAGGTTACCTCAACTGCTGCTACTTCTGGTACAGACTATTTACACGTGGATCAGCAGCCGTGGGTGACCAGGATTACTTCACGGAGGACAGAGCCTGGAGCGTCGACGTCACGGCGGGATAGAGGCAGGGGGGAGTCAATATCCTCCTTGTCCGCTATTCAGAGGCCTAAGACGTCTGGCCCGGTTCATTGAGTAGTCGTAAGGCGTTTTGGATATGATGGTAGAGACCGAGGGTTATATATAGTTGAACGGATCTTGTGCACATTGGAAAAGGTCAAGGACACATTTCTTTCTTTCTTTTACCTTGGGGCTTCAGATTTCTGAACATGAACGGAGCGTGCATAAGAATGGCGTTCAGGGTAGTTTTTTTTTTTTTTTTTTTTTTTTTTTTTTGGAAAGGTACACAGGTAGAATGTGACAGAAAGGGAAGGGAATGATCCACACAGAAGAGTTGATACACTAGATAAGGGCGACCCCAATCCGGCGTTTGGTGATGATGGCTTGAACTATGTGGTTGGATAACCGGACGGGTGAGCACGGATAGGTTTAAAGAAAATTGGGCATGTATTGGATGGCAAGGAGAAACGGTGTTGTCATGAATTAATCAGAGGGGATAAAATCTGGTTATGACGGATGGGAGAGGGGTGGTATAGACGTGGATGTCTATATTGATGCTTATTGGATAAAACTTATCCAAGCCCGGCTTGCCTGCCTTGTTGGCAGGATGTCTGGCAGCTTTTGGGTGCACTAATCTTGGATTTTGGTATCAATTAATCGCGGTTCAGGTCATGATAGTTCGGGATGAAAGATGGATAGAGAGCTGTGATAGAATGAGTGCAACATTGTAGATCCCGGTGGCGTAGTGGTTAGTAGAGCATACTTTGGCCGGGTAAGAGTGGCAGAAGTTTTGTGACAAGGCATTGTACAAATCAAAGTAATCGGCACATGTATCAAAGATCCGAGTCTGGTATATTCTATTTTAATTCATTATTATGGGTTCCCCCTTGTGTGCTTTCCAGTCTATCGGGTGAAACACGTGGACAAACTCCAGGTAAACTCCAAGAGACTCAATCCGTTCCACTCAAGGAAAAGCAGAAGAAAACCTCCCCCCATTATCGTCTGCCTGTCTGGACACTACTTCTCCCGAGTCATCAGTCATAAAATACTACACAGTGCATAACTCAACACGGTCAACTACCAAGCGAAAGGCCCATCCTCCCATGTCCATGGGCACATAGCGCAGGAGAAAAGCAGCCAAACCGCCAACAGCCACGGCCAAGTTACTGCCTCGCCGCGCGGGCCGCGGCCCTGCTCTTCTCCTTCTCGCGCTCGATCTTCTTGAAGAAAGAACTCTTCTCGGCCATCGCAGCCGCCTTGCTGCTCTTACCGCCACCAGCACCCTGCTGCTTGAGTGCGCGGTTGGCAGCCTTGTTCTGCTCGATGTACGCCATGTCCTGGCCGCCGCTGAGCTCGCTCAGCATGCCGGCCGTGCGGCGCACACCGGAGAGGGCGCCCGCCTTCTTCTTGCGACCTGTCCGGCCGAAGAGATCGTCGGTCTCGACATCCTCCTCGGCGCCCTTCTCGTTGTCGACCAGCGTGCGCTGGAGGAGTTCGCGGACTTCCTGGGGCGTGGAGAAGGCCAAGTCGGGAGTTTGTTCGATATTCGCGAGGTGGGTGATTACCTTGAAGGCGTAGCCCTGGTCGACAAGGAACGCTTGACGCTTAGAGGAGTAGTACATTTCTTGGGTGTCCTTTGAGACGAGGGAGTAGAAGAAGGCGTTGAACCCTTCGTCGTTACGCCTCTTCGCCCGAAGGATGCGGCCCAGGCGCTGCGCCTCCTGACGACGCGAGCCGAAGTGAGAAGAGATCTGGATCAGGCAGGTTGCCTCAGGCAGATCGAGAGAAGTATCGCCGATCTTGGAGAGGAAAAGAGTGTTCACCTCGGGGTTGTGTTGGAAGTTCTCCAAGACCTGCATACGTTCGGCCTGGCTGGTGCCGCCGTAGATGAAGACTTTCTTGAGCTTCAGGGCATACTGCTTCAGAGAGTAGAGCTCGTCCGAGAAGACAATAATTTTGTCTCCGCGAGCTTCATGGTAGTTGATGAGGTACTGGCAAGCCTGGAACTTGCGCGGGTTCATCGCGTATAACGTGCGCTTCATCCGGGCATTGGCGCGCAGGTACTCGTCGTAGAACTCTGTAGGCATCGGGCACCAAACCTCAGCACACTGCACCTTCGCAATGTGGCCCTGCTGTGAGAGCTCCATCCAGTTGGCCTCATAAAGCTTGGGCCCGATCAAGAAGTTAAGATGCGAAATCCTATCGTCCTCACGAAGAAGTGTCGCCGTCAAACCGAGCTTGGCGTGTGACTTGATGGACGAGATGACGCGCCGGAACATCTCGGCCGGCACGACGTGTACCTCGTCGAGCAACATCAAACCCCATTCTCTGCCCCTCAAGAAATCCATCATCTTCTTAGAGTCATGCGATCGCTCACGACTGTTTGTGACCATCGAGTACGTGGTGACAATGATACCAGTGCTCCCTTGAAACCTATTCTTGCTCTCCGCGGTGAAGATGGCAATATCATCGGGATTGATGTTGGACCACTTGAGGAATTCTTGACGCCATTGGACGACAGACATGGAGCTGGTGCAAAGCACAATGACGCCCTTCTTGATGGTGCAGGCAGCGGTGATGCCGACCAGCGTCTTGCCGGCGCCGCATGGCAGAACAATGATACCGCTTTTCGCTCGGCCATTGCCAAACATCTTGCTGAGGCTCTTCTCTTGGTAGGGACGAATCTGGGTATTGGGGCGGAGATCAATCTCCAGGTTGGGGTTTATGTCGTCATTTCTGAAATCATACTCTTCCAGCATGGGGTAGCCAATGTCAAGGCAGCGCTTCTGGACCGTCTCGACAGACGAATCCGCAATCTCAAAGGCATGGACGTTTTCTTTGTCGTCATCATCATCTTCCTCATTTAAATTGGCGAACAAGTCGGCCTCGTTGGCAGCAGCAGCGTCCTGGTCACCGGGCTTCTTTTCGGCAACCGGGCCGTCCACCAGGTTTGCCTGCCGGACGCCAGCGGCGTTCTGGGTGCCGGGGATAACGAGGCCCCCCATCTTGGGAGCAGAGCTGGTCGTGTCAGTTCCCTGAACGCGCAGCTTGCCAATGACAGGATCGTTTAGCAGGATCTGCAGCATCTGGGCGTCCACGCTCTCTACGTAATACTTGTTGTTCTTGAGAACTAGCTTCACCTTGCCGTAGCTCTTTGTGCACGTCTCTATATACTCCCGAGTCGATGCAGGAAGTGGCGTTTTCAAAAAGCGATCAAGGGTGTTTATGATATCTTTGGGCCGAAGACCAACCGAGACTGCAGCATAGAGGCTGTGAGTCGTCATGACATACTCGTGCAGAAACGTTGGGCGCGATCTGGGCTCAGCAATCGTGATGAGAAAATCAGTTGCCTGCTCCGACAGAGGGTTGAACCGTTCCAGTACGATGGTTTGCGTATTGGGGTCAATCCACAAAGGGCGATTGTAGTGGTCGGGTTTGAGGGGGAGGTAGGAGAAGTCTTTCTTCTTGAAGTACGGAGTGGCAGCATCATAATGCCGGAGACGCTCAGCGTCGTCTTGCTTGTTGAGCCCGCGCTTTATTGCCGAGAACTTCCTGACAAATTCATCGGCTTCCTTGCTCAGCAGATCCTCTTTCTTCTTCTGCTCCTCTGGGATATCGTCATCGAGGTCTTCATCGGCGTCCGACAAATTTGAATCATCCAGGCTGCGGGGAGTAGCCGGCCCGGAAGTAGACATGGCAGAAGTGCGTCCAGCCTTGGGTGCGGGAGCTTGCGCGCCCACAGGAGGGGCCTTTCGCTTGGGAGGCATTGTCGACCAGACGGGGATGTGGTTTCGGGAACGACTTCTCTGTTTCTAATTTCCTTGCCTTCCTGTTCTTTTGAAACTTTGTTTGTTTTATTGGAAAGATCGATACTTAACAAATTGCGCCTCGCGCAGCTTGAAGTAGGATACGGGCGCGCGAGGCTATCTTTGGGAAAAGTGTGTGCAATGGGGTCGAAGGTTGGATGAAGGCTTCAAAGAAGATTGGCGAGACGAGCCGTCACCGCAGTTGGTTATGGAATTGATGAAGGTTCAAGCCTGCCTGAATTTGCCAAGAGTTCCAAGTGGGTCATATTGTGGACCCACGCGTTTGCGCGCTGGGGGCGACTGCGCAAAACTCTGCCCCACTTCTCTGCCCCTCCGCTGCCAAGAACAAGTGCCTGGACAGACCGAACTGGCGGTACAGATCAGTACGGTTTACGCAGACCGCGACATTCAGCAGCACAGGTCCCCCAGTCAGTCTGACTTCAACATTGAAGAGGAGAGAGGCAAGGCAGATTCTGGTCCTTTGATTCATCCAGACGCGACAGTCATACAGTAATCATAGTACCTTGAGGTACAGAGCCGCTTTGCGTCATGTGGTATGTCCGTTAGTGACCCCTCTTACTCTACAGAAGCTTGGACGCTGACATCCCCCCTCCCAGCAAACACATCCTCAACGCCCAAGTCTCGGTCCGCTCCCCTTGCTGCCGCAAGTGGTTCGACTGTCCAGAATGTCACGCAGAACAAGAAGATCACCCGCTTCTGCAGCGGTTCGAGATGGTGTTCGCCTGCAAGAAGTGCAAGAAGTGCTTCCGCAAGGATGCACGCGACTTCGAAGAGGCAGATGAGTACTGCCCACACTGCGATAACCACTTCGTCCTCGAGGCTGTCACTCCTAAACCTGCTATTACCGTTGAGGGAGACGATCCGCGCGTCAACAACCGTATGATCAAGGACGAGCGCACAAAGAAGGGTTCCGAACCAATCAAGTTTTCAGTGTTTGACCCGGATAAGGATGCGGACAAGTTGTTGTAAGGCTGATCGGGGCTTTGACTTTTTGGCTCAAGGGGGGAAGAACGAGAAGAAAGATACCCAGGGACGAAGTCATTACGACGAAAAAGTGTCCTCTCCCGCACTCGCATCATAATTTAATATGCTTCACGGCAATATGTATCAAAATTGGCGCTTACATCGCAGTCTTCTCTCCTTTAGCGCCATGCTATTTCACAGCTCTAACCCCTCCCCTAGTGATCGCCAGGCTCATCCTGAGGCCTGGTCAGTATCGTGGCAGTACCTGTCCCGGGGGTTCTGCCAGTTTTTTTCTTGGCCGCTTCCTCCTGCTTCTCTTGCTCAATGCTCTTGACGTAGTTCTCGATTTCCTCAACCGGCAGCATTTCCATAGGCTTGCCGGGCGCCATAACGGCAATCTCGATGTTCTTGGCCCCTGTTTGCACCACCTCCAGTAACGACTTGATAGCCAGCCGAATGGTGGCCTCGCGGTCCATATCTTCCTTGTAGTTCCGCTCCAGGAACTCCCGCACTGTCTTGCTTGACCGCCCGATGGCGTTCGCCTTCCTGTGTGATCTTGTCAGTCTCTGGTCGCCTGACCAGGGCGCATTGGGTAGGAACGCACCATGCAGAGTAGATGCCTGAAGGCTCTGTCTGGTACAACCGGGGCACGTTGCTGCCCTTGTCGAAACCGACGATGAGGGTGCTGATACCGAAAGGGCGGACACCACCGCTCTGTGTGTACCGTTGCTGCACTCCAGCAACATATTTGGTGATGTACTCGATCGTGACGGGGTCTTCAAGGTTGAGGCGGTGTGACTGCGCTTCTAACCGCGCCTTGTCGATCAGAATGCGGGCGTCTGCGTTAAGGCCGGCAAAGGCCAGGCACACGTGGCTATCGATCAAGCCAATCTTGGACGGCGTGATGCGGGTGTCTTGAAGCTTCATGGCCGACCTCTTCTCGCAGCCAAGCACAACAACGTCCTTGCCCTTGACGCCGACGGCGCAAGTACCTATAAGGGTCCTGTTAGTTCGGGGTTCAACTAAGGGGTGGCGGCGGCGGCGCACACCTCTCTTGACGGCTTCGCCAGCATATTCTACCTGGAAGACGTGTCCATCCGGACTATGGCAAGTCAGCTCGTGGGCTGAACGATATGCGCAACGATGGAGACGGACCTAAAGACTTTAAAAAGCAGCCCGAGTCAGCAACAGAGATGCATGTGGAGCTGGAGGTCGGATCATAGACGGGTACTCACCCGAAAGAGCTCTGTCGTATCCCGAGGCCATGATCGCGCTGTGACTATATTCCGGACTGGGTGCGCTGCAATTGTTCTCGTAGTTTCAGTACAGCCTTTATAGCCTTTTGGATAGGCAAAGATTGACGTGGAGTCGTTGTGAGGTTGTGGTCGGCGTTGGGTGTTGATGTTTGGTTGGTTTTCCAGTTGGAGATGATGCTCCTCCAGCTCTCACTGGCAGGCTGCCACAGCTGTGACGACGTGCCCAGCCAAAGTCGAGGCTGACAAGCTTCCTGGCCCCCGCGCGGCGTTAGCTTGACCCCACATCTTCTTCAGAGGCTAGCCAATCATCGATCGGACAATTAGGTACGTACTGACCAGACGGCCCCAGCCGGCAGCGGAGTAAACCACTGGCGACCCTGTCGCAGGAAGCGCCGGTGTCGCTGCTCACATTCGCCCCCCTTCCTGTCTTAGATATCCGTGTGGATTTGCCGTTTTGATATCAGGAAGAAAAAAAAAAGTTATCACTGGCGTCTTATAGAAGAAAGATTTGCGGGAGTCTTTCTCCATAGATTGTAAACTTTATTCCAATTTGCCCGATATACTTAGGGTGACCGGGTCAGCCCCTCATTAGTCGTCTTATTGATTCTTCAAAATTTTGGTTTTTACTGTCAAGAACATCATCACCGTCAAGATGGCGTCTCGTCCGCAGCTTACACCCCTCTTCAGACGACTCTCGAGGGCCCCTGCCCAATTGAGCAGGAAAGCGGCACTTCCAGTCCGTCAGACCCGGTTTCTCCCATCCCGTCTCCTCAGCACATCGCGGCCGCGCCTTTTCCGCAGCACGGCGCCTGCTGCTGCTGTTGTAGGGGGCAAGTTCACCAGTGAGACTTATCCGGACCTCAAGCGCGACAGCAGATTTGCTCAGATCACCCCTGAGCATGTGGCTTACTTCAAGGACCTGCTTGGCGAGGCTGCTGTGATTGATGGCGTCACACGCAACGATACAGCCGATGACATCGAGCCGTTTAACATGGACTGGATGCGCAAGTACCGTGGTCACTGCCAGCTGGTTCTAAAGCCTGGCACAACTGAGGAGGTCAGCAAGATCCTCAAGTACTGCAACGATAACATGCTGGCTGTTGTGCCACAGGGCGGCAACACTGGCTTGGTCGGTGGTTCAGTGCCCGTCTTTGATGAGATCGTCATCAATATGAGCCGTATGAACAAGATCCTGGACTTTGACGAAGTCAGCGGCACCCTGGTTGTCGAAGCTGGCTGCATTCTCGAGGTGGCCGACCAGTTTCTGGCTAGCAAGGGCTACATATTCCCTCTAGACCTGGGCGCAAAGGGTTCGTGCCACGTCGGCGGCAACGTCGCCACCAATGCCGGTGGCCTGCGCTTGCTCCGCTACGGCAGCCTTCACGGCACTGTGCTTGGCCTCGAAGCCGTGCTTGCCGATGGTACTGTCGTGGATGATCTCTGCCGGTTGCGCAAGAACAACACTGGCTATGACCTCAAGCAGCTGTTCATCGGTTCTGAGGGCACCATTGGCATCATCACCAAAGTGTCCATTCAGTGCCCTCAGCGCTCTGCTGCTCAGAACGTGGCCTTTTTCGGCCTGGAGTCCTTCGAGAAAGTCCAGCAGGCTTTCCGCGAGGCAAAGAGCCAGCTGTCTGAGATTTTGTCTGCCTTCGAGCTCATGGATGAGGGCAGTCAGGCTCTAGTGCACCAAGTGACCAAGAACCAACGCCCCCTAGAGGGTCAATATCCCTTCTACTGCCTGATCGAGACCAGCGGCTCTAATGCTGAGCACGACAGCGAGAAGCTCTCAGCCTTCCTTGAGGATGTCATGGAGAAGGGTATCGTGGTTGACGGCACGTTGGCCGAGAACGAGACACAGATCAAGTCTTTGTGGGCCTGGCGTGAGGGTATCCCCGAGGCTTTGAGCCATCTTGGTGGCACGTACAAGTACGATGTCTCCATTCCTCTTAAAGATCTGTACAAGCTGGTTGAGGATACACGGGCTCGTGTCGAGCAGGCTGGCTTGTTGGGCGATACCGACGAGCACCCCGTGCGTGCCGTGGTTGGATACGGCCACATGGGTGACGCCAACCTCCATCTGAACGTCTCAACTAGGCATTATGACTCGCGGGTCGAGCAGGTTCTGGAACCCTTCATCTATGAGTGGATTGCTGAGCGCCAGGGCAGCATCAGCGCCGAGCATGGTCTCGGTTTGATGAAGAAGAAGTTCATTGGGTACAGCCGTAATCCCACTATGGTGGGCTTGATGAAGAACATCAAGAATGCGTTTGATCCGGTAGGTTTCTAACTGCTTCTGCACTTTTTAAGGGGTGGTTCATTAACAGTTATATTCTTCCAGAATGGTATCCTTAACCCTTACAAGTATCTTTAAGTAAGGGCCATGAGCGTTACGCCTTTAGAGTTTGAGGGTCAACACACAATGTCTAGCCCGCATGCCTTGGGGTAAGCTTTCTGCGACGCTTGCGGCGCCCGTCTGCCTGTCTGCCTACACATCAGGTACTCAACGCAAATGCGTGTATGTAGGTATAGACGCAATCGACGACCCGGCCCTCCCGAAGTCGGGTAGAGGCCATCGGCTCGACCCTCTTTTAGTTGTTTATGAGCTTCTGCAAAAGATATCCCGCAATTCTTGGCTACATAGCAACACCCGGCGAGATCTGCCAGTCACGCGCGTGCTTGTGTTCTTCGGATCTTGCAGCAATCACCACCGTGATGGCTACCAAGCGTCCCTAGACAATGCTGCAAGATTCCCATTAAGCTCCAGCTCGACTGTGGGATGTTATTGGTTGTCTTGCGAAGATTACACACTCGACCGTCTCCTCTTGTGCTGCATGCCCCTTTCGGATTGTGAGCCAATCAGTGTGCTCAAAGCAGCTGTTGCAGCTGACCCCGTAGGTTACACTGTCGAGCAACCGTTACGGATGAATCGTGCCGGCCACGCGGGTATTGGCTAGCCCTACGGTAAGGCTTCGCTGACACCGACAGGGTGACCGAGGGCCCGGTTGGTTCAGGAGTAAAGTGACAGCAAGGACAAACGTATCCCCTGAGTAGGCTACGTCAGTTCCCGGGTAACCCCGTGGGGTTCGTAGGGATTCTCTCAGGAGAGATTGGTCCAAAAACGTAGATTTTACGATGGATTGCATTAGTTTTGTGACGCCTTTTCACATTTTGCGATGATAGTAATAAAACAAAGGAGTTTCGCATCGATTGCGCGCCTCCGACCCAGATGGGTGTAATTATGCCTGAACACTTAGGAGTCTGACACTATATCAACATGCGACCATTCCAAAGCCCTGGGTTAGTTTTCAAGTACCACGGTAGTTAAATATCTAAAGAGAGGACAAGTGCATGAGCTTGCAAATCTATGCGTCCCTCGTGCCCATGGCCGCCTTGCCAGCAATACGACGGCATATAGGCCTTCGGTCTCTGTGACTGGCAACTTACAAAAGGATTCTGCGGAGGAAGGCCACCGAGAACCCACAAGAGCATTGACGACTTGTAGAACCGTGGCTGCTCCTGGAAGATTTCTCTCTTTTAGAGAAATCCATCTATCAGTGAAAAGTCATTATACTGTCTTCCCTTCCTCTTAAGACTTTCAAGACACCGAAGTCTGCAGCTAGGCTAGCCTTGGACCTATTGTTGCTTATCACTTCCTTACAGGCCGTAAGGAGTAAACACGGAACAGGACAGGGTGACCACACAAGTTCCGCGGGGGCTCTTTCCGATGAGTACTTCCCCCTTTTTACTTGTCATCGACTTCGAACTAGTTCTGGCACTCTTGCGTGATCTTGATCAACCATGGGTAAGAAATACCCTACTCACAATAGTTTACTTGTCGGAGGCTGATCTGCAGAAGTCGGGGTCCGTGGGAAGTACAAGGGGTGTAACAGTAAGTCTCTTTTGTTACTGTTTGATCTTACCATGCTGACACCCTGCAGCCTGTCGTGATCGTCGGGTCAAGGTAGGTGTTCTTTGAATTAGCAGCTGTCTATCAGAAAGCAGACTAATTGTGCTCACTCAGTGTGATAATGAACGCCCGATCTGCCGAAGATGTCGCAAGGGCCACAGAAAATGTGGAGGTTACGAACGAGAGACGGTCTTCATAATCGGTACCATCGAAGACCAAGGCCGCTGTTCATCACACCCCCCTCGAGTGGTCCGAAATCGCCAGAGGCGTATGGAAACGACATTATCCCCTCAGACTGAACCAAAAACAGAGCAACAAGGAACGAAAGTTGATAATGGCAGGGAAATTGAGGACAAGAACCTCCCTGAATTGGTCGTGACAGAGCCGCTACATCCAGCATGGGCAGGCAGCTGCGTCTCTGTCCTGCATCGAGGAAAGCCGTATCGCCTTCGGATAGCTGTGTTGAACACAAAACTGGATGCCATCACACGAACAAAGACCAACGATACCGGTGTTGGGAATGCTGAACGAAATGCCACTTATCTTTCGCTTCCGACGTACGAACTTCCTGGAGGGCAGAAAGGAGAGTTTCAGTTAGGCGCTCAGTGTCTTGCACATCTGCCTGACGCCAACGACAATCAAGGAGATAACAATTTTTTAGCAGCTGAAGGTACATGCCTATTTCTGTACGAGGTAAGCTATGACTCTGATGTATAGGTGACATCCAGGGGTTAACTCTATGTAGCGAACCAGCCACGTCCAGGCCAATATCCAATCCCAAATCGTGGATACCTCACCTCAAGACAACATAGTCCAGCGTATGGGGCCAGAAAGCTTCCGCTTCTTCCCAAACCATCACTTCTTCGCACGGGTTTACCGGCCTAATGCGGTAAGTCTTGCCTGGTTTTTTATGAACGGACCTCAGCGGTTCCTGACCTTTTTTCGCTCTCAGATCTACTCTTGTCTCCTCGCCCGGCAGTCCACATTTCTCGCCGAACCCGCCTGGCAGACAGTTCCATACGAGCAGCACCAAAAATCTGATTTCGATCATGTCTTGGATGTAATCGCCCGCTTAACAGGTATTGTTGCACGCGCGGAGAACCTTCTGACCTTTCCACAAGGCCAACCACAAGCCATCTCCCGTAGCTCAATGGCACATGACCTGTTGCAGGAGCTCAAACATGTGGACTCCGAGCTTACTGGATGGTCTGAGAAGCTGTTTGGATTTGGTTCATTGTCCCAGGCAAGCTGTGGAGGGATCCCAAGGCCCTCGTCGACCTCCACAATCACAAACTTTTCGACATCCCACTTCCCCGATCAGCTGACTGCTCTGACACTAGTATATTGTTGGACTGCGTTGATTATGCTGTGCGTGACTGCGGTGCGATTGCGTTCTCTTGCAGCGCCGGAGCGGGTTGCTGATGGAACCGGCTCGGGAGCCAGCTCTGTCCTTGGTCCTACTGCTCTTGTCACCAGCACACCCACAGCTTACGAATTCACTTTTCGCTATCCATCTGGACACAATTACCCCTTTCCTGGATCTGTTTCGGCTCCAGCACCGGTCCAAACTTCATGCACCACTGCCTCATACATCCCCGTTTGTGACTCCCAGGCCCCGAATTCGCAACCCAGCCATGCTTTAACGACCTCTCTTCTTCATTCAGGGGGCACCTCTGGAGCAACTACCCATTGGCAGAACATCGTTGTTCACCAATTCCCTGACTCCATCAACAATAACACCTCGATACTGGCCGCCCCTGATCCTTTGTCCATCCCCACGGCTCCTCAAACGAAGGCGGAACCTACTTCACAGTTAATATCCACAAAGCCCCCTCATTTCTCACCAGCTCGAATGCGCCACCTTGCCATTCTGGCGTGCTGCGCACTAGAGTTTCTGCTAGACGGTGAAGTCAGAATTGGACTTAACCATACAGCCAGCGACGTCCGGGGAGGAAATCAGGGGAATGAGAAAGATAACCACAACGATGACAGTGAGGGTCGTGAGAAGAAGCGCAGAAGATTGAGAAACAGTATTTCCCTGCAAACACAACCTGAAACCCTGGGGGCAACCCAGCCAGGCCTCCTCTGTTGGCCTTTTATGGTTGTGCGGAGGTTCTGGGAGAAGGTAGCGAATAGGTCGTCTGCACAACGGCCTACCGTACAATCTGCTTCTGCCGGTATCGCTTCTACCTGTCGTTCTTTCGAACCATCATACGTAGGTGCGAATCTGGATTCATCTAACCAGAAGACGAGTACCTACAGCACAGCCCAGTCAACTACATCACCGCTTCCTCTCTTCTCAACTGGATCTGCGGGAGACGCAAGCGGCAAGTACGGTTCGATCCAGCCATGCTCTCAGTTCCTGTCGCATGCATCACTTCCGTCATCAACTCAGTGCCATCCAACACTTCTTGAAACTCGGTCTTCTCCAGCTCTACTTACTACTTCAACGTCACTGTCAGCATCTACCCCTAGCCCAGGAGGAGGGGACGGACGGGCCGAACTCCACTGGTGTGAAGCTTTCAAAGCGCGACTGCTGGCAAGAGGAAGGGCCCTCCAGGAAGAGCTTATTGGCACCGAGACAAATGATACTAAAAGGAGTTGGATTGATTTGGCTACCTGGATATAAGGGGGTGTAGTTGGACGTAGCACGCGACTCCAACATTGATTTGATGTCGGGGAGAAAGATTGAGGCAACTTGTTTCCCAATAGGCGAACTCGGAACAGACCCCAGCAGGTCTGGAGATTTATCATGCTCTCAAAAGACGTTGAAAGTCGTGGTAGAGCATAATCTGGGAAGATGGGCTTGCACTTGCATGTCGGTTACTTTCGCAAGGTTTCAAACCTGCAAGTGGCTGCATGGGGAGCCTTAGCCAAGAGCGAGGCAGAACTCAGTTTCCCATTATGCAAGAACTTTTATTCTATGGAAGTATCTCAATTAATGACCGGAGATGAACCATGCAGAGAGTCGAGAGTATCCCCTTTATCGAAAGCGCCAGACCAATCCCAATGTGGATGTGTACACGCAAAGTACAAATATTTTAGCACCCGATTAATACTCCCAGTCATCATCCACCGCAGGTCCTTTACTCTTCGCAACGCTCTCCTGCTTCCGATACATTTCCGCAACCTGCCTGCTTGAAGTAGCCTCATCGGGCTTCTTATCATCGCGGACCTTGATAAAGCGCGGGAACCGCAAACTGATACCCTTCTCGCCGCTCGGGTCGACACCTTCATACATGCCCGCCTTGTAGCGCGGGCTGAGAGTAAGGTCGGCGGTCTTGACTTCCCAGACATAGCGAGGCTCGAACCACACGTCAGGCTGATGCTGGGCAGTCGAGCTGTGAGAATAGAAAGGCTTGGGGCGGTCAATGACAATCTCAGAGAGCTGCTTATACAGCTCCTCGAGAACGGAGTCGCTGAAACCCGTGCCAATGTTGCACACAGTTTCGTAGGTCTCTTTGATGGGATTGTAGCAGGCCAGTAAGAACGCACCGTAGACGGAGGTGCGCTTGCCCTTGCCGTAGTAAGCGCCCAAAACAACAAGGTCGAGCGAGTCACCCACGCCCGAGAGGTAGTCCTTTTTAATCTAGGGTAAGGTTAGTTATGTAAGCCGCTAGGTAGACGGGGACAGCAACCGCGTGGAGATACACACCTTGAGCCAATTGCGACTGCGCTTGCTAGGCTCATATCCACTTTCCTCTCCGTCCAACATCTTAACCATTAAGCCTTCACACGACGCCTTGACCGACTCATCCAGGAATGCCTGAATGTCTTCCAGCTCCTGACTGTTCATGTGCGTGGCGAAGGCAAACTCGCCTTCAACGGGCTGGAACGCCTTGTACATAAGCTCGCGGCGTTCCCGCAGTGACTTATGCACAATGGCTTCGCCATTCAAGTAGAGCAGGTCGAATGCAAAGACGCAGACCTTGACCTTGACATCTTCAACCTTAACATCCTTCTTCTTGCGGGTCATGAGCGTTTGAAACGGCAACACCTTCTTTTCATTGACATCCCAGGCTACCGACTCGCAGTCGAGCACGAAACTCTTGGTGTCCTCCTTGACCCATGTTGGCAGCTTGGCCAGGACGTCCGGGTACTTCTTGGACAGGTCTTCCGAGTTTCTAGAGAAAATGGCCGCCACACCCTTGCCAACCTCCTTAGAAGCGCCCGAGGCCGATTGGCTAAGGGCCTCCCCGGTATCCTTGGCGACATAGTGAATCTGGGCCCTCTCACCATCATACTTGTACTCGCAAGTGAAGGTCTGCCCTTCGAAGCGATCCAGCACTTCAGTGATAGCCTTAGTAGGTTTGGCCAGCATGGGCTTAAGGGGAACGCCGGGTCGTAGCTTGCAGTGCTCCCGCAGGTTGAAGATGCCATGCTTGACCATCGCAGGGATGATAACATCGTAGCTCGGCAATTCACTGCATCATGTTAGCACAAAATATGACACCGTTTGGTTTCCGCTGTGAGTCGACAAACCTGTAGACCTGCTTGAGAATCTGCTCGCCCTTCTCCAAGTCAGCTGTGCTAGGCACCTTGCCTTTCTTCCATGCCTCATGGGCCACCATCGCTTGGGCAAGTGAGACGATGACAGTCTTTTCAGCGAGACCGAGTCTCAGCTTGCCCTCAAGGAAACGAACGAGGAACTTGGCTTCACTTGGGCCACCTTTGTCCTTGGTAATGTCGGCTTTGCCCTTCATATTCACGTCCGAAGCCGAAAGCAACTTCTTGATGAAATCAACCTTCTTCTGCTGCGCGCCGTTACCTGTGACGGTGGCAATGTCCATAAGAATCTTATGGACGCCCCGGACAGTAAGAGGCTTCGGCTTGAACATGGTTGGTTGCGTTGCCCTTGACTTGACAGCCACGAGACCAAGGTCACCAATCTCCTTTTGATCCTGCTTGATAACTGAGAGACTGCGGCCTGTCGTCTCGCCGATGGCCTTCATGATCAGCGACTCGCCAATGCCCAACTCAATACCGGCATAGTCAGGGGCGAGCTTGTTGACCATGAGCAAGACAGTAGGCAGAAGGTCGTCAGGGGTAAGCCGCATGACTTGTCTGAGGAACAAGGAGCAGTGCGCCATGATCTCCAACCGCTTGGAGGTAAGCTCGATGAGCGAGAATGTCTGGCAGAGGGCCGCATATGGCACCGGCTCGCCCTCCTTCCAGTCCGGATACGGGTGTTTGACATTCGACTTGAGAGTGGCCTGGATCTTTTGCCGCACCTTTGCCGCAACATCAGGCTTCTCTTCCTCATCCTGCAGCTCTTCCTCTGCCTCTTCGACTTCTGATTCTGACTCGGGAGTCCGCTCCTCAACCTCTGACTTTTTGATTAGCGCGGGTTCAGGGGCCGACACAGGGGGTTTCTTTGCCTCCTGTTTGGCATCCGATTCAGACAGCACATCTTCCATGATCTCATCTTCTTCGTCATCTTTAACTACCCGCCTGCCCTTCCGTGGACGCTTTGTTACCGGAGCTGCGCTTTCTCCCTCTTCATCTTCGACCCCATTGGCATCCTTTTGGGCAACCGCTGACTTCGCTGGGCGCCCCCGCTTTTTCTTGGGTTCTGGAGCTACACCCACGGTTAGTTGTAAAGTAATGACAATCTCGTAGCAGAACTCTCACATTTTCCGCCCGCGTCTTCTTCAGGTTGAACATCCTCAACATCATCCTCTCGTTTTGCTTTATCATTCTTCTCTTCTGTCTTCGCCTTGGTCGCGAAGCTCAATTTTGTCTGCTGCATCGGCGCTGGCTTGCTCTTCGTCCCATTCGCCTGGCCAAAAAATTGGCTGCACAGAATGCCGTTAGCTCCATGTCGTATCACAATGTTTACGTTGAAAGATAACGATACTGGCAACGATGCTGCTCGCGACACCAAAAAACGTAACCCGCCGCAGCGCCGCTTGTCCAGGCCGGACATACCCTAAAGTTGCCTGTTTCGGCGCCATGATGGCACCGTTGTTAAAACCGCACACCAAGCGACGACGGTAGTAGTAAGTTGACAAAGTGAGAGCAAACGAGCAGCTCTGTTTTCGCTGAAACGAAGTAACAAAAGGACCTGGTCGTGCAGAAACGCTGTCGCGAGCGTTAGATAAAGAGGGGTTGGGATGGGACGAAAAGGAAGAAGAGCCGAGCGGCGGCGATGAGCTCAATAATAACCCGACGCCGGGGGCTCGAAGGAGAATTCGCGGCGCCAGCTTGACGGACCCAGAAAACAAAAGGACCAAAACCAAGCGGCAGTTTTGGGTGGAAAGGACAGGTGAGATATATAGGGTGGTATGGCAACCGCAATTGGACCTAACTCTAGGCAGCTAGACTAATTGATGCCACTCTTTTGGTGAGCGTCACTGGCAGGGACTCACAGGGCCGTGACGCGCTCAGACGCGACTTTTCCGGTAGGCAGCAAGTTGGCCAGGGTTCGCGTAAAGTGGTTCAGTCACATGATCTGCCCCACAAGGCATCAAGGGGCGGGGTCCAACGCGCCAAGCCTTCAAGGCAGCAACACAAGAGACCTTTCGATGTGTGGATGGCAAAAACGATGTTAGGGTCTCATGCACGACGGCACATTATAAATATGGGGGGGAATATAGTTATCATGTTTCTAGTTCGCCATCTGATGGGAAAGCTCTGTGTTAGTCCACAATATCGCCGATAAATGAACCAATTCAGGCATACGGAGCAAGAAACACCCAGGCTCTCCATTCCGGCTCTCAATTTCAGACCTCCCAGGCTCTATCATAGATTAGGACAGTGTACACAGAAAATGATTTTCCCCTCGTCGTGTGGAAAGACCTTGCGGTCCCGGCATATAACCTCTCTGACCAGATCGCCCCTCCATCAATAAATGCACCCCGCTAAGACGGAACTTCGGCGCCAGCAACATAACCACGGCTTGTTTAGTTGAAGTAGTAGACCTCATCAAGAGTGCGGCCACGAATGTACCGAGGCTCGGTGCCCTTGACGTAGATGTCCTCGAAGAGGATTTTGGCAGTGGGCTCAGGAGGAGCCATGGCCTCCGCAGCGGCAACCTCCTCGTTCACATGGGCACGGGCAGCCTTGTCAATGCCCTTGACCTCCTCCTCCGTTGCGACGCCCCAGTTAATGATGCGCTGCTTGAGGCCGGCAATGGGGTCGTTGGTCGAACGCATGCGCTGAATCTCCTCACGGGTGCGGTAGGTAGTGCCGGGGTCGGACATGGAGTGACCACCATAGCGGTAGGTGACGTACTCAAGGACCAAGGGGCCGTTGCCCTCAACCGTCCACTGCTTGCCATACTGGACAGCAGCCTTGACAGCAAGGACATCCATGCCGTTGACCTTCAGACCGGGAATGTACTGGCCGCGCTTGTAGTAGTCGGTAAGAGCCGAAGAGCGAGCAGCAGACGTGCCCATGCCGTACTTGTTATCTACATGGTGTGTTGTCAGCAACAATTCCCAATAGCATCAGGTAAACAAACACCTACTCTCGCAGCCGAATAGAGCTGGAAGGTTCCAAAGCTTAGCCATGTTGAAAGCCTCAAAGACCTGGCCCTGGTTGCTGGCACCGTCACCATAAAGAATGACAGTGGCCTTCTTGCCGCCGGTGTATTTCTGGGCAAAAGCCAGACCAGCACCGACGGGAACTTGGGCACCGACAATACCGTTGCCGCCGTAGAAGCCCTTAGTGAACATGTGCATAGAGCCACCCTTTCCGTAGGCAATACCCTCACGGCGGCCAAGCAGCTCGCCGATGATTGAGCGGACGGTGCCGCCGCGCATGTAGGCGAAACCGTGGCACCGGTAGGAAGTGATCACGTCGTCGGTCTTCTCGATCGCATGCTCAACACCGACGGCCACAGCCTCTTGACCAACAGAAAGGTGGCAGAAGCCACGGATCTTCTTCTCCTTGTATAGCCTATCGGCAGCCATCTCCATTTGCCTGGACGCAAGCCTGTCAGCTCCCGCCTGTCGTCCTTGTGGATCCCTCATGGGGTTCTCTATTGTATGCATACCTGACCACGACCATGTCGTAGTACATCTGCTTGAGCTGCTTCTTGGTCACCTCCAGGGTGTAAGGCGGGGGATCGAGCTCATAGGTTTCGAAGCTTTCGTCGCTGAGCCTGATGGTGAAGGGCTCATCCTCGGACTAGACCGAACACTCACTGTTAGCCACGTGCTGACTAAATCAAAGCTCGAGGAAATTTCTCCAGGTTATCGCAGTTTGGAAATCTGGTGGTGCTGAATGGATGGCTGTGGTGATGCCCAAGCAATTTAACAAGCACACGAATGCACCACCCTCCTTATATTTTGTTTCTCGAGTTGTTTTACCTACCTCAGGGATGGTGCTTTTGTCGACTTGCGCCTGAGCTGCATTTGTGGTGACGCTCCGACGAGCAGCAATAGGAACCCGCTGGGAAGCGACGCGGATGGGCAGCGCAGCCCGCGATAACCGGACCGCTCGAGAAAACATTGTGCGGCGTTGTGGGAAAGGGTTGTTAAGGGGGTGGAGAAGAGAGCAGATGGATTGTGGAGGGGAAAGAAAAGGGAGGGGAACAACGAAAAGAAGAAGATGGAACTTGAATCAAGAGGTGTTTTTGTGTTGCAACGACTCGGACCCCCGAAACCGCAAAGTCTGATGGATGAGGAAGCTCGTCTCCCAGGAAGAAGGGCCGCCCAAGAATTTGGCGTTGGGGCAATGATGCTTGTTGAACGCAAGCTAAGCTGCTTTCAGCCAACGGACAAGGTTGGGGAGGGTGGCCCGGGCTCCATCGGACCTCCACTGGCCGATAGCTGTTTTCTGTTTTGACAGCAAATCGCATCTTGACAGCACCGTCAGGATCCAGTGACAGCACGGAGTGAACCGAGAAGTGGGTCTGCCAAGGGGCTATCTGCCAGTCGAGTGGGGGCACACACACTTTGCTGCTTCTCGATGAGATGAACGATGCTTTTGCATCATCATCGTGGTCGGTGTTTGCTTGAACAGTCAGAAAATATCCACGGCCTCAAAGAAAGCAGATCCCGAGGATAAGAGATCAGGCATTAAGAATATGCGAACATATACGTACAAGCACCGACAGGGTCTTGTGTACAACAACAGACCTAAACTAGCTAGCATGTCTTTGCGCCCGACATATGCAGGGTCTGCGTGATAAACCCAGGAGTCAATGCCGGCCTGCGCCTATAGAAACCGGGTCAGAAAGGTATGTCTTAACAGCTTTTCTGTCACTAAAAGCAACACCAAAGCACTCCGACTGTTTCCCACCTTCCTACCAATGCCGATATGCCTCCCTAGTACTCCGTACCGAGTCACCAAACCCACCCTGATGTGAAAGAAACGTAGAACGCCTTAATAATGCCACTCCATATCCCACCACCATGAAAACAACCCGGAGAATGCGCCGCCAAAGCCAGGTATTATTACCCTTTTGTATCTTCATCATGGCCATGGGTATCTAATCCCCCGTATGCCGATGCTGGTTTGGTGCTGTAGTAATCGAAATGCAAGCGTCTAGAGCCGCCGCTTTTGGGTATTCATGGTGTTAAAGAATAACTTGAAAGAGAAAGATAAGCCCGAAGCGGCCACGATCTCTGATTCCGAGGTCCGTGTAAATGCAGCGGCAGGCTGTGAGCTACTCGTGGAAGAAGGTCGGGTTGCTGGGCTGAAGCGGTGCTGTCGACGGGCCGGCGTCTGGCATCTCTACATCTTGGATGCCAATTCCCGGAGCACCGCCTCTATGCTGTGATGAAAAGGTTGCGCTCAAAGGTCTATCGGGAACTGGAGCGTCTAATTTCTTAGGGGAAAGGAAGGACCGCTCTTGAAGCATCTCCTCGGGAGGGGAGAAATCCCAGACCTAGACAGCCAATCAGCGACAAGTTCTTGATTTCTGGGTTGCGTTGAAACTTGACTGTACTAACCTCCATGATGGTACGGTTGTTCTTAAGGGCCATAGCAACACACTTTTCATCTTCGAAAGCAACACGCCAAACGGCGTCACATTGTGTGACCAGTTCGCGGACAGCCTGGCCAGTCTTGAGATCCCAAACCTTGACCCTGCCATCACTGCCACCGCTGACAACACGAGTGTCGTCAAACTGCAAGCTGGTGACGCTATTATCGTGGGCGGCAAGACGATGGATGGGGGCCATCTTCTCAAGGGACCAGATCCTCACGGAGCCATCGCTTCCGCCAGTTACCAGCGTGTTTCCACGCATCTGAAGCTGCCCAACAAGGGACGTATGACCCTGCAGAATTGCCTGGCACTCACTGAACAAGCGATTAGCTTAGTATTAACTTAATGTATCAAGCACATGCAACTTACCCAGTCCGGACGTTCCATATCCTGACGCTCGTGTCCAAGCTCCCGGTCGCCACTCTCTCACCATCGAAGGCGATGGCATAAATGTGGCTGTAATGTCCCTGGAGGGTATGGAGGCAACGACCCTCCGAGATACTCCAAACTTTGGCAGTAGCATCGTAGCTGCCAGAAACCACAATATCACCCTTGATCTCCAAGCAGCGGACACTGGCTTGGTGGCCAACAAGAACCTTCTTGCAAACGCCGGTCTTGATATCCCAGATCCTGAGGGTTGTGTCCCTAGATCCGGAGATTGCAGTGTTCGCGTCAGACATCTTAAGGCAGCGAACTGTAGAGGTGTGACCTCTAAGAGTATAAAGGCAGTTGCTAGAGACGTGTTAGCAATGAATGCGCGGAGAGATAAACAAGTTGATTAGCACATACCCAGTCGATAGATCCCAGACGCGGACATCGCGATCACAACCACCACTGACAAGAATGTCATCCCAGGGAACCATAGCCCAGACACCCATTACATGCCCCTGCAGTGTACGAAGGGGATTACCCTGTGTATCGAAAACGTGGATCTTGGCATTGTCGAGGGCGACGATGATGTACTTGGAAGTGAGATGCAGGCTTGTCACGACACCACCATCTTGAGTGATGTTACGTGAGATATTGCGGCCACCGGACCGCCAAGCAGCATCAACCAGGTATCTCTGCTTGAAATGGGACTTATAAGAGCGCTGTGCCCGACCGTTGTGAAGAGCAGAAGACGGGGAACCGCCCTTGCCATCGCGAAGATCGGAAATCCGTCTCTGATAGTCGTGCTTCACACAGAGATTCTTCCAAGTCATATCGTCACTCAGCAAGTCCCTCCATCTCCGCGAGACTTGAGACGCACGAGCGAGCACTTTGGGGTCATCAATGAAGGACAAAATCTGTATATTGATTAGCATAGAAAACAAAGCTCTAGCCAGAATCAAACCACACATACCCTAAGGCACAGCTCGTCTGGCAAAGTGGTAAATGGATCCTTCTTTAGCAAAGGGCTGACAAACTGGTGCACGAAGCTCAGTTGTTGGCTGGTGCAAATGCTGAGAAGATCAGAAAGAAGACGTGTCCTCTGACTGCCGTTTGCCTGCATGAAGTACTGCCTGACGCTCGACAGGAAGGCCTCCTCGTCCTCAGAACCACTGCTCCAGTTAAGTTTTGAGTGCGACGGGCCTGGAGAGGCCGCAGGGGTCGGTGGAGGTGGGGGTGAGCCGGTGACCTGGTCAAAGTCGGCAGCCGGCGTGCTCATGCTCGGCGTCGGGGGACCTCTGGGACGTTGTTGGCCCATCTTTACACTATGCGTGTTCAACGACAGTTCCTCGTTGAACACTGCTCCCCTCCTCTCAGAAAAACTTAGTGGTCGTTTGTACGGAGCCATAGTCCGTACGGGAACGCACGAGTGGCGAAAGGAAAGAGACTCGAGACTCGGTTATTTTTTTTTCCCCTTCGACCAAAAGGATCGGTTCGAGCACGCTCGAGCAACCAAAGCAAAGAGCTGATCGTAGTTGGGGAGTTGTTGATTTTGAAAGATTTCGAGGGATTGCCGGTTGTCTATGTTGTTGGTGTCTCTCCTCAGGTGCAGCCTGAAACAACAAATGTGCGGCACGAATTGGCAACTCTAACTTCACAAAGCAGCAAAGTGAACGAAATACAACTCGGCCACTGTAATTCCGATGTCGTCAAATGAGGATAGAGTGATCGAATAAAATAGGAAATGAGGGTATCTCGGGCGGTGAGCTGTGAGAAGCAGGATGTCGAGGATAGAGAGCAAGCGGCGACAATGCGCTGGTCGGACGGATCCGGGGAAAAGGGACGCTGACCGCAGAAAGGTGGTGTGTCGTAGCGGCTAGTCCATCCAGCAGCGCGTTGCGTGTTTACTGTAGCGTCAGTGATGTGTTTGCAGAGAAACGGTTTTCTAAACGTCGTCTAGGAAAACCCGACTACCTGGGCGCCGGCTGTAAGGGTTGGGTGAGAAGAAATACGAAGCGGGAAGGGGAGCCGCTTCCCTGAAATCCATGTCTAATGAGAGGAGCGGGCTGACGGGGGCCAAGGGAGAAGGCGACGCATGACGGAAGTACCCCTGTACCTTTGTTTTCGGCTGCAACTGCCCCACAAACAGCGCACTGAACCCGACAGCGTCCAGAGCGCCGCGCCGCAGCCGTGAATGGGGTCCCACACCCCACCCTACTTTCCACAACGCTCGCTCCATCCATGGACCGATCTCCACCAACTTGCCTGCACGCCACCCGCGAGTTGCTGTGACCGCCCCTCCTATACAACGCCAAGGTTAGTCAACTGGAGCCACGACAAAGCTGCTGGGCAGTTACCGACAGTTGGGTTCGAGCACAGAAAGCATATCGTCTCGCTGGTACAATGGCGCGCGCACACCACTTCTGGGTCTGCAACATGTGCGTGGGCAGCGTGGCCACCTTACAAACATCGGGATCGGCCATTGCTCTGGTACATGGCACATTGGGCAACCCCTTTGCTCTGACATCACCAGGCGCAATCACATCGGGGTCTTCTTTGACGTTGTCGGTTCTTGTCTAGCTGCTTCAACACTATCACACAACATTTTTAGAACTTGATACCTTGACTGCGGAGCACAGCAGGACAACGACAAATCCTCATGGCCTTGGCCTCGAGTCCTGTATCTCAGCAACCATGCCATATCTGGCAACTGCTTGATAGTCGAATCCCAAGGGCATCACATCGCCGCTTACGCTGTGCTGCCTCTTGTACGACAGCATCTGTTTGCCGTTTTCCTAGACAAGACGAAATTGAACAATATGTGCATATGCAAACTATAGATCCATAAGCATAAAAATTGAATTAAAGAATGCCAACGGCTTTCTTGAACCCTGGACCTGTGGCCGCCGGACACAAATTCGTGGGATAATAATGGAGCGAAGATTGGATGAAGGACGACGATCACTGTGTCTTATGCGGGGTCTCCCTTGATTCTCCCTGCCTTGACATGGACGACAGTTCGTTCCGTCCCCTAAGTGAACCACTAGATTGGAAAGCAGAAGGCGGATATGGAACAAGGTTTAGCTTATTGTTCTCAGAACAATTTCCTGGACTTCTAAAATACCCTATTGAAGCCCCAACCCCCTGGGGCCATTTCAGCAGTGCAAACCCTAGTGTTACCACACAGTATGGCAAAACTCACAAGCGTGTTGATAGGTTTACGTATGTTGAAGATGCCTGCCTAGTATTCGATCTTGCATAGGTATAAAGCGCTGTAAACTTGTTTACAGCCAAGGTAGGAAACGTACTGTATTACTGCAAATTCCCAAAGCGACCTTCTGCTGTGTAGGCATCTGACAAGTGTACCCTTTATTTGGCAAAATCTACGGGCCCCCACGCGATGACAAAGCCACCCAAACTATTTTCCTTTGCTTCTAAACTTCAAACACACAGTTCGAAGGCAGGATGTTGTTTGCCGGACGGATATCTCCCATGCAACTTCCCCCATTTTTTGGAGAAGATTTGTAGTTGGAGAAGGGGGCACAATGCAAGCATGTCGCGTCAGAAAAGCCGGAATCGCCGAGCTTATCCCCTCTTGACTTGTCCCACCACCGATTCTCGCGGTGGGCCTCCTCGCCATCAGCATCACAATGGTCGGAGGCGAGGAAGCATTGACAAACATTGGTATCGCTCTGGCAATAACCGTATCTATATTCAGCTTCGATCCGTAAACAATCTTCCTTTCTCCAAAGATATAAATGAGATGTGTCTTCCCCAGCCCAAAGCATTGAAACAACCGACTGCACCGTCAGGCCATGTCTGAAACAGCCCCACCATTCTGACCGTCTAGATAGAGGCAGCCCTCTCCGTTCCCGCTTGGGTCCTCTTGGACACAAGCAGGGCTCGGCCCGCCCACATCAAAAGTGGCATGTGAGCCTGCAACCATGCGGGACCGGTGGCGTCATCACCAAGGAGATAACTGCTTGGTGAGGAGGTGCCGTGGACCGCGCATTCGCAAACATAGACTTACAAGGAGGAGGATACGAGAGCGGTAGAAAAGCCGCCATACACGGAAACCATGGTGTGAAACAAATCGTTAAGAACTTAATCCGCCATGACCCCTTAAACGCCTTCATCATTTCCAGAATCACGGTTACTTTTGTCTCCGAGTCAAGGATTCGAGTCTAACCAAAACGCCCCGTCCCAATGTCTTCCAGAAACGGAATGAATGTAAGATACACTTCAGTTCAAGGTTAATGGTGGTGATGACCAAACCGGGTAAGGAGCGGCAGCATCATCCCTACGACAGTTGCCAGAGTGCCACGGAGATCTAATTTCCCTTGCCTCCTGTTGAACGAGCTGCTACTGTCCAAATATCCATTCAAGCTTGAGTGGTGATCATAGCTAGACCAGCTATTCTCTTCTTGCATCGCGTGCATAGCAACGTATCTAGGGATTATGTCAGAACCGGAGAAAGGCAGGTCGAGATGAGATGCAGATGTTCACTCACAAGAAGGTTCCAGCACTGAATAAAAGAAGCATTCCGGTCCACCAATGTGCCCCCTCGCCTTCGGCACTTTCATCTCCTAGAAGTGCAACAAAGAAATAGGTTGCCAGGGCTCCAATAGGGGCGGCCAGGCTAAACACCAGAAGGTGTACGCGTGCAGCACGTTTCGAAAGGCCTTGCTTCATTAGGACAGACGTCAACCCAAAGGCAGCCGGGGCTTTGTGGACCAGGATAGCGATGAAAATAATAAGCCCGACATTCCAATTGGCTGACGTGGCAGACGCTCCCATCGCAATACCATCCGCTGCTGCATGTATCACCAATCCTGTGGTAGTAGCCAGGCTGCGGGTTTGTCTTGGGGATGGCGTCAGCGAGCCCAAGAACCCGTCAGACTCCTCCTCTCCAGATTGTCCAGCAAGATTATCAAGGCTGACATGTCTGCTTGTTTGCGTCTGGAAAATCTCCGAGGCATGACGCGGTAGCCGATCGATGAGGAACATCAAGGCGAAACCGAGAACCAGGGCAAAGCCGATATGGAAAGCCGGGAGTTCAGGAGGAGGCGGAGGTGTCGACGGTGATACAGGCTCTTCAGCTCTCAGCACTCTACCTGAGGCTGGGGGCTTCGAGTGGACATGTTGAGGTTCTGGAGAGTGTATCCTATCTGCTGACAATGCTTCAATTCCCTCGGGCAGAATGACGATCAAACAACTGCCCACAAGCAAACCAGCACCAAGGGCAGCAATCAGCCTTAGTTGTGACTGCGAGAGTGAGAGGGACAATGGGAGTGCGCCAGCCAGAAACGAGCTGTTGAAAAGAATGGTAAGTCTATGTTATGGGCGTTGAGGATGTAGGAAATAAGGGAAGCAATTCACGACATACGCCACTGCCATGACCACCTAGTAATAGAGAGTGACAGTCAGCTTTGATGTTAAGGGATGCATCTACAGGCATGGAAATCGAAGCAGTGATGTGATATTCTGATGCCACACCCAATGCGATGGGTTAACACTCACCGAGGTCACGATAAGGAAGAACAAGCCGGCCATCGTGTCTGAAACTTGCTGCCGCACAGAAAGAAGGTCAATCAAGCCCCCTGTGCCAATTCATGGGCACAAATCAACAGGCACGGGCGGTGAGGGGGGCAACGGAAAGGTATCAGTGTCGTTGAACAGTGGACTGTGAAAGATCGAAACCCGAGAGGATACATCAACCATCCGGTCGGCGCCCTGTTGCAGACCCTTGCTGGGCCCTGGTCATGCTGGAGCTCCACAGTTTGCAGCCTTTACCCGCTGCCTTTACCCGAATCAGTTTAGCCCGATCTTGTGGAAAGCTTGGCGCGGACTTCTAATTAACGGGAACCTTCCTCACCGCGACGTGACCGCGTTTGGTCGCGACTTTTGCAAACTCGCAACTTCATTGCCGCCTCACGCGCCGTTCCCAACATTGCACTCTACGGAGACATCTCCTTACACACTTCATCGCAGAAAATAGTTTTTGAGATTTTCAGAAAAAGCAAAGAAAACGATGTCGGAAGAAGCTTGTAAGTTGATCAATTCCACCGGCAGCTCACCAGACCAACCAAGTGCGCAAAGCTAATAACGATCAATCGTAGGGTCTATGCCGAGCAACGATGCGATAGTTTTGTCGCTTGTTGCTCCGACGCCGAATGGCCTTAAGACAGTTGGCCATAGCTTCCACCCCAAGTTCACCTACTCGATTTTCGGCGAAGCTGAAGAGATATTCGGCTACCAGAACCTCCAGATCCAGTTGCGGTGGCACGCCAGTGATCTACGGCCAAATCTTTCCATCTCCTACAGCAAGAAATTTCAGGCGGTGGGCGACACAGAGCCTGTGGATATTGAGGGAGCGCTTCGGGAGTTTCTTCCAGATTCTGCATTCCAGAAGAAGAGCGATTGGGAGAAGGCAATGAGCAACGTCCCGCAAGACTGGACACCTCCAGGCAAGCTGATCAGGACATTTACTGCTCCCAATGGCACATTCGAAGTTTGGAAAGGAAATCTAGCCGATCCTGCAGTGGCACAGCTTTTGAATCGAGTCCAAATCCTTGTCCCGCTTTTCATTGAAGGCGGTACCAAGATCAACACTGATGAGCCTGATGCGGACAGGTGGACCGTTTTCTTCCTCTACCAAAAGAAAGAGTTGACCGATTCTTGCTGTACAAACCCATACGTCTTTGTCGGCTACTGCACCGTCTACCGCTTCTTCCATTTTCAGCCTCCCTCACCACCGGCTACGCCCTCCGAGACTAAGTTGGAGGAGATGGATCAGGTTCTCCGCAAAGGCGATTTCGATCTAAACTTACTCCCCTGCCGGTCGCGCATCTCTCAGTTCCTCGTCATTCCACCTTTCCAACAAAGGGGCATTGGCACGCGCCTATATAGTATCATCTTCCAGGATTACATCCAACATCCTCAGACAGTTGAGATCACGGTTGAAGACCCCAATGAAGCCTTTGACGACCTTCGTGACGTTGCTGACCTGCACTATTTGCGGCGCATGCCCGAGTTCCGGGCGCTGCATTTAAACACAGGTATCGTTCTATCCAAGAACGGTCCCGCCCCGAATAATATCGTCGATAAGACCGCATATGATGCGGTGCGCGCAAAGGCCAAGATCACCCCGCGCCAGTTCGCCCGTCTTGTTGAGATGCACCTTATGTCGCAGTTACCTGAGACTGTGCGCCCGGGAATAGGCGTTGAAGAGGACAATGCTAGAGGCAAAGGCAAGGCGAAGGTGAAGATGCCAACACCAGAAGACAAGCACGCATACCGGCTTTGGCGTCTACTTGTCAAGAAGCGGCTGTACAAGCACAACAAGGATGCTCTTAGCGAGTTGGATGTTGAGGACCGAGTCCAGAAACTTGACGACACGGTGTCAAGCGTCGAGTTTGACTATGCCCGGCTTCTGGTCAAGGCAGAGGACCAGGCTGAGAACTTTGAAGAGATTCTGCCTGCTCAGCCGGCCGATGGGTTCAAGGAAAAGGACAAGGCTGTGACTAACGGGTCACCTGCCACGAACGGCACTGGGAAGCGGAAGGCTGACGAGGACAGGGCTGTAGAAATGGCCAGCAAAAGGGCAAGGGTTGAAGATGCTGATGACGAGTAGTTTAATGGTTTGCTTACGGTCATTACCCTAGTTAAGGAGAACGAGGAGATTAATACGGATTAGTTCAGGCGTATTTTTGAGTTTTTTGTAATCGGATTCGAGATTTGTACAGCCTATGGCGTTTGGTGGGAACATCTCCAGACATACTGGCATCTTCCCGCAGGAACGACTCTGCAACAAAAAGTTTATGACAAAATTGCGATAACGTCACCGCATCAGGGTATCCGAGTAGTCTTCGCAAATCCCATAATCAGGATTACCATGCGATCTTCCAATGCCTTGCTCTCGCGCCAATTTATTGATAGTTGTTCGTCGGGAACCTCGTCCCGTTCACGCCCTGAACGCCTTGGCCCAGCTGGCTAGCTACCACGGTCGCCTCGCGAACCGCCCTGGCCACGGTGCCTCTGACTCTACCCTCCTCTAGAACCAACAGGCCGCCAATCGTGCAGCCACCCGGAGTGCTAACCTTGTCTCTAAGCAACGCAGGATGATCTCCATTCAATACGAGTGCCGCAGCGCCCTTCATAGTTTGCGCAGCCATGCGCTGGGCCTCAGCACGCGGCAGACCCATGGCAACAGCGCCATCGATAGCAGCCTCCATGACCAGCGCAAAGAAGGCCGGGCCAGACCCGCACAGCGCAGTGCACACATCCATAGTCGATGGCGGCAGATAGACAACGTCGCCGATGCGCTTGAAGATCCAGGTCACCAGGCCCATGGTGTCCGGGTCAAGCGGGGGGTTGGTGATACCGATGACCGTCATGCTCTCGCGGATGAGGGCTGCGGTGTTGGGCATGGCGCGGACGATGCGGCAAGGAGGGTCGAGAGGGGCACCACCATTGGCAGCAACAAGGTGAGCCTCAATCTGGGACTCCGTCACGCCGGCCAGGATGCTGATCAGGAGCTTGCCCTGAAGCGCAAAGGCCATGCCAGGCTCAGAGAGTATTTCCTTTGCCATGTAGGGCTTGCAGGCAAGGAGAACGATATCGGCTTCCTGAGCAGCGGCGACGTTGGCATTTTGGACGATCGAAACAGCGGAAGCGTGAGCCTGGAAAGTGGCCTTGAGCTTCTTGGTTGTCTCGGGGCGGCGCACACAGGCGATGAATCGCCTGGGCAGCCGAGTAGTCGGGGCGGTTTCATAGAGAGGGGTCGAGGTTCCTGAAGACTCCTTGCTGGAATCTTGCATCTCATCGAGGGAGGTGAGGATGCCAGAAAGGATAGCGATACCCATTGTACCTGAAGAAGTGTAAGTCAACATCAGTGCATTGAAGGTGTCCTCAAGCGAGGAGGATGCGTACCACAGCCGATTACGGCCATAGTCAACTCCGAAGAGTTGTTGCCAGACGGAGCAGGACTCATGTTTGTTGGCGGTAACGGTTTACTAGATGTGTTGACTTAGAAAAGGGTGAGCCGATGTTCGGAGGGAGGAGCAGCTATTTGTGGTGTAAGTGACTGTGACGATGGGAAGATTGAAAGATTCCCCACGGATGTTGAGTGGATATACTGATAAGACATTGAATTGCTGGAAAATTCAAAATTTTAGCCCCATGTAAGGCAAGGGAAACCAAGACACTAAATACAAAATTCATAAACCTTCAAGTTTAGACTTTAACACCATCCTTGATTTAAGCTCAAACATAATTTTGCCATCTCTTGAAAACACAATCTCAAAAAAAAGTCAGTAACATCGACTTGCCACCATATGCCCCCTGGGACACCCCGCTATATCATTCTCACCGCCTTCCTGATGAAAACTAGCGCCATTTGTGGGCCAGCAAGCCAAGCCCAGGTTGTTAACCTCCAGCCTCGAACAGCGCGGTGACAAATAGCTTTGCCGGCAGTGAACCTTGTGGTTCAAGAACCCGGGTCACGTCCATCAACTGCTGATCAAATCTCAATTGCTAAAGAATGCTTGAGGCCGGCAGCCATAGCACACTCTAGGTGTGAAATAGATGACCAAGGATACAAGGCAGAATGACATTCCCTCCAATACGGCTTCTCGTCCAGAGCACAGTTATAAAACACCAGAAATCCCAACCACAACAAACCTTTAGCCTCAGACAAACCCATTACTTTCATCAAAATGGCGGATCCCTTCGAAGTGCGCATGCGCTTCACCCACCATTTGCGCCAGCTTAATGCATCGGTGACATCGGCGCAGAAGGCTGCCCAGTATGCCTTGAAGTATCGAGATATGGCTGAGGATTTGCACTCGTGCATCTTGGAACAGCTTGAGAGGGTAGGTACTTGACTAAACTCCAGCCTCTCATCTGGGACAATGGCCATCGTAATGCTTAGCCTTTAGAATCAAACTGAGCTGACATTTTAAATCAAATAGAACAATATGAATATGAGAGCCAATATCATGTATTTCATCGAGCACTTCCTCGACATGGCTCACAGGGACGGCCATCATGAATATGTCGGCATGATGCAACGCGACATTATCCGTGTCGTGGATGCTGTCGCTCCAGATGATGGGTCTGGTGCAGCCAATATCAAGGTTGTCCGAAAGGTAAGAGGTTTCTCACTTAGGTGTCAGTCGAATCGAAGACTTAACGCAGAGCTGACTTTTTCACAGGTGCTTCATGCACTTCAAAGCAAGTCCTTCCTGGATGCCCAAGTCGTGTCCCAGATTGAAGAGGTTCTCAAAGAGCGCGATGCCTCAGCCCAAGATATCAACCTCCTCTCTTCTCCACCGGAGGCCAGCGATGAAAATGGCGCTTCATCCCGCAGCCACGGTCATTCATCACATCATCATCATCACAGGCGAGGCGCACACCATCGTGGCCCGCCGAAGCTCGACAAGAGGCAGATCGAGCAACGCATCGAAGAAGATCGCGAGCGCCACAAACGACAACGTGAAAATATCTGGGCTATTCCTCCCGGAGAGGATGCTGAACTGCAGAAGCTATGGGAAGAGACGAGTGATCTGGGTGAGGATGACCACCGCATGGGTGAGGAGGAGTATGCCGAGTGGAAGAGCCAAATGAAAGCAGCTAAATGTGTGCATCAGAGGGAAGCAGAGAGAAATGGGACCTATTCTTAAAAAGGAATAATTCAGCGGCCGATAGGCGATTGATAATTCTGCATGGTTTGGCGTTTTACACGGTTGCTCTGGCTCTGGAGGAAACCGCGTGAAAATAGGGGTTTTATTTTGGGCGTTCAGGGTCTGGGATCTTAACGAGTCATTGACCATCTTCTTTGCTAAGTTCGCAATAGGACTCATGTACACAAGTTATCAAACACATCGATGCGGAGAGTTGGCTGGTATATCTCAAGTTGCCTATAATGTTACATGCTCTTTTATACATGCAGCGGAGAACCGTGATAGATCCCAGTCCAACCCGGCCTGACCTTTGGTCCTCCTGCCTGCGTCTATCTGTCCATCCCACCAGGTAGCCAGCAAGCAAAACGCCAAGCCATCCATCGCACAGCGCTTCCCCATGAAGACCCGAACCAAACAATAAGATGCTCGAAAGACAGAGTGGTGGCCAGTGTTACTCCATCACTACAACGGCACCGAGCTCCTTCATCATCGCGACGATCTTCTCAGCCTCCTCCTTCGGCACAGACTCCTTCATGGTCTTGGGCGCGCTCTCGACGAACTTCTTGGAATCTACTAAGCTGAGACCCAGCAGGTTCTTGACTTCCTTGATGATCTTGGGCTTGGCCGCAGCGTCGAATGACTGGAGCTTGAGGGTGAACAGAGTCTTCTCCTGAGCCGCTGGCGCCTCCTCTGCCTCCTCAGCGGCCGGAGCAGCGGCAGCACCACCGGCGCCCTGAGCAGGGGCAGCGACAGCAAAGCCGCCCACCGGCAGGTCGGGAATGTTCAGGCGAGCCTGTGTTCAAGGGAACGGGGGCACATGTTAGTTCGATGGCTACATCATCCAAGCATCTCATTCTTGGCCAGTTCGAGCCCACAATGGGGTGAACGGTGGATCTCGCGCACCTTGAGGCTGGCAACAAGGTCTGCCGTCTCCAACAGGGTCAATTGGCTGATCTGATCGACGATTGCGGCGATCTTAGGGTTGCTAGGAGCAGCAGCCTCGGTCGAGTTGCACCTCCGCGCCACGCGTTGCTGCTGCTGGAGAAGGAAAGAGCTCGAAGCACGAAGGGGGGCAACCCGGAGCTGGCGGGCGCAGCACTGGGCCGCATACCGGCAGGACAGCGACATGGCGACTGGGAGACGGGTAGATCTGTCTGGGGAGGGCGGGAGATGGTGTTCGGGCCTATTGGGCTGTGGGTAGAGGACCTTGAGACGTCGCGATGGGGTTTCTGGACTCTGCTGGCGTCGTTGATTTCCGGAGAGTTTTTCGGCCGTCGTTCGTTCGAAAAGTCTACCGGCCCGCGCCTGATTGGCCGCTGTGCTCGGGTGGGCTGGCACGGCGCCAAGACTTGCGGGCGGGACGAAGTCTGGAGAATGGAGCAAAATAAATCCGAGTTCTGCGCACCACACTGTGGCCGAGGTGGAGCTCTTGGGCTGACAGGGTCTCGTTCCAGACCCCTGGTCCCTTGTCCCCTCACTGATGCAACCGCACTGCAGGCGTTCGATTGCCCCACCTTGAATTTCAAGAAAAGAAAAAAAAAAGTTGAGATGGGAACTCAAGGTCGGTTCATATGAGTTTCGACTTACAAGATGAACTTTACCATCTAACACCCCCAATTTGACATTGAGCCATCCCAACTCTTCAAGATGGCCACAATCGACGTTACCCGGCAGAGGGTGTCTCTGCTCGGCGACGCGGCAGCTCTTCAGTTTCTGCCGCGCGAACTCACGGATGTGATCCGTGATGATCAGTCAACTCAACTCCTAGATGCTGTCGCGAACGCATCTCTTATTCCCGCCGTTACCGACAGGATTTTTGCCCATTTCGAATCCGTCTTTGCAGATGTTTGCGCGCGATGGGTCTTGTCACATCCCCGACTCGATGTGAGAGTTCTCGCATCGTTTGCTCGCATCCTACCTTTCTCTCCGTCTCTCTCAGTCTTCCTCATATCTCATCTTCAAGGGCCGAGTCAGGGACAACGGCCGGAGCCTACTTCAGGGCAGGCTCAATCTCAGGGACAGGGGACCGAGAGTGCAGGGAGAAGAGTGTCGCGACTCGGCCCCCTAGATCTGGCTGCCTTCTCAGATCAAGATCTCCCTGTTGTCCTGTTGGCGCTGTGGAGGCTCAACACCTTTGATAAGCGCACGTTCTCGCCCCTCTCAAGACCGTCTCAATTGCAGTCCCTTTTCCAGCACCAACTCCCTACCGTGAGATATCTCTCCATTCGAGTTTTTTGTCAGTTCCATGATGCCTCAGACCAGAAGGTCGAGGCGCTGGTATCAAGATATATCCCTAAGGACACCAGTCTCGTTGCGGATCTGGATGGCAGGGCAGCCGATTACGCGTTCTTAACTCTGTATGAGGACGCCCGGCATCAAGAAGTCCTCCGCCTTCGAGATAGTCTTCAACAAGCCCCGTCATCCAACTCTGTCCCGCCATCTGTCCCGGTACAGCATCTCACCCCTCTTGTTGTCAAGTATGGCAACACAGTCCTGCCGCGCCCTTTGGGCCCTGTAAACACCCCTAGCACGCTCGCTCTCACTCCAACAACCGTGGAAAACCTCGAGAACCTTGCCCGCATATTGCAACAACCAGGCCCTATCCTGTTGCATGGTCTGTCCGGCGCCGGTAAAACGTCCTTGGTCCATGAAGTAGCGAGGGAGCTAGGAAAGCAGAAAGAGCTTGTGACGCTGCATCTCAACGAGCAGACCGATGCTAAGATGTTGCTTGGCTTGTATACGACTGACACCAAGCCCGGCTCCTTCACATGGCGCCCTGGTGTCTTAACCACCGCTGTTAGAGAAGGACGATGGGTCCTGATTGAAGATCTTGACCGAGCGCCCACTGAAGTCATGAGCACTCTGTTGCCCCTGATTGAGCGCAGTGAGCTCCTGATACCTGGCCGTGGAGAGCGCATCCAGGCTGCCGCCGGTTTTCGCCTGTTTGCGACTGTCCGCACTTTGCTCGGGATAAATGACCGGGAGAATTTGCCAAACATGATTGGGCTACGCCTTTGGCATTTGATGCACGTCAAGGCTCTCCCCCGTGAGGATCTAGTGGAGGTAATTAACGGGAGGTATCCTCTGCTACACAAATACACTTCAGGGATACTTGCGGTTTTCGATCAACTCGTTGCTTGCACGAGCGGGTCAACTCGTCTTGCCCTTGGCCGGACGGCTTTGGATCGACCCATCGGCACTAGGGACCTCCTGAAATGGTGCAGTCGATTGGATGGTATTTTGCGCGCTGCTGGATGTAAAACCGGCGAAGAACCCATCACTGACACCACACGGGATCGCATGTTCCTTGAGGCCGTCGACTGCTTTGCTAGTCACTTGCATGAGCCTTCATCTCGAAGTATCTTGATCACTGCAATTGCCAAGGAGATGCATCTTTCCTCTGAGAGGGTTCAACATTACCTCACAAGTTACGTCCCGGAGCTGGAGGATACCGAGTCCAGGTTGACCATCGGACGCGCCTCATTTATCAAGCAGAAGCGCTCCAGTCGGGCTGCCAAGTCAAGGAGACCCTTTGCCACAACAGTCCATGCGAAGCGTCTACTTGAGCAGATCGCCATCGCTGTTAAGCAACGAGAGCCAGTTCTGCTGGTCGGTGAGACCGGTATTGGCAAGACGACGGTGGTGCAGCAGCTGGCAGATTCTCTGGGACACCAGCTTGTGGCCGTCAACCTGTCACAACAAAGTGAGGCCAGCGACCTCTTGGGTGGGTTTAAGCCTGTGAGTCCACAGAGCTTGGCAATGCCGCTTAAAGAAGAGTTCGAGGAGCTCCTCGAGAAGACCGGCGTCTCTATGGAGAAGAATAAGGAATACCTGGACCGGATCAACAAGCGGTTCGCCAAGGGCCGCTGGAAGGAGATCTCAAAGGAATGGAGGAAAGCCCCTAAGATGTTTGAAGCGATCCTGGCCAAGCTTGAGGCTGGCGCAAAGGCTCGGTCTGTGACAGAGAACGGTGATGGCCAACCGGCCAAGCGTCGCAAGACTGAATCTTCCAAGCTACAACGCCTGTTGGATCTCAAACCACGGTGGGAGCAGTTCTCTCAGAGCCTCGATCAGTTCGACCGGCAGCTCGCTAGTGGCTCGGCTGGCTTCGCCTTCGCCTTTGTTGAAGGCAAGATTGTCAAGGCCGCCCGCAATGGTGACTGGGTTCTTCTGGATGAAATCAACTTAGCATCTCCAGACACTCTTGAGAGCATATCTGGGCTCTTCCAGCCAAATCCATCTCTTCTCCTTTCTGAGACGGGCGAGATTGAGAGGATACAGGCACATCCCAATTTCCGGGTGTTCGGTGCCATGAATCCAGCGACCGATGTGGGCAAGCGCGACCTCCCGCTCGGCTTGCGGTCTCGCTTCACAGAGATCTACGTTTCTAGTCCGGATCGTGACAAGAAGGATCTTCTTACCATCATCAAGACATATTTGAAAGGGAATAACAGCAACATAGATCGGCTGGCCGACGATGTTGCAGACCTATACCTCGAGATCAAAAGGCGGGCGGAGGCTAAAACCCTGGTCGACCAGGCGAATGAAGTGCCTCACTTCAGCTTGCGCACCCTGACCCGCGTCTTGACATACGCTAATGATGTTGCGCCTTTCTATGGCTTGGAGCGGGCTCTTTACGAGGGTTTTTGTATGTGCTTCACAACACTGCTGAGTGAAGAATCAGAGCGTGCGGTCATGCCCCTGATCCACCAGCATTTGCTGAAGCGTCCTGGCATCCTTACCCAACCTCCCAAGAAACCCGCCGACGGGAAGCGTTATGTGATATTCAGAAACAGGAACAAGGACCACCAATACTGGCTTCTCCAGGGCAATGAGGAGCCAAAAGAACGGGAAGACTATATCATCACGCCCTACGTTGAGAGGAATCTATTGAACTTGGTCCGCGCAACGTCGACCCGCAGATACCCGATTCTGATCCAGGGTCCAACATCGGCGGGTAAAACTAGTATGATCGAGTACTTGGCCAACTACACTGGAAACAAGTTCGTTCGCATCAACAACCACGAGCATACCGATCTCCAGGAGTATCTTGGCACCTACGTATCAGACTCAGAGGGCAAGCTCAAGTTCCAGGAAGGCCTGCTGGTCCAGGCTATGCGGGAAGGATCATGGATTGTGCTCGATGAGCTGAATTTGGCACCTACCGATGTCTTGGAAGCCCTCAACCGTCTTCTCGACGATAATCGCGAGCTTCTGATCCCCGAGACACAGGAAATCGTGCGCCCACACGAGAATTTCTGCCTGTTTGCCACCCAGAATCCCCCCGGTCTGTATGGTGGTCGCAAGGTCCTCTCTCGTGCGTTCCGCAATCGTTTCCTTGAGCTGCATTTTGACGACATTCCCGAGAGCGAGCTGGAGACGATCCTGCAAAAGCGGAGTCGTAACACCTCTCCACCGGATTGCCGTCGTATCGTTGCCGTCTACAAGCAGCTCACCCGTCTTCGCCAGGAGAGCCGTGTATTCGAGCAGAAGAACAGCTTCGCGACTCTCAGAGATCTTTTCCGATGGGCTCTGAGAGAGGCCGATACCCGCCAGGAAATTGCGGAGCATGGCTTTATGCTGCTTGCCGAAAGGGTCCGCAAGCCAGAGGAACGAGAAGAAGTCAAGAAGGTCATTGAGGAGGTCTTCAAGGTCAAGATTGACGTGGACCGTCTCTACGACTTTGAGACCGCTCGTGAGTTCAGCAACGTCAAGGCTAGGAATAGCCAGGGTGTCATCTGGACCCGGGCGATGCGCCGCCTGTATGTCCTGGTCAAGCGCGCCATCAAAAACAATGAGCCCGTGCTGCTGGTTGGAGAGACCGGCTGCGGCAAGACCACCGTCTGCCAACTTCTTGCGGAATTCGAGAAGAAACCTCTGCACATTGTCAACGCTCACCAGAATACAGAAACTGGTGACCTCATCGGCTCTCAAAGACCCGTGAGAAACCGCGGTGCGATCCTGGATGCGCTCCATAGGGATCTCCAAGAAGCTGCCGCTATGCTCGGTAAGGAAAACGACTCACTTGAGAGTCTTCAAGAGTGGTACCGTACCCTGGGACCCGAGGATCTTGCAAAACTTCCCGAAAGCCTGAAGGCCAGGATCCAAGCTAGTACAACCCGAAGCAGGGCGTTGTTCGAGTGGTGTGATGGCAGCCTGGTTCATGCCATGAAGGAGGGGAGTTATTTCTTGCTCGACGAGATTTCGCTTGCCGATGACTCAGTCCTTGAACGTCTCAACTCTGTGCTCGAGCCTCACCGCAGCCTCCTCCTTGCCGAGAAGGGCATCACAGACTCCTTCGTCCAAGCCGCTGAGGGCTTCCAGTTTTTCGCCACCATGAACCCTGGTGGTGACTTTGGCAAGAAGGAGCTCTCTCCGGCTCTCCGGAACCGTTTCACCGAGATTTGGGTTCCGTCCTTCACTGACGTTGAAGACGTCCACGACATTGTTGTCTCCAAGCTCGACTCCAGGTTCAAGCAGCAGCGTCCTAGCAAGAAGGGTGCAAAGCCCGTCTCGCGCATCATCGTCGAGTTTGCCTCTTGGTTCGGCAAAACATTCCGGCCGTCGTCTACCACAGCCTTCTCGGTCCGCGACATCCTTGCGTGGGTCGAATTTATGAACAACTGCCGCTTTTCATCTGTTGAACTCGCTCTGCTGCATGGTGCCTCTATGGTCTTTATCGACACTATTGGTGCCAATCCTTCTGCCCTGGTCGCCGTTGACCCGCGCGAAATGGCCACCCACCGCCAGATGTGTCTCGACCAGCTCAGTTCGCTGTGCGGGGGCGTCGATTTTGCCAAGTTATACTTCCAAGAGCCACAGGTTACCATCAATGAGAAGCTGCTCACCATCGGCGACTTCAGCATTGACCGGTCCATGGCCGGTGGAGTTATCGACCCTGGCCATGAGTTTACTGTTCCCACCACGAAGATGAACGCCATGCGTGTTATCCGTGCCTTGCAGGGGACCAAACCGATCCTTCTTGAGGGTAACCCAGGCGTGGGCAAGACCACTCTGATTACGGCGCTAGCTCGTGCCTGCGGGCGGCCGCTTACGCGCATCAATCTGTCGGATCAGACGGATCTCATGGATCTGTTTGGCACAGATGTTCCTGTCGAGGGTGCTGAGGCTGGAAATTTCAAGTGGCAGAATGCCCCATTCTTGGAGGCCATGCAGAAGGGTGAATGGGTTCTGCTTGATGTAAGTTGTGTTGTCGTTTCCATTCGTTTCAACTCGCAGTTGCTGATCGATATGCTCTAGGAAATGAATTTAGCCTCTCAAACCGTTCTTGAGGGTCTCAATGCCTGTCTTGACCACCGTGGAGAGGTATATATCGCTGAGCTGGATCAAGTGTTCAAACGGCATCCAGATTTCAGGCTTTTCGCCGCCCAAAACCCTCATCATCAGGGAGGTGGTCGCAAAGGTCTTCCCAGTTCATTCGTCAACCGTTTCATCGTCGTGTATGCGGATGTTTTCTCCAAGCAAGACCTTCTTCAGGTCATGGCTAGGAAGTTCGACCAGATTGGCACTGAGACTCAACATCAACTCATCGAGTTCATGTCAAGGCTCGATGACGAGGTCGTTACAAGGAGATCGTTCGGTGCTTTGGGTGCTCCTTGGGAGTTTAACCTTCGAGACACGCTTCGCTGGGGTGACCTATTGACTTCCCAGGATGCTTTGTTGTCTGGTCGTAAGCCAGATGATTACCTTGATATCATTATTCGACAACGCTTCAGGTCGGAAAAGGACAGACAACAGGTTAATAGGCTGTTTGCTGAAGTGTTTGGTCGTGAGCCGGAGGATCATGGCCTGTACCATGATATTAACCCCTATTATGGTCAGGTCGGGCTAGCAAGCCTGAAGAGGAACCCGCTGTCTCAGCCGACACCATTCCCCAGCATCAATCCGGTGCCAAGACTTAAGGAGATCGAATCACTCATGATCGCTGTCCAACAGGACCTCCCATGTATTCTTGTTGGTCCTTCTGGCAGCGGCAAGTCGGCTTTGTTAGCATATGTTGCGGCCCTTGCTGGCAAATCTCTCGTTATCTTCCCTCTTAACGCCGATGTGGATGCCATGGACCTCATTGGAGGCTTCGAGCAGGCAGACCCTCATCGTGACCTCCAGGTCAGTCTGTCAAAACTCGAGCAGGCGCTTCGCGACGAGATTCTCGGCACCCTTCCCAATCCCGTCTCGGATGCTGCTGTAGACCTGATGGCTTCGCTGCACTCCCTGACCGGTGAAGCACACGAATATGAGCTTCTCCTTCCTCTGGTTGAGACCTTGAGAGTTAGTCCCTCCATCTCTGCTGCTCTTGCCAATCATCTTGCCGAGGCGGGAGAAGCTCTCAGGAAGCCTTTGACCCTGGAGAACCCCCGGTTTGAGTGGCTTGACGGCGTCATTGTGCGCGCAGTTGAGACAGGTGCCTGGCTGGTCCTGGACAACGCGAACTTGTGCAGCGCGTCCGTCCTTGACCGGCTTAACTCATTGCTCGAGAGGCCCAACGGCATCCTCAGCATCAATGAGCACAGCGGTCCTGGTGGAGAACCGAGGATCATCAAGCCACACCCAGAATTCAGGATATTCCTGACCGTCGATCCCCGGTATGGCGAGCTTTCACGCGCTATGAGGAACCGTTCGATCGAGATTTATCTGGAGCCTTTACCAACCGCGTCCATCTCCGTTGCTGGGCGCACGTCATCTGTTCCTGTCGAGGGAAGCTTGCAGAGGTTCCATGCTGCTGCTAAGATCCTAGAGCAACAAGGTTCGGAGGATAGGCAGCTTGTCTCTCTGGCTTTTGATGTGTTGTCCCTCAATGACACCAACCGGCTTAATGCCTACGCGCAGGCGGCCCGCGATGGCTTCTCTCATTCTGCTCCCTCATTGTTGCGATCTCCTGCCGCCCTCGAGTATCTCGGCCAACTTACGGCTTACATCCACTCTGAAGATGCCGCTTCTCTGAGACAGGCTATCGCTAATCTTTACGCGGCCTCGCCTGAACGGATGTTGATGCCGTTGCACCCGCTTATCAACTCTCCAATAATCCAGCTCTTGGAGCACGGCCGTGAAGGCGCGGCATTTTGGCTTGCCAGCTGCTACGAGTTCTTTCTTGACATTCTGCGTTCCGAGACGGCCATGGAAGCGCAGCTTGCCAGAGTCAATGTCAGCAAGCCATCGTCTCTTAACCGTCTACAGAGGTCCTGGGTCGCAGACAAGGTTGCCTCGCTGTCAAAGGACTCGACCGTCAATGCTGTGCGGTTCCTTACGTCAGCACTCCGGGCGGTCAGGGCGTTTGTATGTGAGACGAGTGAGCCAGGTGGTTCTTGGAAGTTACGCAGCGCGGTATTGAGACGTCTACTGCTGTTCTGGAAGCGTACGTTCAGGGCACTTATCGCATCGTCTTTCGAGGAGGCGCGTTTCCAGGCCCATCTCACTCAAGGGTTGAAGCTCCTCGCCCAATGCATATCCGCTCTCCAAGGGCAAGACAGTGATCAAAAGCTTCTCACCATGCTGGTCGGATTCTTGGAGCGAGATTTCGTCGTTGGCTTCAAGCTGTCGACTGGTCTTAGTATGGAGGTTCTTTGGCACCAGCTACGACCGGATCCGATCCCTGATCTGCAGACGTTGGAGCAGGTTGCTGAGCTGGAACGTCTCGCAGACCGTTTCGATGCTCTTCGCTGGCTGGTTGACGTTAACATCTCCACCCTGCGTACTGTTCAAGACTCCATGGCCCGCGTCTACGCCTTTGTTCGGACTGGCAAAGGAACTGCTGGTGAGCTAGTCAAGGACCTGCAGTCAGAGATCACAGCCTTGGAGCAAAAGATCGGCGAGCATTCGAGTCCACACCAGCCCTTCTTCGCCTCCAGCTTCGAGGGTTTGAGGCAGGCTCTCGTTTTGCATCAGGTCTCCCAAGAAGCTACCCTACAGCAAGGCTCATCAGATGTCGACGTCCTTTCAAACCTCCCAACCGTCACCCTGATGCGTCTACAGTGCCTGAAGCGGACGCCTCTGCAAGCGGTCGACTACATCCTCGCCCAGGATACCAATGATGTTCATCCTTGGGAGGGCACACTGTCCAAGTCGCTACTCCTTCGATATGATGCAGCCTCGTCGGCAAGCCTGCATGAACTACGTTCCTTGGAAGTGGAGATGCCCATCATGGGTCGGGTATTGGCTGGCGCCTCTGAGGCTCTTTCTACTGATCCTTTGATTAAGGCCGAGAAGCTGTTGCTTAAGCTGCTAGACCAGGTACTGTGTGCTCATGGCGAATTATTCAAGGGCCAGGCTGCTGCGATCTATCATCACATCCTTAACAATAAACATGACGATAGCCCGCTCTCCCACTCAACCCTTGAATCATGGCTTACGCAAAGCAGCTCACTTCAGCTTCCTCAGGAAGTGCCCCAGCATCTGAGTGTTATCTTCGAGAAACACTTTGCAAAGGCTTTCCTCGCGCTTGCCGCATCGGCACGGGGCTTCCAGCCGCGCTCGGCGTCGACTTCGGTCGCTTGGGTGCGCTTCGCTCTCGGCTGTGTGGAACTCTTCGTACCAGATAAGATCTTTGACCCGCATCACCGGGCTCAGACCGAGGCCGAGGAGCACCAAGAGCTGTACGACAGCCTGCAGCAACAGATTGCTTCTCTCGAAGCTTTCGAGTTCTCCTTTACTGGTCAGCGCACTACCAGCCTGCGCGCCAAGATCCTGGCTGAGGAAGCTCAGGGCTTGGGTGAGCCACCTACCGTGCAACAAATCTATCGTCCTGACGGTAGCGAACTTCGTGGCCTGCAGAGCGAGTTCAACAATGTGCTGAGCGCTCTGATCAATAATGATGTTGCCGCAACACATCTGCGCTCGTTTGTCGCCGAGACAGCAGGCGATGCTGCTGAAGAATTGGCACTCGTTGAGCAAAATGTAGTCTTGCTGATTGGGCGCCTGTCCACACGGTTCGGTGCCTACCAGGACATGACGATGCCTTTGGTGAGCTTCTTGCGCTGCTTGAGGTTCGGCTTGTCTCTTGGCCGCGGACTTGGAACCAAGCCCCAGCAGTCTGAAGAGGGCGATTACGGCGCTTTAGTTGGTGTTACTCCTTTCCTAGGCGGCAATGTATGGAAGGCCCAAACTGCTGGGGAGACGATGCCAGTCCGCACACTCGAGTTCCTGGCACTCGTGCAAACCATTGCAGCTGTCGAAGGACGCGATAAGCTTCCTGTTTCCTTGCGTCGCATGCTGCACGAGTCGCTGGCCGCGTTTCACGAGGAATGGTCGAAGAAGCTCGAGGCCGATCGGAAGGCCGAACAGGCCAAGACTAGTTTGTACAGGTTTAAGGGCAGCTTTGAGGACCAGGAAGAGTTCGACCAGGAAGAGTTTGACCAGCTTTTCCCGGATTATACGCCGGATGAAGATGGCGTGACCAGACCCAAGAAGAAACCCCGGCACGGTAGTCGCGAGCTCTCAGTGTTGTTGGCTGAAGCGCACGAAAAGATCTTCCTGCAGTTGCAGGAGCCTCAGCAAAGTATGCGAGAGCTGGTCGCGAAGGTCGCTCGTCGGTTTATCCGGGAGAAGCGTGACTTGGCCATTGCGGAGCCGGAGTTAGATCGCGTGCTCCTCCCAGCTGCCTTCCTGGTCTTCGACGAGCAAGTCAAGGCCTTCAATTCTGAGGCTAACCAGCCTGGTGAGTCATCAACATACAACTTCTACACCGATCCGAACCTTGCCGAAGTCCGCAAGGTGTTGAGCCTCGTCAGCGCCATCAAGATGCGCTTCCTCGAGCTGCAGGGCATCGACGAGATTGGCCATCACCAGACCCTCGCCGATGTTGTCCAAGCATGTGACAAGATTCTTCTGGACATGGCCATCGACGACCCCCTGGCACGCGTCATCACCGCTATTGAGCGTTTGTATGCTCATGTCTACGAGTGGCACGAAGGTGGCTGGGCCACGAGGGAGCACAAGGCGATTCCTCTGTACGAGAAGCTCCGCGATATTATCTGCCACTGGCGACGTCTCGAGTTGTCGAGCTGGTCACGTTTGCTCGATGACGAGATAAAGAAGCACTACGAAGACGCCAAGTCATGGTGGTTCATCGCTTACGGTGCCGTCATTTTGAAGCCGTGCGCCATCCTACAGCAGGGTCTGGACCTTAAAGAGCATACTGTTGAGCTCTTGGGTATCCTAGAATCCTACTTCACGGGTGCCACCGTCGGTCAGTTTGCTGCGCGGCTGTGCCTTCTGCAACAGCTCAAGAACCAGCTCGATCTTCTTGTTGTGGATGAGCCTGCTCTAACCGTCGTTCGTGATGCCGTTGCCAACTTCATCGTTTACTACGGCCGGTATCAAAACAAGGTTCGCGGGTTTATCAGCGCCGGTCGAGAGCCATTGGATAGGAGCATGAAGGACGTATTATTAATGTCCAAATGGCGTGACAAGAACATCGAGGCTCTCAGGGACAGTGCGCGGAAGTCTCACGCGAAGCTGTTTAAGATTGTGCGAAAGTTCCGTGCCGTGTTGGAGCAACCTATCAAGTGCATTACCGATCAGGGGCTTCCGGAAGAAGACTACTCTAGCGTTAGTACCGAAGGATCGGGTGTGAAGATGACGATGGCTGCAATCCCTGGCGACCAGAAAGCCATCTCAGTCTGTCAACAGACTCTCCCTGGCATCCAGAGCCATCCGCACTGGACCCGGATATCCAACCTGCCTGTCGTCCTAAAGGCCATCGCTAAGTATGGTACTGTTCCTGCTGTTGCCATCAATGCCGCTGAGACCCTGGACACTTACGTCTCCGACCTGGTCTCATCTATCGCCTCACTGAGAAAGGAAACCCCAAGCGAGTTGACAGATGAGAACAAGGAGCTTGTCCGTCATCTCAAGACTCGCAAGGTTACTCTCTACAGCGACACTCTTAAGACTCTCCGTGCGATGGGTTTCAGCCGCAACTTGGGCACCAACGTTCTTGCGAAACAAGGTTCAACTGCTGTGGTTCTCGTTGACTCTGGGCTGGTGTCGCAGCCAGGCTGCGCTGCGCTCGACGCTACCGAGTACTACTACCACAAGATGCTCGACCTGGCCCCACGGTTCCGTCACGCATCACTGGAGCACTCTGATGACCTCAACCGCGAAGTCGTGAACCGCAGCATTGGATACCTCGAGGGCGTTCTACACGTCATGTTCCGCCAACGGCAATTCTTGGCGCGTGCGTCTCAAGCAGAGCGCAACCTCCACGCTGTTGTTGACTTCGTCAAGGAACTGTCGACCGCTGGTGCCGGGCTGTTCAAGGCTGAAAAGCGCCCAACGAACCACGCGCAGGTAGTCCGCTGGCTTGTGCAGATCCTCAGGTTGGGCATTTACCTTGTGGACGTTCATTCCAAGCATGGCGGCATCGACAATAGCGATGTACGCAAGAGACTCGATGGGTGGGCTGAGACGTTCGCGAAATTGGATGCTGCGCAGGATAATCTGCCGCGACTCCCTGATGGGTTTGGTTCAGTTCCCGGCGATGAGCTTCGCAAAGATGTTGAGAAAGAGCTAGAGGTCCTTCGAAATGGCTTAGATAACATTGCGCGCAACCGGCCCGACCTGGCCTTCGTCATGCAGCAGATTCAGCTCTGGACCAGCATCCAGACGACGGAAGTTATTGATGGCATCCATGAGAGCGAGAGTATCGACAACTTTGCCGCTGCAGCACTAACGCTCTCCAGCAAGGTCCTAGTTGCGTTGCAGAATTTCCGCAAGGCCGCCAAAAGTCTCCCAACTACAACTGAAGACGCCGGTTGGCTCATCCAATACAGCGACAGCCTGCAGCAGTCCATCGACGCTCTTCGCATGACTAGGATTACTCAGGAAGTCGAATCGCTCTTCGGCCGCCTGAGGGCTCTCACCACGGATCAAGACACAGCAACAGCCCTCCTGCGTCTTGTCTATCCAATTCTCTCTCAGTACCTGTCAGTTTGCTCACACAATCTTTCTCGGTTTGTCGACCTTCATAGGACGACTTGCCGCCTGGGCTACCAGCTGGCAGCCTCTTTCGTGCAAATTGCCAGCCAGGGCTTCTGTACGCCACAAGAGAAGAGCAACGAGGAATCCGGAGAAACCGGCCAAGTGGAGAGCGGCACTGGCTTGGGCGAGGGCGAGGGTGCCGAGGATATCAGCAAGGACATCAAGCCAGATGAGGACCTTTCAGAACTGGCACAAGACCCGAACAACAATCTTCAGGGAGACATTGAACACAACGAGGATGCCGTCGACATGGGTGAGGATGAGCTTGAGGGCGAACTTGGCAGCGTGTCTGGCGAAGATGAGGACGAGAAGGATGGCAAGGATAAGGATGGTGAGGAAGAGGAGGAGATGGATGAGCAGGCTGGTGATGTGGACGATCTGGACCCCACTACCGTTGATGAGAAGATGTGGGATGGCACTGATGAGGACGAGGCCGAGAAGGATCAGATCGGTGATAAGGAGAAGGGTAAGAAGGATGATGATCAGAGTGCAGCTGTGGAGAAGGACAAGAAGGACCAGCAGAAGGGAGATGAACAGCAAGATGATGAGGGAAATGCTCCTCCCGACGAGGCTGGAGATGAAGATGCTGAAGCTGAGCCTGGCCAGGAGATGGAGGGCATGCGGGAAGAGCCGATTCACCAGGATCCAACTGCGCAAGAGACGGATACTCTCCAGCTTCCAGAGGATATGGATATCGAGATCGATGATGAGGGTGACAGTGATGAAGATGATCTGGACGACCTGTCGGATATTGAAAAGGCTGAAGATCAGGAGGAACCAAAGGTATCTGAAGAGGTTCCGCGCGGTGATGAGGAAGAGGGAGAAGAAGACAAACGCGAAGAGGAGCACCAGAAGGACGAGAACATTGCTGAAGAAGAGGCTGAGGAGGAAGAGGAGATTGATGCAGCCGGTGATAGAGAGGAAGAAATGGAGGTGGATGAGAAGGAACAAGAGCAAGGAAAAGAGGAAGATGGTGAGAATGAGGAGAACGAAAGAAACGATGAGAAGAAGCAGCCACTTCCTGATGATGGAACCAGTATAGACCAGGAAAATGCCGCTCCCAGTGAGGTCAAGAATGGTGGCGGTCAGGCTCAGGAAGAAGATGCCGACATGCAGGATGAGGACAGTGAAAACAAGACTGGCCAGAGGGAACAAGGTGCTTTGGGCAAACAGGCGGCTGAGGAGGATAAGGCTCCAGGTGGTCAAGGTGTGCTCTCCCAGCTGGATCAAGACCAAGGCCAGGCCGACAAGCCCGAGGACGACAGGCGATCGCAAGACGCACAACCCTTCAAGAAACTTGGTGATGCGTTGGAGCGCTGGTACCGCAATCAGCGGGACATTCAAGCCGCTTCGGAGGACCAAGATCAAAAGAAGAGCGAGAACTCATCCGAGGACCTGGCTAAGGCCGAGTTCCAGCATCTCCAGGATGAGAACGCAGAGGCAGACACCCAGGCCTTGGGGACGGCAACAAATGAGGAGGCTAAGCCGATGGACGATGTCATGGCCATCGACAACGAGATGGAGCAGACTGGCGACCAAATCATGCCAGAGGATGATGAGGAGGAGGAGCAAGGTGATGTGGAGATGGAGGACGTTGACTCTGCTGGGCAGCAGGATGCTGCCAAGAACGACCGTGAAGATGGGCGATCTGGCGTTGCTACGCGCAAGGGAGCTTATGAGACGGATGACAAGGACGATCTCCCGCAGACCAAGGCTACATCTGAGGAAGATCTTGAAGATGAGCAGATCAAAGAAGCATCCTCGCAGCTTTTGGCCACCCACATCTCTGACGAGCAGTTAAAGCGGCCACTCCGTGACTACGGCGAGGCACTTGAAATGTGGTCGACCTTCCAAACCAAAACCCAGGCGCTCTCACAATCTCTCTCATCTCAGCTCCGCCTCATTCTCACGCCCACCCAGTCAACCAAGCTCTCTGGCGCCTTCCGCACAGGCAAGCGGCTAAACATCAAGAAAATCATCCCGTACATCGCGTCCAGCTACAAGCGCGATAAGATCTGGATGCGCCGCGCCATCCCATCTAAGCGTGCCTATCAGATTCTTCTTTGCGTAGACGACAGCTCGTCCATGTCAGACGACAACCGCTCGACAGCCGGCAACTTGGCTCTCGAGTCTCTGGTCATGGTCGCCCGTGCACTCACAGTCCTCGAGGCTGGCCAAATCGGCGTCATGGGCTTCGGCACCGACGTCTTTGTTGCACACGCCCTGACTGATCCTCCCTTTACCTCTCAAGACGCTGGTGCCCGCGTCCTGCAGCAGTTCACCTTCCGCCAAGACAGTACCGACATGGTTCTCCTGCTACGCCGGACAATCGATCACTTCCGTGAAGCGCGTCTAATTCAGGCATCATCGTCGCGTGGAGGTGAAGATCTCTGGCAGCTGGCTCTTATCCTGTCTGATGGTCTTGTTCAGAGCCGCGACCACGCACGACTCCGGCCTCTGCTGCGCGAGGCGATGGAGCAGCGTGTCATGGTGGTCTTCATCGTCATGGACGATGCACGCAGCCGTAAGGGACATAGTGTGCTCGAGCTCAAAGAGGCGCGGTTCGGCCCGGACGGCGTCCCTGTCATTCATCGGTACTTGGACTCATTCCCGTTCCCATATTACTTAATTGTCCATCATCTGGAGGATTTGCCTGGCGCGTTGGCGGCATTGTTGAGGACTTGGTTTGCGGAAGTTAACTCTTGATCTGTTTAGATAGATAGTTTTTGTTCTTGTTGTTAGTGCATGCAAATCATAGTTTAGAGTCGTCAAACACTGACTTACCCCCCTTCCCATCTGTTTTTCCAGCTCCATACTTTCTATGCCTAGCTCCCCCTTTTTTGATATCCCCAACTTCTAGGTGTATACGTTGAAAATGACAACAGATGACTATGATCATGTAGGACAGTATGTTTCTGGTCGGCTTCCTAATGAACCACTCTGAAGGTCGTCGAAACAGAAAGTGCAGACATCGGAATCATGAATGTCGAAGATTTAACACCTAACGCACAGATCTCCATTCGCTGTTTCGTTTGGCCGTCGTAAGCGGACGACAGATCCCTACTCGACAATGACTAGCGGTACCGGATTCAATCGTTACAGCATCTGAACTGATTGATGGCGCTGCCCCTGGAACGGTACTTGCATGTGCTGACGATGGCACTATTGCCTATCGGGACCCTTCCTACGATAGCTAGTGCATGAAAGACTTTATCAAGCATTTCAGTTCTGGCCTATCCCACCAGAGCTGTTGAAGGTGTGTCTTTGAGACTCAGTACGTCTGCTTTTTTGGCATGTTGCAGCAGAATGGAAAACTGTTTTGCCTCTTCATAAACTGTACTTTTTATATCATGAAAAGCCAATCTGATAAATAAGAGTGTCAAGGATGTTCCTGTGTCGTGAGCACTCTAATTCTGCTGCATAGGGGGTGTGCAGTGACAATTCCGCCAAGCGTAAAGTTTGGACCTCACCAAATTCCGAGTCTTCCTGATCTCCTGAGAAGAGTCTCTGTTCAATGCGAAGAGGCATTTGGTCACCGCCTAAAAGACGTCGAGAAAAATCAAAAAAATTGCCCTCAGCACGCTATCTGGGGAGGAGATAGACCTGTTAGGTCTTCGAACTCATTCTGTAATAGTTTCTCGTTCTCTCTTGGCTGTCAAAAGCCCGCAGCCACAAGAGGTTATGGTACCAGGCTCACCTGCTCTCATGTTAGGATGTTCAGATTCCTAGCTGTTCCTTCCAAAGCATTTGATTTCTCCTCCTGGCTCTACGGTATACGAAACGATGTCGACACTGCATTTCGCAGGACTTTCTTCCATTCTTGATTCCAAGAGATTCGGTTCGTTCACGACAACGACTCTAGGAAGAATGTCCCCTATGAGATTCTTCGGATGGTTTTCACAGAGCACTCTTCTGCATATGCACGGTAGCTGGCTTAGCATGGAGTCGACCTGCTATCGCTACCAGTTCTCGAGTCAACATCTTTCGCTACCAAGAAGCTAGTTGGTCCCTACACGCTACTAAAGATAGACCGCGAAACACCGACCTCTTTCTTGCCTTCTAGGTGCAGAGAGTTCGACAGGGACTTTTGGCCATCAGGTACACACGAAAGCTACAAAGAATGGAAGGACTATCTTCTAAGGAGAGGGATACAGATGCAGGACACTGAAAGTTGTCAATGTTTTTGTGTCCTTACAGGGTGGACTCTCTTCAAGTTGCTCCTGAGGCGGGCTAGGAAAGGACTACAACGCATTATCCAGCCTTTTCAACAAGGGAGTTGATTAATCGTTGATAAGATTTTATGATAACAGTTTTACCTCATTTCGTGAATCTCTTTGGACATGTCCCAGTCTCAATCATGTTGTGGCCTTGCAATTCCCTATCTACTCATTACTTAGTAAACCACACCAATGTTGCAGGCTGGACAATAGGACATTTAGACATATGGGATCACCTCATCACCTTACCAAGGATAACATCGATGAGGCATATGCTTTTGAGCTCTCCTTGCTGGGGAAGCTCATGGAAGAATTTGAAGAACAGATAATTGTCATGTTCAAAATAGAGGAACACCAGAAACAAGGACATTATCAAGTTCTGGCGCGATGATTATCCAGCTAGAATGAGTGAGATATTGCAAGATCTTATGGGAAACAAGTTGTCAGATGAGAAAAAAAAGGGGCTGCCGAGGATGTTGGAGTTGTACGGGAACAGGACTCGGAAGGTGAAATCAGGGTGTATGGGCCAGAAGCCCCACGATCGCGGGAGTCCAACCCATATCGTGGGGATACCTGGGACTACTGGCTCTGGGAACTGGATCAGATAAAGGTCGATGGATGCTGAGGTTGATCAGAGTAAGCTATAGTGCTGGAGAAGAGCCCTTTGCGCTATCTCGCTACATAGACAATGTCATGCTCTTGTCAGTCTTGTGTAGTGGAGGCCTCGATGCCTCATTTTCTACTCCAGGACTCATGCCAAACTGGAAAATGCATCTTTCTATCGCACCTTCATGGAAGACTCATTCATTTTATGACCCTAAACCCATATGATATACATGCTTCGGTGCCCATTTCACGCGTCTCGCATGCCCTTTACCCTACAGCTAAGATCCAGGTAAATTCATCCTCATGGACCAACCAGACCAACAGCACAAGACGAAAGCGAAACCGAAGCAAACGATGGGCTTAATCCAGGAGCATAAAGACGAGATAGCTCCGGGGAGGGGGGCATGCATGAATGAAAAATAAAATCGGTTGGAAAGAAAAACCCAGAGAGATATTTGCTAACGCGAGAGCTTCGGAAGAGATATAATAACAAACACATGCTGTATGAACCATGAATAAAGAGTCCACCCAGCCCTTCATCAAATAAGTAAAAAGCCGGTAAGTAGGTAGGTAGTATCCCATGTAGTAGTTATGCACCGAAACCGTTTTATCTCCATCCGCCTCAACCAATTCTGGTTATCTTCATTCCAACAAACAAGTAAAACCCTTCTCTTTCTGTTCATCCCATTAGAAAAGTCAATCCCATCATCATCATCATCAATCCAATCCTTATCAAGCCACCATATCCCCTCTCAAATACACCCACGGCTCGTCATCCTTCCCGCGACTCCGACCTTGACTCTGTTCCTGGCTCTGGCCTTGACTACTCTGGCGCTGACTGCTCTGACCTTTACCTTGAACCCGACCCTGCTCACTAGCACCTGCACTAGCAGCTGTGGCTGGAGCAACTGCCGCAACACCACCAAGCCCTTCCACACTCTCCAACACGACATCCGCCTGACTCCCATCGCTCTGCTGCACCTGCCCCTGTGCCTGCATCTTCTCCATCAACTGCGCCAGCCCCTGACCAGCCTCTTCAGCCGCCTTGGCAGCCGCAGCCATCAACGCAGCCGTTCTGTGCTCATGCTCCTTCTTCTTCTCACTACCAACCAACTCGCCCTGCACAAGCTGGATATCCTCAATGGTATCATTAAACACAGACGTGAGCGTGCTCAAAACCGCCATGCGGTTCCACTCGTGCCGCGTGTGCCAGATCACGTCCATCAGCTCGCGGTAGATCTGTTCGAGCTGCTCGACGCTGCAGCCCACTGTGCGCTCGGCGAGGGTTTGTCGGAATTCTTCAAGAAGGCCCTCATGGATGACTGCTTGTTGCGAGGAGACGATGGAGCGGCCTGAGGCGCGGAGGGCACCAACCAGATTGGCTGGGATACCCGCTGAAGGAGCTCCTCCCCCAGAGCGCGGGGTGTGGGGTGTTGCGAAGCTGCCGGCAGAGGAGCCACTCGACGGGCCGGATTGGTTGTTGTTGTGGGAGGCGCGTGCATTGTTTGAGGGTTGGCTGGGGCCAACGCCGCTGCCGCTGCCGTTGCCGGGGTGTTCCTCGGGGTTAAGGATGTTGCCGAGACTAGTGACTGAGGGTTTGCCAGGGACGTTTTGTTGTGAGGAGGACGGGGTGTTGTCTGAAGAGCCACGGCCGGGAGGAGGGGGCATCACGCCCAAGCGGGCGGGCAAAAGACCTGCTGCAATGGCAGCTGCCTGGGAATGAGCCCAGCTGCCGCTTGTGCTTGACTGGCTGCCGCTGGGGAGAAGAGGCTGCGAAGCTTGCTGGAAATGGACGCCCTGCTCTTGGGTGTCGATAAGGGAATTCTCCTCAGGGCCGTGAGCCGTGCCGTTAGTATTCTGCGTGCCCCAGCCGGTAGACGTACGATGGCTCGACAGCTCTGACGTCTTGGTAGTTGAAGCCTCATTGGCGATTGCCGACGGCGCCACACCCGGCGGAACTGTAGTGATGGCAGATCGTTGAGAGAGATGAGTGCCTTGGGTTGCCCTCATCGAGCTCTCAAGGTGAGTACGAGGACCGAAATGAGGCCACTGAACAGGAGAGGACATCTCGGCGCGCGGGAACGACAAGGGCTGCGTCTCATCATCGACGCCACTCATATGAACGTCTTCACCATCCTGCCGAGAAGTAGATGACGTCCCGTTTGTCAACCGATGCGAGTCCGCACCGTCCTGATGCCTCTTAGACTCAGGACTCATGATGGGCTGGAACCTAGCCGCCGTCGCAGCCGTCGTTGTCGTTCGACGGGAATTGGCCACACGGGCCATTTTCGTCATGGATAAGCCCATACCAACTGGGCCCTGAGAGTCACTGTCCCCGTCTGCGTCTGCGTCACCCATAATCTCAGACTGGACTTTGTCGACGACCTGCTGCAAGGCCGCCTTCTTGCGAGCCCTCTCTTCGGCCTCCCTGGCCCGCTGAAGCTGTCTCTCATAGATCTCGTCGAACTTGATGCCCATGCTTGCCAGGCTGATAGCAATGTCGTGGACGTCGACTTCAACATTCGTGCGGAGCTCGTTAGCCTTGAGGGCCCTGTCGCGATCACCGATGTTCTTGGCGTCGAGATAGAGTCGGTTGATGTCCTTGTAGAAGTCAATTGGCCGGGCGTAGTAGCCATTGGCCAGACGCTCCTCGATCGTCGTAGTCTCGAGATTGTAGAAGAACTTGCCCGTGGCCTTCTCACGAATACCCGGAACTCCCTCTTTGTCGGTAGCAATCTCATATGGCCGGCTGGAGTCATCCTCGATGTCGGGACGCACGTAGTTCGGATCGGCCTCCTCAAACAGATACTGAATTTGGCTGAGGGGAATGACGGGCTGCCTGAACTTCCGGTACTTGCGGTTGATTTGGTCCATGATGGGCTGCAAGCGCATCTTCAGCAGGTTAAGGTGATGCAAATCTTGTTTGCGCTGGGCTCTGATTTCTTCCTTCGTGAGCGTCCTCGGCGGCGGAGGAGGAGCGACAGGAAGATCTTCAAGCACGCGCTTCTTGCGATTAGCAGGATCGGGGAACTCAGGAGGCAACTTCCTGATATGATCGATGATATTGGAGAAGAACTCGAGACGGTTATTCTGGTGCGCGTTAGTTCCATTCCGAAAAAAGTCGAGGCTAGCAAAAAAAAAAAAGGCATAACTTACCCTTGTAGGCTTCTCAATTACGACACGGTTCTTCTTCGAAAAGCCAAACAGATCGCGGAGGATCTCAATCGGCAATTCAGCAGGCGGGCACTGCGCGGTCGCCAGGAGCAGGATAGGATCAGAAGGAGGAATGCTCCTCAGCATGCTGATGAAGGTTGTGATCGCCACATCGGTCATGCTGTTCCACCAGACATCAACCTCAGGGATGAAGATGACACCCGGCTTGTGCCGCTTCACTTCGACAAATTTGCTCACAATGACCTGCTCAAGGGGTCTGCCATCACCCATGAGACTCCCCAGGTCCATAGTCTGAACATGAACACCTTCCAGATGGTGTAATACGGCAGCTGCCAGGTAGGCTTGGCCCATGCCAGGGTGGCCAGTAATAAGAAGGCGAGGACGGAAGATGCGGCAACGCTCGAACTCTTGAGCCATAGCCTCTCTGCCGAAGCCGTGGTCAGCATCTTCGATAGGTTCGTACTCGGCCTCCTCCAAGGCGGTAATCTTCTTCTGACGGGGCAGGATGTTGTCAAGAACCCGGAGGATGGCCTGATACTGGTTCTTAAGAAGCGGCTCAACAAGCTTGGGCAAGGGGGTAGCAGATGACGCGGTCGATCTCTCCGATGAGGGGATCATCCTCTTGACGGAGATCATGAAATCGGTTGCCGTGATCTGGATCTTATCGGGGTCCACCACGAGCTTTTCCTTAGACCTGTAGATTTGCGGATAGGTCCTCTGGATCGCGTTGAGAGCAGCCTCGGTGCACAGGGCCCGAAGATCGGCACCACCATAGCCCTTGGTATTCTCAGCCAGCGCATTCTTGAACTCATCAGAAAGACCCCAGTCTCGAGTATGGATGTCGATGATAGCGCGACGCGCTTCGAGGTCAGGCAGGGGAAAGTAGAACTCTCTGTCAAAGCGACCGGGACGACGCAAAGCGGGATCAATATTATCCGGACGGTTGGTGGCACCGATGACGATGACCTGACCGCGGTTGTCCATGCCATCCATCAAGGCCAGCAAGGTGGAGACGATGCTGGCATGAATCTGTTCCTGCTTGCTAGACCGGACAGGTGCAAGGCCATCGATCTCGTCGAAAAAGATGATACTGGGCTGGGTCCTCTTCGCTTCCTCAAACAGCAGCCTGAGCTGCTTCTCGGCTTCACCAACCCACTTGCTCAGAGCATCGGCACCCTTGCGCATGTAGAAGCTGATCCGGCGGCCACCGGCGCCGACCGAATTAGCCAGGGCTCTTGCAAGAAGAGTTTTACCGGTACCGGGAGGACCATGGAACAGAACACCACGAGGAGGAGTGACGTGGAACTTCTGGAACAGCTCAGGGTACAGCAGAGGAAGCTGAACCATCTCCTTGAGTTGGTTAATGTGGTTGTCTAAACCACCGACCTTACTGAAATCGACAGTCATGTCGACACCGAGAGGGTCAGCGTCGGCAAACATTTTCTGGTTCTTGACCCTGCCAACCTGCGGCGTGGCGGCGATGCCATCAGCGCCGACAGGGTTGAACAAGCCAACAGCCGGACCGGTCGTGGTAGGCGTCATGCCGACAGTGCGACCGGCCATCTCGTCGTCGCTGCTGTCCGAGTCCACGCCGGCGGTGGCGCCGGTACCCCAGGGACCGCCAAGCAGGGCACCAGGACCGCCGCCGCCACCAAAGGGCCCATAAGTAGTGTTGAGAGCGCGCTCCCAGACGCTGCTGCTGGCACCTCTGCCTCCCCTGCGATTTCTTGCAGGAGTAGCCGCCGGCGGCTCGTCCTCATCTTCTTCCTCAGCCAAAAGGACAGCATCAATGGGCGGAATGCTGTAGTCGACAGGCTTGGTGCGGCGCTTCTTGGTGATGCGCTCCTCGTACTGAATGGAAGGAGACCGACGACGGGTGCGACGGCGCCGTGATGTGCTGGATGCACGGAGCTCCTCAAGTTCCTCTGCCAGTTCATCCTTGTCAATTTCGATTTCGTCATCGTCGGAAGAGTCACGGCGACGGCTTCGTCTGCTACGGCCACGAGTGCGGCGCCCGCGAGGGGTCGGGGTGGATTCATTCTCACCCTCGTCATCGTTCTTTTCGGCCTCTCCCTCGGAACCGTCGTTTTCGTCGGAATCTTCAACAGGTTCAAAATCGCTGCTGGGCTCCTGGGCCTTTCTGCTGCGACCACGGGTCAGGCGACGGCCTCTGCCACTGTTCTGGGTCTCGGCCCCAGCTTCCTCAGTGGCAGCAGCAGCAGCCGCAGTCGCTCTCCTGGTGGAGCGTCTCGTGCGAGGAGCATCATCCTCGTCATCATCATCCTCGGCAGCCGCCGGTACATTTTCCTCCTCTGCCTTCTCTTCCTGCTGGTCCTCCATGGGAATATCCTCAGTCTGGGCGGCGTTGTCCTCGCCCCCCGCATGCTCGGACTCGTCTCCAGTCTTAGTCAGAGCGAGCTCGTTAGTCTCGCCTTCAGCATCCTCCTCTCTGAGTTCGGTTTCTTGCGTGGCTTCCTCGATTGGCTCAGGAACTTTCTTGAGGCCCTTTCCGCCGCGAGTCGAGCGAGTGGTCCGGACCATGGCTTCCGGGCTCCTACTTCTAGAAGCTCGCGCCGGCTGAGCGTGCCTGCCCGAAGCTGACAATTCAACGAAATCTTCCTCAATTTCCTCGGTGCGGGCTCTAGTGCGCCGAGTGACGGGGCGAGGGGTCGGCGCAGGCTGTTCTTCTTTATTACGATTCAAGGCTGCCCGAGTCGCGCGCGGGTTTGTTTTCAGGACGACGATTTTCGAGGGACGACCCTGGGGCTTAGCCGGGATATCCTCCATGGCAGGCTCGCCGTCATCCGAGTCCTTAATCACGTCTTCTTCTTCCTGTCCCTCCTCTTCTTCACCGTCGTCAGTGCTTTCCTTGTAAGACGCGTGGCGGAGGGCAGCTCTTCTCATTCGTCGGCCGGTCGACGTCAGAGGAAGATCCTCGTCTTCCTCGTCTTCACTTTCGTTAAACGATGCGTCTTCCTCACTATCAAAGACGTCATCGCTGTCGTCAGTGATGTCGGAGCCCCGGTAACGGTTGGACCTCTTGCGCGACGACTTCGCCTTTGATGAGCGCGACTTCTTGCTACGGCTCGTAGCCCTCTCCTCTTCGGGGTCGAAGTTCTCGTCCTCGGGGTCGGACTTGTTGGGGTCAAAACCCTCAAGGGGATCGCGCTTGCGCTTCACCATGGTTCAAAGCTTGTCCGAGCGACAAATCAAAACAGGCGCCAGCACGAAAGAAGTCGTGCACAGTCAAAGCTGTTGGTGCAAAGGGACAATTCGCTACTAACACACAGACGGTATGCTAGAATGCGAAAGTTCAACAAGAACTGCCGGACATACGGCATCAGCACAAAAATTCCATATTGATAAGAAGTTCCCCATGACGGGACAGAGGACGGAAGAGGACGGAAGACGCGCCATAAGCAAGCAAGAAAAACAAGTGTACAAACCTTTGTACAACCGCGGGACGAATATGTGCAATCGCAAAGTATAAAACGCGACTTTGCCGACGCAACGAAGGAGACGTGTCGCTGCAGTAACCGTAGCTGTAAATACTAAGGCAAACGGGGCCGATAGAGCGACACAAAATGAGTACGATCGTAAGTCGGATCGAGGACAAGCTTTCCGTCTCGTCTGTCGGTTGGCTAGTCGGTAGGCAAGGCAAGATAGATGGTAGGTCAGTCAGTAGGCAGGTATGTGCAAAGGCACCAAGGTAGAAGAGAACACGCCAATCTTGTGCCTGTGCAAAAGGCGACTTGGGGCTGCTCTGGGGTACGGGTAAGAAAAAAGAGATCGAGAAAGTCGCAAAAGGGGCAAACGACTGGGTCAAAAACAGATGAAAATGCGAATATAAAAAATCGAAGCCCCTTTCCTATTGATCGCGAAGCTGGATAGGGCGCCAGCTGCAGAGTTGTTCAGAGAAAAAGATATGAGAAAACGAGCACCCTCTCTCTGTCTGCTTGCTGAAAGGAAGCAAGCAAGCCGAGCACAAAGGCAAAGCGAAGAATGGAGAGCAGCGAGCGAGTGTTCGCGCGTCCTTGCCCACCTTTCGCGCAACCGGGTCCCGGTTGGCTGTTGACAAGCCCCCGGATTTAGCCAATAAGAGGCCTCAAGATATGATAAAAGTGGGTCCCAATGTCCCTGCAGGCAGCAGCGCTGCACTTGTCAAACCACACCACCCTCCCAAAAAATCTCCGGCATTCCAGCTCACGGCAGGGGTTGTCGCGAAACCCGTCTTCAACGCCGTCGTCTGCGTCACAAAGCGAATATCCCATCGATGCCAATTGCAAACCTTTAATGCACATTTACGCAAAATAGAACCTGTAACTGATTACATGCAACTCTAGCGACTCTAAATATGCAATTCACGTGACCCCAATCCTGCTTGGTCATGTACAAAGGCAAACCGTAGATATCATCAGATCGCAATTCTATCTCATCGCAAAAGTCGCGTTCGTGTCGCATCGCGACGACCGTTGCGGTTTGACAAGGTGCGATCGGCGAAAGAGAGACGATGGCGTCATGGGTTCGGATTGCCCTGGGCCAAAAGAGGGGAGGGGGCCAGGGCAACGGCGGGCGGGCGGGCGGGTTGGCGGAGCCAGGTCTCTGGTTTCCACGTGCGCGCCGCCCGACTGGGCGGCCTGACCCCGCGATGCGGCTCCTTGGGTTGGCTCGGGAGAGGCATTCCATCAAGCCAGTCAATGGCCTTTGGGACTGGAGGCCTGGTCTCCCAGCGCTCTGGAAGAAGTCCCGAGACGGCAAACGACACCTCTAATTCTCACTAACTTGCGCCGTTGAGCTACTGTGCAAGCATGTCGGGCCTCTGGAAGGTGCTCTCAAGGGTCTTGCTAGCTCTCACACCTATGGTGTTCCCCCGGGGGGAGGCCAGGTTAACAGGCTGTCCGTGATGTCAAGCGAAGGCATCCATGAGCCCCGCCATTAACAAGAATGCTTCATAATCCAAACGCATGGAAACACAAGCAAAATTGCCAGTTCAGCTGATATCTTTCATCATATGGTCATAAACACCGGTTTCTATGATTCTTCTGTTGATGTTTTAGCCTGCCAAACAAAATCTCTAACATGCGCAGTGAAAATGCCGAGTGATAATGTCAACACAAAGACGCTGCTTGCAGGGTGCGCCGTCCCGCTCTTGGTTGGCGACCCCTAACCCTAGCGAACCCGTAACCCTGACCTAAAAGCCCTCTCTTAAAGGAGCGCCATCTCACCATCCACAGCAGCTGTAAGCTGCGACTAACTTGAACAAACTCCCATCCCTGATATAAAAACTATCATTAAAATGCCCCCGCCCATCATACTCAATTTCACCTCCGCTTCGTCGCCGGCACGCGCATCTTGGGAAACTGCAACGGCAGCGCAAGCTTGGCGATGGTGTCCAGCTTGTCGCCCGTCTTCTTCTGCTTGATACGGGCGCCAATCTCCATAAAGTACTGGTTGATCTGCTTCTGCTCCAGCTTGAGGTCCTCCCGCAGATCGAGGGTGTTAACCTCGAAGTTGTCGACGATGCACGCGAACGCGCAGCAGTGCGTCATAAGTAGGTCAACATGCGTCTTCCGCATGACGCCCGCGTCTGAGAATTTGCGCCGAATGTTTTCGATAACGATCTCCGGCGCGCCAACCATGACCTGGCGCAGCTTGTCACGCTTCCCGATGTTCCTCGTCCCGCGCTCCTTTCCCTGCGTGGTAGTCGCGTAAAAGACGATAGTCCACAGGAGATAACGCAGCACCTTGAGCCGCTCGACCGCGTTCTCGTTGCTGGCTACGCGGTTGATGCGATTGGCAACAAAGCGGGACGGAACCAGCAGTGGCTCGTTCTTCTTGGCCTTCTCTTGCCACTCCAGAATCGGTATTGCGTTGAGCACCTCTGCGCCGATGATTTCGCGGGGAACGTAGACGTCCTGGATGTCCTCGGCGTCGAAGTTGCCACGGGGAACGGGGCGGGCCATGTCGACAGCGGCCTGGAGCTCCTCGCGCGTGGCCATGTGCTCGCTGGAATCCTTGATGGTGTGTACCAAGGCGCGGGCATCCTCGTCCAGCTTGCCGCGTGACCTGGCGGCCAGCATGGCGTTTTCGGCGACAGCCTGGATGGCCTTCTTCGCCTTCTTCGTACCGAAAGCCTCGCCCAGCTCCATCTTTTGTTCGGCAAAGGTCTGCACACCGTCAGAATCCTGATCGTAATCCATTTTATAAAACTTTCACATACCGGCTTGCCAGCATCCCCCTCCATAGCCTCAGACGAGGCCTGTTTTGACCTGACCGTCCCTCGAACTGCCATCTTCTTCGCCTGCACGACCTCGATCTGCCCCGTTTTCGGGTCGATAATCGCCAGGAAATGGTTCATGACCTGGTCGACAGTCTTATGGCGCTCTTCCCGCGCCGTGTAGTCTATTGAACGATGCTTTGAAGAAAACAGCGCCATCTCGGATTGCGCGGGCGTGCCGCCACTCTTCCGCCGCTTGGCGGAAGGCTGCTGGTCGGCCTTGTCGTAGACATCGAAGAGAAAGCCGTCCGGTAGTGATATCCCTGGCGTCAATGCTGATCAGACAGTTAGCGCATGAAATTCCCATCTTCACGACACAGAGAACTTGCAAGAGAGCCTCACCTACAACTGGAGGCGACACCTGCGGCTTGAGGACCTTTGTGACCTGGAATGTTGGAGCGACTGGCCGACCGGACTGGATTTCAACCTTTTTCTTTTTTGATTGAGGCGTAGCCTCCTCGTGGCGCGGCCGCTTCTTCGATGGTGAGTCTGACATTGTGATGAACAATCTTAACCTGCGAAGCGACACTCGAATGTCGCTGTCCTCCTGTGTCGCTGGCGTTCGGGCGAACTGTCTGCGCTCCAGTAACTTTTTTTTCTGCCGGCAGATGGATCCGGTGGGGGTTCACCGCCTTAACAGTGGCCCCGCTAGTGACGCCCACAAGCCGAAACGGGCGCCAAGCCCCTCCAGGAAATGGACAAGAAGTCGAGGTCAAAGCAAACTTGAAAACAAGATGAGTGAGCGTTTTGATGTCAGTTGATTGATCTGATCAATGCTCTTACAGTTGCCTGTTGCGCCTTGAAAATCCTGACTGTTTACGAGGGAATTCACAACATGTAACCCTAGCAGCATGGAACAGAGTACATGAGGCCACCGAAACCCCACGTTGCGGCAGGTATAGCCGGGGTTGCCAGCGGCTAGGGCTCACCGTCGCACATTTACACAGCCAAAATCAATGATCACAAGTCAGAAAAGCGTGTTTACAAGGAGGCACAAAAATGGCTGCAAAGCTCAGGCGTCAATTCGTGCCAATCATGTTTCGGATTCGCAACTGTCGGGTCTCCAAGCTTGCCCGGTTCCAGAAGCGCCCAATGTCCAGCTCAACCGTTTTATTGACAGGCAACCAGTCACTACCATAAATCATGATACCACCAAACCGCCCAGTGTCATGCATCCCGTAATTGTCGAGTGTCTTTGACATGCAGTGAGACTTGTTTTGGAAGAGTCTCGAGCGACCGAGAGTCTCTGGGTTGCGAGGCGGACGGTGTTAAGCGCGGTGAGCTCGAGATTGACCGACGGCGCGGTCGCGGTGCTCAGTCCGCAGAGTGGCGACTCAGCTAGAATGCCGAGGACTGGTTGAGGTTGAGGTGCGAGGCGTTTATTTGCTGGATCGTTCGTTAGCCATCTACTCAAAAAGCGTCTCCCTAGTTCGACGCGGCAGCTTACCTCCTGGCCCTCATCTTTCTCCTCTTACGCTTGAGGCGGCGAACGCGCTTCTTTCTCCACTTAGCTCTCATCTTGACTGTTCAAGGGTTAGACTGTCGTCGGCGATGATGAGGGCGACGGTTGATGGTGACCTACCAGTTAATCCGCAGATGAGTTTGCGTGTTGGTAGAGAAAAAGAAGACGGTGATTTTCGGGAGGGGAAATAAACTTAACTAGGGCAGAGGGCAGCAGCCCTGTGGGGCAAGTCAGGTGACCTGCATGTGGTCCAAGCTCCTTCCCTATCTGCGACATACATGCACGCACACAGCGAGTGCGCTCTGGGTTATCACCACCTTCGAAAAGAAAGATGGCGACTGCCATGTGATGGTCCACTTCGAAAACTAGACTATTCAAGAAGTCCTCGTCAGATGAAGTTGGTGACATGTGCGGAAGGTGCATTCAGGCCATCGCGGTGCTGCCAGGCTTCTGCCTGTAGGCTGTCAACTCAATATTGTCCCCCCTGCCTCATGATCGGATGTTGAAGAGATTTTGGGGCCCTCGTTCTCTTGTTTCTTTCTAGATCCTCGAATCGAAAGATAAGTTTCATAATATATTTACCTATCTCCTAAACTACCGTGAAGACACTGTGGGAATGACATCGTCATCTTCTGCCCTCGGGTTCGTATCTTGGGAGTACAAGAGCACCGATCCCCCTAAAACAGGTACAGTCATGTTGCGTGTTTTGGTGCTGGATGATGAGCCGTTCTGTCTGTCGTTGCTGTTGGGCATGGCATCCCAGCTCTTGAGTGTCCTGACCTTAATGAAGTCTCTGACGCGTCTAATGCTGCTCTCTCCTAGGCGAATTTGTCATCCTTCCACATCAGACCGTGTTGATCGGGCGGGATGCATACGCAAACGACGTTGTATTCGCCGACCCAGTGGTGTCAAGAAACCAACTGGAAATATTCTCAATTGTTATGGATGAAGAGAACAAACATCCCCCTCTCGTCTTTGTGAGGGACTGTGGATCAGCAAACGGAACGTGTGTCAATGGCCAACTTATCGGGAAGCGCCCGGAGTTGTCGCCAGCCAGGATGCTCGAGGACGGGGACACCATCACCATTGGCCCCTATCCGGATCTAGTTTTCGTCTACCACCAGCTTGAAAATGTTCCAACCTCCCTGCCCCTGACCGCCTCACAGAGGAAAGAGGCAGAGGTAAGATGAAACGTTATCTTTGGCTCTTCAAGTCACTCATCTAACCAACTGCCTCAGCTTTTCCGGGATAGGTATATCATAACGGACCGCACCGTAGGTGATGGTGCTCATGCCGTAGTGTATGTGGCCAAGGAAGTGTCAACGGGACAGCATGTTGTCTGCAAAGTCCACGACATTGGCAGGTATCCAAAGAGTGCACGGGAAGTCCAACGGATCCGACAAGAGGCCACTTTGCTGAGCACTTTGGATCATGTATGGATACCTGATCCTCCTATGAGATTGTAACTAACACAACCGTCAGCCAAACATCCTGCCAATCAAAGCCGCCTTCGAGACCAATCAGAGCATGTACGTAATAATATCGATCATAGATATGAGGCTGTAACTGACTCGACCAGATACATCATTTCTGAGCTTGCCGCGGGTGGTGACCTCTACTCATTGATACTGCGGTACAAACAGTTGGAGGAACGTGGGATCAGAACGATCGTACGCCAAGTCCTTCGTGGGGTTGCCTACATCCACAGCAAGGGAGTTGCACATCGCGACATCAAGCCAGAAAATGTCTTACTGGGCATCACACCCCGCGTTCCTTACCGGGTCATGCTCTCGGACTTTGGGGACTCAGCCGTGACTGGGCCTAGGAGGATGAAGTCCAACGTTGGGACTTCGTTCTACCGGCCACCGTAGGTTCCCCGTCTGCTCTAACCGTTACTTCCGCTAATGAATAGCAGTGAATGCCACACTCCCGGTCTCGATCATGACCTGTCCGTCGACATCTGGGCAGTGGGCATGCTAACCCTTCAACTCTTCCTCGGCTACGAAGAATTTCCCGGCGGAGACTCTGTTGTGTTCACTAGCCAGGAAGACATTGATAATTACCTCAACATGATCTTTGTCGCGCTGACCGATGAAGATCGTATCTCGGAAGCAGCAAAGCATTTTATCCGTAAGTGTTTAGCGTACAACCGGGAAAAGAGGCCAACAGCTCGTGATGCATTCTACCATGATTGGCTCCAGCAGCCAAAGGAGGAGAGAAAGAGGCTCAAGCAGCTGGAAGCAGACAACATTCTTTCGTGGAAGCCCCAGAAGGTGAAGTTTCCGATCATTGAAGATTTGACCGCTCAGTCGACATGGCAGGGCAATAAGGACGCCCATGTTCTGAGGTCGAGTGCGATGTGGCCTTCGACAACTCTGCATTTCTCGAGCTGACAGTGTAGGACAAATGTATTGATGGCGACCTTGATGGTGTTGATGTTCAGAGCTTGAGCACGGACAACTATTGCTGGAATCTCTACTAGGTGTCGGAACCCGGGAGGCAAGTTTTGCCAAGGTGGAGTTAATCCTAAGAGTATCTGGGACCGACGTGGCTGCTAAATGTATGCAGATGCAATGGAGCTGAACCTAAGTGAACAGTTACAACACCGCTAATGTATAATACATTTTTACATTGCTCACAGCTTCGAACTGTCAATCCTATCCCCTTCATCATCCTGCTCCTTAACCCTCAAATCTGGCAGCTCAGCAGGCATGATCCTCCTGGGATTGCTGCCTGGCACTACCGAGTACTTAGAAAAGTCGGTCACTCCAGCATGCTTCCGCAAGAAGTCCTCATCCAGCTCCAACTGGCCATTGATGACATCTGCTGGCGCCCTTAGCATAGCGAGTATGGCATCAGAGAAGATGGTCGGCTTGCGAAGATGCTTGGCGTAAGCTGGGTCTCTCCGGGTAAATTGCTGCGTCGCAGCGGACTCGATCGCCTACACAACCATTAACTTCATTCTTCCATTTATCATCATCATGCAAGATAGTTGGGCGAACGGGACTCACCACCGCAGGCCAAACCCCCACAACAGCCATGTGTCCCTTGGGCGCCCCCTGCTCCTTTTCCTCGCGCTCAAAATCCATCCCCAGTCCCTTCACCAAAACACTCATCCCGACCTTCCCAATAGCATACGCGGTCTTGCCCCGGAAGAAACGGCTGTATATCGGCGGGCAGACGACCACGATGCGACCGCCCTGAGGGGCTTTCTGCAGATAGGGGAGACATTCTTGGACGGCTCCATAGAGGCCTTCGACGTTGACCCTTTGCATCAGCTGGAACCGTTTCATGGGCGTGCGCGAGACGGGCGCCCACCAGATTGCCCCGGAGTTGTAAATTAGGACGTCAAGGCGGCCATATTTCTAGCCGAAGTCAGACGCTGTCTTATTTTGGTGACGCCTAAAGACAAGGGGGTGGGGTTACCTCGACCGCCTTGGCCACCAAGTCCTTGATCGTCTCATACTTTGTCGTGTCAGATGGTATGGCGGCGGCCTCGCCGCCGGCATCTGTAATTTCCTTGGCGACGGTGGTGATGGTTGATTGGGGGGAGTTGGGGTCTGGCGGGAAGGGGGAAATCTTGGCGAGGTCGGAGGGGGAAGTGGTTGATTTGGCGGACACGACGACTGAATGATGGTGTCAGTATCATGATGAGGCTCAAAATGAGAGTGAGGAAGAATATGGAGGTTACCGGCATATCCGTTCTTGGCCAGGTCGATGGCAACCTGCCGGCCGATGCCGCGTGAGGCGCCAATGATGAGGGCAACGGGGCGGTTGATGGGGGTTATCATGATGCTGTTATAAGGGGGGAATGTTGATGGAAAGATAGGGAGGAGTAAGTGAAGGGAGTGTGAAAATTGACGTCATTGTCATCTCTAAAATATAACCAGAAACGGAATATCTAGCTTCCCTTCGCTACTATCACTTACATCTGCCCCATTCGGAGCAATGGACCGGGGCCTGCATGCACCAAATGGATTAGTGATCAAGATTCCGGACTAGCAACGCCGGGCCGGTCCTCCTAGAGTGGGGTTGCCGAGGCATGTCCGTTCCGGGACATTTGACCAGATGGGGCCGCCCCATGTCGCTCTGCCGGCCGCCATTTATACTCTCGAAACGGCTGAGACCAGATTTTCTAATCATTGTCCGGACCCTATCTTCTGGGGTTGTTGTCAGCGCATCAGAGTTGCATCTTGCGTCATCTTATCAGCTTTGTCTATAATTTGTAACGTGATACGACAGCTAGACAACATGGGCGGCAAGATCGAGTGCTACCTTGACCTCGGTGAGTGAGCCGAGTGGTCCTATTGAGAGACAAACCCACCGATCTATGGGTCCTTTTTGGACGTATGATAGGTACATGCCGTGCACCGTAGGGCTGACCAGAAACGGGTGTGTAGCGTCGCTGTACAGCTATCTTGCCTTCTTGGACCTGCGCAGAAACAAGCCGCTGCTTGACGCTCACAAGGTCGAGGTTGAGTATGTACACTGCTCTTACATCACGTGCCTCATCTCCCAATGATCACTTCCATGCTTACACGCCTTTAGGTTCCACCCCGTCCTCTTGGGCGGTATCAACGCCGGTTCTGGTGCGTCAATCCTCTCATCCACCCCTTGGGGTTCACAACCTCAACTAACACACCCAGGCAACCGTCCCCCATGGACACTCCCCGCCAAAGCCAAGTACGGCGTCTACGACGCCCGCCGCTCCATCGGTCGGCACCCGGGCCTGCAGATCAACTTCCCTGACGATCTGTTCTCCCTGGCGCGAACGCAGCCCGTACATTCACCCCACTCCCATTATCAGCAGTTTGAAATCCTCTAACTTCTCGTGACCAGGCCCTCCGCGCCCTGCACTACATCAAACGCCACTACCCTTCCACCACCTACCTCACCGCCTTCCACTACCTCTTCTACCTGTTCTGGTCCCCGCCCAAAAACGCGGACCTCACCACAGCACAAAACGTGGCTGCTGCCCTCGCCAGTGTCCCCCGCGACTTCGACGGTAAGCCTCCTTCCGCCTCCAGCCCCAAGCTCTTCACCGAGCAGGAGGTCAAGGAGATTATGCAGGCTGCCGGGTCCGAGGAGTATAAGAACATTTTGAAGAAGACGACGCAAGAGGCGCTGGAGAAGGGCGCATTTGGAAACCCGTGGTTATGGGTTACCAATGAGAAGGGGGAGAGCGAGCCGTTTTTTGGGAGCGATCGGTTCCATTTTGTGTACCAGTTCTTGGGATTGCCATACCGGGATGTAACGTTGCTGCCACCGGGTGGGGAGAAGGCGAAGATTTGAGGGACGTGAACGCTGTGCTGGGAGGGAGAGTTGAGAAGGGGAGGGGGTTTGTGATATGTATAAGTAATCATTATGACTCCAAGGGTATATTTGAGGATGTCCCTATAAACGCCTTATCCGCAGATGAGCCCAAACCAACACATAACTGTACACACCAGTTCTCCATGATTTTTTTTTTCTCACACTTTCCCCGCCAACCGTAACCTCCTAACCTCCTCCTCCCTAACAGCCTCACTCCTTGCCAAAAACTCCTGCCTCGCCACAAACGAATGCTTCGATTTACCTGCCATCTCCAGCTCGTCCTTGATACCCTCCCGATCCACATATCCCGCCCAATCCATCCTACTCTTCTCCACCGTGTTCAGCTTCTTCGCCTGCTCCGCCTTCTCCCTCTGCTCGCGCAGCTTTGCTATGCCGAGGTTGAGGTCAGACCTTTGTGAGACGCCCGTGCCGTCGGCGGGGACGGGCTCGAATGCGGAGCGGAAGGCTTTGCGCGGCATGCGCTTTTGTTGTTGATCCGCGTCCGAGGGGGAGACGGCCGGGGCTGACGGGTCTTGGCCTGTTTCGGCGAGGTAGAGCTTTGCTTCGGCGGATTCGCGGTGGACGAGTTTTTCTTCGGTGTGAGTTTTGCCGGCGAAAGTGTAGGTCCGTTTAATGCGGATGTATTCTGATTCGTCAGCGGCGTTGGGAACCGGTTTGGACTGTGAGGGCTTTTGAGCGTCGCCATTTGGTTGTGGTTGTGTGGTTGCTGTCGTGTCTTGACCTGGAACCCGAACGACGGGCGCGCTGATCAAGTCTTGCCAGAGCTTGTCTACGTCGATGGTGACGGGTCCTTTCGGGATTTTCGCGTATTTTCCTTCTTTTCTACGGGCGATTGTCAGTCGATGTCATCCAACTTGTTGGAAGCCTATGGAAAACATACTCAGCCGCACGCATTCGGCGCGTCTTGATTAATGGCCCGTCCTCTTCCTCCCTATCCGCGTCGGCGCCAGCTTTTTCCTGATGTCTCTTTTGTTTTTTTTGCCGCGCTCTATTATAGCCTCGTCGCCCGAGTTCTCAAAGCCGACGTCATCTGCACTGCTGTCGGCTGCTGGCCTTTTGCGGTCGGGTTTTGCAGGGGCGCTCTCGCCCTCCGCAGCCTCATCGTCGTCGCTGGACAGGGACTCGTCTTCCTCGGCCGCGTCATCTGGCGCAAAGTCAGAGTCTTCTTCCGACACGTAGTTGTCGTCTTGGTCTTCGAACTCGGCGGTCATTGTGGTGTGGCAGGGAATGGATGTCGGGGGTTTTTGAAGGGAACGGGAAAGAAAGTCGCAAAAGCTGACGGGAACCTGAACTTGAACCAAGGACTTCTGTTGCTCAAGTGGGTCGCAGGGGTCACGGGTGCTGCCCCGCCCCCGCCTCGACTTCGGGTATTCTTCCCGCGCCAACGCAGGGGAAAAATGCAGCTGTTTAGAGTTTCGATCAAGATTTGGGATAAAAGCTTTGCACAAGCCAGAGAGGCTTTTGTCGCCTATATTCTGGGATCCAATTCAGAGCCACGGATTACAGAGACCCTCTAAGGCACCCAAGGCCGGGCACTGAGTTGCATCTAAGGCAATCAAAGGCGTCGCATGATACAAATAAAGCCTTTCCAGGATTGTCGTGGTGTCTTTTAATCGGAAGCTCACGTTATTTTGCAGCTTTTAGATCTGGGACCCAAAGAATTGGAGATCTGTTGACCCGTCATCGGTTTTTAGCCAGCAAGGTTCCCAATGCCAAGCCTCGCTAGCCAAGGTACACAGTGTCAGTTGTAATAGTTTCAGCCATGTCGAACAGTAGGAAAACTGTCTAAATTTGGACTGGTTCAGCCTTCAACATCTTTGAACTTGTCGCAACTTCACCCATCAACGCTCCATCTTCAACCGCCATATCCAACATCGGCAGCAACAATGGGCAGAAGCGACAGCGACAGCGAAGACTACGAAGTTGAGCAGCCCTCGCTGCCCGACGATGACCCCATGCGGGCGTACATTCCCGCCACGTTTGGCAAGACAACGCGAGAGGCGAACATCGAAGCCCAGATCGAGCGGACGCGACGGAAAGTCGAGCCCAAAAAGCCTGAGCAAAAAAAGCCATTGATGGTCACCTCCAAGATGGATAGCGAAGACGAGAGTGAGAGCGACAGCGACAGCGACTCTGACGATTCTGAGTCTGAAGACGAAGCCGAAAAGTTCCCCGTCACCCACGAAATTGTCCTGAAGACACATGAGCGGGCGATTACCACCATCGCGCTTGATCCAGCCGGTTCGCGCATGCTTACGGGCTCGCTGGATGGCACTATCAGGTTCCATGACTTTACCTCCATGACGCCGACGACGTTGAGGGCATTCAAGAGCATCGACCCATGGGAGACGAAGAAGTCCGTTAACAACGATTCGCACCCGATCCAGCACCTCGAGTTCAGCCGACACTCGGGCGGCCTTTTCATGTGCGTAACTGCGCACCCACAGCTGAAGATCATGGACCGAGATGGCGCCGTTGTGACGGAGTTCGTCAAGGGCGACATGTATTTGCGCGACATGCACAACACTAAGGGCCATGTGGGCGAGATCAACAACGGTACATGGCATCCCTTAGATCAAAATATTTGCATCACGGCTGGGTCAGATAGCACAGTACGGATATGGGATATCAACAACAAGCGGTGTCAAAAGGAAATCATCGTCTTCAAGTCCAAGGCTGCTGGCGCGGCGGGGAGGACAAGAATGACAGCAGTCGCTTGGGGCTCCCCTCCCGAGGGGAACAGCTCACTCATCGTCGCGGCCGCTCTTGACGGGTCACTGGTGATGTACCCCGGCAATGGGCCGTTCACAAGACCAGCCGGCGAGGTTAAGGACGCACACCAGCCCGATACCTGGACCGGTGGTATCGATATCAGCCCTGACGGCCGGATGGTCGTCACCCGCGGCGGCGACGGCCTAATCAAGCTCTGGGACACGCGCAAGTTCAAGGCGCCCCTAATTAAAGTTGAGCACGCCTCAACTTCAGACCGCTATCCCATGACCAACATCAAATATGCCCCCGACGCCCGCTACATCATCACCGGCTCCGTCAACGGCGAGCTGCACATCCTGAACCCAGCAAACCTCCGCCCCGAACATGTTACCCCCATCACCCCAGGAGTCCCCCTCATCACTGTCGAATGGCACCCCAAGATCAACCAGATCATCACTGGCTCCGCCAACGCCGAAACCCACGTCCTCTATAACCCCAAACTCTCCCATCGCGGCGCGCTCGAAGTGATGTCCCGCGCGCCCAAGAAGCGTCACATCGACGATGACCCGGCCTTCACAATGGACCAGAGCAGTTTGGGCTTCTCAGGCGACGCGATCGTTGCTCCGGGCGCACTGGGTCGTCGCGGCGGCGTGTCGGCATCAGGCAAGTCGCGCGATCCAAGGAGGCCGCAGGTTCAGCAGATCACGCCGTTTATGAGGAGCCAGCCGGATGAGAAGCATATCGAGCAGAATATTCCGCTAAGCAAGATGCTGCATGAGGATCCACGCGAGGCGCTGTTGAAGTATGCGGAGGTGGCGAAGAAGGAGCCGTTGTTTACGAATGCATGGGCAAAGACGCAGCCGGTGACACAATATGCCGAGTTGAGTGATGATGAGGAGGAGGGGCCGGAGAAGAAGAAGGTTAAGAGGTAGGGGGTTAAGGGATTGGTTAAAGCTTTGGAGTTGACGGCGTTGAGGGTTGAAATTGGGTTGGCATCATGATGGAATAGGGGTTCGACGATTATCGATAGTAGTGATGAAAGTACCTGGCAGAGTAGATATTGTTGTTATATTCAGGGATGCATGTCTAGTTTCTCCTCGTCTGCCCACAATAAAACAAAATTCTATTCTTTATTTTTGACCACGTAGATATAGATCAATACTCTCTAGTTTACTTCTGCTTCAAAAGGCCATCGTTGAGCTATTGTACTTCAAGACCTATCCTTGTTTCCTGAAATCCAGAATCCTTTGACGAGAGGTCTCTTTTTGGCCACTCGCGTTCCTCAGACGCGCTGCTGCTGCGATGATGGGGCAGCCCACGAACTGCATCTTGCGATTGGCCGGCACAGCTGAGCCGCTGCCTAGTGCTTGCATGAACGCTGCTTCCGGGGTTTCGCCGCACCAGCAGGAGGGCGCAGACAGGCCCCGCGACAGGTAGCCTTGACGCAGGGCGCCGCTTACATAAGCCGTGCTACGTTCTGCGCGCGCAGATGACAGCACAGGCGGTGCACAGGCCAAGGTAGGCCCGCACAGGCATCGCCCGCGCCGTTCAATCTTGTCGGTCGGCTGGCTCTCTTGCCTTCAACCTCTCCATCACAGGGTGAGCGCGCGCATCAAAAAAATCACCAATCTCCCTCCGCGACGCATCAACGCCATCTCCAAACAGCCGGCCTCGGACGGAGCCATCAATTCCCAGCCGCATCCTCCGGCCACAACCCTCGAAACCCCGCTGTGCCTGCACGACTTTCTCTATTTTGACCACGCCAAAACTCGCACTCTTCTGTTTTTCTCCCCACCAGGCCTGTGTTCGCCCTTCTTCGCCCCCCGGCGCGCCCAGGCTGGACACCTACAACCTCTTTCTCTCCCCCCTCCCCCCCCATTGCTGCGTCTGTTCCACCGACGCGACAACCACACCCCGGCCGACCCGGTAGCCCGCGCGCACCACCACAACGTTTTCGCCGGACGTGTCTGTTGTGTCTGAACCCACACACGGTCGCGTCGCCGTCGTCGCTTGATTGCCACTCGTTGATTTTTTTCGACTTGACCAGCCCGCTGCTGCATCAGGGTCCTGCCCTTCCAGCTCTTCTCTCCATCTCATCCATCCTTTCGCTGCTATCTTCAACGTGTTTCGGCGCCCGTTGCATCACCAACAATACCCTACCCGCGATTGCTGGATCCCCCCGAGCTATGCTAGCGCAGTGACCGTCCATACCGAGCAATTGCCATTAATCGTACGGACGCCGTAGTCGACTCTGCCGTCGCCATGACTAGCGTCCAGGTGCCGCAGGTGCCGCCTGCGGTCCAGCTCCCAGGCACTGCCATTCCGGCAAACATGACCCAGCAGCAAGCGCAAGAAGTCTACAAGGTTCGTCTTGGAACCCCTTTCCCCCCATCTCCCCGGTGGTCCCTGCGACGCGTCAAGTCGTGACAAGACGTGATGGCTAACGCTTCGCGCAGCGCTGGCGGCAAATGAAGGAGTCGGGCGTCCCTCCCACCGATCCAGAGTTCATTAAGACGCAAAACATTTTATCGGCCCTCCAGCGGCAAAGCGATATGCGCAAGCAGATGCAGATGCAACAACAGATGCAATTACAACAGCAACAACAACAGCAACAACAACAACAACAGCAGCAACAGCAGCAGCAGCAGCAGCAGCAGCAAGTAATGCAAAATGGCGCTAACGGTGTCATTAACGGCACGCAGTTTGGTCGCGTCGCGCAACCAGGTGCTGCACCGGCCTCCATGCCGCCTGCTACAGGCGCACTCGGCGCGTCTGCGTTGCCTGCTGGTTCTGCTGCTCCTGCCCAGAACGCGGCGGGTGCCTCTGCGCTGCCCCCTCAGCTGCAGGGCCACCCTCACTTCACGCAGGCTCAGCTGAATCTGCTCATGAACCAAATTAAGGCTTTCAGGATGCTGGGCAAGAATGCTGGCGTCCCCATTCAGATGCAAAAGGCCATCTTCGAGCACCGTGCTCGTCGGCGCCAGTCCCTCGGCAAGCAGGAGCCGCAACCTGCTGCTACTTCTGTTACACCTACGACATCGGCCGAAACACCAGCTCCAGACGCCTCGAAGCCCGCTGTTAACGGCCCCGAGGCTATCAAGGCCGCTGCTCCTGCGACCACAACCGCGAGTTTGAGCGACCCGCAATCCAAGACATTCAAGACGGTCAAGTCGCCGTTTGACGCCGGTTTCGTTCGCAAGACTATCTCCTACATCGACCATAGCCGCCGCAAGAATCGCCAGCTTGTCCCTGGCCTCTTCCCTACCGGTATCGACTTTGAGCAACTGAGGGCTGATCGGGAGAAAATCATCTTTAACCGCATGAGCCAGAGATATCAGGAGCTCAAGTCGCTGCCCGGCAATCTTGCCCACTGGGATGCCTCAAAGGACGAGCTAGTTGCCGATGACACGGCGAAGCGAAAGGCCATCATCGAGATGAAGAAGCTCGCCCTCTACTCCAAGCAGCGTGCTCTGCGCGAGAAGATCGGTCGGCAGATGATGCACTACGACAACCTGGCTATGACCACGAACCGTGCTCAATACCGCCGCATGAAGAAGCACAACGTCAGGGAAGCCCGCATCACCGAGAAACTTGAGAAGCAGCAGCGCGATGCCCGCGAGAATCGGGAGCGCAAGAAGCACATCGATTTCTTGCAGGCCATCCAGAACCATCGCAATGAGGTACTCAATGCCGGCGCGGCTCAGCGTCTCAAAATGTCCAAGCTTAGCCGCCACATGTACAACCATCACTTCAACATTGAGAAGGAGGAGCAGAAGAGGATCGAGAGGACGGCCAAACAGCGTCTGCAGGCGCTTAAGGCCAACGATGAAGAGGCCTACCTCAAGCTTCTCGACCAGGCCAAAGATACCCGCATCACCCACTTGCTCAAGCAGACCGATGGCTTCCTTAAGCAGCTCGCTGCCTCCGTTCGTGAACAGCAACGGCAGGCCGCTGAAAAGTACGGAGAGCCGATGGACATCCCGTCCAGCGAAGACGAGGACGAAGATGACGAGAATGGCCGCAGCAAGATCGACTACTATGCGGTTGCTCACCGCATCAAGGAGGAGGTCACCGAACAGGCCAGCATTCTGGTTGGCGGTACTCTTAAGGAGTACCAGCTCAAGGGTCTTCAGTGGATGCTTTCGCTCTACAATAACAACCTCAATGGCATTCTGGCCGACGAAATGGGTCTCGGCAAGACTATCCAGACCATTAGCTTAATTACCTACTTGATCGAGAAGAAGAAGCAGAACGGCCCCTACCTGGTCATCGTGCCTCTCTCTACGCTTACCAACTGGAACCTGGAGTTCGAAAAGTGGGCGCCGTCGGTCACCAAGGTCGTCTACAAGGGCCCGCCGAACGCCAGAAAGATGCAGCAGGAGAAGATCCGGCAGGGCAAGTTCCAGGTCTTGCTAACTACCTACGAATACATCATCAAGGACAGGCCGCTGCTGAGCAAGATCAAGTGGTTCCATATGATTATCGACGAAGGCCATCGTATGAAGAACACCAACTCCAAGCTCAGCGCCACCATCCAGCAATATTACACGACCCGCTTCCGTCTCATTCTCACTGGTACCCCCTTGCAGAACAACCTTGCTGAGCTGTGGGCCATGCTCAACTTCGTCCTGCCCAACATCTTCAAGTCGGCCAAGACCTTCGACGAGTGGTTCAACACGCCGTTTGCCAACACGGGCGGTCAGGATAAGATGGAGCTTACGGAAGAAGAGCAAATTCTCGTTATCCGCCGCCTGCATAAGGTGCTGCGGCCGTTCTTGCTGCGCCGTCTCAAGAAGGATGTTGAGAAGGATCTCCCCGACAAGACCGAGAAGGTCATCAAGTGCAAGTTCTCGGCTCTGCAGGCTCGTCTGTACAAGCAGATGGTTACGCACCAGAAGATCATTGTCAGCGACGGCAAGGGCGGCAAAACCGGCGCTCGTGGTCTGAGCAACATGATCATGCAGCTCCGCAAGCTGTGCAACCATCCGTTCGTCTTCGACGAGGTCGAGAACCAGATGAACCCTCAGAACATCAGCAACGACCTGCTCTGGCGTACGGCTGGCAAGTTCGAGCTGCTCGACCGCATTCTGCCCAAGTACAAGGCTACTGGCCACCGCGTCCTGATGTTCTTCCAGATGACTGCTATTATGGACATCATGGAGGATTATCTGCGCTACCGTGGTTTGCACTACCTCCGTCTCGACGGTACCACCAAGTCCGAGGACCGTTCCGAGCTGCTCAAGCTCTTCAACGCACCCGACTCGCCCTATTTCATGTTCTTGCTTTCTACCCGTGCTGGTGGTCTGGGTCTCAACCTGCAGACTGCCGATACCGTCATCATCTACGACTCTGACTGGAACCCGCACCAGGATTTGCAGGCTCAGGATCGTGCCCACCGTATCGGTCAGAAGAACGAAGTGCGCATTCTCCGTCTTATCACGTCCAACTCGGTCGAAGAGAAGATCCTCGAGCGTGCTCGTTTCAAGCTGGACATGGACGGCAAGGTCATCCAGGCCGGTCGCTTCGACAACAAGTCGTCTGAAACCGACCGTGATGCTATGCTCAGAACGCTGCTGGAGACGGCCGACTTGGCTGAATCTGGCGAGCAAGAAGAGATGGATGACGAAGAGCTCAACATGGTCCTGGCCCGCAACGAGGAGGAGCTCGCCATCTTCCAGAAGATCGACGAGGAGCGCAACCGCGATCCTATCTACGGCACTGCCCCCGGCTGCAAGGGCGTGCCGCGTCTCATGACCGAAGATGAGCTGCCGGAGATCTACCTGCACGAGGGCAACCCGGCCGAAGAAGAGAACGAGGTCCACCTGGGTCGCGGTGCCCGCGAGCGCAAGCAGATCCGGTACGACGACGGTCTCACCGAAGAGCAGTGGCTCATGGCGGTTGACGACGACGAGGACACGCCCGAGGCTGCTGCCGCTCGTAAGCAGGCCCGTCGTGAGAAGCGAGAGCAGAATAAGCTCAAACGCCTCGCCATGCTCAACGCCTCCATGGAAAACTCGCCGTCCGCTAGCCGCGCGAGCACCGAGGATGTGGAGACGCCCAAGAAGCGGGGGCGCAAGCCTGGTAGCAAGAACCAGGAGAAGCGTAAGGCTGAGGATGGGGATGATGAGCCGCCGGCCAAGAAGCGTCGTGGACCACAGGGACGGCCCAAGGCGGTTGGTACTAGTAGTGGTGGTAGCGCGCTTGCGCCTGAGTTGCGCGATAAGCTGCAGAAGGCGTGCAGGAGAATCTTTGATGGGTTGATGAACCTTGCGGTGGATGATGACGAGCCGCCGGAGAAACCGGAGGGAGAGAACGATGATGAGAGTGAAGATGAGGGCCCGCCGAAGAGGCTGATCATTGGTCCGTTCGTCAAGCTGCCGCCCAAGCGCGAGTGGCAGGATTATTATGTCATCATCCAGAACCCGATCTGCATGAACGATATCCAGAAGAAGATTAAGCGGGAGGAGTACAACAGCCTGGGCGACATGCGTAAGGATCTGGATCTTCTTGTGACGAATTGTCGCACGTTCAACGAGGAGACGAGTGGCATTTGCCAGGATGCGAATACGATAGAGGTGAGCACCTTAAAAACTGTCTAATTCTACAGAAATAGCATTCTGACAGCAATCCAGGCGTATTTCAAAGAGCACTTTGCCAAGGAGCTCGCCGAGGACCCAGACCTTCGCGCTCTCGAGGATCCCAACTCGCCCAACTTGGTTGGTCTTAACGTCGACGGTGTCAATTCCTCTGCATCTTCCTCTTCGGCAGAAGCTTCTGGCCCCGCTACAACAGGCGAGTCGTCAGCCGCGCAGTCTAGCCAGCCAGCGTCGTCCACGACTTCGACTACCCCTGCCCCCGCTCCTGCACCGGCGGCGCCGACTGGTCCGCCGAGGATCAAGCTTGTGTCGTCAGCGAATAAAGAGAATAAAGGGGATACTAATGCCAGTGCAAATGGGAGTGCTGCGCAGACAAATGGGGGTGTGAATGGGGTGGCGAATGGGAATAGTGAGGCTTGATGATTGATTGAGGGGGTTGATAGACGGATGAGGGTTGGTTCTTAAAAAGCTTTACCTGGCTTACTTGTCTTGTTATGTAGTCTGACCGGATGGACGGACGGATGAATGGCTGGTTGGTTGGTTGGTTGCTTGGTTGGTTCGTGGATGGTAGGGGATGGATGGATGGATGGATGGATGGATGAATGGCAGGACGAATCGGGTTCGGGAACTTTTTCGGGGTTCTTTACTCTCTGCCCTTGCTTGGGAAACTTTAGTTACCCCGCCCCGGAGTTGTTTTACTTTTATTACATGCACAGGCACACATTACATTCTATTACGCTGTTTACTTAGTCTACTTTTTTTTTTTCCCTCGTTTTCGCTTCGGGAACGGATTGGTGTGTGGTGTGTTGTTTATGATACGAGAGGAAGGAAATTAACTAGGAAGAATTATTATCTTAAGAGACTGGGATGGTTTGGCTGATCTTGGGCTGGATGGTCCTGGCTTTGGTGGTCGATGGTGGTTTGGTCTTTCCAGTTTTCTCTTCCCCTCCCCCCCCCCCCTTTTTTTTTTCCTCTTTGCAATGGGGCCGTTGTCTTCGTTAGAGGATGACATCTCTTTTCTGGCATTTATTTGTTTGGTATGCTGTATTGTTGGTATCCTCGCTGGCGTTGTGCTTGATGGTGGTTGATGGTGGTGGTTTAGTGTTTGAGGAGGTTTTGCCGAGCGTTGGCGATGTGGTACGGGAAGTGGTTGTCATGTGTGTACGGAGTAGTAGAGCAGTAGTTGGTTATCTACCCCTTCTGTGAAGTAGGTGACCAAGAATATCAATGGACAACTGACTTGGTTTTAGAATTACTCTGTCCCAGGTAATTATTCGCCGTTGTCATGTCGACTTCTGGGGCTGGGAGGGAAGGGGAGACGGAGGAGAGGTCAGCCATTGATATGAAAGTTTGTTGTTAGACGGCTAGACTGGTTAAGGAGCGGAGGGCGATGGCGCAATGTCAAACCACGTAAGATGTGAATTGTTTTAGGTGACACCGCAGACCTTGGGTTTGCCGAGAGCCCTGAATTCAATGAATCCCCGATCCTATTTTCTCTTTCTGGTTTGGTTTCATCTGGCTTTCATCCCAACTTTCTGGGTTGCGGGCCTCATTCCCACATCTGCCCTATCGATAGCGATAGAAGATAAGGAGACGCTCTTTTAGAAGAGATAACCATAATTTCCATATTCCGATATGAGCAATTATTCTGGCTAAGTGATCAAGGAGTCGCATCAAAATATAACAATTTCCAAATATCTGACGCTGGGTCGTTGACTTTTCCATCATGAACGCAACTGACAGAGTTAAACATGCTGCCACGCTCCTCTGAAGCCAGCGCTTCCGCGACCCTTGCACAGCGCTCCCCGCGTCTGCACAACGCGACCTAAGAGGGGCCCTCTGCAGCAGCCGCAGCGCTTGGCACCGAGCTCCAGCACCCCCAAGTCGGTCGGTCGCCGCGAACTTTGCCATCACCAACCGCGCTGTAACTTTTCCACCACGAACTTCACTCACACCATCAGTCCCCCAACATCGATTTCAATCAATACGCCAACCTTCACTCCCAACACCATCGCAACACCAATCCCCCCCGTTAAATTATCCTACAAGGAGCAAAAATGCCCCCCGAAAAACGCATGACCGCCAACCCCCTCAGGCCAGCACGCTACCGCGCCGGAAAGCCCCTCGCGCCCGAGTCCTCTTCATCCTCCTCTGAATCTGAAGGCGAAGAAGAGGAAGTTCAACAAAAGAAAGCGCCTCCGAAACGGACCGCGCCACCCCCCAAGTTTGCTAGCGCTGCCGGACCAGGAAGGATCATCAGCCGTGGAGATGGAAAGATTGATCTTAGCGGTGTGATCGGGAACAAGGCGGAGGAGGAGAAGAAAAGGGAAGAGGCGAGGAAGTTGCGGGAGGATGCTGAGAGACGGGCGAGGGAGGAGGGGTTTGTTACTGAGGATGAGGAAGACGAAGATGACGACGAGGATGAAAGTGAAGAGGAAGAGAGTAGTGAGGAGGAGAGCGAGGAAGAGGCGCCGAGGAGGTTGATGCTCAGGCCGAAGTTTATTCCCAAGAGCCAACGCGGTGCCAACGGCGCATCGAAGCCTGCTGAAGGGGAAGAAGGACAACAAGAGGAAGACTCAGAGGAAGCCCGCCAGCGCGCCGCCGACGCCCTCGTCGAAGAGCAGATCCGCAAAGACCTCGCCTTGCGGGCCTCCGGCCCAAAGAAGCAATGGGAGTCGGACGTGTCAAGCGAAAGCGACGTCGACACCACCGACGACGTGGACCCCGAAGCAGAATACGCCGCCTGGAAACTTCGCGAGCTCCGCCGCCTCCGCCGCGAGCGCGACGCCATCGAAGCCCGCGAGCGCGAGCTCGCCGAGCTCGAGCGCCGGCGCAACCTGACCGAGGAAGAACGCCGTGCGGAAGACGAGGCACATCTCGCCAAGCAGAAGGCCGAGAAAGAATCCCGAGGCAAGATGGGGTACCTGCAAAAGTACTTCCATCGCGGCGCGTTCTTCGCAGACCAGGCTGCGCAGGCGGGGCTGGATAAACGGGATTTGGTGGGGGCAAAGTTTCAGGATGATGTTAATAGGGAACTATTGCCGAAGGCGCTGCAGATGAGGGATTTGACAAAGATTGGGAAGAAGGGGGCAACGAGGTATAAGGATCTGAAGAGTGAAGATACGGGGCAATGGGGGGGGGTTTGTGGATGGGAGGGGAGATCGTAAACGATGGGATGGTCCGAGGGACGTTGATGACCGCTTTAGGCCGGACGGGGGAAGGGGTGAGAGAAGGGGTGCCAATGCTGTTCCTCTTGGAGAAAGAAAAGATAGGGATGGGAGTAGGGATGAGTACCGTGATAGGGAGAGGGATGATAGGAGAGGAGGGGATCATTATCGGCGGAGGGATGGCAGTCGTGATAGGAGGAGACGGTCGAGGACGAGGTCGCGGTCGCCGGGACGGGATCGCGACAGGTCTAGGGAGAGGCATAGGGATAGGGATAGGGATAGGGATAGGAAAAAGAGGTCGCCGTCGCGGGAGCGCGATCGCTATGAGGACAAGCGGCGGCGTGTGGAGGCTTGATCTCACATCTCCCTTGTTTCTCTAGTCTTTATATATCGTCATGGACATCATTTCATAATTCTCTACATCAGGATGAGGAACATAATAGACTGTCCATAATCATCTCAATTTAACCCCCCTTTCCCCCCCCCCAACAAAGGAAAAAAAAAAAATTCATACCATCGTCGCCGTCCCTCTATGCAAGACCTACCTATTTTGTGTCGAAACCAGAACACAACCCATATTATACCTGATATTAAACATGTACACGAACTCGGCAACTCAAATCCTGGTGATCTCAACTCGTGCCCTCTCAAATATCCTATGTGCTACCATACCATCCCGTAGCTGGTTGTCCAGCTTTGGAGGGTATACTAGCATCTTTGCGTAGGTACCCGCGCCGCGACGCTTGGACAGCGTACCGGGGTTGATGACGAGGACGCTTTCGACCACCTGTTCGTCTCGTCAGCCTCATCCCTCTTCAATACAATAAATACGACGCATTCCCCTTAAGTCAGGGACGTACCTTCGCAAAAGGCGACAAAGCACTCGGCACCACAAGCACATCCGGCCTGACATGCAAAAACTCCCCCAACTTCAAATAACTAATATCCAGCATTGCTCCTGGCGGAATTCCCGCCCCCTCCGTCCCGGGTATGCCTCCTCCCGTCTTAGGCAGCTTCCTCCGATCCGTAGGCGGGAACAAAGGGAAGAAATGCCTCTGCTCGATGAGATACCGGCAAGCCCTCGACAGAGAATCTCCCGTCCCGACGCCAGCTGACACAAGCTCTTCGTGCCGCAGCTCCCAAAGGATATCCTGGCTACTCACGCCGAGCACCATCTCGTTAACGTTGACCGTAGAAGGGTTCCCCACGATCTTGACGCACTTCGGCAGACCTAACTCCTTCCTCGAGAACGCCTCCTGCGGCCAGGAGACATGCTTCGCCAATAGATCCCTCACCGACGGCACCAACAGCACAGTAACGCTCGGGTTGGCGCTTGCCAGCCGATGGAAGTGTGGGCTGATCAGACACCGGAACACCGTCGACATGGTTGCTTTATCTGGGTCGATGTTTGCTTCGGCTGGTAAATCGAAGTCGCCGGTCGAGAGGAGGGGGTGTTCTGCATCCAGGAAGGGCCCTGTCAAAAGGAGGAGGTCGGTGTAAGAGTCGGCGGCTTCGGCACAGAGCGTGGCGAGGGGTTCGAACAGCAAGTTGTCGTCTGCGGTGTATGGCCCGGAGGCGATCATTATGTTTAGGGGGGGGGCGGGAGAAGCGTCGTCGGTGTCCATTGCGTCAGGGTCCCTACCGCGCAAGCGGGAGATGTGTGATTGCAGGACGTCCGGAGAGGACGCGGCGTTGGGAAGAAGGGGCAGAGAAAGAATTTCATGGGCGGTAAATTCCTTCCCGGAGCTGTTGATCCCCCGGCACGCGATGATTTGTCCAGGGAAGAGCTGGTAAGACTTGAGGCGGGACAGGCCAAGCGGCACGCGCAAGCCGGCGCCGGTGCGGCGAGAGGTCTCGAGGACGACGGAGGACGGGTTGAGCTTGCCTTCCAGCGAGTCGCATGCGATGCGGCCGACGGCGACAATCTCGGAGGTGCTTTGCGCGGCGGGGTTGCCGAAGGCCGAGTCGTCGATGTTGTGGTGCTCGCGGACGAGGGTGATAAATTCTTCTATCCTGTCGTCGAGGATCTCGCTTGCTTCGGAGAGTTTCATGGCCATGGGGCGGTAACCCAGCTTCTTTTGGTCGCTTGCGGCGGTTAGTTTGATGCGTGGCTCGGGAAACGGGGCGATGGGCGGTTCCGCGGCAGTTAAGTGCTCGTTGAGAATCTCTAGGACTTCGCCTGCGTTGGGGCGGTCGGCAAATGAGGCGGGGGGGATGGCACCCATTGCATTGAGCGCATCGTCTACTTTCATGGGCGAGCTGGCTGGTTCGGCTTTAACCCGCGAAACGGCGGGCGTCTTGCGGGCTGAGCCAATCTGCTTAGTCCTTCCCGGCGCTGGAGTAGTCAAACCATCGATCATGCCAAAGACATCACTACCCTTATTCGCCGCTCTGGGTGCAGCCCCCGTCCTCTTCTCGGTCTTGACATGCACGTTGTGAGTACCACGGGTAGTTCCCCTCGTAGTACGCTCCAGCTCGTCCTGGAGGTTCTGCTTAAACTGACGAACGATGTCGAGCGCCACAGCATTGGCATCTAAGCCCATCTTGATGCTGTATGCCTCCCATTTGTAGAAGAGGTCTTGGACCGAGAGCGAGTGCAGCCGCATGATGGACTGCAGCTCGGCAAGCACATCGGGCTCGAGAGGCTTGTCAGGGCTGCCGAACTGGGCGTTCAGCTCGTAGACGGTGTCGGCCATGGCTGTCGTGGGCTGTTAAAGTTGGTGATGGTGCTTGGTGTTGACTGTTGACCCCTCTCTGACCTCAGGCTTTCTCCCACTTACAGTTAATAGAATTTGGGCTTCGACGCGGTTGACGCGCTTCACTTTACGCGACACGCGCAAACGGGCTGCAGGTGTGGGGTTGTACCTCAGCCAATCAAACGCGCCAAGAAGATCGGCCACTAAATAGGTGGGGCAGAGGAGCTGTCAGGGACTGGGGGGGGGTCCAGCGGAGATTGCCGCTGACAGATGCAGATTGGCCCAGAGAATGGGAAATCCCAGGGTTCAGGTTAGATGGTTGGGTTGGCATCTTCCTCGGGGTCTTCATTTCTCTTGGCCCGGACCCAATCAATCCTCGATCTTGCTCGATTCAGCTCCTGCAGTGTCAGTGCCTTCGGCCTCTCATTGCTCGTTCTCGTCGATCTGCTCACTTGGTCCGGGGCAGCCCAGCCAACTGCAGCCAGCTCGCTGCCCGCCTTATATATTCCGATTCTCGGTCCCTTTTTCCTTCGTTAGTGCTTACGCTTCCTCTGGACCTGCATCTTTCGCTTCTGTCCCTACATCCCGTCGCTACTGTAACGCTGTCATCTCGACCGACTTGGATACAACTTCTTGGTATGACGCAGATAATCCTCAAATATTTCGAGCCTAAAACTAACCAACTTCTAGACAATGGCCCCCCTCAAAACGCCCATCCCCTCGCCGGCCCCAGGTTGCAAGCCCCAGCCGCGCGATGTCCTCACCCCTGAGCAACAACAAAAATACGACTGGCTGTTGTCCCAAGCCCGCTCCTGGACCGACGTGCCCTCCACCTCCGGCAAAAATGGGCCCCTGACTGACTCCGAGCGCTTCTGGCTGACCCGCGACTGTCTCCTGCGCTACCTGCGCGCGACCAAATGGCACGAGCGCGACGCCGAAAAGCGAGTCCTGGAAACGCTCGCCTGGCGCCGTGACTACGGCGTCGAGGAGCTCACCCCCGAGTATATTTCTATCGAGAACGAAACCGGCAAGCAAATCATCCTTGGCTACGACCGCGAAGGCCGCGTCTGCCACTACCTGAACCCCGGTCGCCAAAACACCGACGCCTCACCCCGCCAGGTTCAGCACCTCGTCTACATGGTCGAGCGCGTCATCGACCTTATGCCGGCCGGCCAGGAGACTCTTGCTCTCCTCATCAACTTTAAGCAATCCAAGACCCGGTCCAACACCACGCCCGGCATGTCCCTGGCGCGCGAGGTACTCCACATTCTGCAGCACCACTACCCGGAACGACTCGGTCGCGCGCTGATTATCAACATGCCGTGGTTCGTAACGACTTTTTTCAAGCTGATTACCCCCTTCATCGACCCCCGCACGAGGGAGAAGCTCAAATTTAATGAGGACATGAGTCAGTATGTACCTCCGGAGCAGATGTGGAATGAGTTTAGCACGGGCATGCTCGAGTTTGAGTACGAACATGCCGTGTACTGGCCGGCACTCCATGAATTGTGCCGGAAGAGGAGGCAGGAGCGGTGGGAGAGGTGGGTTAAGGGGGGAAAGGTTATTGGAGAGAGCGAGGACTTTTTGGCGGGGGGTGTGGATGTGAGTGTTAATGGAGTGAATGTTGCTGCGTCGACGGAGGAGAAGAAGGCTGAAACTGCCGCTGCCGAGCCTGAGAAGAAGAAGACCGAGGAGCAGAAGCCGGCTGAGAAACCTGCCGAGACTCCTGCTCCTCCCCCGACTGCTGATGCTGCCCCTGTTGACTCGGCCATCGCTGAGAAGATGGCTGAGCTCAAGGTCGAGGAGGTGAATGCCCCCCAGAATGCCGCTACCGTCCCCGCCAATTAATGCTTCGGCGTGGTTTTCTTTTGTTTGCCCGGAAAGGGATTATTGTCGGCTTTTTGTGTTTGTGTGCCTTCTCTGTTTGGCTACCTGTTGCCCTATTGCGTCTGATAGAATCGTTAGATAACTATACCACTTAGACAGTAGTATACTGTACTCGCGTAATACACTCTATCTGGTTCTTTCTTCTGGTTACATAACTACATAACTTGAGGACGACTTCGAGCTTCGGTGTGAAAAGAGAAAATACCTACTTGTCTTTGAGGCTGATCCAGAGCCTTGCCTGGCGACCCTTAGACAGAGGATCTCGAGTGTTTTTTTTCTTTTCTTTTTTTTTTTTAGACGTGGTGTACCAGCTACGTAACCACTCAAAAACATAAACTCAACACTCGTTACGACAGTCCCCAGAACTCTGTCCAAGCCCGACATATGAGTAGACTCGAGTTGGTATGAAAGCAAAATCCCCCTCCAAAATCAAAAAAAAGAAAAAAGAAAAAAGAAAAAAAGAGACCGCGTTAGCCCTAGCAAGAGCCTCAACTGCTCTACTCTCGGTTGCCCATCCCCTGGGGCCGGAATTTTCAACAGCTCAACAGGAGACCTCATTACCAGACGACCAGAACCGGGACCACGATGCTTGCTAGCTGCACTGCGGAACTAGGTTTATGAAGGGCACTCCAGGCAAAAGACCTCGGAGGATCTACCCACGGTCCTAAAACTCGACAACCAGTCGACGGAACGAAACTTTGAAAGCACGGAAAGGAAGCTCTTCATGCCTCAATGCATGTATGTTATCTCTTCCTATCCTACAAACAGGCAACACACAAGTGTCCTAGGTAGAGAACAGACACATCTGGTCTCTTCTCAAGCCAAGCACACGCACACAAAACAACAACACGGGACGGAACCAAAGTGCAGCCAGCCCCCTTCCCCCTCTCCCCAAATCAAAAAGTTTCACAATTAGTTTCGAATCCACAACAAAAGCTAAGAGCGTAGGCGGCTCCTCGAGCAGCCCCGGAGACTTCTTCCTCGATAGGGGAGGAACGAGACGTTAGGGTCGCCACGTGGAAGTGGGCCTGGTCAGTAAGTAAGTTAAGCCAGCACAACAGGCCTATTATTATCTGGAGAAGTGGGCATGCACAACACACAACATTCGTTGACTTCCCTCTGAGAGATCATCACTACCTAGATATGCGTGACCATCAAGTAAAATGAATAACACCAATGATACGTAAACCCAATGCTATCAGGCTATCTCTCATATACACAAAATACGTCCATGAGTTGATAATCAATCGACCCTCCAAGACTGATGATGATGATGATGATGATGATGATGATGATGATGATGATGATGAGCAATGACAAGAATGATAAAGCCAGCCAGCCCAAGTAATGGGAGTGTGTTTAGTCTAATACGTCCTCCGATCGTCAGTGTAGTTGTTGTCGTATGTTTGGGTTCAGTGCGAGTGCGTGAGCATAGAAGAACCCCTCTTCTCCCTCCAACAAACAATACCGAAAAAAAAAAAAAACCAAGAAACCCAGATGTATACACACGCATGTATGTACTTATATACTGTCGCTTCCCATCACAGCCATTACGTCCCATCGCTTGCATAACACCGCATCAAGTAATCATAAACCAATACCATCCATCACCGTAACCGTCATGACGTTACCTCCTCAATCCCGAAAAACTCCTCCTCACCCCTTGGGCACCCCCATTTCCATTTCCATTCCCATTCGTAACCCCCAACCCCGTAGTTGTAGTTGTCGGGCTAGGCTCCCCGCCAACCGCAGCAGCAGCCAAACTCCCCCTCCTCTCCGCCATACCTGCCCCCACAAAACTCAACCTCTCCTGCGCAAATGATCTCCGTTCCTGAGCAAACGACCTCCTATGCTTCTCCCTCTCTTTTTCAAGTTCGATGGCGAATGACCGTCTCTGCTGCTCATACGCAGGGTCGCGGAACTCGCCCATCGATAGGCGAGGAGAGGCCATTGAGTTGCGATTGCTGGACGGGTAATCTGCACCGGCGCGGCGGATGGGACCGTGGAAGGAGTTACGTTGTGCGGAGGGGATTGTTGGTGTGCCGGGGGCGAAGGTGCGGGAGGTCGAGGCGATGGCTGTTGCAGAAGTGGGGGAGAGAACAGGAGCTGGGACGGAGGGGAGGGGGCCTGCTTCTGAGACGGGGCGTTCGGTATTCGTATTGGTGTTGGTGCCGTCGGAGACGGAGGAGGCGATTGTCTTGAGAGAGGTCGCGTTATGACCTGCCACAGGGACAGCATCGCCCGCGTCACCGGTAGCGGCGGCAGCAGCATCATCACCCGACGAAGGCCCGGCCTCACCTCTCTCAGCCGCATGCTCTTTCATAACCTCCATCACACCATCGATATGCTCAATTTCCCTCATCAAGTCCCTATCCGTCGGCCAGATACTCTTTCTCAAGGCCTCAACCCCCAATTCGAGCACAATCAGCGCCGACAACGCCGCAAAATGCACCAACCACCACAGCCCCTTGCGACCAAACCCATACAGAAAGTTATCATGCACCGGATACGGACCGAGCCTGTTGGGCATGAGGACAGACAGCAAAATATTCCACAGCCACCACCCGCCCATGGAGATGATCATCAATCCCAAGATGATGGGAGAGCGGTCGTGGACCTCGAGGAACATCAGTTTAAGGTTGATGAAGATGACAGCTAGGGAGAAGGCGAGAGTGCCGACGGCGTAGAGATCCACCTCCACAGGCCAGTGGGCGGCAAGTGCGTAGAGTCCGTAGACCGAGTAGAAGATGATGACGGATTCCGCGGCCGCAATGGCCATCCAGCCGAGGTACTGCGCGAAATTGAAGCCCTTGTTCTTCTGGCCGAAGGTATACAGCTCGGGGACGGCAAGCAGCGTGGCTGCTGCCAAGTCGCGCTCAAAAATGGCGGGGATGATGACGGGCAGGGACGTAAAAATGGTGTTAAAGACGGTCAGGGAGGTCGACTCGAACAGCGAAGTGCCCGTGTAGCCGTTGAAGCGCTGGTAGTGCGCCTGGAGAAGGTAGAAAACAACCTCTTTCCAGAACGTACCCAAGATATACTTTCCCGACCGGACGTAGTTCCATCTGCCGTGGACAAACAGCAGCCTCTGCAAGAAGCGGAACTGCGCAATGGAATAGTCCGCAATCCTCGCCGCCTGCAAACCCTCCCGACCCGAAATGCCCACGCCGACATGCGACGCTTGAATCATGGCGATATCATTCGCGCCATCGCCGATCGCCAGCGTAACCGCACTCGGGTTCTGCTTCCTGATGCACTTGACCAGATTCGCCTTCTGGCTCGGCGATGCCCGACAACATATCACCGAATCGACCCTCGACACAAGGTCGTAAAACAGCACCCTGAGCGTCTCGCTCTCCTCCACAACCTGCAGTGTGTGCCCGTCAATAACCGCCACCGAATGCGGCACCATGCCCCTCGCGACATCAGTCAGCGTCATGGCCAGGCGGTCCTGCAGATCCCCGAGCGCCGCGTCGAGGATGTATACCTCCGAGAAGGGCTTGCAGATGCGAGCCGAGTGTGCGATGTTGATCGCCGTCTCGCGCTTGTCGCCCGTCAGCATCCACACTTTGACATTGGCCCGGCGCAGCTTGTCGATCGTCTCGGGCACGCCCTGCTGCAGCTTGTCTTCGATGGCTGTCGCGCCGGCGAGCTCGTACTCCTGCTCGATCAGCTCGGCGGCCTCTTCGATGCGTTCCTGGCGCTTGACGAGGCTGGTGGTGGCCTCGAGGTAGATGGCCTTCCATTTGCGGTAGACTTCTTCGTCGAGGTAGCGGTAGGCGAAGATCAGTGTGCGCAGACCTTCGGACGCGAAATCATCCACATGCTGGAAGCAGCGCTCGAAAACAGCACCCTCGTTCAGAACAAGCGCCTCATCCACAAGCCCTTCCAACGGGTCAACCGCCAGCCGGACCAGATCCAGCGACCTCTGCCGTGCAAACGACGTCCTCGGCGTCGGAGCATGCGCCTCATTCCCCGCCGCGGCTGCCTCCTCCCGCGCCCTCTCATCCAGCGCACTCCCCTCGGCCTCCTCCCTCGTCGAAATCCAATTATCCACCTCATCCGTAATAATCGCGGACCGTCTCCAAGCCCCCTTCCTATCCATCGACGCTGCGGCCCTCATCAGATTTAGACTTTCCCTCCTGGGGCTCTGCAAGCTCTGCCTGCGTATCAACGCCTTCTCCTGCTCGACACTCCTCCGCATACTCGCCCTCCTCTCGACGGCGGTAGCGGTCTGAATCGCGAGCTGCTTCTGCTTGAGCCTAGGCAGGATAACGCTATCCGCGCCCTTGGTGAAGATACACAGCCGACCGTCCGGCATGCGCAGGATGATGGACATGCGCTTGCGCTTGCTGCTGAACTCGATGACGTCCATGACCTCGTACGTTTCGGTCGCTGTGTTGCCCCCGTTGGGGCTGCGTACCTGCAGCGTGATTGTCTGGGCAGAACGGTCAACAAGCAAGTAACCCAGGTCCTTGGCCGCCTCGACGAGTGCCAGCTCGTCCGGCGACGCAGCCTGGAACTTGATTTCTCCGTCCTTGGTCTTTTCCGGCAGGCAGGTGTGGCAGAGCGCCATGCAGAGGATGAACTGCCTTGCCTTGCGGGAGAAAGGCGCGTTGGGCTTGGCGGCGATGTACTGCAGCAGGTCCTCGGTCTTGTGGAGGTCAGGCTGGGCGTGGTGAACCGGATGCCCGGCAGAAGGCTTCCATCGTGAAGCGGTGCTCATCCGGGGACGGTAGCCACTTTCGGAGCGGCGGCCTTCCACCAAAGGCTCTTCCATCATCTCCGAGTCGACGATATGTTTCGCTCTCTGGGTAGGACTTAACACAGCCATTTTCTCGACTGGCTGATCAGCGTGCTCGTCGCGCACAGGCTGCTTGGCCGCCGCCTTTTTGGCCGCCTCTCTTTGCAAGTCCATATCATGCAGCCAGGCAGTTCCCGCAACACTCATCTTGCGGAACTTCATGTTATTCTCCGTCAGCGTACCCGTCTTGTCCGAGAACACGTAGCTGACCTGGCCCAAGTTCTCCAAAATTGTCGTCGTGTTGGCCACGAACGGCGTATCCGTAGCCGGGTCGTACATCTCAATATCATTGAGAAAGTACAGCTGGCCTAACTTGACAATCTCCAAGCTGACATAAAGCGACAACGGGATAAGCGTATTGTACGCAATCACAAACGCCACAAAAATCTGCCCCAGCGACACAGACCCCTCATCCAAATACCACGCCTTGTTCTCGTAATCGTCCTTCCATATGATGTAGCCCACCGTACAGCCTACACTCAGGGCGATGACGAAAAAGACGAGCAGGATGACGATGCGGTTGACCGCCGACTGCATCTCGGGGGCCTTGGCCCGCACGTTCTTATTGGCGTTCATCCGGATCTTGCACTCCTCGCCCGTGTTGATGACCAGGCCGATGGCCTCGGCCGTGTTACGCAGGGTCGAGCCACGGTAGACGACTTCGTTCAGCGTCAGGGGCATGGTCTCGCCGTTGACGGTGACGCGGCCCTCGAAGTTGTAGAGATCGATGTTAGGGTCCTCGGAGACGACCTCCGCCTCGACAGACATCATTTGCTCGACGGTAGCACAATGCTTGGCCAGCAGAGGCGACGCCTGCTTGCTCTTGAGGTTGGTCTCGCCGTCCAGGGCCATGGTCTCGATGTAAGCGATGCCATTGGGCCCTGTAGCGTGGATGAGCACAATGTCGGCCGGCACATCCTCATCGCGCCTTAGCCGAATGATATCTCCAACTCGAATATCCTGCCACTCGATCCTGGACCAGCGTTCGTCACCCGACCCGGTGTTAACCGTCTCCAACTCGGTCGGCTGCTCCTCCTGGCTCTCATCCGTCTTCTTCCCCCTCCTACTGCGGAACCAATTCTTCCATGCCGTGCCCTTCCCCTTCAGCGCATAATCCATCCGGACCCTATCCTCCGGATCCAACACCCAAGCATAACTCCTGTTCTCCAGCTTATCCAGCCTATACCTTCGATAATCATCATACCCCTCCTTGGCCATACTCAGACACACGAAAGCGATGAGCGGTCCAATGGTCGTGTACGTGCCCGTGGTACTCAACCCCGGAATCATCTGCAGAATACCGATAACCAAGAAGTAGAAATTGGCCAGCTTGCTGAACTGGAAGAACAGCTGCTTCGGCAGAAAGTTCCACAGTGTGTACCGACTGGACCGAATAAAATTCGATATGTACGCGTGCCCTGTTCGCTCATCCTTCAACGGCTTCCTCCGCGCCAACCCAGGTTTCAACGGAATGTGTCTCCCATCTTTACTCGGCGGGATCGGCTTCTGCCTCAACAATCCCTCCAGAATATACTTCTTGTATACCTCCTCTCCCTTTTCTTGCACTTTCAGCCACGGCCCGCTCGTCAGCTTGCGCTGCCGCTCTCGGGCCTTAGCAATCCAGCTGCGCGCCTGGGACGGCAGGATAAATGGCTTCTCGGCGGAATTGATTGTTGCTTGGTAGTTCTCGCGCATCTCGTCAAACGTCTGCCGCGGCCGGGTCAACGAGACGCGCGGCGTAAGGTCGCGGATGTCGTCCCTTGAGACGCGCAGCCGAGCCTCGGGTGGGGGTCTTAGGGGGGTTGGGGCTTCATCATCGTCTTCATCGTCATTATCATGGCTCGTTGAGACCGGCTCAGGCCTTGAGGAGCCGGGCGTGTTGGAGGGGATGGTGTACAGCGCGGGCGTGCGAACAGAGGGTTGTGACCTCTGGGCGCGGAGGGGTCTGTTCGTCGAGGGGAAGGCCGTGTTTGTAGGGGAGCGGGGGGTCGACGAGCCGGAGGGGTCATCGCGGTCCGGGGAGGCTCGCGGCAGGGGCTGGGAAGCAGACGAGAGCGCGGGGGATGCTATAGGGATCGGATGCTCAGCGGCACTGGCGGCACGCAGCTGGGCGTTCAGCGAGGCTGGCGCGGTCAGCGGCGTGCCGGGCAACTCAGTCTGCTGCAGCTCGATGTTCTCTAGCTGTTCCCGCAGCTCTTCAGTCGTGCTTCGACGCGGGGGTCCTCCTGGGCCTGCCATGATGTTGCCGCCGGGTTTTCAAGAAGCGGGCCGCCCCAACCGGATGTGGCGGGCGGTCGCTGGGTTTTTGAGAAGTTTCTGTTACTGTGATGATGCTATCGCGGGTGTCGCTGTCGTCACTCAATCAAGAAATCAAGGGACAAAAGGGATCGCTCGACTGCTATTGGTGTGTCATGGTTTGTCCGTGGGTCAGATCGATCAATCAATCGTGCATCAGCGTCAACGTCTACTGGGTCAATCGATAATTCTCTGGTTGCAAACTCAATCTCGTCCTCAATCTCCGATGTCGACCCTCGAAGAAAAGTTGTCGTGGTTAAAAAATTCTGCCAGCTGCAGATCGCCGCGGCGCAGAAGGCTAGAACGGAAAAGAAAACTGGAACAGCACAAGTATCCGATGGTGTGAAACCGCTGGTGTGTTTTTCCCCCCCCCCCCTCCCTCCCCTTCCTCCATGGAACGCTAGAGCCTGGATTGGGGGGGTCGCCGGGGAATGGCGATGCCCGCGGATGCCCGCTGCCCGCTGCGAGTACCAAGGGCCCTGCGCATGGAGACGTCTTGGCATCTTGGATCAACGGTCCCTGCGGTGGCCTTTTCGACTTCTCTGCGACCACCACAAGAACCATCCGTCAACAGGAATGGGCTCCCGTCCAACCTGCGTCTTGTGCAAACCCAACTGTAAACTGTTTGGAGAGCGGCTGCATCATGTCACGCCCAAGCAGTGTTCAGCGGTGTGGCTGTGATCTTGTGGTTCCAACGATGTCGCCAGCTCATCCACTATTACCATCAGCTCACGCTCACTGCACTGACCATCCGGATGGATGTCTCGAGAGGATCGACGCTAAGGCCATGGATCTGGGTCTCGCTAAGAGATGACCTGACTCTTTGATATACATTGTACATTATCAACATGCAAACCGCATCATTCTACACATTGGCTGAACAATGGCCAGCGTAGTTGCTCTGCCTAGCTGCACCACATACCTTGATGTTGAACTGTCATCAGAGCCAAGACGGCACAAACAGTAAACGGCATCCTCCTCCCCTCCTCCTCAGACCATCCCCCAAAAACGGCACCATCATAAACGGAATCACGGATGACATGAGACCCCGGCCGTTGCATCCACATCAGGACAAACACCGCCGCCGAGCTTCCTTTGAACCATGTAGTGGCCTGTCTGGATAGAGTCTAACAGCTGTTCCAGAACGCCGGTTCATGCACCGTTAGAAAGGCTCGGTTTTAGTCGCTGCATGGTATTTTCTATCAATCAGCGAGCTTTATTGCAAGTGGATCATCTGATTTAGTGATGCCGTTGGCCTTGCTAGGGTACCGTACGCGAAGCTCTTTCTTCCTAATCCCTCTTTGGCCGTTTGGCTGTCAACGTTAACATCAGCCGTTTTTTTTTTCAACCCTCCACCCACCAGCAGCTACATCTGGATGTATTGTGGATGGAAGAAACAGGAAACACGGAGATCGGAGCCGATGACTTCCCCGCTTCCACAACTCCCTACCCCCCTCCCCCTTCCTCCTCTTCCTTCCGAACTAATTCACCCGAAACCCGGAAGCACAGATCAACTTTGCGTATTGACTAGGTCATGGAATCTCTCCAAACTGCTGCACTTCTTCCGATCGGTTAAAACCCCTTTTGCGGTCTTGTCTAACAGCTCGCTTGTTGCTCTTACAGCTCAAAAAAGCCAGTAACTGTCTGATTACAGACAGATTGACAGAAACAAACTTGCGGAGTTGCGTGCTTTGATTCCACACCGCCCTGGAGTCTGGATTCCACATTCTCTTCCCTGGTTGGGAAGGTAGGTAGGTTTCAAAACTCAGGTCCACTGTTATCTTAGACTATGGAAGATCAAGTCTCAGGGGCTTATTGACTTGCACAAAAACTGTTTTGTACGTTGTAGTGCAGAAACACAGGGGACAGTTCAAGACAGAACTCAGCAGCAGCGATCAATGGTGACTTTATTGCATAGGAATCAGTATTTTTTTATATTTATTTTAGTTTGTGCTGTTGCTGCACTGGTAGGACCCATTATAATCCCAAAAGTCTCCTAACCCCCATACAAGTCACCTTTGTAAGAAACATCACATACAACTGTCAACACTAGGTATCTTCCTCGGCGTGAAACATGACAACACTGCTGCCTTCACAAGCTGACCATTCCCCCTGGGAAATCCAGCTTTTGCAGGACGAGACACTATGGACTCAAGAACCTGGCCAGCGGTGTGCTAAAAAGAGCCACCTCAAGACACCGCTCAAAAACTGCCTCTCACTTTAGAGAGGCTGAAATAAGCAAGACCCAACTCATACTTCACAGCAAACAAGGAACAAGGGAACAAGGCACAACTCAACTCAAACCATGCAAAAATTCCGTTCCTTATATTCCAGCTACCAAACCCACGAGACCCTAGATGACACAGCTATATGATGACAGATGATAACTAGAGACACACACACACAAAGAAAAGCACAAATCAGGGGGAAAAAATCCAACAAATGAAACAAAAAAAGAATTTTTGTTCCAAAAGGTGTTGTTTCCAGTAGAAGTTATGTTAATGCAAACAACCCTGAGACATCAAAAAATCTAAAAATTCACACATTGTTGCATTGATTAGAAAGGGTATTACCACAAGACAGACAAGAACACATACTCTCCAGAACTAGACCTCCTGGGTCTGAAAGTTAGAGAGTTGGTTGTTTGTCCGCCAGCCCCATTTCCATCCGAAGTTCTCGTTATCATCCCCTCCTGTGTCCAGCAGCAGTAGTGGCGGCCAGCTAGCGAATCGAGTCAGGCTCACCCAGCCCAGCCTTTAATCCGATGATGATTCCGTCCTATCTCTCAAGAACAAAGATATCTAAAAAAAAAGTCAGTCGGGCACTCCAAAATTGAGCGCATAGCCAGGTGAATAGGCAGATACGCAAATCGCGGGCTGGATCGGATGAAGGGGCAAGAATCGTCTCAGGGTTGTTTGTTGGGTTGCTAACGGTTGTCGATATCGGCTGTTGTGTCTTTACCAGACGATACGATACGGGGTATGTAGATAGGGAGTAGGTAGTAACAGATCCGGGGTGATAATGATAGATCGGAGATGGGTTGGTTTAGGCTAGTCAGGCAAGATGCAGGGTAAGATCGTGCTAACATCTTCCAACATTTTCACTACTTTCCTCCTCTTCATCCGGCCCCATTAACGACAAGCACGACCCAGGGTTAGGAGAAATAGCGGCCAGCTTAGCCACAAACCATCCCCATGGTATATACAGCGAAAAGAACCCTCTAATAACGCCGGCAGAAGAAAGACTCGAGCCAAGAGAAACCCAGAGACAGGAAACAAGGAAAAACCACTCTTCTCGACGGGTATACTGAACGTCATGAAAACCAACCATCTATGGGCACTTTTGTCTAGGAGCAAACTCAAAGACATTTCACCAAGCCGAAAAGATAAGCGGGAGAGGCGAAAGGAAAGCCGGATGAGAGTATTAATTGCCCTCTCATGACTGGGCCGGAACGCTTTCTGGTGGCGACAGAGACGCCGGGTCGTTCTCAAAGCGCTTCAGGTCCATGAACTGGTTCAGTTCCATGTCGGCTTGGTTCGGCTCCATGAACGGCGAGTGTGGGTGCATCGGCAGGGTCATGGTCTGCTGCTTGCCGGCAGGGTAAAGATCGTTTAGGGTCGAGCCGTCGTCCGAGATGGCAGAGCCCTCGCAGATCGTGGGCATGGTTATCGGCGGAGATTCGCCTACAATCGCAGGATCAGAGTGGTTAAATGACAGCGGCGAGATCGACGGTGGCGGGACACCAATGTTCGACGGGCTGACCATCGGCGAGAAGGTGGGCGCAGTGGCGCTGTAAGGAGTGAAACTGGCAGCAGGAATGGCGGGGGTGTCTTGCGGCTGGGTCGCGAAAAAGCCCGGGCTCGGGAAATCCGACGGCGTCGGGGCGGTTGTCGCAGAGAGCGGGTAGTTGCGCATGTCGAGGCCAAAGCCAGCGCGTGTATCGATCCGCAGGTTTGGGTTGAGCGGGCCCAGAAGGTTTGGTTGTTGCGGAATCGGGCTGAAGATGTGTGGGCTCTGAACCGCGCTCTGGTTGTCGGGCTGGGTAATGTGGAAGCTTGGAGGGTTCTGCAACAACTGCATAGTCTGAAGGTCAATAGGCCCAGGGACGGAGCGGCTGCGCTGCCTCTTGTGGCCAGGCCCGCGCATCGTCATGGTGTGCTGGGGAGCAATGCCCCACTGTTGCTCTTGGAACATGCCAATATGGGGCTGCGCAAAGTTAGGCTGAGAGGCCGGTCGGAGAGCAGGCGATACCGGGGCAGACATCGACAGCGGCGGCTGCATCTGGTCGAAGAGAGGAGCCGGCGGCGGGGGAGGCGGAGGAGGAACCGGGATGTTATGACGGTTAATGAAAGCATCAAGGCTGACCAACTTGGCCAGCTGGGTGCTCAGCACCTTGGCGTTACCACCAAGCTGGTGCGTCAAGACCCGAGAAGCCTGGAAGTTCTCGGTGAAGTCGGTAACCTGAACGAAGGTCGACGTCGTGGACGAGTCCATGAAAAAGAGTGGGGGCTGAAGGAGCTCGATGGTGATGCCACCGTGCTCACCCTCGGCCTGGTTCAGGTAGATATTCTTGATAAAAGAAAAGGGGTACTCAATCTTGTACCCAGCCTGATCGTTGTTGATGTAGTATGTCATGGTGCACTTGTCAGGCGAGTAGAAGACGATCAAGTCCATGGCATTCTGGCCAACGCGCACCCATGTGCCAATGGTCAGGGACCGACAGTTCAAGTGGTGAATCAAAACCTTGCCCTGGCCGGAACCCTCGCCATGCCCGTAGCCAAGATACCCAGGGCGCCCTAGAAAGCCCGGGATACTCTTGCCGTGCTCCATGGCCTGCATGGCGAGATACTGGCGCATAGACTCCGGGATGGAGTCCATGTCCTCGCCGTTCTCGAGACTCTTCTTCGCCAACATCTTGATCTTGGCGCGGCTGTCCAGAGGGTTAGTGTGAGGCCATCGATCTCCACAGTGGTTGAGACTTACCGGTTCTGGAACCAGATCTGAACAGACCTCTCGGTCATGTTGATCTCCTCTGCTATCCTCTCACGTACCTGGGCCGTCGGGGTCGGGTTCTTGTTGAACTCGCTCTCTAGGGTAGCCAGTTGGTCCGGGGTAGCGCGCTGCCGCTTGTTGTTCTTTTGCTGCTGGGTCAGAGTACTCTTACGGGTCTTTTGCCGGCCATTGGTAGTCGTGCCGTTGGTCGAGGGCTTGGTAACCTTGTTTGGCGAGATGGGCTTTGTCGCTGGCTCAGGGGACTTGTTGGAGGGAGACTTGCTGGGAGAAGGGGTAGCCGCCAGAGACGGCGCACCGGGGGTAAGAGCATCCTCCGGCTTGAACTCTTGCTTCACCTCCTGCTTGGTCTCCTCGTGTATCGTCTCCAGTTTGACCTCGGCTTTGACCGCGTCGGTCGCCATTTTGACTTATGTTTTGGTCTGCGCCCTCAATACCTCTATCAAAAACGCAGTGTGCCTACGCGCAGGAAAGCTATGGGGATGGATTGCGCCAGACAATCAATCGTCTCACGGATAATCGCGCTGATGGGACGCTTGGTCTGTGCCACGTCAAGCGTCGAGGATGTCAAGGAGTGACGGGTTATCGCGCTTAGCGTATGAGAAGGAGCGTAGCAATGTTGGAATCGCGTGTAGTAGTAGTAGTAGTAGTAAGGAGCGTCGTCCTGAACCAAGGCGTTGGAACAGGAGGTTGTGTGATCGAGTATCTCTTGTGTGTGTGGTGTGTGTGTGTGCGTGTGTGAGTAGGCGTGTGCAAGTCCGTCGAAGTGACACAAGTAAAAAAAAAATGAGGAAAAATAAGACAAATCGGGAACCCGGAAGGAGTGAACGGGATTCCACTAAATTGAGTTTCGAATCTCGAAATCAGTTTTCAAGGGAGTGACTCTGGTGAGAAAAGCGAAAAGGCAGAAGTGGAGAGAGGGAAGGGGGGACAGGATGGGTAGTCGACGAACAAGCGTTGTTTGCTTGATGAGACGATCTGAGGTTGTGTACGAAAAAAGAGAGACTGGGGGGAGGAGCGAAGACAGCGGGGACGGGGCTTGAAGAGAGCGAGAAAAACCAAAGCGTGGAAGGATGGAACGCTACGGGCCACGGCGGGCCAGGAAGGGCGGCTCTCTGTCACTGGTCCCGCACTGTGAGCCGGCCTGGGCAAGTCTCTGCTGTCCAGCGGCTTTGGCTGCTTGGCAGAGACCGGGCAACGGTGGGACTGGGGCGAGCGGCAGCCAATCGCAGCATACGCTCTGCAGCAGGACAGTGCAAACCTTACGGTGAGACAGACAGGGGTCGTGTCAGGGGTACGTACCCTTCAAGCAAGGATCCGAGAATTCCCAGGGTCCCTCTTCCATTCCTCCATCGTACGAAGAGGGCGGATCGCTGTCCAGACAACATCAAACTCGATTGTCTGGGGGTTTTCCAGCAACAGCGATGCGCGATCTCAAGACACATCATCAGGCGCCGTCAGATGACGTCTGGAACAGACTACGATATTTACGATCTGGGCAGACGCCATGATGGAGGCACCAGCGAAGATCTTTGCGGACTGTGTCCTCTGTGTCACCCGCTGCTCAACGCTGTGCGACGCGGATAAGGGTCGACAGAAACGCTGAGCACAAGGACAGGGCTGGGGATGCATCTGTTTTCTGGGAACCCGATCGGTGATCGCGGGTTTACATCCTAGGATGGCCATACCGATGACGCACTGCAACGAATGGAGCAACGAGTGTCAAACAGCGAGAAGGCTGACTTAGACTTGACTCTTGACCGGCGACGACCCTCTTCGGAACATTGACCGAGGGCTCGCACGTGGTGATGAGGTGTTCACCTTATTAGACTGAGTGGTTCAGAAGTTGAGTTTCTCCTCCTAGGCGCGCTAAACCGTCATCGGCGCGGCGGTTCGCGAGACGACTGACCGGTATGTCCCGTTTGAGCATGCCGGGCCGCATCGGGGCAGTGGCTCAGTCGCCAAGAGATATTGCGGACGACTGGTCGCGATCCTGACTGCCGTGTTGCCTCTCCTCCCGGGCTGTGAATCCCCAGATTCCCATGATTGAAAAACAGCGCTTTGGCAGCTTGCTTGATGCGCAAAAAGAGCTCACATCACGGGAACAACCCGCGATCCGTAACAGGGCTCGGGACAGACTGTGGACCATGATTCGGGCGTAACCCGCTCTTGGGAATGAAGCCACACAGTGGCGAGGAAACAAGGTGGGTAGTCAGACGACAAGAGGCGTCTGTTTGCGAATGCAACAGCTTGATCGCAACCAGCAACCAAACTCTCGGGATATGGGGCTCCAGATGTTGAGGGTAGCTGCCTCGCTTAGGCTTTCACCTGGCCTGATAGGACAGACGTGGGCATTGATATGTCCCTGGCAGGACATGCTGCCAGAGACCAAAGACCTTTCACTGGTCCTTATGACATCTCCAAGTACACATATTCTACACTAGAAATCACTACACATGTGTATAAAACATATCCTCAAGCTCTGGAAAGGAGAGCGGAATAGGGGGAGCCCACCCAAAATCTTGTGGCACATGGTACACACAGTGCAGTTGCTGACCGTTTGTCGCGCACCTCGACCACACAGTGTCCATCTCCTCTGGGCACCATCGTTCGCGGTTCGCGAATCGCTCAACCCCCTGGAGACGGACGGGACGACAGCCGAACTTCAACGCCGACGACTTACATATCACGTGGAACTCCGTACCATGTCCACCTTCATGGTGTATAATTACATAAGACCCCTCTTGAGATTTGCGTCTCTCTCCAGCGTTCGCTGCCCTCGGCCTTTGCGATAGACTTCGTCGAATAAAAGCTCGGAAACAGCACTCGCTGCACTTGCGTGTGCCCTTGCAAACATAGTTGCCCCGGGCATCGCGCGGCTGCTGTGGACCGACAACAGCTGCTGTGGGCTGTTCTTGCGTCTGCGCTGCTGCGAGCTGCAGCCAGGAGTTGATTCCATCCATCCATCGACGAGGATTTCGCGGAGCGTGCGCGCAAACTGTGTTAAGTGTGCGGCTCGCCGTGTTCCTGCGTCAGTCCATGTGTTCTCTAACCGCCTTGCGTCTGTTGTGCTCCCCGAGAGCCACCTCATCGAGGACGTCGCTCCAACGACGGAGCCCTGTTCTTCTGCAGAAAGCCGACAACAAGGCGGCTCGCAGCAACCTGTTGTGCTCTCTGGATTTCGGACGCACTGGCACCATCGCTTTTGTGTTTGGTCGCATCTCCCCAGGCAACTTTTTTCGAGAGTCAAACAAAGCCCAATGCGCCCAGCAGTTCAGTGGGGTGATAGTCCGTTTCCTCGGCGCAAGTCCGATCAATCCAAGACCCGAAGAGGAATGGTCTTTCACAGTGCCAACAACACTGTTGTACCCTTCCACTGGTGTAGTGGAGGCAGTTGCCCACCAGAAACGTCGTGGGCGCCAGAGACGGCTGCCTTCTTCGACGTCAAACACGGGCCAGCCTGGAGGGCAACCAGAGTTGCGCCTGGACCCACTTTACCCCTGAGTGCTCTGCTGTGGGGCCTCCCACCTAACAGTCTGAGGCTTACAATCGATATGGACCAATCGCGGCCCATACGTCGGCCAGGGACCTTCCTCTTCAACGCACACACCACGACGACTGGAAGGAGTGGCCCGGCTGGCCGCTGCCGTGCTGCTGCGAGTTCTCGCTCTTTCTTGCCTGCACCCTCCTCCCTCATCGTTCCTCCACCCTCCCTCCCGCATGTGGCTCCGTCACCCACGGCTCCAATCGCGCGCTTTCCATACCCATCCACTGTTGTTTGCATACGAGCAGTAAATACCCCACTATCTGACCAAGCCCTTCCCCCACTACTGTTTGAGCACAACTCTGCTGCCGCGCATATGCGCATTGCTAAAAAGAACCACATGTTCTTTTACACAACGCAAGATTTTCCGGAAAAAGATTCAAAGAAAAGTTAAGTGCCAACTAGTTTAAACTTATTCAATTTTTTTGGTATTGCGCATTGTCTTCGTTAAGAAACGATATTTACTAGCAGTTTGCAAGACTCGGACGAAGAAGTCTAGGTCAAGTGTCAAGACGTAGTTCTTGGCTTTTCTTGGCAGAGCTATTCGTTTCGAGGATTGGCCAAGATTAAGGTAATCGCGCAACAAAAAGTACCTCGAAAAGTGGGGGAAGGCTTGGTTCGATAGTGGGGAACTACCATCGTTTGCAAACGGCAGTATCCCACATGTGGACGAGGAGAGGAACGTGACGTTGATCTCATATTTTCCAGGCGCGTGTGGGCTGCGTGTGTGCAGACAGCTTCCTGCACTGCAACGCCACGGCAGCTCGCCCGTAGCTAGGTCAAGAAGATCCCAGGGCTTTTCTTTCTTGGCACCGTCAGGAACAGAGCCGGTGAGAGATCATGTCAGCCAGATCAGAGAAAAAAAAGTTTCCATCACACTCAATTCTCTTGGCCCCCATCTTCCATGAGTCCCCTATCCCGTTCCCCCGCGAAGGATGACAACCCCGCTGAGGACAAAAGCAGGGCAAAGCCATGAGGTAGGTGAGATTGATTCGCCGATCTAATACTGTAGGAGGAAGAAAAAAAAATCCAAGACACACAACCCTCTCTCTAAAAGGAATTGACAAACAAGGTCGTCCCCTTTCACCACGCGTTTCAAATCCGGGTTTTACAAAGACAGACACTCAAACCTGGTGGGGTCTGTTTTTTGCTCACTCATCAGTAAGGGTGAAGCAGTGACACCGAGTGCCGAGCTGGCTCCAGTAAGAACGTCTCATCATGCTGGCAAGGTTAGAGCACACTGTCCTAGCCCACTGGAACGCCCGCGTTGCGATGATGAAAATCGTGAACTTTCCGGCTGTGATTTCTCTTGGGGTCTGCTGTACTGCCTGCGCAGTAGAAACGACAGCCGATGCTTGTTGTTATCGTCGCCATCGTTGGCATACAACGTTCATTGGTGGATATTTTTCACATTTCGACCCCCTTTGCTCAGACAGACCGCCTGCGAGCGTGTGTTTCACGCGCGACTCTCCCAGATCCCCCACACTGCAAACAGGACCGATCCAGGCTCGGTCTGAGAGAGGGTTGGCGTTGGCTACCAAGTTGCAGATCTGTGGATTGCGCGGTATCGATCGTTGGTTCGCTGCCGCAAGGCTCCTGGCTGGCTTCACCTCTTTGGACGATCGTGCATCATGGTAGTTCATGCGCTGAAAATCCGCAACGTGCTACACGAGTGGCCTGATTGGCTGGCGCTGGCCCAGCTGTTCATGCAGCTCTCCAGGAGCGCAGAGCGCAGCAACACGACGACGCCGCATCAGCGAAAACGCCTGCGGTCGAGCGGATTCTTTCTGGAAGAGCTCCAGAAGAACGAACAGGGACAGGCCCGGTTCTGTTGTGGTTGAAACAATCGGAGCCCGTTGGTCAACAATGGAATGCCATTGAGCGCAACAAAAGCTTGTTGTGCTTGCACACATGACCCCTTGACGTGGAAGAAGGGCAGCTTCGTTATAGAGGAAGCGTTGTTAACTTTGAAATCGCCGATCCTACCCCCCGTACGAAACGCATGCAAGTGGCTTGCTGAACTTAGCCGGCGCCAATCCACTGACCAAGGTTAGGCTAGCCCTAGATCTCCCACTGGGGCCGGCACGCCCTCCTCCAGATGGTGCATCCAGTCAGCTCTGTCGAGGAAAACACCTAACAGCTATCATTGGTTTGCGGTGCCGACCTGCATACCCGCTGCTGCGTCCACGCATGACGGCGTCGGCCGTCTGCTCCGCTGCTCTCAGGGGCAGACACTGCAGACACTGCAGACAGACATATTGCTCATCAACCCGGTTTGTGCCGGGCGGGAGCCGCAGCGACGACGATGCTCTCGGCTTTTGCGGGGATCGGTTGTTCTCGATTCTTTTTTTTTTCCCCCTGGATGTTTAAGGAAGGAAACCAAACGCCGATAGAACCTGGTACGGATTACGTAGGTATTTCGTGGTTCATCCGATGTTTTTCGATTCCTGCGAATCGACAACTTGCCTTTCGTTCATTAATTCTTCTCGAACTTTTCTATCTATCCCAAAGCATCCAACCAACGACCATTGAGCTTCTTGATCTGTTGTGGCATACCCCTGTCGATCGATCAACCGATAAAAGAGTCGATTGCCCTACCCCGGATCTGAGTTTCGATTTATGAAAGAGGGAACTTTGTAAGTCACAACGTGGCCACGTCATGGATTCATGTAGCTTTCTCTGTTCCTCACTACTGCAGGTGCCCGCTTGGCCTTGGCTGGCTGCCGCATCAATGCTGAAACCAGACCAACAACCGTTGCTGCGTTGCAACGGTTTCTTTCTCAGGCACAACGCAACGGTCAATCTGCCTGTTTCTGCTTCCACTCAAAGTTCAAACATTTTGGCATTGAGAAGTTCTCCACTCGCCGGCATGGCTCGATGATACCTTGCTGTCTCAGATCTGGCTGTTTCCCGACTTTTCTTGGTGTTGGGGTTCTTGCAAGCCCTGAGGTCAGATGCCGGTGAGAGTGAGTTAGGTTTCATTGTCTGAAACGGTATCTACGTCTGCTTGACATGATGCTAGTGATCCATGGTCAGCGGTCTGGCGCATAGGCATCTTGGCTGACTTGCAGACAATGCCGTCACCACCTGCTCATCCAGTTTGTCTGTCGACCTGGTATACTCAACAGAGAGCGGCTGCGCCGAGTGAGTTCATTGCTAAAGACGGAACAGCACTGCTGATGATGAATTAAACATCTTTCCCTCCCTATTCGCGCGCACCTCTCCCCAAGCGCCTACCTGCACGGCAGGTCGATCTCCCCTCCCAGTGTAACCACGCGCGGAGCGCATTATCAACTAACCCAGCATACGGAACCCTAAATTTGGCCGCCTTTCCTTTCTTTTCTTTCACTTCCCGTCCTTCCTCCACGCCATCGTCGGTAAGTTAACCGAGATCGACGACTGGCAGTGTCTCTGAGGTACACTATGGGCTAAGCTGTCTTGCTGCTTGTCTTGTTCCTGGAGAGGAGTTGGTACACGACAGGATGGGCAATTTTGCCAGACGATCCCGTCAGGGGTTGCGTTTGAGATGCTCAGAGTAGAAAGCAGAAGGCGGGGTTGGTGGGGGATTGGGGGCCGTATAAAAAAAGGATGGGAAAGCTATTGGTCTGGTTTTGAGGAGAGACTGCGTGACTGGTTGATAGGCTTCATTGGGTGATGCTTGCGGGAATGGAGAGAGAAGGCTGCCCTTGAGATGTCGGGAAAACACAAAGCTCATGTTGGCTTGGAGTGGGTAGTAAAGTAAGAGAGCATTACTTAGGGAGCAATAACTCAATGACGAGACTCCCATCGTAGAAACGCTCAGAGCCAGCATATCAGCCCATATCTTGCTATTCTCCTGTCTTCCAACCCAGAACCATACCATAGAAACTACCACTCAACCCGATCCCTCTGCAAGAAACACGTCAACTACTACACTAGATGTTTCACATTCCACCTAACTACGCCAGTTCCCTCATGACCTCCCCGACAGCCTTCTTAGCCATCCTCTTCCTCTGCTCCTCCGGCATCCCAGCCGTGGCATCCCTCACAGCCTGCAGTTTTCTCATCATCCTCTCCAGCTTCTCAACATCCTCCTCACCAAGTTCCCCTCCTTCTTCCTCCTCCTCGTCGTCATGCTTGCCACCCCCTCCCCCCAAGATTGCCTTCTTCAACTCGTCCAAGTCACCCTTGTCAAAACTGAAGTCCATGTTTTCTGGGTCGAAGTCAAACTCCCCATCGCTCCCTTCACCTTCCTGTCCCTCCCCTTCCAGGTTAGCATCCCCCCCTCCCCTCCTTGAAGGCCGCCGCCGCCGCCGCCGCCCCCAGACCAGTCATTGCTCCCCAACGCTTCCAACACCCTTTCCAAGCCCACCCTCTCCCCGAATTTATTCCTTTTCTTCTCCCCCTCTTTGTCCTTCTTATCCTTAAGTGCTGATACCGGAATATGAACGAACTCCATCCCGTTTTCTGCACATAGGTCCTCCCATCCGTTTAAGACGTCTTCACCATCGTCATCATCAAGTTGAGAACCAGCGCTGGCTGGGCCGACAACGCTGATGCCTATGGCGAGGGTCACGCCGTCCCATTCCCAGCCTCCTAGGCCCTGGTGGATTAGGCGGCCGATTTGGGTGATGAGGTCGCGTGTTAGCGAGGGGGAGGGGATAAGGGGAGAGATCGGATCTGGTAATGCGAGTATCGTGGACGGCTGTGTCGAGGCTGTTGGTTCAGGATCTGAAGATGAGGGCGGAGGTTGAGACGGTTGAGGAACCGCCGCTGCTGCTGGGAGTGAGGACAAAGTAGGTGTTACTGAGGGAGGGGGGATGACAAAGACGAGGATTAACCCCCCTAGCACGGCAAGCACTTCTTTGGCTTCTTCGGAGAGGAAGGTGGAGGCCCATTCTGAGGCTGGGGATGGCGTTGATGAGGATGATGACGCTGCATTATCTGTTGAAGAAGAGGAAGGGATCAAGTCGATCCATATCGGTACTGAGGCGGTGTAGTACGGTGTTGAGAGAGTGATGTGGTGGGTTGTGCCCGCCAGGGAGGACGAGTCCTGGTCTGGGCTGAGAGATGGTGAAGGGGCGGTTCCGGTGAGGGCTGTGAAGGTATGTGGTTAGCAAACATAAACTTTGTTTACTGAGGACGATGCAAAGGCCAAGTGTGATTATAGGTGGGATGATTGAGATGTGCCGATGTGAGTGAGGGGAGAGTGAAGCTTGAAGATACCCTTGATCACATCGCTGAGATGGTTGGCCGAATCGGCCAGAGAAACGGCGAGAATGCGCCGGGGATTAGTGATCTTTTTTTGTTCTCGGGGCGGCATCTTTGTATCTTCTAGAAAGCGTGGTGTAAGTCGGTGGAACGTTGGTGAGTTTCAGTCGCTCAAAGCTGACGATGAATGAGAGTGGAGGCGGGGCAATGTGGGGAGCATTGCCGAGACCCGCAGTACGAAAGAAATCGGTCATCTCGAGTCCTCTAACAAGTCGGCTGATTTAAGAGTCGAATAAAACAAAAGAGAACTTACGATGATTTCTCATTAAATAATTAAGAAAATGAAGTATGTGTAGAACGCTTTTTTTCCCCAAGACTCTGGAAAGAATGGCTCAACTTGCTGGAGTTTCCTAAACTCTTCTGATAATGGTGTCCAGAGATGATGCGACTTCCAAAGTGTGCCGACTAGATATCTCGACTTACACTGAGATAAACAAGTGGCTTTTCACCGACTTTCCACAAAATTTCTTTAATGTCTAAGTAGATCCATGTTGTTTATATTCTTCATGTACAGAAATATATCTTCTGTATCTCCTCTAACTGTAATGTCATCCTTTCTCCTCAGACTAGAACTCCCACACAACAGCATCGCATACACTTACACCTAACAGCGAGATAAAGCAAACATGATCGTCGAACTGTGACCTCTCTGTCAAGGCGGAGTCAGAGGTGGCTATTGCCATAGCTGATGCCGTCAACATCGACAACAACCTGCCCTCCCTTCCTCGAACTCCTTTGCTTATGCCCTCCCCTATCCAGAGACCTAGCCCCAGTCCCAGCCTGCGGACTCAAAATACTATGTTAAACTCGAAAACGAACCGAAGCTCACACAAGATGATCTTGTCATTCCCCTCAATGTTTATGATCTCAACCAGACCAATGACCCCAAACCCACTCCCACCGAAAATGATAATATCACCCTTCCCCAATTCTCCCCAGTCATCCGACCCTAGCTCCCGTTCTCCCCTCAGTCTCAGTCAAGTGAAACTGTGGTCACCAGTTGGCTTGGGCAACTGCTTGTACTACTGACTGGCGAGTTCTTACGTTCCCCTTCCTGCTGCGAGGAATTCATCTACCTTATATACTCAGAATCCTTTTTCGTCTCCTTTACCGAGGGCCTTTCAGTCCTTCATCAGTGATTGTCAGTGTTGGTGGTTCTTAGCTCTGACAACCGGTTGTCAGAATCCCGTTGTTTCCTGTTGGCTGTTTCGAACCTTGCGTGAACCACGTATCTATTAGTCCTTTTTGTCTGATCCCACTTTTCTCGCTTAGTGCTCCCTGTTGTTCGTAACAAGAAATCAATAGAAACGTTAAAAAGTTACTTAAATAGTAAGAAAAATCGATCAAAGAAGTCTGTTAAAAGAGGCCGGTTGAATAAAAAGATAAGTCAGTTAAGAAATAGAAAAAAAAGTATCAGCTAAATAGAAAGGATCTGAGGCGGGTATAAGATAAGAAAACTGGTCGAAGCAAGCTTAGAAGCGAGGCAAGGTCGCTTTACCCAAGCCAATCAATTCGATAGAAAACATGACGAGTGCTCAACAACAGTCGAGAGGAGTGGTCTTTACCTCACCGTTAAGTGCTGGACACATACTCTTCATATACATAGCAAAAGCGCATCTTCACTCATAACAATATACAAAAGATATCTCTCGAACTACGACATGACTTTTGTGTGAAGAGCCAATTCTATTATCTATCCCGCGCTGTTGTGATGCCGCTGTCTATCTACAACTCTCATCAAAAGTATAAAGTCCAAGAGGTCGCCCGATGTCGAATCCTAATCCAAAATCCAGAAAACCAGATTATATACCAGAGAGGGGTATCACGTAATAACCACATTACACATGGTCCCATCACAACACACCTATCTTTTCATCCATTCTTCCCTTCCCAAACGCCCACCTGACCCCATCACCGCCCCCTTTGAGCCCCCCTCCCCCTCTCCAAAGCATGCACGCGCACAAGAGAGAGGATGCCCTCCTAGCCAGAGACTTTCATGCCCCCAGCCCACGACAGACATCATATCATATCTCTTAGAGATAAAAAGGGGGAAATGATCCAGAGAGGGGGACGCAGAGAGGGGAGAGGCCGAGTGTGTGTCCCCATAGTAACCTGATAATCGAACAAAATCGTCTTGTTGTTTTGTCGCCCAAAAAATAATAGCCAAAGCAGGGTATCCAACCCCAACTAGTCCAGACCCAACCCAAGCAGGCCTCTATATATATCCTTATCCAAAAAAGAACAACCCTCTTAACTTTTCCTTGATCCCTTCTACTTAATTCCCCGCCCAAACCCCATCCCTCATCAATTCAGCAGCCTCCTAGTTGCTCTCACCCTGCTGCTGAAGTTGATGAGTCCGACGATGATCCAACATCGCAGAAGGATGCTGAGTAGGCGTGGGAGTAGCCGTAGCCCAAAGCTGCCCCCCATCCGACCCCAAAGGCTCCTCTGACTCGCGGCTGCTTGCATAACTTATGAGGACATCCGCGCCTGTAGCATCCGCAAGAGTGGGCGTCGGCACGGTATTAGCGGGCGTAGGCTGGGCTGCGGAAACTGTTGACGGATTGGAGAACAATGTGGGGGGCCCAGCGAGTTGGTTGATGAACTCGGCAAACTCGTTGTCGCCGTTGCGAGGGGGAAGTCTCATATGAGCAACATGGTTTAGTGCCGCAGCCCGGGTCGCAGACCCGGCCATCATGGGGGCAGAACCGGTGCCCGCGACAGGAGCCGGAGTTGAACGGAGCGCATCCGTGATCGCGTTGTCATACAGAGGGAGAAAAGCCGAAGGAGTCTGGACAGTCATAGGAGACGCTGCCGGGACTGTTGCTGTAGTCGAAGGAACCGTTACTTTAAAAGTCAGGACGGTCGACGGGGTTGGTCCTTGAGCAGTCGGCATAGTCGAAGTCCCGTTGATTGGAACAGATGCTCCAGTCAAAGAAACTGGCGCTGAGGCAGTCGGTATGGTAGAAGAGGTTGTATCAGGAATAGTTGCTTCAGAGGTGGGAACCGTCACTTGAAGTGTCGGCACATTCGCAGGAGCCGTAGCTGGAACAGCGGCCGGTTTGGAAGGAAGGGTCATCCGGACAGTATCCGGTGTCGAAGGGGCCGTGACCGGAGCCGCAACAGCGGGGACTGTGGCTGGAGAAGTGGCCGTGGTAGTAGGAGCAGACGCTGGAATAGGGTTCGCGACCGGATAGCGGCTGGTCGCTGTCTGCCGGTTGTAGTCGTTGATGATCTTCTGGGCCATCATTTCATCAAAAGAGACCATTGACGCGTTCATGTTCAGGCCGATATCGATATCGAACATGGAGTTCTCGTTGGCCATAGCTTCATTCATGGTAACGTCCATTATGTCGACGTTCGAATCGGCGACATTGAGGTTGACGTTCGACTTGGGAGCGGCTATGTTGACATCGGTCCTAGAGTTGTGAAGAGGGTTGACGACGGTATAGACAGGGGTTGCAGGGCTGAACGGACTGTTGCCTGGGGCATAGTCCAGATCGGCAGGTACGTTCAGGTAGGGATGAGTTCCGCCGTATTCCACGTCAAAGCCCGGATATTCCCAATGCATTTGCCTCAGGAACCAGGGCATCTTCGGCGTGGTGCCGTCGCGGAGGAGCAGTGCCTGCTCACGCTTCTTCCAAGCTTTGCTCAGGAAGACGGCCAGAGTAAAGTTTGTCTTGTCGGCCAAGTTCATCAGCTGGGGATAGCAATGGTAGGCCTGACTGACTTGCTTCCAAGCTCGGTCGACAAGCGCGCCCTCCGTGCGGTGACAAAGTTGGCCAACCATGAACGTGAACACGTCCATGTTAAAATGGTGCATGGCGAACCAACGGAAACCAGTTCTCTCCGCAGCCCAGTAATTGGCGTCGCTGTGCTCAAAAGCGGCGACAGCTAGGCGAAAGGCGTTGTCTTGGGGCGAGCGGATTTCCTGGGACAGGTCTGACTGAAGGCGCGGGGGCGTCAGGATATCCTTGAGCTTGTCAACGACCTGGTCGCGCATGCTGTGCACAAACTGGTGAACGGGGCCAGCTTTGGGATCGCAATTTTTGTCGAGGATTTCGGTCAAATCTTTGCTTAGTGTATCGAGCTTGCGCCGGTAGGAAAGGAGCTGCGTGTTGCGAGAATCATTTGCCAAGTCAGATTCGGTCGGCGGTTCCATCAAAAAAACAAACTCGAGCGGCATGTCGAGGACAAACTGGATGAACCTGTGTGACAAAAGACACCAGATCATTTCCGTCGGACCTTCACGGTCTTGGAAAGGTTCGGTGGCCGAGGGATCCATATCGCTGTCATTGAGGTTTTTGGGAAGCTGGACATCTCCAGTCTTGGTGAGCATGCTGTGGCCAAGCCCGGACATCATGGCACACTTGAAGTCCAGGATGACAAGCTGCCACCAGAGACGCCGGCGAATTTCGGTCTCAAAGGGCGACAAGCCCAGTTTCTCACCGTCGCGATGGAGGCCTAGCTTCTGAGCGATGCGGATCACAAGCCCATTGACGATCCAGATGCTGTGTTGGTTGTATCGGCCATGCAGAGATATCTACCGCGAGGGTCAGAAGCTGACAGACGATTAAGAAACTAAGAAAGCACTTACCATGTAGAGAATAAGAGCCTGAAGCATCATCAAGTCCGAGCTCCCAAGGATGTTGATTTGGGAAAGGGCTGATTTGGCACCAGTCCGGAAGCGGCCCTCCACCTCAAGCTTGGGAAGCCCGAACATAAGGTCGCACTCGTCAGGGGTCATCGACATGGCAGCCATGGTGAAAATGGCCAACGCCAAAGCTTCCAAGTTCTTGGGAATCGCGGTGGGCTTCTCGATAGCCTGCATCATGAGGGGATGCATTGTGGGGACGTGGATGATCTTCGTCAGCGGATTAACCCTGTCGAGGAAGGTTTGCCAGAGAGAACGACCTAGATTGGGTTCTGGCCAGATCTCCTTCAGCTTGATCTGTTCGTCCAGTGTGTGGTAAACAAGGAACGAGGCCAGGTTATCTTCCCCATAGGTGTTGCCATTGGTGTCCGGGGTGTCTTCATGGGCCATCATTTCTCTCATCGCGCGTAATTCCTCGTAGACAGTAGCCAGGGGGCCATCCACAAAGCGGACATTGCCATGCTCGTTGATCAGCTTTCCAGGAAGGTCCTTTACTTCCCAGCTCGAAGCCGAGTCGCCTTCCTGAGGCTGGCTCTTGTTTTCGACGGACTGTATCTGGCTAGCATACTGTCGGAGCATCTCTTCGCATCTGGCCAGCCTCTCCTGGAGGTCCTGGTTGGGCTTTTTGCGCTTTCTAGCCGGCGCAGGCGTGGCTGGGATGCACTGAGAGCCAGACTGTCCATAGTTAGAAAAAAAATCAACTAAACCCGGGTAACTAAACACACCTTGTTGCAGTTGGCGCATGGAAATTGTCTATCGCACTTGATCTTCCGCTGTTGGCACATCGTACAGGCCAAGATGCGTGGAGGTTTGCCCGTGGGGGGGGCTGGAGGGCCAGACGCCGTTGACGCCTGACTCGGCGACCCCATCTGCTCCGGGGCAGGAGCAGGGGAAGTCATTGTGAGGGTTATTTGGTGAGTAGAAGAGGTGAGCGAAATACGGGATAGGGAGGCAGAAAGAGCGATAGCGGGACGAGAGCAAAAAGTGAGAGAGCAAGAAAGCAATAGAGTAGTGAGTTGTATCTAAGATGGCAGTGTGTGTGTGTGTGTGTGTGTGTGTGTGATATGTAACTGCTGGTATGTGGTATGTGCTGTGTATAGTAGATGCAGTTGTAGTTGTTGAGTAAGTGTCGGATCGTAGAGAGCGTTGTGGTTGTGGAATGTGCGAAGCGATAGTTTGTTTGCTTTTGGAAAAAAAAAGGGAGAGATCGAAGCAGGCCCTGAAAGTTTCAGGGTCCCAGACTGACGCGTTCTAAAATTCTAATTAAAGAAATAAAACAAAAAACACGAAAGCAAAAACAGAAATGCAAAATGCGTGTTTGAAGCTTGTGATCACTGCAATTCTGAAAGATCGGTTGCGTGTACGCGTTGTTACATCGAGATGGGACGAACATGTGCTGTCATAACCTCGTGAAGACCCGGACAGTAAAAGCACCCAACGCTCCGGGTATGTGTGGCTTGGAGGGTACCTCTTTGGGTATCAAGGGTCGGCAGACAACGAGCCGAACCGGTGCTGAGGCTGCAAGATAGGGCCGGTAAGGGGGGCAGCGGGGGTTATGTTGCAACAACTGATGGACTACCTGGTTGGTAGGCTGAGAAAAGCTGCCCAGAGGAAGCGAAGAGCTTCTGAAAATTGCTTGTGACGGACACCACTCAAGATGGCAATCTGGCAGCCAGCACAGCTCCGGCAGCTCCCGCCAGGCTCCCTCCCGCCGAATCCAACTTTTAGGGACCGTGATGCCCACTTTTGCTGGGTAAATGCCCGAAGTGACGTAAGTAGGCCCCCTGCTCTGATCCGATCGAACTGTCTAAGCCTGCTTTTGATTCACGAGGACCGCGGTTGAGAGCCGTGATCCGATTGGCGAAGCAACGGCCTCTTAATTTTCACAGGGTTCAAATGCATCCAAAACAGCATGGGTCTATGTGCTTTCTGGGTATTGGGACGAATGTGTTCGTCGTATTGCGCGTATCGTTGCCAGGGAGATTGGGCGTTTCGTCTGTTCTCGACGAGTGCCGCGAGCAGTTCACGTGCTGTCGGCGTATTCCAAGATCTGGGAGATCGATCGGATAAAGATGGATGGCAATTCGCTGGTTATTAAGGTTAGCTCTGTTGGCTCTTCGATTCGAATGCGGGTTGCGCGCGGGTAGCTTCGTGTGCGAAGACAGAGATGTAACCTGGCGATCTCAAAGCGAAAACGAAGGCTCCAGTCTGCTCTGTGAAATACTCGAGAAGGTCTGACACGGGCGCCAATCTTGACAGGAATGCTTCAGGCCATGATCGTGCGGTAGATGAGACCCGCAGGATGACAGATACCTTCGCTAGAGACCATGGACGGGGTTTATCTTGGAATCTGGAAGCATCGATCTCTGCCAGCTTTGCCAGCTTGTCTGGAGTGGCCCCCTGTACTCCTGACGGAGACTTTTTAAATCGGGTCCCCAGCAACTACGGAGTACGGGGTTGGAACCATCCGTCGCACGCTGAGGGGAAGGGAGAGCCGCCCTCTGATTGGCCACTAACCTCCGACAGTAATGCCAAGACCGGTTTCCGCGTATTCCGCTGCCCAACCTAGGCACGTCTCTGCGCTGCAGAGACACCGCGTCTGCGGGCTGGCGCTGGCACGTTACACCGATTCCTTTACCTCAAGCCTTCGACATGGCGTTGTGATCGAAGACAGCATTGACTTCGATCCAGGGCCTCTTTTTTTTTTTTACTCGAGGATCTGCAAAACGTATGAAGTCATACTTCGAGACGGTGAGCTATAAATGTCTCATACCCCGCATACATGCTGGACAGGCGGAGGGGCAGCACTTGTCCGGGATTATCCCGCGCTGGCTATAAGCCATGCAGCTTCGTGAGACTTTTGAGCAGGCCGGTGCTTCTGCATGCTTAACTAAATCAGCTTATGTTAGGCCTCAAGTCCACGGATGCTTGATCTTCCGGACGAGCCGAGTCAACGATCTCTTATAAATCGACGGTCGCTACGTTCCTGGTATGCCTAGGCATCCTGTTAAGTTGAAGAACACCGTGTCGAGATGCATAATTGTGCGGTAGGTTGCCCAGTAAGAGGGAATAGAAGCATAGAACATCGGAATCAATCCGCATAGCAGAGCCACAATTTCGCGTCCACAGCGAGATAACTCAACGAAGTGCTATGGTTTGCAGAAAAGCAGGCCAACAATGGAATGATAACATATCGATTTGCTGAAAGCGTACCAGAGTTGGGATATCTATTGGTCGGAGACAGATTGTTTGGCCTCGGTTGCCAGATCGAGCTCTGTTGCAACCGCATCTTCTGGAGGATTGCTGAGCCCTTTTCGTGACTTTCCCCTGAGCCTGTAACATACACCGTAAAAGTACAGCGCCAAGAACAGCCCTGCGACCTTGTCAGCGCGGCCCGCATGCCAAGCTTGCCCCACAAAAATTTTGTCAATGTTTGAAACGGCTGACCAGTCAGAGCCCATGCATTTGCCATTGTGCCATTGCCAGCAGCGCTCCGATCCCGCTGGCCGGCTCGACTCCATCTCAACACTCGGCGATACGGGAATGAGAGAAGTGTCTGGTTCACCAGAATCACCATGATCGTGCCTGTGGTATGTGACAATCACGCTGGCCATGAGAAGACAACTCGAAGCTTGCTGACACTTGCTCAATTGCACAGAGAAGGACCCTGGCTCTGGCCGCCTCCAGGGGGAGTCGTCAAGCCCTCCTCATCGCCCGGACGGCGACCACGACCACTTGGAGACCTGTTGCCGCTCGCCGGCCAGTAACAGCCTGTTTCGCTGCTGTTCCCTTCAGCACAGCAGTCCGTCTTTGCAGCCAGGATGCCTTCCACGCCCAGCTTGAGAATGGCGCCCCGCTGAAGAGCAACCTGCCGCCCGTCCCTCAGACGCTTACCGAAAAGATCGTCCAGAAGTATGCCGTGGGCCTGCCAGCGGGCAAGAAGGTCAAGTCCGGTGACTATGTGACTCTGGGTGAGTATACAGAGGAGTGCTCGCTTCGTACTACGAAGAAGAATGCTGCTGACTCTAAATAGCCCCTCACCACTGCATGACCCACGACAACTCGTGGCCCGTCGCTCTCAAGTTCATGTCCATCGGCGCCTCCAAGATTCACAACAACCGCCAGATCGTCATGACCCTGGACCATGACGTCCAGAACAAGAGCGAGGCAAACCTAAAGAAGTACCGTCAAATCGAGGAGTTCGCCAAGAAGCATGGTGTCGATTTCTACCCCGCCGGCCGGGGTATTGGCCACCAGATCATGGTTGAGGAGGGGTACGCCTGGCCCGGTACCGTCACTGTGGCTTCCGACTCCCACAGCAACATGTACGGCGGTGTCGGCTGCCTGGGCACTCCCGTGGTTCGTACCGATGCTGCCAGTATCTGGGCCACCGGCCGTACCTGGTGGCAGATCCCTCCGATCGCCAAGGTCACCTTCACTGGCGTCCTCCCCCCCGGCGTCACGGGCAAGGACGTCATTGTTGCCCTCTGCGGTCTCTTCAACAAGGATGACGTCCTGAACCACGCCATTGAGTTCACCGGTTCCGAGGAGACCATGCGCAGCATCCCCATCGATGACCGTCTTACCATTGCCAACATGACCACCGAATGGGGTGCCCTAAGTGGTCTGTTCCCCATTGACTCGGTGCTGCAGTCGTGGCTACGGGCCAAGGCAACAACCTCGGCCATGCTGCGCCCTGAGCTGGGTGATCAAGCTCGGTTCACGCACGCTAAGATCGACGAACTAATCAACAACCCGCTCACTGCCGACCCTGGCGCAACCTACGCCAAGGAGCTCTACCTCAACCTGTCGACGCTGTCCCCCTTCGTGGCCGGCCCTAACTCGGTCAAGGTTGCCACTCCGGTTAAGGACCTCGAAGCCCAGAAGATCAAGCTCGACAAGGCTTATCTGGTCTCCTGCACGAACTCTCGTGCCTCAGACATCGCGGCTGCTGCTCGCGTCTTTCGCGAGGCTGCCAAGGATGGTGTCATCCCTAAGATTGCGGACGGCGTCAAATTCTACATCGCCGCCGCATCCCTGCTCGAGCAACAGGCGGCTGAGGAAACCGGTGATTGGCAAGTCCTGCTCGAGGCCGGCGCCGAGCCCCTGCCCTCCGGCTGCGGTCCTTGCATCGGTCTGGGCACTGGTCTGCTCGAGCCCGGTGAGGTCGGCATCAGCGCCAGCAACCGTAACTTCAAGGGCCGCATGGGCTCGACCGAAGCCAAGGCGTACCTGGCCAGCCCCGAAGTTGTTGCGGCGAGCGCCCTTAAGGGCTACATCGCCGGTCCCGGCTGGTACCAGAAGCCAGAGGGCGTCGAAAAGGTCATTGTTGGCGAGGGCAGCGGCAACTTCGAGCAGGACAAGGCTCGCAGCATTGAGGATGCCCTCGACAAGCTCGTCTCGCAGGCCGATAATATCATCGCCAACGCCGAGAAGGACCTGTTCGGCGGCGCCTCCGACGCGGCTGCTGCTGCTGAGGAAGAGGAGACCCTGACCGAGATCTTGCCCGGCTTCCCCGAGAAGATTGAGGGCGAGATCGTCTTCTGCGACGCCGACAACATCAACACTGATGGCATCTACCCCGGCAAGTACACATACCAGGACAACGTCCCCCCGGAGAAGATGGCCGAGGTCTGCATGGAGAACTACGACAAGGCCTTTCGGGAGATTGCTCGTCCCGGCGACATCCTCGTCGCCGGCTTTAACTTCGGCTGCGGCAGCTCCCGCGAGCAGGCCGCTACCGCCATCCTAGCCAAGAAGATCCCGCTTGTCGTGGCCGGCAGCTTTGGCAATATCTTTAGCAGGAATAGCATCAACAACGCCCTGATGGGCGTCGAGGTGCCCCGCCTGGTGAAGCGCCTGCGTGAGACGTTCAAAACTAAGGATGGCGAGGAGAAGGTGCTTACTCGGCGCACCGGCTGGAAGCTGACCTGGGACGTGCGTCGTAGCAAGGTCATTGTTACGGAGGGTGAGGGTGGCCAGACCTGGAGCCAGAAGGTTGGTGAGCTGCCGCCGAATGTGCAGGAGATTATTGCCCGGGGTGGATTGGAGAAGTGGGTTAAGGCCCAGATTGAGGCTTGAAGGAAGGAAAAATGGACCCGGGTGTGTTGGCGGGGAGAGGGGGGAGGGTTAAGGAGAATAATCGTCAGGGTTGTGTTTAGGTTGTGTCGTGTATTCTCTCGTGTACATAGATAGTCCCGTTGCGGAATGATACCACGTTTTTGTCGAATTTTGGTTGGAGGTAATCATGCCGGGCTCTCAGCAGTCGTAACGGCCGGAATGGCTGTTTCGCTTTCACTGGCTGCATCGGGAGCCGCACTCTCCTCCTCCTTTGACTCGTCGTCCTTGTTCCCATTCTCAACAACAACCACTGCCCTTGTTGGAGCCAAATGCGCGGGTATCAACGCCCGGCGCTTCGCACTCCTCACGGCATTGGTATGTTTCCTTCCCTTAATGTGCTTCTGCCATAGTTCCTCCGTCACGAGGGTCTTGTTGCACAGCTCGCACACTTTGTGACAAGGTGTGTCCTTCTTCCCAGCCCGCGCAACCTTCTCCGCCAGCACCTGGCGCGCCGTATCCGACACCTCTTCAGGCTTCGGCAGCGGCTTGCATGCCAGGAACTTGGCGGCGAGGTCAACGCCCTTGTTGAGGACCTCGTCGTGCCAGCGCGAGATGTCGGTGCTGTCAAGGAGGTAGAACCGATCGAGGAGATTTTCTTCTTGGAGGGAGGTGATTGTCTTCATGGTAACCCAGCGAACTTGGGTTTTTGCGTACTGGCGGGTAGCAATCTTAGTTTCTTCGATGCCGGCTTGTTTGAGTTTTTCTAGGTTCGGGTCGGAAGGGTTCTGCCGGAGGGTCGAGAGGTATGGCTCGAACTGCCGGAAGCCGATGGACTGCCAGATACCCTTAGTCCGGTCGACCGTCTCGCAGGCGGATAGTCGGCTCTGGAGATAGTCGTACATTTCGGAGACTTCGTCTAGAAGGCCGCGCTCGACCATCTTGTCTACGCGCTGGGCTAGGCGCTCCTTGAGTTCCTCTTGGTGGGCATACAGCCAGAAGAGAAGGACTTCGCCGATTTCGAGCTCTGGTGCGCCATTCGACCCATTGGTTCCAGACTTGGCCTGCAGTTTGCGGTTCCGCTGCTCTTCGTAGATTTCGGACGCACGACGACCAGTCGCATAGTAGATCTCGAGTGAGTGTCGGATTTTACGGTCGTCGTTAGGGTGCCATTTGGCCGCCATCACGGGGTCGACTTCGCGCAGCTTCGCCAGCACCTCTTCTGTGGGCGCTGTGAGGATGGGGTACCTCGCAGCAAGGTCGCGACTCCATAGCTTGCCTTCGGGGTCGTCGTTGTCCTCGACCAGTTTGCCCTCGAAGAGCAGGCTGTCGAGATAGTACGAAGTACCGCCAACGACGATAGGAAGCTTCCCACGGGCCCGAATCTCATCTATGATGCGTGTGGCGTCCCGCTTGAAGTGGGCAACGGTCCAAGGCTCCTCATCGAGCTCGATGCTGCCGAGCAGATGGTGGGGGATACCGCGCTGCTCCTCGACAGTGAGCTTGTTGGTAATGACGGGCAGGCCGCGGTACATCTGCATCGCATCTGCGTTGATGATCTCGCCGTTGAACCGCAGGGCCAGCTCGACGGCAAGCTGCGCTGTGTCAGCCGTGGCGTCGAACCATCACGATTGTCAAGGATTCATTATCACGGGCCGCGCGCGGGGGGAACACCCACGTCCGACTTGCCGGTACCGGTTGAACCGTAGATGATGATCAACGGTTTCATCTTTTTAATTTTGAAAGTAATGGTCGGTCTGCCCGACCACAACGCTGACAGCAATCCTCGGGCGAAGCCAAGACGATGGAGGAGGAAGCTCATGAGGTTGTCCTCCCAAAAACAGTGTGATTATTTTGTCTCCTCGCCAGGTGGTGGTGGTCGCTTCGCATAAAAACCGGCTCCAAAATGATCCAACTTTTGGGGGAATTTTGTTGGAGATCAGGGCTTGGCATCGCGGCGGGTGGAAAAGTGGGGTGAATCTGGAAGCTTTGCCCCTGTCAAATCCGGGACATTCTATCGCACAGGCCACAGCCCAGCCGACCTCAGCCGCCGCAGCCAGCGCACGGGCCACACTCCTGAGTCCTGCGCCTGGTGCCCAGAGTTTGGAGAGGTGGCCCTTTTTGCTGTGTTGTCCCTCAGAAGCAGGGGGGTCACGTGTGGGCCCATCCTCGAAATTGACACCTCACTGAATTGAAGTTTGCTGGGAAAGGCCAGATCTTTAAGGAGCCCGCCGCTGCTTCGTCGCCTTTCCTTTCACCCTTTCTCAAACCCATTGCGCCGACAACAACTCTCCGGTCCCTCCCTTTGGAGTCGTTGTCGTCGTTATCTCCCACTTTTGGCCCTTCTTCTTCTTCTGGATGGTTTAATATTTTCTTTTTTTCCCTTGATTCGTCACACAATTGCCCAAGATGAGTTCTCGTAAGTGCCACGCTGGTCCCTTTGCGCGATGTCGGCGCGCGTTTGTCGAGCTGGCTGCCCGAGCTGCGACGGCGACATTGGGCATCCGACTCGACGACTCGCGGAGTTGTATTGCGCAGAAAAGCTTCGAGATGGCTCGATCTCCACGACAATGTGCTGACGCGCGCTGCTCTGGCCAACAGTTCGGTTCCTCGATCTCGTCAAGCCCTTCGTGCCGTTCCTCCCAGAGGTTCAGCAGCCCGAGAGCAAGATTCCCTTCAACCAAAAGTTGATGTGGACGGGCTTGACGCTGCTGATCTTCCTGGTGATGAGCCAGATGCCGCTGTACGGCATCGTCTCGTCCGACTCGTCGGACCCGCTGTACTGGCTGCGCATGATGATGGCCAGTAACCGCGGCACCTTGATGGAGCTGGGTATCACGCCCATCATCTCCTCGGGCATGGTCTTCCAGCTCCTGGCAGGCACCCACATGATCGACGTTAACCTCGACCTCAAGTCGGACCGCGAGCTCTACCAGTCGGCCCAGAAGCTCTTCGCCCTGATCCTGTCGGTTGGTACTGCCACCGTCTACGTGTTCACTGGTCTCTATGGCCCCCCGAGCGAGCTCGGTGCCGGCATCGTCTTCCTGCTGATCCTCCAGCTCGTCTTGGCCGGCATGATCGTCATTCTGCTCGATGAGCTGCTCCAGAAGGGCTATGGTCTCGGCAGCGGTATCTCGCTCTTCATTGCCACCAACATCTGTGAGTCGATCATGTGGAAGGCTTTCTCGCCTACCTCGATCAACACTGGCCGCGGCCCGGAGTACGAGGGTGCTGTCATTGCTCTCTTCCATCTGCTCATGACCTGGCCCAACAAGCAGCGTGCTCTGCAGGAGGCCTTCTACCGCCAGAACCTGCCCAACATCATGAACCTGCTGGCCACCATTGTCGTCTTCGCCGCTGTCATCTACCTCCAGGGCTTCCGCGTCGAGATCCCCGTCAAGTCCTCTCGCCAGCGCGGTGCTCGTGGCTCGTACCCCGTCCGTCTCTTCTACACCTCCAACATGCCCATCATGCTCCAGAGTACCCTGTCGTCCAACATCTTCCTTATCAGCCAGATGTTGTACTCTCGGTTCTCGGACAACCTGCTCGTCCGTCTCTTCGGCGTCTGGGAGGCCAAGGACGGCTCTTCTCAGCTCTCGGCTGTCTCGGGTCTGGTCTACTACATGTCTCCCCCTCTCAACTTCAAAGAGGCTCTCCTCGACCCCATCCACACTTTCGTCTACATCGCCTACATGCTCACCGCCTGCGCCATCTTCTCTAAGACCTGGATCGAGGTCTCTGGCTCCAGCCCCCGCGATGTTGCCAAGCAACTCAAGGACCAGGGTCTCGTCATGGCCGGCCACCGCGACCAGAGCATGTACAAGGAGCTCAAGCGCGTCATTCCCACTGCGGCCGCCTTTGGTGGTGCTTGCATTGGTGCGCTTTCTGTTGCCAGCGACCTCATGGGTGCGCTCGGCTCCGGCACCGGTACCCTGCTTGCTGTCACGTAAGTTCTGTGCGCTGTGTTTTTCTTTCTTTCTTTCTTTCTTTTTTTTTTTACTGTTCTGTGAGTATGGTTGCTAACCAGTTTCCAGCATCATCTATGGTTACTTCGAGATTGCTGCCAAGGAGGGTGATCTGGCTGGCATGAAGGGTATGATCATGGGTTAAGCGTTTTCTCAATCACTCTTGACCCCTTTGCACTTTTTTTTTTGGCCAGCAGAGGCTCGCTTGCCATAGGCTATGAAAAATGGTCGAGCACGCGAAGACAGGCTTTGCAGGCGTATTTTTCCCTTGCTGATTTGTTAACACTATAATGGCCTGGGGAGTTGGAAGGCAGGGATGGATGGATGGATGGATGGATGGATGAAATGAACGGGTGTGCTGTATACTAGGCAAATAGGGAAAATGTGATAAATAGGGAGGCGTTTTATACACATACACAGCAAGAAGAGGCAAGGCGCAGATTGAGCATGGTGGTTAGTCTGGTGTGTTTTGAAAGTTTTTGAAGATGGTCGGTCTTAGCAATGGCAGGACGAGTACATGAGGAGGAGACTGATAATGAAGATTGAAATGAAAAATATGACCGACTTTCGACCGAGTTTGCTACATGGTATATATATATATATATACATATATATATCTTGGACAATGAAGTTTGGAATGAAATAAGATGATCGACTTGCTAACCGATTTTACTCTCTATCTTCGGTTTCTAAGTAAGTTGAAGGAGGGTGGAATTATCATTACCGACTTTTATGTGTAACCGACTTTCGACCGACTTCCCTTCTTCCCCATCGACTTTCATCCTATATCTATCTCCAGGCAGTTATCCGCATACAAGTCGCTTTTGTCGGTTGTTGGAAGTCGGTCTCAGACCCGCACCCTCAGAAGAAGCAAGATAGGATCGGATGGAAGCTCGGAAAGCGACTCTTAGGTAAGCTCCCGTCAGGGAGTTTCACTTGGGGAAGGTCGTACAAAAAAAAAAAAGCGGGGCGTTTCGTTCTGCTTGACTTTTACGATCGAGCGAACGAAGGGCGCATGTGTGTCATCAGCATGTGGCAACCTGCAGCCTGCAGGAGGAGGCGTTTGGTTGGACGCTACGGCAACGGCGCTTATCTTTTTATTTAAACCAGAGTTTCCAAGACTGCGGCCAGCGGATCGAGCCCTTTGCCGTGGGGTAAGAGGAGGGTGATGGCGACGTGTTGCACTTTGCCCAAGGCGACCTACCGAAGGTCTTGGTCGGTCATGGTCGGTCATGGGTTGTTGGTTTTCAGAACGTGGCACAATTGATTTTCTAAATCACTGCGATGAAAGACGGGGATATCAAGTCGGTCAACAGCCGACTCTAATGACCAATTGCTGGCAATAAAAACTCGTCACCGACATTTTGGGGGCGGTTTAGCCTCAATGGCAACGTGGCGAACTGTTCTGCATTTACGGAAACTAACTTGCAAGTCTACTTTTCTGCTAGTCGAGCACCCCCGAAATTTTGATGAGAGTCCCGCGTCAAGCTTGGTGACTCAGTTCGGGGGAGTTGGAAGTTCAGACACGTCTCTCACGGGCGTTGTCAGCGAGACGAGGGAAGGTGGGCCACAAATTAGGAAGGTCCCAAAATTTTGGAATGGAGGGGTCGATGTGAGGAGTGAGGAGAGCGGAGGAGTCATGACTCCATGTGAGGTCGGAGTTAACGTCGGGTCGAAAAGGGGCCTGGCTGGCCGAGAGCAGTGTTCGGTTACTACTGGTGCGCTGCGGGAGAAGCGTTGCTTTCTGCGTTGCGGGAGCTGCTTTAGCTGCAGAAAGCCGGTCGCCGGTCCGGTGCCGAGAAGTTATAGTGGGATGTAGGGATGTAAAAATATGTAGGTATGAAATACAAACCCGAAGTAGGGGCGCGTGTGTTCTCATGGTGTTCGCATTTTTAAGTTGGTGAGGGTCGAGGTTGAGAATTCCATATAGTTTTCCATTGAAGCTCGGGGTAAGACCAAAAAAAAAAAAAGAAAAGAAGAGAGAGAGAGAGAGAGAGAGGCGAGATGGAATTGTCGCACAATCAAGATCCCCCAAACCCTTATTTTCCCAAAGAAAGCTTTAGTCAACAAAGGAAAGCTTCCCCGAATGAGACAATGGATGGTCGCCCCGATGATCCATGATCGTGATGCCTTCTTCCCCCTCCCCCCCCCCTTTTTTTTTTACCTTTCCCTCAGGGGCCACGGTTGCCATGCGATGTCTTACTGCAGCGCAGAAGCAGGCACAGAAAGCTTGCGTATGCCCAGGGACCAACAGAAGCTTCCTGCGGGGCACAGTAAGCAGCTCAATCGCTCCCGCTGGAAGCTGTTGGGAGCGACCCCACTTTGCTGACCTTCCCAGGCCTCGTGGGCGCCAGCAGGTTGCAGTGGGCGACGTGCTCGAGCTCTGCAGGTGAAGTGGGTAGCCCCTTGTCTGTCCCGCCAGGTTCCCATTGAAATTCGCAGTTTTTCCATCCTGGACTTGGACCGACGCTCTAACTTTTTTTTCTTTTTTTTTTTACAAAATTCTTTTTTTTTGATACAACAGCAGATGTCAATCCCAGACTGAACCTGTGACCCTCTAGAGCAGTCAGTCGGTCGAGACGAAAAATGCAGTGGTGATCATAAAGTGCGCGTCTCTGCCATCGATTGTCTTCGAGCTTTGCTTCTCTGCTGTCCACTCCCAACGTGGAAGTTCAAAGTCGCAGCACCTTTTCGCTTCGCTTGCTCGGATCCGAGGTCGCCGACGGACCGATCACTGCACCCACTGTGCTTTTAAACTGACATTTGATCGAGCGGCCGTCGACCTACACTGCTTACCTCTTTTTTTTTTTTGAAAAAAATAAAGAAAAAAAAACTTCAATTTCTTCCTGGACTTGCTGTTTATTCTCACTTCTCGGGTTCCTCCGTGTGGCAGTCATCAACCACTCTCGCTGTTGCTGCCAGGGATCAGCACCAGTGCCGGGGTGACGACCACAAAACGCCACAACGCACACCCCCGAACTGAAGTACACGAAACAAAACGTGGAGTCTAAGACAACCACTGCAGCACCTCACCCCCAAAATCAAAATCCGGGCTTTTTTTTTTTAAAGGTCGTGTGTTTTGTGTTCCCATCGCAAAACAACACGTCACATTCTCATTAGCCGTTGCCCCGTTCGCGTTCGCCGCGAACCGCTGCGCGCGAGAGCGAGATGGGCTTTGCCGAATGTTCCTGGCCAATATGGCGGGTCGATGACTTCACACATTGCTTCCAGCATGAGTACGTCCGGCCCCTTTTCACGTTGTTTTCTCGAGCACGCCACGCCAACTAACACACACAAACAGCTACCTCAGGGTCCTGCTGCCGTTGATTATCATTGGCCTGTCTTTTGTGCGCCTCGTCATCCAGAACATTGTCCGCGCCGTCCGCTCCAAGAGCCCCCGAGGGTATGAGCGCATCCTCAACGGCGGCGCATCCATCTCTCCTGCTACCCACACCGAGCTGCCCCGCGAGGAAGAGCCTGTCAGCGAGAGCGAGGATGAAGCAGACTTGACCATCGGCGGCGGCCGGCTCGCCTTGGTAAAAACCACTACCCGCGGCTCCATCGTCCAGGCCGACATCCCGCAGGCGCAGACACTATCGGTGTTTGTCGAGGAGCTGGCTGTCGCCGGGCTAGTCGCCATCAATACCGCTGCGCTCGCTACGGGCGCCTATGACGATGATCGCCGTCGCATGTCTGCAATTGCTGGCCTGGTCGTCTGGGTATACACCCTGCTCTTGACCTCGCTGCGTCTGTTCCTCGGAAACACGCAATGGCGCGTCCCGCGGCTCTGGAACCATACTGCTACCATCTACAGTTTCCAGTGGCTCTTTACGCTGGTCATCTTCCGCTCGGCCCTGATCCATCCCGCCTCGCACCTGGCCCAGTCACTGGTCATTGCCGAGTTTGCGCTCACCTCGCTGCTCTTTGGCATGGCCATTAGCACGCGGAAGGGTAATAAGACTATCTTACTCGAGTGGGAAGATGGCATCGAGCCGGGCAGGGAGAACCTCGCCAGTCTGTTCTCCCATTATACCTTCTCCTGGGTCGACTCGATCATCTGGGCGGGCTGGAAGGAGCCCTTGACGATGAAGCGGGTTTGGAACCTGCTGCCGAGGGATAAGGCTGCCGCCGTGCTGGCGAGCTATCGCCAGGTGAAGCGAACGACGGTTCTGTCGCTGCATCTGGTGAAGTACTTCAAGGGGATGCTGCTGGCGCAGGCAATCTGGGCGGCTTTTGGTGGTGCTCTCGCGTTCGCGCCCACGCTCCTGCTTAGGCAGATCTTGGAGTATGTCGAGAACCCGTCGATCGCGCCGCGGAATGTGCTGTGGCTTTACGTCATTCTGCTGCCAGTGTCGGATATTGTCCGATCGATCTGCGACGGTCAAGCGCTATGGATCGGTCGCAAGATTTGTATCAATATTCGGGCTATCCTGGTTGGTGAGATTTACGCCAAGGCTTTGCGCAGGAAGGCTGCCGCGGGGAACGATTCCACGCTAGGGGCGAAGAAGAAGAAGAAGAAGAAGAAGAAGAGGAGGAGGAGAGACGAGGAGGAGGAGCAGGGCGTTAAGAAGAAGGGACTCCTCGCCAAAGCAAAACGCTTGTTGGGTCTTGGGAAGGATTCTGACGATAAAAAGGCCGACGCGAACGCCCAAGGACCTGAGAACAAGGACAAGAAGGGCGAGCCTGATGAGCAGGCCAACCTGGGTACCATCATCAACCTGATGTCGGTCGACAGCTTCAAGGTGTCCGAGGTGACGGCATACCTGCACTTCCTAGTCGCTGCTGCCCCCGTCCAGCTGCTCGTCGCCATCACCCTGCTCTACCGCGTCATGGGCCTCAGCGCAATCCCTGGCTTCATCGTCATGGCGCTGCTGCTTCCCGTCAATATCGCTTTCGGCAAGGGATTCAACTCGAGTCAGAAGAAGATCATGGCTGCTACGGACAAGCGGATCCACACGACGAACGAGATCTTGCAGAATATCCGCATCATCAAGTACTTTGCCTGGGAGCATCGGTTTTCCAAGATTGTGGATGAGAAGCGCCGTGCTGAGCTCAAGGCTCTGCGGACCCGGTACATAATCTGGGCGGCGGCCGTCGCGGTGTGGAATACCGTGCCGATCTTGATTACCTTCTTCTCGTTCTTGATCTATACCGTGGTCGAGAAGAAGCCGCTTTACCCGTCGGTGGCGTTCACGGCTATTTCGTTGTTCATGCTGCTGCGGTATCCGCTCGATCAGCTAGGTGACATGATTGCTCATGTACAGGAGTCGCAGGTGTCGATTGATCGGATTGAGGAGTTTCTGTCGGAGGAAGAGACCGAGAAGTTTGCGCAGCTGGGGATCGACAACGTCGATGAGAACGGCAACAGGGTCATCGGTTTCCGGAATGATGCGACCTTCATCTGGGGCAGCAAGACAGCCGTCAAGGAGGACGGGACGATGGCGTTCCGCTTGCTGGATCTCAACGTCGACTTCAAGATCGGCAAGCTCAACGTTATCACCGGTCCGACCGGGTCTGGCAAGACTTCGATGCTCATGGCCCTCCTCGGCGAGATGACCCTGATCAAAGGGCGCGTCTACCTCCCCGGCGGCCGCAGCCGTGAGGACGTGCGACCCGATCCCGAAACGGGCCTGGCTGAGACGTGCGCCTACGTCGCCCAGCAAGCCTGGCTCGTTAACGCCAGCATCAAGGACAACATTCTCTTCTCCGCCCCCTACGACGAGAAGCGCTACCACGACGTCATCGTCGCCTGCGCTCTGGAACGTGATCTCGAGATCCTCGACAACGGCGACGAAACTCTTGTCGGCGAAAAAGGCATCACCCTCTCCGGCGGCCAGAAACAGCGCATCTCTTTGGCTCGTGCGGTCTACTCCAACTCGAAGCATCTGCTCCTGGATGATTGCCTGAGCGCCGTCGACTCGCATACCGCGCAGTGGATCTTCAACAACTGCATCATGGGCCCCCTCATGCGGGGACGCACCTGCATTCTTGTCTCCCACAACATCCCTTTGTGCGTCCCGCAGGCTGATTATGTGGTTACGATGCACAATGGGCGGATTGCCGCGCAGGGGACCCCGCAGGAGCTGGTGGCGGCCGGCAAGCTTCCCGAAGACGCGCTGCCGCGGGAATCTGCGCCCGGGTCGGCGCATATCTCGCGGGTGCCGAGCCGTGTTCCGTCGAGCGTGGGCGAGGAGAGCGGTGACACGCTCGTGGTGAACGAGGCCGATCCGGATGCGCAGCAGACCTTGCGGGCTGAGAATGCCAAAAAGAAGGAGGCGAAGAAGATAGACGCTATGGAGGAGCATAAGGCCGTCGGGTCGGTCAAGTGGCCGGTTATGAAGCTTTACTTGCGTTCTATGGGAGGCTGGTGGTTTTGGTGTCTGGCGTGTGTGGTGTTCACCGCGCAGCAGCTCTCGGGCGTCGCGAGTAGTATTTGGATCAAGGAGTGGTCGAATCAGTATACCGAGCAGGAGGAGGAGAAGTCGTCGAGGGAGGCGGTGCTGTTGTTCAACGTCAACTCGGCGAGTTACTCGGCTCAGACGCTGTCGCCGACTTACTTTGCGTCGATCGGGACGTGGGTTAGGGATCGGGCTGGGTTCGTCTCCGCCGCCGCAAGCGCGGACGCGGATGGGACGCCGGAGGTCAACGTGCAGTACTATCTCGGCATCCTGGCGCTTATTGGGCTGGCCGGGGCCGCGACGGCGCTGATCCGCGATCTCTGGATCTTCTTCGGGTCGTTGACTGCCTCGTGGAAGCTGCACGCAGGCCTGATGAACTCGGTCACTCGCGCCAAGTTCAAGTTCTTCGACGTCACGCCCCTCGGACAGATCATGAACCGCTTCAGCAAGGACCTCGAGGCCATCGACCAGGAGGTGGCGCCCGTCGCTATCGGTGTGATGACCTGCGCGCTGGGGATCGTTGTGACCGTCGTCCTGATCGCATGGATCACGCCCGGGTTCTTGATCGCCGGCGTGTTTATCACGCTAGCATACATCTTCCTCGGCGCGTTTTACCTGCACGCTTCCCGCGACCTGAAGCGTCTTGAATCCGTCGAACGCAGCCCGCTCTTCCAACAATTCGGCGAGACCCTCAGCGGCGTGACGACCATCCGCGCATACGGCGACGAGCGTCGCTTTATTCGCGACAACCTGGCGCGCATCAACACCCAGTTGCGGCCGTTTATCTACCTGTGGGCTGCTAACAGATGGCTTGCATTCCGCACCGACCTGCTCGGAGACATGGTGGCGTTTTTTGCCGGGGTCTTCGTCATCTTGAGCCTGGGCAAGATCGATCCCGGATCGGCGGGTATTTCGCTCAGCTACGCGATCGGGTTTTCGGAGAATATCCTCTGGCTGGTGAGATTATATGCGGTGAATGAGCAGAACATGAACTCGGTGGAGAGGATTAGAGAGTATCTCGACGTTGAGCAGGAGGCGGAGGCGGTCGTGGAGAAGAACCGGCCTGAGAGCGGGTGGCCTTCGAGGGGGACGGTTGAGTTCGTGAACTATAGCACGCGGTATAGGAAGGAGTTGGAGCCGGTGTTGAAGAACCTGAGTTTTAAGATCGAGGCAAGAGAGAGGATTGGGATTGTGGGGAGGACGGGCGCCGGCAAGAGCTCGTTGACGTTAGCGATCTTTAGGGCCCTGGAGGCGGACGAGGGGAAGATTCTCATTGACGATGTGGATATCAGCACGATTGGGCTGAGAGATTTGCGCGAGGCGATCACGATCGTGCCGCAGGAGCCAACGCTTTTCATGGGGACCATCAGGAGTAACCTCGACCCGTTTGACTTGTATACGGATGAGCAGATCTTTGCGGCGTTGAGGAGGGTCCATCTCATCCAGCCGGATGAGATGCCTTCTGCTTCTACAGGCGCGGCTCTTCCGGCGCCGACGACCGCCTCCTCTTCGGAGCAGGCCGCCGACCGAGCCGCTTCAGACCAGCAACAAGCAGACGCGATTCCCACGAACAAGAACCCCTTCCTCGACCTCTCTTCCCCCGTCACCGAGTCTGGCAACAACCTCTCCCAAGGCCAGCGCCAGCTCCTCTGCCTGGCCCGTGCCCTCCTCAAAAACCCGACCGTCCTCGTCATGGACGAGGCGACCGCCTCCATCGACTATGCCACGGACGCTGCCATCCAGGAGACCATCCGCGAGCTGGACAGCACCATCATTACCATTGCGCACCGCCTGCATACCATCGCGGATTATGATAAGGTGCTGGTGCTGGATAAGGGGTCGTTGGTGGAGTACGGGCATCCGTGGGAACTCATGAAGAAGAAGGGGGGCGTGTTTAGGGGGATGTGTGAGATGACTGGGGATTTCGTCGGGTTGAGGCAGGTGGCGAGGGAGGCGTGGAGGAAAAAGGTTTTGGTCGATGTGGGGGATGAGGAGGAGGAAGAGGAAGAGGATCAGAGGAGTGAGGGTTCGAGTGGTGGGGAAGAAGGTCGGCGACAAGAGCAGCAGAAGGGCGTGAGCGAAGAACAGCCTGAGCAGTCTGCCTTTGAAGACTCAGCACCATCCGCCGGCCAGAAGCCGTAGAGAGGCTTCTTCCCTTCGGAAGCGTCTACCGCCTCGTCTGGGCTGGAGACATTTTACACGATTACCACAGCTACAACCACCAGTGCCAGTGTGAGATTGGGTCGGAGTGAGGATTCCTCCCCTTTTTGGGGGTATGGAAGAAGAAGAAGAAGAAGAAGAAGAAGAAGAAGGGGGAAGAAGGGGAAGAGGTTAAGTGTTTGGTGTAGTGCTTTTGTACATAACTCCAGAATTAACTAACTAAGCTGATCGACTTAAAGTGGAAAAGGGGAAAATGAAAGCAAGGATGGATTATTACGGGGGTTGGTCACTGATACATGTTGGCGTTATTAGGATGGAACAGGGATCGAATAATTTTTTTTGTTTGGTTTTGAGTGGTGATAGGATGAGTTAACACAGGTAGCGATATACATAGTATTGGTAGAAATTGGTGTCTTCCCTGGTTGCTGTGACAAGTGAAGGCCTGAAAAGGATTGCTTTTCCTCTCATTGATTGAGTGGCCTTATCATTTACACTAGGTAGGACTGCAGAATCAACGCGACTAAAAAAAAAAGTCCTCTCTGGACTGAAAAAAATGTGCACGTCTGCTGGTTCCACTAGTCTTACATCATAGTCTGGAAGTCCTCCTAGAGTCTAGCTTACTAAATCTGCTCTCAAGCCACCCACTGTGGTATATATATGTGCCCCATTCCACATTTCTCTATTCCATCATCCTTAGTATAGTACCTCCCCTCACTCTCCGGGACCGACCCACAGCCATCTTCCTTTCCTCTGTTCAACACCCTTCTCACCTAACCACAACCTAATTTCCAACTTCTAACAGTCCAAATACCCGATCCAACTCCTCCCCTTCATCTTTCCCGCCTTCCTTTTCATCTCCCTTATTCACGCGTTCCGGCTGCAGCACCCTAACCTCACTATCCAACCACCCAGGCGCAATCCTCCTCTTCTCAGCCAGCTCCCTCTTCCTAATCCTCTCCTCAAACTCTTCCAGTTCTCTTTCCCCCTGACTCTGCAGTTTGCTCAGATGGGATTGCAACGCCCGACAGGAGGAAATGATTTCCGATGGGTGGGCGGAGTGTGTTCCTCCCGGTGAGGTTACGTATTTCGGGAGGGATTGAGAGCCAGAAGAGGAGGAGGAGGAGGAGGAGGAGGAAGAGGAGGGGTGGGGTTGGGTTTCTGGGGGAGGGGGGGTTAGGATGGAGGGGGGCAGGGTCGAGGGCATAGGTTTGTAGGTGTAGGGAAGGGTCGGGGCTGTAGGGAGGTTAAGGAAGGGGGAGACTGTAAGGGGGAGTTGTTGGAGGAGGGGGTGAGTTTCTAAAACTTTGGTTAGCGAGAGATCATTTGGGAGAAGAGGGGGGACATACTTGTGTCGTGCATTGTGTGAGTTGGTAAGAACAAGTCTTGGAGATGTGGGTGAAATGAGTTTGATGAATGGGTTGTTGGCTTGTTTTGATGTCGGCGTGGATATTTGTTGAGAAGTCTTGATGTTCTCAGTCCTGAAATGAAAAAAATTTTTTTTGTTTTCTTGGGTTTCAATTTAAGTCGAATGTAAGATGTAAAAGAGCGACGATCACGTTACCGATGGATGGAAAGTCACAGTGACAATTGCGATGAGAAGAGGAACATGGACGAATTGTCCAGCTCCTCATGAGTGAGAACCGCATTGGCCAGCGGGGTACTTTGATAAGCTTATCGATAAAAGCTCAACCCCACAAAGTTTCCCGATCGCGATCAAACACGCGACCCTCGCGTCTCCAACGCCGAGCTCCAAGCTTCCCAAAAGTTGCAGCTCCCTCCAAAAACTTTGCTGTTTCAGCCAATCCGACATCTTGATTCCCTTCGAGAAAGATGGCCCTCGAAACAATTCGCTCGCCCATTTCTCTGAGCGATTACATAACGCTCTCCGACCACCAAGAGACTACACCTGCCAGCTTCTATGACGGGAAACCCGTGCTCTACTACCATGCGACGGGCGCAAAGGCCTGGCTGCACAAGTCGAAGCGCGGCAAGCTGCCTTTCTTCCCCGCAGATTTGGAGAATGAGCCCACTGCGCCGGAGAATGGCGCCGTGAGCGCGGCAAATGAGAAGGTTGAGCAGGTCGTGGATGTATTTGTGAACTCTGCGTACGGCTTTCTTCCCTGTCAATTGACCTTGTCTCCCAAGCTTGGATTCCAAGAGAAGATGCTAACAGCCGGCCATAAAACAGCAACCTCGCCCTCTTCTCCCCAACCGCCGCCTGCGGCATCACAATCCCCTACCACCGCATCGGCGTGCACGGCGTGCGTATCCTGCGCGACCCCTCCACCGGCGCCACCTACCCCTCGATCTTCCTTGAGCTGGAGCTGAGTGACGGAGGAGGCTGGGAAGATGACTGCGATACTGTCGATCTGACTCTTATTCCGCCTGCCCAGTCCCAATCCCAGACTCATGCCCGGTCCCAGTCCCATTCTACTACACAGGGACAGAACTCGCAGTCTGCTTCTTCTACCGATGCAGCCTCTTCAGAGCCTAAATCCGAAGCTGCGAAAATGTACGAAGCCATCTCCGCCTGCTCGCGTCTCAACCCCGATCCGAACATTGGCCAAGGCGAAGAAGATGACGACGAAGAGGGAGACTGGGATGATGACGAGGGTACAGCAGACGGTGACGCAGAAGACGACCCTCGCATCGTCTTTGAGCGGGATGTCGAAGCTGTTAATGGCATCCCCGGCGCATATACCGCCGCTAACAATAACTCTACAAACGGGTTGCCGCCCCCTTTTCCCGGCAGCTCGGGCTGGATTACCGCAGAGAATGTGCACGAGTTTTTTGACGAGAATGGAAATTGGCTTGGGAGGGATGGCGAAGAGTTGCCGGAGGTGGATATTGAGATTCGGCTTCCGGGAGAGGAGGGCGAAAATGGGGATGAAAATGAGGGTTTGGGAGAGGGTGCAGGGAGTCGGCGCCCCAGAGAAGAGGTGCCCGATGGTGATGGGGCTGATAGCGCGGAGAGTAAGCGTCCAAGGTTAGAGTGATTTGGACAATTAGGTAGTTATGGGGTTAGGGCGGTAGAAAAATGGCAAGTAGACGGGTCATGGGCTAAAAAAAAAAAAAAAGGGAAAAAAAGAACAAGAAAGGGAGGTTAAGGGATACTGTGATTTTCGCCTTTAAAATAGGAGCACATAATTGCAAATGAAATGTTGCTGGGTTGAGGTTTGCCCGGTTTGTTAGCCGTATGGCCTCAGTATCAAGATGAAAGATAAACTTATCAATTTTAAAGTGTCTGTGGCCTGGGCTTTCCCCTTGTTTCTGCTTGGGCACAACAGTAACTACTGCATAAACCCGTTTGTTCTCCTTTTTCTCATCATCCCTATATTTCATTTCCATCAGTTTACGAGATCCACTCAAGCTGGTACTGTAATGTTGAACTCGATAGAGTAAAATCCAGTCCATCGTCCGTATTCCCCTTTCCGCATACATTCGTCGGACAACTTTGTTGGCTCTTCTAATAAAAAAAAAGCATGGCCTGCTCAACTTGCAACGTCTTGTAGAGTTTATTGCTCTCCAGTATGCCTACTCAAGAGCCGTACTTTGACTTCTACGCGGGCATTGGCTTGGTTGGGGACGAATAGCGCCATGTCTGGGAGGTGGACTGGTGTGAAATCAAACGAGGGCCAAACTGAATAAGCGGAAAGAGATGACATACTATTAAAGCCTGCAGAAGCAGCCTGACATTCTGCCACATTTGGCCGAAGTATGATTAATCCTTGGTCGCTTTTCCGATCGAAGCAGTACCAATACGATGGTCGTTTCCCTGCTTTCCCTAGACTAAGACCAAAGGCAACTTGAACAACAGCTGCTAAACCAAGAAATGTTTTGATGCCGAACGTGGATCTACTTCCGCGAGAGAACTGCTAAATCTTGGGGTTGCTTGGACCACTTGAAGGAATGTCAGCCAAAATAAGGTTCAAGATTGACTTCTGATGAGGTATTGATTGTCCAGTAATCTTCAGCTTGTCGGTAGTTCTGGGGTCTAAACCTGCATAAGATATATATAGACTCTCATTGTGCATTTCTTCTGTTTGATTCTTGCGTCTTTCACTGCTCGGCAGGTGACATTGCTGTCGTTTCTGACTATGGCAAAATCAGTGGTGTTGAAGCTTCAACAGTTGCTCTAGCCGGGTCCATATTAAAGATTGAACTATGTGGTGTTTAGTAGGCAGAAAGCTCATCTGTCACGGCCGTTGTCATCATCGAGAAGGATGTCAACCCTTAATGCGGCACAACATGTAACCCCTTTGGGGTTTCCAACAAGCACCTGCCGTGATAGCGCCTATTAGCATTACAAACCATCTCCTCCTGCCCATTTTCAACGCGATCTCGGAAGTAAGTCTCAGCAGTCTACTCAAGAATATTCTGGAATTAGAGGGTGATACTACCGCATCAAAAGTCATCAACCTCCAATGACAATAAAGCCAGTAACTCAAGATTGTACGACAACACTCCAAGTCTGAAGTCGGAGACCGCATCTTTGAACAGCTCACACGCGTGCTGTATCCCTCGTGGAATGCGATAGACAATCCTCGTTATGTGTGACATGGTACTAGGGAAAACATCACTAGCTGAAGGATGCGTTATAGTTCTAGAACAGCATGCTCACCAACCATGCAATGCAAGAGAGTCAAGCCATCTATGCCGGTTCCGGAACATCTTGTTCACCAACCCCGCGGTGTAGGAAGTCTGGGAGTTCTTGGAGAGGTAGGTCACACAGTAATTCGACGGCTCATCACCACTATACAAGACCAGGGTCGATTACGGGGCTGAAGTCGCAAATGATCAGAGTTGCGCAAGGCTAAAGGGACAAGGCCAAGGGACTGGCTGGAGGAGTTGTTTAGATCAGGAGATGACAGTCATGCTTGTACTCACCAGCCATGGAATGGTATTGAAGTGGTGGTTGACACCCCCACCTCCTGAGCAAGAACAAGACTTTGTTGGCTCAAAAAAGGAGGGGCTATCAAGGGTCGGAGCTAATAGGTCGGGGACAGAAATCAAAGCAGAGATCTCCCAAGTTGTCTTATGTGCAGACTACATATCATTTCAACCTCTCATGCACAAGATCTCTCCTATTGCGTGCATTGTGATCTGTCTGTCAACTTTGCTTGTGCATGGACTCTAGTGATGCTGGCATCTTGGCGTGGAGGAACCATTGGCAGCCAGAAACATGCCTGGGCCTTTTTATGGGGAAAAAGAGATGGAGAGTTTTTCCCCGCTGTTTCAGAAGCACAAACTTGTTTATAGTTAGCGTGGAGCCTTTCGCACAGCTGAGGCTCAAAGACAACATGCAACCCCACAGCATGACCATGGCCGATTTCTCTTGTCATGAGACATTGGATCCTAGAATCTTTGTAGCCTTTTCCCGATTGGGGTGAGGGTCAATCGGTCGAAGCATGATGCAAGAGAGCGTGACATTGGGATTGGGTTGGGCTTGGTAAGAGGAGACATGAACCCTTGGGACTGCATTGTACAGTACATAGTGGCCACAAGAGGTATCATCTGCACCTTGCGGGGATGTCGTTTCAGCAGGGAGATTCAAGGTGGCAAACTACGTTAGGACATCAAAGTTCAGGGTTCATGGGTTTAAGCGACGCGCATTGATTACAGGCAGCTCATTTAAAGCCGCCTGACTATTCAGTCGCGGGGAACAAGCATCTTACTCGCAGCTTTTGCTCCGATCGCGTTTCTCTCCCGCAACAGCGATTTTCCGTTTCGAAAAAAAAAAAAAGGGGGGGGGAAGGGGGCTTGACTGGGCCGAGTTTTCAAAGGCTTGGGGAGGAATCGCGTGCGGTGTGCATAAGCGTTAGGTGAAAGTGGCGGTTAGTTGGGTATGGTTGTGGTGGTATTGCAGGTTGCCAAGCATGCGGTGAGGACTGCAGTTGGACGCGCGACGGGCCCTAACACGCAATTTAAAAAAGAAAACTTGGGATGACAAACGTCCAGGACAACATCGACATGACGGTGGCTGCCTCATCCAGCAGGTCTTATCGCTTGAACACAAAAACTGGGTGCGTTGCTGGGCATCAGGTGGTTGAAGAGGCCGGCCGTATGATTGACGCGCGGCCGGCGACGGGATGAGAGGTTCTGCTGGCCACAGGATCACAAGATTTTGCTTGTTGCTCTTTGGCCAAGGATGCAGTGGGAAGAGTCCACCACTGTCCGCATGTTGTGACCTGTGACCGCCTCTTTTCACCCCGCAGGTGGCTCAGAGTCAGCATGGACCAACACCAGCAGGCGACAGAGTGCCGTGAACTGTGCTGATGTCCAGGACAGGGAAACTGGTAACTGCAGTGGTCACTGCAAGAAGAAAAAAATTGATGGGCATCGCCTGAAGGTTTCTGCGTCGATCTTCTTTTGTCCGCCAGCATCTCCAGCCTCCAGAGGCCCCACCACTGGAAAGGGGAGCCAAAAGGCGGGTTCCATGCGCTGAGCAAGCGCAGCCAATCACAGCGGGATGATGTAACCAAGAAGGGCAACGGGGCGGGTCCTAGGCTGCAGGCGGCAAGGATGGGCAGCTCCGGAGTGGATCCGCCTTGCACCCCTGCAAGCCAGATTTAGCTCACATTGGCTGCATCTTGCAGGTCCCACAATCCAGATCTCCTGGGCAGGCTGCAGGACGGGACGATAGGCATGATGGAAAGGGCAGGTCTCTCCATCAAAGAAGGTGTACCTTGTTGGGGGCTGCGGGCTTGCAAACTTCCATTTCTTCAGCAGGAGCCCGCATTCACCTGCTGGAAGGGCGTCTTCACTTGACTTTTGCCTGCATCTTTTCCCTGGGACTTCCACGAGCTGCCTCGAGTGGGTTTGATCCACCGATTCCTTCGTGGAAACAGCCGACCACAGGGGAGTCGGGAACCTAACATACCAAGACCTGAACGCTTGTGGCCCTTCGTACGGATATTTCCGATTAATTGAGATTGATTTCATCTGTTGATCGCCCTGGCTTCCTTTTTGCTGTGAAGCCTTGGTTTTCTTTTCTACTCTGTTTCCCTCCTGTCCGGAAGGTACCACGAGCGTTGCTCCTCCTCCTGCTCCTGCTCCTCCTCCTCCTCCTCCTCCTCCTCCTCTTGATCGCTTGTCCATTCAAAAGTCGCTCAAACAGATTGCGTAGCCCGCCTGTGCCACATAAAACTACCTGTGCAGAATCCTGTTTCCGTCACCAGTTCTGGTCGGTACTTCCAATCAGTCATCCTCCCCAGCTGACACTCCTTCCCCCTCTCGCAACAACCGACTCCCTTTCGAATTTCGAGATCTACGACAAGGCTTAGACCTGAGGTCTGATCTTTCGACGTCATTTGCATCATAGCAGCAAGTCGACAGATATCGCGAAATCATCGACTATTGTCGGCCATATAATTACCCGTTGAACCGATTTATTGCACTTCAAGGAAACAATTACAACACCTACATCCCCCCCCCCTTCACCAAAAAAATGACCTCCAACACACCCCAGCAGGCCGACACCCGGCTGGAGGCTCCCACGTCGAGCGCCACGGCTAAGAGCCCGCGTCTCGAAGAGAAGTCCTCCCAAGACACCATCGCCGCCTCCACAACCGAGCCCTTCCCGACATTCGAGGACAAAGAAGCCGGTGGCATCCCACGTCCCTCAGACGTCTCAACTGTCGTCACGCCGCGTGCTCACGGCAACCCCTTCGAAACGGACATTGAGGCAGCAGCAGCCGGTGCCGTCACCTACGACAAGCCCCGCACAAGCGGCATTTCCAACGTCGGCACCTGGCGCAAGTCGTGTGGCGCGATCGAGTGTACCACGGGCGGCTCCGACTGCCAGGTTTGGCCGGGACAGGACCACTGGAAGCGCAAGGCCAAGGCGGCGAAGAAGAAGCGCCACACATGCAATTGTATGGCTAACATGAGCAAGCGCACGAGGGTGGTGGTCAAGATTCTGATCTTGCTGCTGATCGTTGGATTGGCGGTTGGTGTCGGCTTTGGCGTCAGTAAGCCTCTTGGCGCGGGAATTTGGAAGAGCTCGACCCAGAACCAGAGGTGAATTTCGTCAGCTTTTTTCTACGGGCGTATGACGCTAGGGGCATGATCTCTTCGGGTTTTACGTCATGCGAATCGACACTCGACCATGTACGATATGATGACGATGCGAAGACAAATAGCCTTCAGCACTCTGTTCATCTTACGGCTCTGGAGACATGGCAGCAGACATGATACCCCCCCCACCCCCCCAATACACGGACGCTCTCTTTATAGCAGCATTCTTGTCGGCGGCGTAATCTTGATCAGTACCTTTCTTGCTTTTGCTTTTCACTACTCTGGCGTTATGGGTTCTCGGGAGTACTTTTTACATCTTGGGCGGCATTGCACTGGCGTTTTTTTTTTTGGTGGAACATGATCTCAGGGCGAATCACTTTCTGTGTGTGTTTTCGCACAAACGGGAATGGGAGCTTGTTAGGTACACCAGGACAGGAAAGGCAGGAATTATGAGACATAGATACAACGTAATAATTGCAGAACCTCATGAGGGAATCAGGCCGTGAAGATATGGCCGTATGGTTACCGCATCACGAGGTACAATGTAACAACCAAACAACCACAATTGGGTCGATGCCGCAGTTGATAGAAGCGGCATTACCAGTGTGTTGAACTGAAGTTATACTAATGAAATGGTATGATTGAAAGGAGGCAAAGCTACCTTACGTGCGTGGCTTGTACTTCTGGACTTGAGTCCAATTTGGGTTCCATCTGGCTTTCATTTGTATATGTGTGTGTGTGTGTGTGTGTGTGTGTGTGTGTGTGTGTGTGTGTGTATGTTTGCGACATGACTTGTGATCCCATGGGTGACCCTTTGTACTTGTCCGGTTCTTCATATGGTAGGTAGGAGCAAGGAACCTAGTTCGATAAGCGTTGAAGCCCGAAAACAGATTCCTCCGTGCTGCTGGGTACCAGGTGCGCGAAAGAAAGGGAAGGATTAGGAGTGCTTTGATGTAATGCAGGGATTGACCCATTGACGCTATGGTGTAAGACCAAGTACAATTATGACAGACTAGGACAACTCCACAATCATAGAAATTATCTCATATACCCTTGTGGCTTCCCTTGTTCCTTCCTGCTCAATAGCACAAGCTGTTGAGGGTCAACATCCTTGGGTGTTGAGGATCAACGCCAAGAGGCGTTGAGGAACTACTCCCCAATGCGTGGGGGGTTGTTGGGGGCGGAGTATATCCTGTAATGTCTATAGTCAGCCTGAAGAATTGTCGAGATGTATATAGATTCCATGCGGGGCCATCGGGCCAGAGATGGCTCTCCAGTCAGCAATACGAACAGTTGTCTGTTCAACTGGTAGTCACAATGGATCATTCTGACTGTGTGAGAACTCCAGTCTCTCAGATCCAGCGACCTGGCACGTCTCGAATCCATCTCAGAAGGTCTAGATGCGTCGGTGATGGATGCCAATCTGGAGACTCCTCTCATTATACTATATGCGTCGCGCTATGAACGGAGTGAGTCAACCTACAAACACTTGCGCAGACGATTCTTTACAGTCTCTTCTCTCCATTATCGAGCAGAATGAGCTTTTTGATGATTGGAATTTTCTATAGTCCTGCTGGCAGCATACGGTTAGCTAGTTACGGAAATATATGGGTTGTTATTGATGAAGGTTCTCTTACTGCTTTACACAATCTGAGAGGGACAGATTACCTGCACATCATTGCTTAGACATAGTTGTGAAGTAGTTATGGATGATGTGATATCTGTAGAGCTTATAAGCATTGAATGGTATCTACAATTGCCCATGATACTGAGTGACTTCACTGCCCCATCGCCTGCTCTTCCCTAGTGCAATAGTGATGAACAAATATCTAAATGCAGATCCTCTGTATGATTGCTTACTTTGGTCATGCATGTCTGGGTAAAAAGGGGCTTTAAGCGAGCGACACATGAGATTCATACAGGTAGGCTTTGAAAATCAAAAGAGTTGGAAAAGCTCCTGCTAATTCGCTATGTCCTTGATACATGGAAAGGTGGAAGCAAAGAGGGTCATATACAAGTCAACAAAAGAGCACTAAACGATGTAGGTTGTAACCCACATCCAAAATACATGTTGTCACGATCTGCCCCACGGCGAAGAAGCGTTCTAATTACCGAGACTAGTAGTTCTTTTTTTTTTTTTTTTGGCTACCTGACGAGGTGTCCGACCAGCGTTGTTTTGCTCTTAATGTCTGCCCTGGTTGCAATCAAGGTGTTTACAACGTCATCCCACACGCGATTTTGGACAGCATAATGTAGAGCTGTGTTCCCTTGTTCATCGCAGCGGCTAATGTCCGCACAAAAGTTGAGAAGAATCTTGACGTATCAGGGCGTGAATATTTTGCTGCCACATGGAGGGGTGTTATGCCTCCTTCCATGGAGGAATTGACATTACCTTCCAGCCCATGACAGCAGAGGAACTTGATAGTCAGCCCAGCATGATAACCGGAAGCAGCAGCGTGAAGTAATGTTTGTCCTTTATTTGCTTTGCATTTTAAGTCAACGAAGGGGTACCTGAGAAGCAACTCAAGCACATTTGCATCGCTCGACCGTGCAGCACTATGGAGTGGAGTAAATCCATCCTCGGTTGCGGAATGGATTTGAACTTCGTGCAGTTGCAACAGAGTCTTCGCTACTTTGCAAATGGCTGCTGCGCAAGCAATATGCATCGGAGCGTTTCCATTCGCACCCTTCATATTCGGACCACATCCGACTTTGGTTGTTAAAGTCTCCACAAGGTCATACAGATCATGCTTTGAAGCAGGGTGCAGTAACGTTGTGCCATCCTGCGCTGAAGATCCATATGATGGCTCAAAGCTACCGCTTATACTCTCGAGGAAGTGGTTATGATCCTTAATGGTTGTCCGACCGAACTCAGAAAGCTGGATGACAATGTCAGAGAACTTGCGTTCCGCTGCAAGCAAGATAGGGGTAGTCCCAAACGCTCGAGCTTGAGATAGACACTTTACATCGTTCCTCTGCAGCATTCGATGGACAGCTGTTCGAAGCCCAATAAAGGCTGTTCATTTTCGTTATCTCAGCCATTATGTTAGGTTCACAGTTGATATCAAGCTGGGTCAGGGTTCTTGCCAAGTTAATGGATAAGTGCCGCCAGCTTTTGGTTGGATGACTGTCCGAGGTATTCCAGCAGGTCAAGAACGTTGACATTATCCTTGTCACTCTGTCGCGCATGGGGGCTCCAGAACACGGAAGCGTAGTACGACAAGGAACCAAATCCCCTGTTATAAAGCTCCTTCAGCGGAGATTTTAACTCAGAAACGCTTAACCGAGTGAAAAATCGAATGCAACTCCATATCAGTTGTTGATCGGTTTCCAATCGTTATTTATTCAAAAAAAACCCGGAAAGTTCCAAATGCTACAATTATCGTTAGCTTTGCGCTGACCAATGTATGCCAATAATCGTAGCCAAATAAAGACTAAGCCAGATTAGACAATAATCCCAAGATCGGTCTCATGGTTTCATCACTAGTAGGCAGCAGCAGCCGCTCTCAAGACCCCTGAGTCTATGCCTCTTACCAGAAATGGTGATAAGGAGGGCTCTGGCCTCATAGATGATCTGGGTATAACGATCAAATTACTGTGAACCAGCTGATCGTTATGTGCAGAGTTGACTGTACCGCGAGGAGTGCAATAGGAGCTGGGAGTGTGTGTACGCAGAGCTCGGCTGAGTCGGGGTCAGTCCGACCCCGCAATGAGCGTGCACCGGACTCCGACTTGACGCCGGAGCCGGAGTGCCGGGGACTAAGCCGGCATTACGATTACTGACCCAATATCATAGCAATCATGATATAACTTTTCAGATAGTATCAGTAAGCTAAATTCTATGTTATCCGATACAAAATGGTTTTGAAGTATTATCTTCGTGATGTTGGTTTCATACACTTGTTTTGAATCACAAAGCGTCCAATAAACACTCTGTTAGTTCACTGCGTTTAAATATAGTGGTGTTACATATTGGCCTCAATTCATAGAGAAAAGATCAACGAACGCTTTCATACTCTAACTATTATGCTCTGTAGTTACTACATAGCAACGAGGGCACACGGGGCCGCCGAGAAGCAAGCAATAACTAAGCTAACTAAGAAAAAAACTATAAACCACCTCTCACTCCTTCTCTTTCTCTCCAGAGCTGGGCTCTGGCACGCGGGGGCGAACCACAACTACGTAAGATTTTTGTCTCGGGATATGTTAGCTACTTAATGCGCTGTTGACGAGGAGACGATGCGGTGCAGCAGCCCGGACGAAGTGTACCATAGTATAAACCAGCTGATCGGAAAGATACATCTCCCTCTCCATCATCACTTTCACTCCCACTTTACTTTAAGCGACCTTGCACTCACTTTTTCTTCAAGGTAAGGTACAAGTACGTGTGACATAACATCGCTCAGTAAGGCCATCAGCCCTCCTCAGCTCAGCCATTCCACACAACATATCACCGTCGCTCTTCCGACCTGTTTCTGCCACCGGACGAGGGGCAAATACGTATCAATTTTGCGACCTTGCTCGTGGCACTCCATAGCGTTACAGGATTGCAAAAGCTGAGGTTCCCATTCTCATTAGCTCTTATTGCCCTTCCCGCTCGTCAGTCCAGTCGAGTCTGTCGCTTCAACGTACTAATAGTAAACAGTAGGATTGACGAAGCGGGACAAGAATCACTGCAGAAGATGGCTCCACATCGTCAAGATTGGGCAACAATCTAGTCAGTCGAACGAAGTCGTAGGTTATCTCACGAGGTAGAGCCAGAAGCCTGCTTAAGGGCAAGTAACCAAGCAATGCCTGTGATCAACAGCGCGAATTCTCCGGTGTAGTCAACAGTCTACTGCAAAGAGATATGGTAGCTGAGGAGCGTGGGCCCGTACAAATACCACAGGGCATGTCTTGGCTGAGTTCGCAAAAGAGTACCAACCAGATATCTGGCGAATGGGTTCCAGCGCGCGGTCAGTTGCGGAATGAGGGCACTATATGTGCCTTGCATCGTGGCCGTTTCCAAGCAGGCGCAGTAATTAAACCTCCGACCAATGATTCTCTAGCGATTTTCGTAAGTTGTAACCGTCAATCCTGGATACTGAGCGAGCTTATTGAAAGTCAGCATTCTGCCAGACGCCTGATAACTATGGGGATGCTCGACCTCACCCCGACCAGACAAACGCACACGCTCTGTCTACAGCAACATCTTGTCAATAAACACCTCTTTCATAAATCAGTGCCTAGGAAGCCTCTTTGTACTCGGACTCCATTAATGGGCAACAGAAACTTCAAAGAGGACAACTTCTTTCTCAAGTGTGACGATCATGGCCTCTACGACAGATTCGTTGCCCAACAGCAACTTGAGGGACATTTTCTACTTCCCCTTCCATTAATGAAATCAAGAAGCCCAATCTGATCCCGGAGGAGATCACATAGGCCGCGTTTTGGGCAGCAGGTGCCGTTGGCTTGATCATCCTCGGGGTTGGACCGGCCATCTTTGCCACCGGCACTCTTGTATCGTTTCTGTGTTGAGCTGATCTACTCACTATCGCACCCTGAGGGGGCCGGATAGGCTTACTCTCATGAAGTCGGACATCATTGAATACCTGAACGATACTAAGCTGAGCGAATACAAGGGCAAACTGCACGCGCTTTTGGAGATCATCGAGGTTTGTGCGGGCGAATATACGAGGATGTCTCAACCAAGTCTCGTCAGCAGATTTCATCGTAATCAGAAGGTGTACGGCATCCTGGACGAGCCCGCCTTTGGAGTCAGAAGCTATGAAGGAGTACCACTGGGCCTCCAACGACATTGAGCAAGTCATGATCAGCCTCGTCCCTTTCCTCATCCGGTGCATGAAACTCCGGCTCTTTCTCTTAGTGAATCTTGCTGTCATCTGTGCGAACAGCGCCGACCACATGGACGATGCCGAACGTCAACTCGTCGAGTTTCAGACCGATCCGGACTTCATCATCACGACCCTGACTAACACCATCCAGAACTTGAAGATACCAGCCGCCAAACAGAGAGCAAAACACAAAGCCCAGTTCAACCCCGAGGTCAAAGCTCCAGAATGCGCTATGGTTCCGTGGATGGAATAGTTCTTGAGACAACTTCTCTAGCTGCACCCTCAGATACATTCCCAAGACCATTGCCAATTACGGCTGGTTAAGGCTGTTCCCAAGGTATCTCCAGCATGTATCCCAATGGTGGAAGGATAACGGCCGTGGCATGGATGCGTTGGTGCGAAAAAATACTGTGCTGGTACGCGATCAGCTGCAGGCCCATTGCAACTGCTACTTCACTGTGCTTGAGAAAATCATCGGGAAGCAGGAAAATACTACCACAGTCCTCTACAAGTACTGAAAGAGCCAGTTCACAATGCTGGATCATTAGCCCGACGGCCGTCTAATGTTCTGCCAGATGTGTTATTCGGTAACTCAAGCTATCGAGCTGATTGAGCCCGGGAATCTGCAGGAGTGGAGGAATATGGTGAGTTAGCGTTCTTACTTCTCCGGCTCGTGCGCCCTCGAAGGGCGTAACCACACACTTCTTTCCCTTGCACAGCAGTTAAGGCAACAGCTCTTTCTACTCTCACAGTGTACCACCGGACTTGATTACGCACGCAGCCCTCCTTTTGATCGGAACAATTTTGCTGTGGAATGGATCCGGTCCATGATGGAGCTGGAGTGGTGAGCCTCATGTCAGCATGGCTTTGAGAGAAGTTCAAGAAGGGTATCTTTGTGTTTATTTCCTGTTGTTGGATATCAACAAATAGAACGATAAACCCGATGGGGTCTTTAGATATTTTGGACCCTTGTTACTTTGCCAGAGCTATCAAGAGACATACTTACATACCACAGTGGGACCTTTGGGTAGGCGACAACTGTAGCATTCCGAGCTACCCATGACTGCATATGTTTATGATAACGCCAAACTTTGTGCAGGATGGAAATGAAACTAGAGGTGTGAGACAGCATCCTACATCGACGTATCTTATCTCTAGCACTCCAAAGAGCACCCTAAATTTGCTGAGTGCAGGTTAACCCGCAAAATGTGCCTTTATTTTTAGCAAGAAGAGTGCGAATAAGCCCACCTTTTCAGGGAGATGGTGCCTGTAAATTAAGAGGATGCCATGATCAACTTGCCCATGAGTGTTTGGGGTTAGCCGTATCACTGATAATCGATGCTTGCGGGGAAAGTTGAATACATTGATGTTTGATGGATGGAGGAAGAGATAAGTGTTTTCCTCTTGTCTCTGAAAGAGCCACGTCAGAAACCTTATAGGTCTCTGGAACGATATACTAAACAAGTTAACAAGCTTGAAAAGGAGGGCCACTAAAGGAAATAGAAAGACATTCAGCAAAACATCAGAAGAGAGGAAAAAGAGGGAAAGAAATGAAAAAGAAACTAGAGCCCATAACCATCGTACAACCACCACTAAACTCCGCATGGCTAAAAAGGGCTAGAGAAGCATACGGGTGAGGGACCAATGGTGAACGTATTGCAATCAAAGTCACCAGATGCATTTCATGGGAGAGAAAGCTTCCATGAAGAAGGTGCCGAATTGTGAATCATCGTCATTGTTCTGACAGGCACCAGTAAAGGAGTGAGAACTTGGTCATCAATCCTCCCTTCTTCCACCAAATCGCAGTCTGAACGGTGAGCGCATCCACCCGCTTGTGCACCCGCCGATCCTGCTTGTCATCCCCGGCGATCTTCCGGCTTGCGGCCCCACATTTCGGGGACACAGCTGGCGCCGATTGACGACAATCGGTACCACGACGGATCCTCCTCCGGGGCCGGGCCAGGACTATAAATTCTTCATTGCTGGGGCCGGCTCCGAAATTTTTCTCTTTCCTACCACAAACAAGCAAAAAGCATACCGTAGAGCAGAACTAAACAGCTATATGTGAGGAGAGAGTGAGTCTTTGCCCCGTCAGAACACCTAAACATTCACTAACAGAGGACTTAGACGTTCCACAAGATTTCCAGCGTTCACACAACTTTCCGTCTGCTTCTTTTGTCATACCTTGACAAGCTTTCATTGAAGCTTGACAAACTTTGGTCACACCTCATCAATGTAGGTTCTCCTCCTTCCCTTACCATCCACTGTTACACCCACTAACAACATCCTTTGGCCATCCAAGCTCAGAGGAATTTGTCCATCCCTGCTAAAAAGACCTGGCAAAACAATAATCATGTCTCCCCTCCCAGAGCTCGTCATTACCGAACCCTCCCAAGGGGAAATTCTCATGCCTGCTTTTCCCGGCCATGTTGTTTCTGAGCCCAAGCCTAGCCCTGCTGACTACGAGGGCGGCCCTTATAACCCCTTTATCCCGGTCTGGCCTGAGGACCGCTGCAGGCTTATGGTTTTTGGTGCCTATGTGATCGCCTCACTGCTCGGGGTTATTACTTGCACCCATCTGCTGGCGTTTTGGCTGATGGGCCGGGTGAATGTTGTGCGCCTGCGGATGGGGCTAGCCCATCTGCAGGGCTGGCTGTGGCTGGAGGAGGAGGAGCCCATCGCTGCCGCCGGCCACCAGGGCCAAGAGGAAAAGGAGAAACTGATGGGGGCTGAGCACGTTAAGTGTGTTATCTGATGGAAAGGAGTTTACATGCGGTGAATGATGGGCAGCTAATGGGGGAAATTGGATTGAGAGGGTAAAACAGTGCTTGAGTCAGGACAATATATTGGTGGTGGTGACTTTTCATGACGCGATGAGAAGTGAAATGTCGTCGCAGAAAAGCGTTTGCTGTTATCGTTTGTGAGAAACTTGCGTCACATGTGCATCTCTCTTGGGTTGGCGGAAATCGCCAGTTCACTTGTACAGAACTCTTGTGCCCATGCGCCCATTGCACTGGGACATCCTACCTAACAGTTAACCTTACAGCCTTGAATTGTGCCTTAAAGATAAAACTTAGAAAGGAAATACGCTCAACTCTTTCTCTATGTCCTTTCCTTTCTGCTCTCGACCATGCATTGCGGTCTCTTCTGCGAGGGTTCAAAATGCCTGCGAGTCTTCGTGGTGGTCTGTGGCTCTCTGGTCCAGTTCGATCATTTTACGCAGTTATCAGGCATTCGATCTTTGCCGCTAAAAGCCAACCGAACCTTCCGTTGTCTCTTTCATGAATTTAGAAGAAATAGGTGCAGGATTGCTCTTCCATCTTCACGATGTTCGATTCATGCTTCTTGAGGCTCAGCCGGCGGGACAGCAATCACCACAGACTTTTAAGGCAAAAGACCTTATCGAACATTTCTTAGAACAAGCACCATATCTTCGTTAGTAACATAAAAAATTATCGGTATGGCTCAATGTGATGATCCAACTAGCCTTCCTGAGATGGGTTCGAGCTTGGTTCAAGGCTTATGGATCTGAGAGACAGGAGTTCTCGCGCAGATTCAGAAGTACTGCGGCTACCAGTTGGTTTAAGCAGCTGTTTGTATTGCTGACTTGGAGGTTCTTTTCGTCCCCCCTTCCTGCTGCGAGGAATCCTTTTGCCTTATATACTCAGAATCCTTCCTCGTCTTTTCTACCAAAGACCTCCCAGTCTTTCGTCGGATATTCTCAGTTTTGACGATCTTTCACTGTTGACGCTTAAGCTTTGACAATCTTTCATTCGTGATTCTTAGGTTTGACAACTCGTCGTCAGAACCCCTTGCTTCTTTTCCGCTTGATATATTCTGTTGGTCGTGCCACGCAAAGGCTCATGCAGTGCAGGATCAAGCAGGAGTTCAGGGTCAAGTACCATCGCAACTGCACAACAGCTGTCTATATAACTGTCTCATGGTGTTTTCGGCAATAACTGGACAGCTTTCACCTATAAGATGGTAGATAAGCCATAGAGAGGAAGACAATAAAGAATAGCTACGAGATCCTCATCTACTTGTATCACACGGCATTCGAGCTTCGAGGGGGCAGTTGTCATGAACAGGTAAAGATTTTGTACTCCATATAGGAACACCAGAACTATATCTGGTGATCCTTGCGAGAACCATATCATCCAGACCTGTCAAATGCCCCCTTCCGTGGCCCCAGCAGTAAAATGCAAAGAAGCGTTCCGAATGCCCATGTTCTGACTGGCATCCAGGCTAAAAAAAATAAGATAAATAAATAAAAAAACATGTTGCTCATGGCCTCCACATGATAGAGGTTTATGGGTTGACGGACCGTTTCTTGTTTGGCAGCGGTTAGTCATGAAGTCAGCAAGTTGCGGCCAAAAACATGGGAAAGTTACCAAGTCACACACACTAAGGGCTCACATACTGGTATATCCGTCGTAAGTTGACCAAATCAGACAAAGACAGCTCCCTTGTTGCGCACTTGAAGCCTGCTAGTCTCCAGCAGGGGGTGGCATGCTTCTTCGCTGGACGCCCGTTGCTGGGCAGGCCGCAGCAAGAGGCGACAGAGGAAGACCACAAGAAGGCAGCAGAGGGGTCCATGGAGACTGCCCGCTGAGATAGCCCTTCTGCTTCAGCTAATGCCTGTGCCTGGGGTCAGTTAGCAAAACATCTGACAGATGATCACTCACGCCTAACAGCTTTTCTCCCAAACCTACCCTCCCTCCTAAACAAAATGACTTCACCGCCGCTGATCAGACAAAAGCGGTGTCGTCTCGTTCGGCCCAAACTCTCCAACCCTTCGACCCGCGGCGCGCAGCTGGGCCTGAAACTGCCTCTCCCGGCGCCCACGATGGCGGGCGAGCATCATGCTGATGAGGTCGCCAAAATCGTAGAGTTGGCCTTGCTCCTCGTCGCTGCTGCGGCGAAGAAGGAGCAAGCGCGGCAGCTCTGGATCGGTACCCCGCAGGCGGTGCACCAGGAGCCAGATGCCCATGGCGTAGAGAATGACGACACAGATGACGGTGAGAATCACTATCATAAGGATCGGGGCATCCAGGGAGTTGGGGGCAATTGGCATTTTTGTTTAACCCGGGGGCTTTTTAGCGTGTCGAGAAGCCTGTTTTGAGGTGATCGTGAAGAATGGAGCATGCACAAAGGTGGGAGCTCGGAATCTTGAGACTTAAATAGGGGAAAGTGAGTTTCCTTAACAAAGTGTAACCAGAAGTCAGTGCCATATGCCTTCACATGTATGGCGCAAATTGACAAAAGCTCAGTGTTTCGATGCAGAATTGTCTGCAGCTTCGTCAGTCTCGTGGCCATCTTCAAATTCTGATGACCGTGTTGCACTGCTCATCACATGTAAGCAACAAAATCGTAAACCCGCGCCCGTGAAGAGACTGTCTCCTCAACACTTGGATTGCCTAGGGTCAAAATATCTAGCACGAAAAGCAGGGATCCTCCAAAAAGGTAGCACAATTGCACGTACACAATACTGAAGGCTTACTCTTCTTTGAACGTCACTCCGGCAACCAGACAGAATAATCAAGGGAGCTCGGTCAGGCCCTGCGCTACCATGGTACCAAGAGGGTTGTGATTTCCAGTGAATAAACATTCTGGTGACTCAGGAGCATGCGTCTGCATGGGATGGTGAATGTTATATGTATTAGTGATACTATGTCACTTGATGACCTTCAGCCTCAAGCTCAGACAAACAGATGAACCCCAGATTCAATGCCGTAAACTAACAAACCTTGCATGTTTCTGTATCAAGGTCTAGGTAACTCATGCTGCTCTAATGACTAATTGATGACCATGCCACTCATCCTTTGTTGGTGGTCCCCCGAGTTCCAGAGGATGTGTCCTATTTCTGTAGCTCACTGAACTACCATATCCTTGTCCATGCTCATGGACATCATCCTTATCATTCCTGCCACCACAATAGCTACCCTTTACATAGCGGCCCCCCCCCCGGCCGAGCAGAATGATCACCACGGTTATAATGTTCCAATGCGTTCCTCAATTCGCCATCCCTTCTTAAAGAGTCTTTTTGAAGAGGCATCCCCTCCTCGTCCATATCAGCCTGCATAGCAGCATCTGACCTGTGAGCCCGCCTTCCCCCGGCTTAAAGCTTCCCCTTCTTGCTCTTTCCCCTCTTGTTCTCTCTTATTCTTTTTTCAAATCCGCATTTCAGCCTCCTCCTGACCCTCTCCTGCTGCGATGGGGCCGATAATTGTTGAGGGAGTGGTGCCGGGGGCTTTATTTTCTAAGAGAGTGACTGTGGTAAACATGGGGGCAGTAATAGCAGGCTAGGCTGTGCCTTGGCTTAATGAGTCGAGTGACAAGAAGGGGTTGTGATGCTCTCAAGAGGAATAGAGGGATCTGGTTTGGGGCTGGGAAAGAGTGGTGCTGGTGTTGGTGCTGGTGAAGGAGTGACGACTATTGTCAGGGTTGTAGGGTTTACTACGGAAGGAGAGGTTATCTTACTTAAGACTGGCATAAGTTTGGGGGTGAGGGATGTGTTTGCGATTGGAGAAGACGAGGAATGTATTTGGAAGGTCGTCGATACTTACGACATTGTTGAAGGAGGGTAACAGGGAACACTTGAGGATGGTGCCTTGGCTGACGGCACAGAAGTCGATGATCCATGGCTCGCCGAATCTGCAGCCGTCAGCGCTGCTTCCGAGCTAACTAGCACAAGCACCGGCGGGATGGGGGGCGAAGCAGAAGCGAACGAAGCAGGGGGGGGAAGGACAGGGGGCTCACTCTTGGAGCTAGAGCTGGGCCCTTTACTAGCGGTGGTGAAGCTACAAAGCCGTTCGTCAAAGTAATGGTTCGAGGAGAGAAGTGGTTGGTTGGTAAGGGGTAGGATCATTCAACGCGGTAATGAGAAGGAATAGGGTAGTAAAGTGGCTCCGGCGGGAAGGGGACGATTGTAGAATTGGGTTGAAACGTCATGTGGACTGAGCCGACTTAAAGATGGCGTTTGCCGACATTTGGATCGCGATTCATGACATTGAGATCCAATCTCTTGATGTTTGTATAAAGCTTTTCCAGGTAGAGGTCGTATTTCTCGACGCTGGGACCGCGACTTATGATTTGGGGTCAATAGTCTATCCACAGTCGGTTCGAAAGCCTCAACATTGCCGTTTCTTGTCGACTTTCTCGGCATATATATTGCAATTCTTAACATCACGATCGTGGCTTTCGATCCCCCGATTCAATTCCCCGACTGCGATCTTGTCCCTTCCTGTCTGGCATCTCGACCTTCACATTTGCCCCTGTTGGCGAGTGGCATCGGCTTTCTGCTTACCCAGCTGTAACCGTGGAGTCCATGACTTGTGCTTTTTCACGAATATAATCGACCTGTTTATCAAGAAAGCAGAAAGAGAAGTATCTTGCAACCAAGGCACGTAAAATTTATAACTGTAAACTTGGCCATACTCCCAAATCATGCTGCATCCGTCCCATCACGGGAAGTTGAGATGATGAACGTGCAGGTACTAGCCTTCCTTACCCCAGTGTTGGAGGGGTACGAGGGCGAAAGCATATTCATGGGATAGAAACGAGAAAGGAACGCTTCTAGCTGGTGATCCTTGGCAATATAATCTTCAAATGCATCCAGCACTACATGTTAGAATAACACCTGTTACTATGTGCTTTTTTGCTGGGCACCTCGCCCGTACACGAGCTTCTGTTGACTCTTGGTCTTCTGGCATTACGTAGAATCACTATTTGATGCGATCTTTGGCGTAGTTAGCTCGAAATGAAGGGGTGAAGCAAAGGACTTCCGGAAATGAGGCTCTTGAAAGAAAGGAAGTTCTTCGAAAGTCTCTGCTTCTGACAATGGGGAAAGCAGATCAGATATCCTCGGTCTCTCGGAGGCTCGAGGACAGTTATTTCACTCTGTAACTCCCCACTCTTGCCCTGGTATCATCTCCCAAGTAACATCTTTTCACCTTTCCCTTCCCGGAGCCAATTCCAAATAATCCATATCCCTGCAACATCCTTCTCTTTCTGACCCCCATCCCATTGTGAGAAAAGAAAATACCTCCCCCTCGATTGTCAAAACAATCTGAGCCCGTAAAAGTCCCAAAAAGCAAAGCAACTTGCCTGATACTGGAGTCGAACCAGTGACCTTTGCATATCGATCCATATCGAGAACCTCCTATTTCCTTTGAGGATACAAGGAATGGAGCATCTGCGGGATACAAGTGCAACGCAATAACCACTATGCTAATCAGGCCGGATTTGCTTCGCCTTGGTGATGGTGGGTGTGGGAACTTACTTTTTGAAGGAGATCATACATACATTCTTGGGAAGACAACTCAACTCAACTCAGGTTCCCGGCAGGCAATGGGACATGCAGAAAGGGGTTACACCGAGAAGCAGACGGAGTACAATCGTGGATGGGGACCTCAAACTTGCATTTTCGCTTGGTTAGAGAGTGAGGACTTAAACCAACAGCTTGCTGGTGGGAGGGCATTCCGTTCTCTGAGGATACTAGGGGTAAAAATGCAGGTACGTAAATAATAATGATGCGTAGGAATAATAAGCATGCTGTCGATAAAACACAACCCAAAATCCCCTTATAACCCAAAAACCATGTTGTCTCTTTCTTCAAGTTCTCCAGCCGGTCTCCCTAACCCAAACGCCAAACCATGTTCTAGATAAGCCCATCTAACCCAACCGAAGCCACGATGACACCATGTTTAATCATACATCATCCAAAATCCCCGTTCAGCTCTCCCTGTTCTTTGTCCTCAGTGCGAAACCAGTGCATTACTAACCCCCATCAGCATCATCCCCCCAAACCCAAACAGAATACTCATCTCCCTGTCATGCTTCAGCCCCAAACTCTCCACAAACAACTGCAGCGCCACGCTGACCATGATCCCCGCCGTTCCCGCAAAAAGACACCCATACGCCGTATTATTGACCCCCACCTGTTTGTCCCCCGCGAGGGTGAACCAGAGAACCGCAACCCCCGCTCCCAAAGGCTGGCTCAATCCTCCCAGCAGCGCCGCCCACGCTATGGCCTTTACTCTACTATTGAGGGCTAGGTACAGAGGCAATGCCATGGCGAAGCCTTCTGTGATGTTGTGCACGGAGAGAGCGAGGAAGACGTTAAGCCCCAGCGTGGGGTTGGCGTGGTTCGTGGCGTAGGTGATGAAGCCCTCGGGGAACTTGTGCAGGGCGATGGCGAGGACGGTTTGGAGGGAGATGGAGAGAAAAGCGTTGGTTGGGACGTGGTGGTGGTGTTGTTGTTGTTGTTGTTGTTGTTGTGACGAGTGGTGGGAGTGGTGAGAGTGGGCGTCTGGGGAGTGAGAATAAACATCGGGAGTGTGGATGATGGGGCCGGGTTCGGAGTCTGGGGCGAGGGTTGACTCATCGGGGCTGTGGGCGGGGTTTTCATGAAAAGATTCGCGAGGCACATCGTCATGAGAGGGGGAGCAGAAGGAGGCCGGGAGGGTGACACTGCGGGTGAGAGGACCGCCGGTGTGCTTGAAGCAAGACTGGTTGCAGGGATCTGAGTAGCCAAAGCACGGCCCTTCTTCGCTGCAGTCGGGGGTGTCTTTGAGCAGGCACATAACCAGGCTTTTGGAGTGTCTCGCTGATGGGCGTCTGTCGGTGTTATCTGCATCGTGAGGATGGACATCGGGATGAGGATGGCCGTTGGTTTGAGGGTGCCCATTGCTCTTAGAAGTGACGGAAAGCGTCCGAGGAGACTTCAGCTTAGCAGCCCCGTTCGCCGCGCCATCGGTTCGCGCTGAAAGCAAGGGGGTAGTTTCCGCGATACTGGGCCTAGGATACGTGTGCTCGTCCCTTTGGCCATGATGATGGCCAACCTCAACATCAACCGGCCCCTGGTGAGTATGATCGCAGTCAACCACGTGCGAAGGCATGTACTGATGCAGCACACGTGACATCATCTTGATGCCAAAGTACCCCGTCACAAAGCAGGTCATCATTAGAAAGCCGGCAGATTGATGGTCCCAGCCATCCTCGGTCAGGTAACGCATGGCCGAGGGCAGCATGCTGTACAACGCAGAAAAGAGCTGGGGGATGTCAGTTGGCACATGGGATGGCCACATAGCGACGATCGGGGGAAACAAACCATGACGCCAAAGCTGAGGCTCAGCGAGCAGGCCAGAAAGGCGCTGCTCTGTTGGATGCGAAAGTTGCGCTTGCCTGGCAGTAAGCGGACGAAGTAGTCGATGCAGGTGATGGCGGCACCGAGGACGCAAGCTGGGAAAGTTAGCAGTGGGCTGATGAGGATAAGGCGAGAAGACTAACCAACGCCGCTAAAGGCACAAAGAATCCAGCCCCGGGTGTCGTTGTCTATCTCCATTTTGTCCATCGTGGGGGAAAGGTTTAAGTTAGGTCTGGCAAGTCAGGAGAATGATTGAAGGTGTCCGGTCGTGAATCAAGATATTGAAGGTAAGCAGTGAGAGAGTCTGGGGCATCACTGGCGTGGAAAGGCTGGTGGCAACATTCGAGGTCGAGCTTAGGAAGGCTGATGATAGATTTAGGAATGGCTAGACACAGACTGAGGATAGCTCTAGGACACGGGAGTTTAGTAATAATAATAATAAGAATAAGAATAATTATATAGGGACCGCCCAATTGAGCGCAGCGACGAGATTGATGACGATGTGTAGGAAGGTTTGGCGTGAGATAGGATGGATAGGTCGATGAATGGGCTGAGAGAGTGCAACACGAAAGTGAGAACCTCGATGGCTACAGCCTTTGAGGGTCGTGCCGCAGAGTGGTCAGCAGTCGAGAGCAGCGTCCTTCAGCGCTCAGCCTTGGCGGCCAGAATGCCAGAAAGACGTCAAGGTCGTCCTGGCGGCGGGTCCGTGACTGCAGGCAGCCCTGTCCTTAGTGTCCTGACCTGTCAAAGACCCCAAGCCAACAACACTGGGCCGTAGCAGGGGCTCTGTTTGTGATAATTGTTTCCCGAACACTCCTGAGGCTTGCGTGAATAGAAATATTATTTCTGATATTTTTCCTCTGTATTTTCTAGCCCATCAAACTCCACAGCTCACATAGAGTGCCAGACGCCTGTCACTTCCCCAGATCTGGGCATTTGTTGAAAAGGGGCTGACCGGTTGCAAATTGCTGGGTCCTGACTCGCCCGCTACCACTTTGGTGGCTGCAGCAGAGAGGGCTGGCAGGCACCTTGATGGCTACGCGGCTGGCCGTGGTGCAAGGACTGTACATGACGCGGTGGAACGCTTGCGACTCTCCAACACAGGATTGAATTGGTGATCTCGACAAAGATGTCAAATTCTAAGCCGTGTGATCAAATTTCCAATTCTAATATGAATATACCTGCACTTCATATAGCACTTCTGCCAATCGCCACAGGCCCATAGTTAGTAGTCTGTTCTCGTACAGTGTAGTACACCGTGTCGCTGCGGGGTGCCCCGCCCGCAAAGCTTGGCCTAGATCCCGCGGATGCCAACAGGGATATGCTCGGGACGACATCAAACGAAAATTTGGGTCGAAACAACCGAAACATCGGCCACGAGGAACACCGGCAGTCCCGACAAACACCGCACCGAGCCATTCAGCCCCCTAGAGAAGCTGTACCTTGCATAAAACAAGGTAGAGACTGACCCGGGAACGTGCAACTTCTAATCCAGCCCTCCGACGAGCAGACCGGAAATGTCCAAAGCCACCCTCGCTGTCATCGCCGCTGTCAGCGCCGGCGCCGGCGCCGCTGCCACAGCAGCCATGTACTCCCTCCGCGGCGACGGCAGCAACAACAACAACAAAAAAAAACTTGAGTCTACCGCGGCTCCGATCGCCCCATCCTCGACCCTCGCCCCGCGCCTAACCTCTTCCCCGGTGACCGTCCCCGTCCCGGCCTCACAAGTCTTCGACAACTCCCCCTCCACTCCCTCCAACACCCCAAGCAACGCCCCCGTCGATCCCTCAGGCCTCTTCCAATACGGCTTTCCCGGTCCCATCTCCGACCTGGCAACGCGCCAAGCCTTCATCTCGTGCTACGACCGGCGCACGCGCAACCCTCACTGGGTCGCAGAGCACATCACTCCGCAATCTCTGGCCATCCGCGACGGTGACCGCAAGAACAGCAATTTCCTCGAAGACCCCTTGATCCCGGCCAAATTCCAAGCCAAACTCAAAGACTACTTCCGCAGCGGCTACGACCGGGGACACCAGGTGCCGGCAGCAGACTGCAAGTGGTCTCAGTCGGCGATGGACGAGACATTTTATTTGACCAATATGTGTCCGCAGGTTGGGGACGGGTTTAATCGGGACTACTGGGCACATTTCGAGGATTTTTGTCGGCGGCTGACGGAGAAGTACCCCTCCGTCCGGATTGTCACGGGCCCGTTGTATCTTCCCAAGAGGGATGATAAGGACGGCAAGTGGTACGTCAAGTACGAGGTGATTGGGAACCCGCCAAACGTAGCTGTGCCTACCCATTTCTACAAGGTTATCTATGCGGAGGAGGACGGGCCAGAGAAGAAGGTCGCGCTGGGGGCGTTTGTCTTGCCGAATGCGGTGATTCCCAATGAGAAACCGCTGCAGGACTTCGAGGTTCCGCTCGAGGCGGTAGAGAGGGCGACGGGGCTGGAGTTTGCAAGTAAGTTGCCGGTGCAGAGAAGGAAGCGGTTGTGTGCGGAGACGAGTTGCAGCATAATTGTGAAGGAGTATGCTGAGAGGCAGAAAGCTTTTGCGAAGAAGGCTTAGGAGGCAAAAGTACTTGTAACGTGCTTGTAGATACGTGACGATGTAGAGTGTAATAATATAATGTTGAATATTAAGCCGCATGAAACTGGAGCGGTTCAACGTCCAAGACTCGATCACGACTAGACCTTTTGCTCGATCCCCCGGATCATTTCGCCATTTAAGTTTTCCATCTGAAAAGCTGCCAAACTTGACTTGAGAGAGCAACCGCAATACTATTCCCGTACTACATCAACACTGTGCCTTTTGAAGCTCCGTCCCATCACTCAACGGCCATACAAGTGCCTGGCGAAGTAGATACGTGTAACAACAACACCCTACACCGTGGCATTGCCTTCTCGCATATACCCAGCCTCCGCTTTGCCTTGGATAAATATTAAAAACACCAAACCAATTTAACTCTTACCGCCCCCTTTCCCCCCTTGCCTATTCCTCACAAGCCCCTTTGTCCTCTCCTGTACCTCCATTCCACAACTCCATAAGTTTATCACCTCGGCCTAGTATAATTCCCCCTACTCTGCTCCATCCTCAAGCTCTCCTCCTGACTCGGCAGCGGTGCCCTCTTTCTTATCCCCCCACTCCCACTCCCACTCCCTCCCTCCTCTCTTTTCTGGCCCTGTTGTTGTTGTTGTTGTTGTTGTTGTTGCTGCTGCTGCTGCTGCTGCTGCTGTTCACTCATAAACCCTGGTACTGGGGGGAACCCCAACCCCGGCAGCCCCGCAAACCCTGCCCCAGCTCCCGGTGGTGGAGGCGGCACAAAACCAGGGGGTAATTGTCCCCCTGGCGGGAGAGGGGGCATGATGCCAGCTTTTTTCATCATCTCTGCTATGGCTGCAAAGTCTGGCGTCCCCTTTCCATCCGCGGAGGGTAACAAGCCTGGCAAAGGAGGAGGTATCGTGCCTGGAGGGGGAAGGGGGAACGGCAGGGGCGGGACTGCGCCCGCACCAACGCCGGGTATGATGGGGGGCGGAGGGGGAATAAGACCTGGCAGCGCACCAGCAGAGGAAGTCGATGGTTGCGGCAGCCCAGGGATTCCAGGGAGACCCGGTAGAGCTGGCGGTTGGGAGGCAGCGGCCTGGGCTTGGGCCGCTTGTTGCTGCATCTGCTCCCGCTGATGCTTAAGCGGCATCTTTTGGTCGACCAACCCATCCATCTCATCCTCCAATTCTTGTTCTTCCTCAGCCTGACGCATGTGTCTATGCCCGCGACGATCCCACGTCCCTTGCGCCTCGGCCGCCGCCTCGCCGATGTGGTACCGCGAATTGAAATTGTCTGCCTCACCGGGCCTCGCGCGTGCCCAAAACCGCGTGATGCGGTCGTTCGACCCGGAGGCTAAAATATGACCCAGCGGGTGCCAATCCAAAGACCAGATGGCGAAGTCGTGCGCGTAGGGGATGCGATGGGCGGGGTAAATCGTCTGCGCAGGAGTCGAAAGCGGGTCGGGGCTGTCGTAGGGGGCGATGGAAGTTGAGTGGCCAGGCGGAGTGTTCGGCTCGTCGAGGAGGTAGTGGAAGAGGGCGCCGTCGGAGCCGCCTGTGCTGAGCAGGTTGCTGTGGATGGGATGCCAAGCGAGGGTCGAGATATCCTTGTCGTGGCCGCGCAGCAGGACGATGTCGCGCATCATGCGGAGGTCGAATACACGGGCGGTTTGATCGCGGGCTGAGGTCGCTAGGCATTGGCCCCGGACGCGCTCGAAGAGGGTCTTGGTGATGGTGTTCTTGTGGCCGTGCAGGGTGGTGAGGCAGCGGCCTGTGCGAGGGTCCCACAACTTCACCAAGTGATCCTTGGAACCGGAGACGATCAGGCCCTTTGTCGGGTGCCAGTCGCAGCTTTTGGCGTCCCAGCCGTGGCCAGTAAGGGTTGACTCGGCTGCGCCGGCGGCGAAGTCGAAGATTCGGAGGGTCGAGTCGTCGGAGGCAGTGACGAATTTGGTGTCGTTGGGGCTGAAGGCCAGGTCGCGGATGGGGTCCTGGTGGCCGCGGATGCTTTCGACGTTGTTGAAGTTGGGCTGCCAGTACTTGATAATGCCGTCGTGGTCAGCCGACACCAGCCAGTCGTCGCTATGCGAGTAAGCTAGAGCGCGGATAGCCGAGTCGTGGGCCTGCATAATGGTCTCGAAGTTGAAGCCCGTGCCGTTCCAGAGCGTGAACTCGCCGCTGCTAGAAGCTGTCAGCAGACGGCGGCCTTCGGGCGTCCAGCGCACCACGTTAATGGGGTGCTTGATCTTGTTGAGGGAGGAGTGCAGGTGCCTTGTTGGCACCGAGTCTGCTGGGCTTGTTATCCTGGCATGGGGAGGGAGCATCTGGGAGAGTTAGCAAATTCCCAGTACTCAATACATAGCTTTTTGGGTTGAAAGAAAGGGGAGGAGCGGGGAGGGGGGGGTTGGGATGGCTCACATCAACAATATAGCTGTGGCTTGGGCGTTCTATCTCGCCAGCATAGGACCCCTTATATCTGGGCTGGCGATGACGCATCCAGTGGACGATGGTTGCGCCATAGTCGGTGACGGGCCCTGCACTGTCAGCTACGAACAGGATGGAAATATGATGGCAGATTGCAAGCTGTTAGGTATAGCTTGCGTTCTGTCGTAAGAGTGAGAGTCTAGAGACTTACGTCTGCCCCGTACCCTTGGCCGCGGCTCGGGGGCATCGTGGGCCCCCGTGAAGCCGTCGCGGCCATCAAAGGCCATGATGATGGTGTTGGAGTGAAAGTCGATGATTTAATGGGCGATTGGGACGATTGTGGTGACTGGCAATCGCGCTCACAACAAGCCTGGCTGCATCAATGGCAAAGCAATGCAACTCAGAAAAACCCAGCTCTCTTATGCTGGCAGGTCGCGCAAGGCTGGAAAGATGAAAAAGTAAATTTACTGTCGTCATGCGCGATGGTTAAAACTGGAATTGGGCAGCGGGCACCAAACTGCGTAGCCTAGCTCTGCCACATTAAACCTTCGAGTTTCAGTTTTTGAAGTTTTGTGGTGTCGCCCTGTCAATTCTTTCACCTGTATTTTGGCATCTCAGATCTCGTCATTGTCGCGCCGTCGCCGCCGTCGCGAGTTGGAAGGGTCGTACATCCAGCGCGTAATGTGGTCCGTGCATTCTGCCAAGATATAATAGAATGGATATTTAGGGTTAGGGTTGCAACATCCCTGAGAGCCAAGACCGAAGCACGTGCGACTATACATCAAATGCCAAGTGCCAAGGCCCGATCTGCCCCTCCATCTGTGGAACCATCAGTGCCCAATCGATCCAACGTTTTCATGTGAGCGGCGCGGGTTGGAAAGGAGATGAAGTGGCGTGCTCTGGAAGCATGAGAAATGTGGAGGGCAGTGTCTGCTTGCTTCGTCTCCATTAACCGTTTCAAAATTTTTTGTCACTTCTGCGACAGAAGTTTTGTCAGAGTCTCTGTCGCAAGATACAATACTGCAATGTCTAAACGCAGAACCTGGCATATTCCGTCCCGAGAGCCCCGAATGTCGCACTGACCCGGGCGCCCGAGCCATACTTGAAAAATTATAGGGAAAATAATCTGAATCTGATGAAGGCAACATGGCATGGCATGGCTCGGGCCGCATCCATCCATCCATCCCATGCCATGGGAATTGCGGCCGCGGCACACACAATGACAATCACCTGTCGCCCATTTCCGCTGCCTACAATGACCCCAGCGCTAGCCGCGCGATCGCGTTGTGGCTGCCAGATCTGGGGACACACCCCAGCAGCCCAATCCAGGAACTGCAGCTGTCGCCGACCGCGAGTGGAGCCATGCTGTCAGCAAGCAGGCGCTGCCCGTGGGAGCCCACTGTGAAGCCCACTGTGAGAGCCTTCTTGAACAGCCCGCTACTTCCTCTCGCTGCGAGTGAGTGAGCCCAGATAGACTGCCCACTGCGCTGGGCCTCTGCTCAGACCCCAGAGCGCTCCCGCTGTGGACTGCTATCCTCGGCTCCGCGGCTTTGTGCCCGTTGCTGGTGGACGTTGTGGGTATCGATGTCCATGGTGGGCAGGTCTGGGCATGCTTGAACCAGGCGTCGCAACGGCTGGAACGCTGGCTTCGGGCGTCGGCATCGGCGGCTCGGGGCATCCATACCTTAATCATCTCGCATCACATCGCATATGGATCTCTCCCCTCTCTCCCCTCGGGCTCCTGTACCGTCCAATCTGTCCAGTAACCTTACTCCGTGCTTGTCTGTGTACTTATCGCCCGCTGTCGTTGCGTGAGCTTTCATCGGGCAGCTGCCACTGCATTGGTCTTGCCACCACTCTTAAAACCCCGCGATTCCGAGAGCTTTAACAGAACTCTGTTTTCCATTTCTGCAATTTCCAGTTGCAAATTCATTGCAGCACAACATACACACACACACACACACACACACACACACACCCGCACACACACACACACACACACACACACCACACACACTCACACACACACATACACACGCTTGACGCTTCTTCGCTCGCTGATGGCATTTCGTACTTCGCACAGATCGCTGTGATCTCACTCTTTTCTCTCTGCCAATTTACCATCTTTCAATCGAATATTTAAGACGCTAAAATCTTACCTGTTTCGTTTCGTTTCGTTTCCTCTTACCACCAAAACATACATGTGTTTCCCGGAGCCCCAAAAATGACCGAAAAACAAGCTTTCGAGGTTACTGGTGTCGACCGACTCGGCAACACCATCATTCGCCGCCGGGTCGTCGAAGACATCAACCGTGCCGAGTCCGAGAATCCCAATGGCACCGTGAACTCCTCGGCTTCCAACGGGCAGGCCTCGGCCGCCGTGGCCATCAAGAAGGCAGCCTACAAGGGGAAGTATCGCCATGTGGCTGCTATCCATGAGGAGGCTAAGCCTTCTTGCCTGAGCCACGACGCTACCGATACCCCCAGTTTCCTGGGCTTCCGCAACCTCATGGTTATCGTGCTAGGTATGAGAGTCGCGATCGCTTGTTAGGATAGGCCTATTACTAATTGCTTCTAGTTGCGAGCAACCTGCGTCTCATTATTGAGAATATTCAGAAGGTAGGATCCTTAACAAAGTTTATTCCGGTCGGCTTATAGCTGACTCTTTTTTTTTTTTTTTTCCAGTATGGTGTCCTGATTTGCGTTCGCTGCCACGACTTCCGTGCTTCGGATGTGAAGCTTGGGCTTGGACTATACTTCTTAATCCCTCTGCACCTTCTCCTGGCCTATTTTATTGAGCTTGTCGCTGCCAGCCATGCCCGCAGCACGCGGGCAAAGATTGAAAAGGAGAAGCGCGACGGGTCTTCGAGCCCGACCGCCCTGCAGTCGAAGCGGTTCCAGAGGACGTGGACTGTCATCTGGCTGCTTCACTCGCTGAACGCCACGGTCGCGCTGGTTTTTACGAGCTGGGTGGTTTATAATTACATCCATCACCCGCTCATCGGGACCCTGACTGAGACGCACGCCATCATTACGTGGCTCAAGACGGCGTCCTATGCCTTCACGAATCGGGACCTCAGGCACGCCTATCTCCATCCGGCGAAAGGAGAGTTGGATGCCCTGCCGGAGCTTTATCGTCAATGCCCATACCCAAAGAATGTGACCATTAAAAACTTGGTCTACTTCTGGTGGGCGCCGACTCTGGTGTACCAGCCCGTGTATCCGCGGAGCGAGAAGATCCGTTGGGTTTTCTTGTTCAAGCGTCTCGGCGAGGTTGTCGTTCTGAGCGCTTTCATCTGGTTCCTCAGTGCTCAGTATGCCACTCCCGTGCTTGTCAATTCGCTCGACAAGATTGCATCGCTGGACTACTTCTCCATCCTCGAGCGCCTTCTGAAGTTATCCACCATTTCTTTGGTCATCTGGTTGGCCGGTTTCTTCGCCTTGTTCCAGTCGGGGCTTAATGCGCTCGCTGAGATTACGAGGTTCGGAGACCGGTCGTTCTACGAGCCGTGGTGGAACAGCCCTGGCCTGGGCGTCTACTGGCGGACGTGGAATAAGCCGGTGCATCACTTCTTCTTGCGGCACGTCTACCAGCCGATGCGCGGCCGTGGCTGGAGCCACAAGGCGGCGAGCTTGGTGGTCTTCTTTTTGTCTGCGTTATTGCACGAGCTTCTCGTGGGTATCCCGACCCATAATCTGATCGGTAAGCTTCCTTTCATCCTGTCCACCATCGGTACACACACTAACAAATCCCAGGCATCGCCTTCCTAGGCATGTTTCTTCAAATCCCGCTCGTACAGATCACTGCCCCTCTCGAGCGTATGAAGTCTCCATCCGGCAAGCTGCTAGGCAACACCATTTTCTGGGTGTCGTTTACCATCCTGGGCCAGCCGCTGGCTGTGCTGCTCTACTTCTATGCCTGGCAGGCGAAGTACGGCAGCGTGTCGCGGTCGATGACGACGATGCAGCGGCCTCCAGTTTGCCCACCGTGCCCTTCGTCCTGTACGTGAATTTGTTTTGAGTTTCTTTTTTTTTCTTTTTCTTTGCAAGTTTTTGATGTTTTCATGTATTAGTTTAGTACGCTAGAGGGTTCTTGCTGCTGGCTTCGACGTCGGGTATCGCCGGTGTATGGAGTAGATGTTGTGTGTTATGGATGAGGTGTTGGGCGGGACATTTTGTTTGTTTACTCGGCGTGGGGGCTAGATGGGAGGTTTGAACGGTATTTTTGATTAAGTTTGGTTCTTGAGAAAAGTCTATGTGTGACATGTGGCTCCTGGCTTTTTTTTTTCGTATGTGCGTGAAACCGACAATGCCATTGTCTAACTGTCGTACCCTCGTTCTTAACACAAGCCGTAATATGTATAACCATGACAACAAATCCATGCTGAATAAAAGCTGCGATGATGTCCAGGATTTAACCATCATATATACCATCTCCCATTATTGCCCGCAATAATATACCATCTCCCTGCTCGACGCCATTTTTATGCCCATAAATGCTCAACCCACATCACAACTAACTACCTGGACAATCCCTTCTTTCATATTGACACCTCTATTCCCCCCTCCTACCGAACAAAAAACAACCCCGTCCCCACCCGTTCCCTATATCTATCGTACTCGGCCCCAAACATCCTAACCAACGCCTCTTCCTCATAGCCAATCCGCTCTTTAAAAAATCGCCCCAGCACCACCGCATACCCTATCAAACTCAACACATTCCCCATGACGAGCTGCGTTCCCAGCGCCCAGTAAAAAAACCAAAGTAACTTGGGTGTCGGAGCAGGGAATAAATGCCAGTGGTGACCAAAACATGGTCGTAAGAGCGGTGGAACTGCACGTGGTGGTTGAAGGAGGGGCCGGCGTGGATCATGGCCAGGGAGCGGATTGCTTGGCCCATGATGACGAGGAGGAGGCCGAGGAAAACTACAAAAGGGGAGGTGAGAACGTGGTACGGGGTGAGGAAGAACGAAATACCCCAAGAGGAGGGGAGAAGGAAGAAGTGTGCGAGGAAGCACTCCAGAAAGGCGACAGTGTGAGCTATCGCGTAAGCAGGCCAGTTCGCGGTTAAGAGGAACGACGAGGTGTCGGCCGCGCGGGTGTTGTATGCTGCGGTGGTGAGAAACTCGAGGTAGTGGAATGTGGAGAGGGTGGTGAGAAAGAAGGCCAGGCGCCAGATGGGGGAGGAGAGCACAAAAGAGAGGTAGAAGGTGAGCAGCAGGCCGAGGGTGAAGGTGCTGCCTAGCATGAAGGAGCGCCCGGCGATGCCGGCGAGGGATTTCGGCTGGTGGAGTTGGTAAATGCGATCGGGGTTGTAGGAGGTGCTGTGTAGATAGTGAGGAGGGTTAGTTCCATGGAGGTTGGAAGAGGGGAAGATGGGGAGGACGAACTAGTCTGGAGACCAGGGGCGGGGGCGGGGTTGCCTATTGTTTGTATGGGACATTGTTGCTGCCAGTACTCGTCTGACTTGGGAAGTTGGTTGGTTTTGACTATCTTTCGAGTATCCGAGGTGACTTCGGAGCTAAAGTTGTTGGCGATGTGGTGGTGACTTCGAGGTCGGGGATGGTGCTCCAGCGGATGAGAACTTCGACTTCTTAGGGTTGTGCCATGCCCGAGGGCTGTCGCACGAAATTCGCGCTGCACAAAAAGTCGGTGCTAGAAGACTGCTAGGGAATTGGCAGTTGAATTTCAGGTTCGAGCGGAATAGGCGTCGTCGAGGTGCTCGTTGCTCGAGGGAGCAAGCAGCCCAGGAGAAGGTCGAAAGTTGAAGCGTAGGCTTGTGGATCGCAGCGCTGAGGAGGCTCGCAACATCGCTACAGCCGCAGGGGTCCTATCTCAGCGGGCCGCCTGGAGCCTGTCGTGTAATCTCTCCAGCAGTGAGCAAGGCGCAGCTGGCAGCTCAGCGACCAGGGTCCCTAAAGTACTACTTTATCAAAGAAACCCCGTTTTAACGAAGCCCATGGACATCAAAATGCAAGTCCCTTGATGAACAATGCTTCACAGACCGCCCTGCATTCTGAAAGACGAAATGACCAGAATAAGCAAATTGACCCAGCCCCAGACAAAGGGGATCCAGGTTGACATGGTGAAGCCGCCAACGAGATAGCTCGCGCCAACACTGTGGAGGGCGGTGTTAGCATCAACTCAACGGTATCGTTTGGGAGGAGACCGACATCAAACCCACGACGCTACCTGCGATAAGAGCCTCTGCAGCGGCAACGATAAAGTACGTCAACGGCACGAGCCACAGGAACTTCCAGCTGGAGCGCGCCTTGGGCAACTGCATGAGTAGAGCGTAGGCAACGGCGCCCATGTGGAAGAGCCCGTACAGGATCAGTGTCCAGTAGACGGTGAAGCGCCACATATCGTCTAGCCGTTTGAGGACGACAGTTGAGTATTGGGGTTTCCAAAAGAGGGATGGGAATGGAGGGGATTCGTGCTGCATCTTGGTGTCTGCCATACTGATGTGTGTAGAACGCTGGGGTTGTTGAAGGAGAATGACAATGTCTCGAGGATGGACATGACAGTCCATATTGTCAATGAATGAAATGCATTCAGCTCTCGATGTATGGATTAGGGGATTCCCCGATATTTGCATTAACCTGGGGAGACCCACCTGCAGTACGTACCTTGTGCCTCGGCTTTGGTTCGCCGACGGGAGTGCCATCGGCGCATCGCAGCCAACCCTCGTGCAGCGTCTAGCATCTCCAACCCCCAGCCTCCTGCATCAACAACAAACCTAACTTCAACTTCAGCCAACTTAACCCAACCCAACTTAACCAATTTCAAGCGAAACATCGACTCGACTTAGCGTCCTAATCCCCCCGATGGCGTAAAATGGACCGCCTCCTGACCAGCGTGCTCCAGCAATACCAAGACGTGCACGACGATGCGCGCACTGACAACATCTACGCGCTGACGACGACATTGTTGACGAACCTGTCCAACCCGCTCAATGTGTCGCTGCTGACCTCGCAGCTGCTGACCGCGCCGGCCATCTGGGCCCGCGGTGACGGCATCCGAGCCTGCTTCCGCATCATCAGCCTGTTCAACACCGCCGCCATCCATGTGCGCCGCAACGAGCTCGAGAATGCCAAACTCAAGGACGCTCCAGCCCAACCGCCGCCTCAGTCCTACGCCGCCGGCTTCGCTCCCCCTCCGCAACAGCCCCAGCGTCGCGGTGGCGGTATCTCCAGCAATGCTTGGGCCGCAGCCGTGCTGAAGGGCGCCGATGACCAGTCCGTTCGCTGGCAGCATCTGCTTGTATTTACTGGTGTTTTGCTGGGCTTCGAGGGCAACAACCGCAGCTCACTGTCTTCCAACATGAGGAATACACTCGAGAAAGCCGTGGTTACGGCAGCCAACCTCGCCGTGCGCAATAGAGCCCCTGAGCCACCCGCGCCCCCGTCGCCTGTGGCTCTCGCTCTAAACTACGCATTCCCTCTGCTGGCCGAGTCTGTTCGCGCCGAGCTCGACAGCGATGCACTCGTTCCCGTGCTCGCTCAGGCCATGCTGGGCCCTGACTGTCTCGAGGAGGGCGTCTTCGTCGCCAGCATAGATATCGACGTGAAGCAGGTCGATGAGAAGTTCCATTGGGCCGAGAATTCGCCTTCATTCCTTCACATCTCCCAGCTCGAGCGTAAGCCGCTCGTTTCGGGGCTGGGCCCATTATCAAGGCTATTGGCCCATGCCGTCCAACACTCCCGCAACTCGCAGGCAGTCATGCAACTTTTGGACGACCTGGTCGCCTTTACCGGGAGATTGCTCCAATACTGGGAGAGCTGCAAGCTGTCCGAACTGGAGATGTCCGAGGAGGAGTTCTTTCTAACTCCCGAAATGCTCCAGACAACATGGACGGCCCTGTGGCTCTTCCTGAAAAAGATCATGTACGCCGTCGTCGCGGTCCTCCACGCTATCGTCGCGCGCAGCTTGATCGACCGCCACATGCGCCAGGACGCCATCGCCCCCCTCGTCGCCCACAAGACCCTCCTCGCCCTGCGCAACCTCTACTTCATCTCCTCGCGCAACAGCGCATACGCCTTCCAGGTCTATTCCTTCACCTACCTCACCTCCCTCGACACCCTCTCCCGCTACCCCGACGCCGCCGCCTCGTTCTTGTCATCCATCAAGCCGACGGCAACCGCCCCTCCCGCGAACGCGAACATAGGCAACGCCAACGGCAGCCTCCCCGCACACCCCCTCCATCGCATCCTCGACCTCTACTACCTCAACGTCGCCGAACACCTTCCCCTTAACCTCCCCACGCCCTCCTGCGACTCCCTCATCATCCAGCCGGCCTTAATTTACCTCACTCCGTCCTCCATCACCTCCCCCTTCCAC